AGAGGGATGTAGCAGAGTAAGTTACCCAATCATTCCACAGAAATAAAAAATGAAAAAAGAAATCACCCAAGGGGATTCAGTTCAATCAGAAATTAGAATATTAGATAGCACTACATTTTTGATTAAACTAAAACATTGTATGTACAGTGCGAAAGAAGCAGCAAGAGAGAGAGAGAGAGAGAGAGAGAGAAGAAGAAGAAGAAGAAGAAACACAGAATAGTCTTTTGCCAGAAGATCAAGCGACAAAAAGGTCTGACCTTCATGAAGTTTTGAAAGATAATTAATACAGTGTTTGGAAGGGAGAGAAAAGGCAATACAAGAAGGGAAAAGTTTTATTTTGTCTTGCTTTTTCTTCCCTTTTCAATCACATGTGTGGGCTAACAAAAGTGGCACAGAATTTTGGTGTTCCTATATGCTGATGTAGGTCTAAGTATATCTTCGCTGTTTGGTTGGCCAACCTCCTTTTCTGTGCATCGTGTACAAGGTTGATTTAGAACTCCTTTACCTCCAAACCATTCATTAAAATACAAAGACTCAGTTCATTGCCAGGTTCAACAAACTCATTCAACTTCCAATAACTCAACCACGTCATATATTCGTCTAGTTCTGGAACTCCAAATCATACTGGCCGGTAGGTTACCACATTATCGCACCCATTGTTGACTTCAATTTCAATAGATAGTTCACCCGAATAATTTTCTTCGGTGATCCCGTACACACAACGCATGTTCATCCTATGAATCCTACAATTTTGAACTGAAGGGGCTGTAAAATATACTATGGACCATACACTTGAATTGTTGAAGGTACCCAAATCTTTACCCCTAGGAAGAAATATGTTAAATATTCCGTCTTGGGACAACCCCTGTGCAATAAAAATTTCAATTTTAACTGGGACAAACTGTGGATTATTGGGTGGGACTATTCTTACTCCTTAAATCTCTCTTTTCACCCCCATTTAATCATTTTATTTTAAACTACTAAGTTCCCTTCATTTATACCCATATAATGAAACTATTAAATATATATGTCAAAAAAATCGAAACAAAATAGTAATTGAAGCGAAATTTCAAATGTTTTGAATATTTTGAGGTGTTTTGAGATATTTTGACATATTTTCACTAATGTCTTTAGAATATTTTGAGGTATTTTAAGATATTTTTGGTATATTTTGACTAAAATTTTTAAAAAAATTATTATTTTTTAATTAATTTTCACTCTGCTTCTAAAATATTTTCGTACCGAAATAATAAATCAAAATGAAATTTTGATTATTGCCTATATAGTAGGTTGAAATAAAATTGGATGAATTTAATTTTTAATTAGTGAATATAGACGAGATGAGTTTACTAACTAATGAGGTGGGCATAAATGGGATGAACTTAATAATTTAAAGTAAGATGATTAAATTAGGGTGGAAAAAGAGATTTAAGAGGTGGGAATCGTGGACGGCTCAAGGTAATTTGAGGCCTAAAGTGATAATTCATTTTGAGGCCTTTTTATTTTTAGTGTTAAAAATTTTAATTGAAGTTAATTCTTCTCTTTTTTTGAGTTGTAAAAGGTTAAATTGAGTTTTTATATTTAAATTTTGTTTTCATAGATAATATCGCTAATCTAATTATTTTTCTTGTAACAGTCGATTTTAAGTAAGATTTTATTAATTTTAATTTTAAAAAACTTTTTTTTGTAGAAGTTCCATTATAAAAAGTAATAATAATATTGTATAAGCAATGCATACATTTGCAAAAAAAAATGTGTCTGCGATGTGTGTGCAAACCAATACAAAACACCCAAAACTATCACACCAAAATGAGTTGTATGTGCTATTGTGGGTGTGTGTGTGCATGCAATATGTGTGAGCGTATGTGAGTATGTGTCTGTGTGTTGGACTCTCTCTGTGTGTGAGTTGTGAGAGAAAAAAAGAGAGGGGGTACCTGGGTCATGAACAAACAACTATAACATTCAATAAATACCCTTCCTATGAAAAATCCCAAATTAATTTATTGCAATGTGTGGGTGAGATGTGTGTGAATTTAGATGAGATCTTAGTTGTTCAACTGAAACAAAATTGAATTTGAGCCGTCCTTGTATTTTCCCAACTTTAGAGATTTAAAATACATTCTATTTGATTAGTATAGATTATCATTCTTTTGTCCTTCAAAAGCTAAAAAAACCAACAACTATCAATTTCTCAACAAATCAACCCCTCATTATTTCAAATCTCTTTTTATCAAAAGTTATGCAACACTATCAAAAAAAATAAATCAATCCAAGCATATCACTTTATCAGTAAACTCAATCACACAAACCCACCAATAAAAAACATATCATAATGAGGACAAAAGAAGATCACGGAGAAATGCATGTGTTGTGTTTATACTCTTTTATTTGCACACAGAACCCACACACGCACAAAAAGAGCACCGGAATTTTGGGCTTCAATCACCTGAATTCCCAAAGCCAAAGTTTTATCTACATTTCACCCTTGAGCACCAACCTCAAGCCTGTAATCACCAAATTCAAAAGGTCATCAATTGACATTAATTCAAATCAATATAACATTCATAACCAATTTAACACCTAAACTATAACATTCAAACCAATATAACATTTATAACCAATTTGACACCTAAACCATAACATTCAAAACATCCAAACTATAATAACATTCAAACCAATTTAACACCTAAACCATAACATTCAAAACACCCAAAATATAACATTCAAATCAATATAACATTCATAACACCTAAACTATAACTTTCAAACGGCCTAAACTATAACATTCATAATCAATTTAACACCTAAACCATAACATTCAAAACACTCAAACTATAACATTCAAACGATCTAAACTATAATATTCATAATCAATTTAACACCTAAACCATAACATTCAAAACACCCAAACTATAATATTCAAACCAATTTAACACCTAAACCAAAACATTCAAACCAATTTAACAAATAAACTATAACATTCAAAACACACAAACTATAACATTCATAACCAATTTAACACCTAAACCATAACATTCTAAACACCCACAATATAACATGCAAATTAAAAATACTCAAATTAAACACAAACATTCAAAAACCCAAATTATCCCAAATTCAAAAACCCAAACAAAAATCACACACAAATTTGTGTGTTTGTGTGCTGTTGCAATGCATGTGTGTTTGCGTGAGCTGTGTGTGTGTGTTTGTGTGTTGTTGTTGTTGTGTGTGTGTGTGTGTTTGTGTGAGCTACGTGTGTGTGTTTGCGATTGTGTGTCGTGAAAGAGAGAAAGGGGCAGATATAGGGGAATACCTGGGACTAAACACCAAAATTAAACACTAAAATTAAAAAAAAAATCCAAATTAAAAACACTCAAATTAAACACAAACATTCAAAAACTCAAACCCAACTTTGTGTGTGTTGGGTGATTTGTTTGTTATTGTGTGTGTGTTGCTGTTTGGGGGGGGGGTGTTGTTGTTTGTGTGTTGCTATGCGTGTCTACCAGTTCAACATGTGTCGTGTAAAGATATGTGTGTGTGTGTTAACATGAGCTCTATGTGTGTTTGCGACTGTGTGTCCTGAAAGAGAGAGAAAGAGAGATAGAGAAGGAGGAAGATGGTCAAACTGGCGTGTGTGGGTTGTGTTATGGAGTAGATATGGTGTGTGTTTAGGGTTAAAATTGGTGGGATTTGACATTTGTATGAGATGCATTTTGAGCCTTTGGATTAGGTTGCAAGAATGGAGATGAAATTTGAGCCTTTGAATTAAAAGTGGATTTAATTTGAGTCGTTCTTGCGCTTTTCCCAAACGAATTAAAATTAAATTAAATTTTGAAGTGAAAATATTGGTTCTATCTTATTATTATAGATTCTAGTACTTTTTAATAAAACTAGAAAAGTTGGTGTAAACTTGTTCAATTACATGTAAAAAGGCATTCATAAAGAGAAAACAGATTTCTACAAATAAAGGAAGAGCATTCAATTACTTGTTCAAGGAATTATCAATTAAGCAATATACTTTTTGCCATCACTTTATCATTCTTTTGTTTTTTGGCCAATTTGTTTAATGGCTTGATTGGTCGGTCTTTTGAAAAGGACAGTGTGTGGATCTTATGGATCCATGCATCGACGGGACTAAGAGTAAAAAAAGGAGGAAAACTTTGGTTGGGGGATGGCCTCCCTTAGCCTCAACATGGGTCTCTGTTTTTAAACACGGGATTATTGATAATAGATATATATTATTATGCATCTTAATTTCTTAAGGGGGGGAAAGCAAAATATAGAGATACTAATTTAGCTTCGTCTTTGTTTCTTTTTGTACGTAAACCTTGTTGGAAACCTAATTCCATTATGGGTATGCTACATTAAGAAAGTTGCCTAAAGAGAAAATAATTGTGCCCCATATCAATATGGATTAATAATCATAAGCATTTATATTATGCACCTTCATTTCTTAAGGGGAAAAAGTAAAATGTGGTATGATACTAATTTACCTTTGTCTTCATTTCCTTTTACACCTAAACCTTGTTGAAAATCTAATTCCATTATGGGTATGTTAAATTAAAAAGTTGCCTATAGAGAAAATGATTGTGCCACACATCAATATCTATAATATAAAATAGGACAAATTTTAATAAATTTATCCGACGATCTCAAATAGACTCATCCAACGGTTAATATTTTTCTCAAAATCATTCACATTACACCATACCTTCAGACATGGATTACCCCTAATGGATTCATAATCACAAGCATTAACACCATTTGCATTTGACGTGGGAATTTAAAGTAAGGATTTTGTGTATTGTAGCTATTTGATTAACAATGAACTTATCGAATGTCGACATATCTTACTAAATTAATATCAACAGTATATTATGCCTTTAAATTAAGTCCTCCAATTATGTATTAAAAATATTCTAAAAAGGCAACTGCAAAGAATAAATTAGTGTCCCACAAAATTTCTACTAACCTTCCTAAAAGTCCCCTATATTAACTTGTCATGGTCCCTCCCTTATGATCAAAATTATTTTGTTTTTAAAAAAACAGCAGTGTGCCTCAATTAGTAAACGGCGTTTCATTGTTTGTGGCTTTGGCCGTCCCTTTCCGTCTCGAATATCGGCCAAAGCCATTAAACCATCGGCTAAATCTTGCACAGTAGAAAGCCTCTTCATCGTCTTCTTCTCTCCCAATTTCCTCAACTTTTCCTCTTCCTCTCCACACCCAATACCTCTGGCCACCGCAATTTCAATGCTCGCTGTCAAACTCGCCTCATCTTCACCAATCCTCCTCAAATTCCTAAATTTCAAACTAATACTTCCTATATACCCAATAAACTCACACCAACCACTAATTTTCTGCAGATTACTTAAATATTTATTGTCGATCAGCCCAGATTTAGTTAACCAAACAAATTGTTCGACAAAATAGTATAAGCCTTCACCCCCATAGGCGATGATAGAGAGGATGATCTCTTCTTTGAGTCAAAGCATGTGGTTCGGAGAGAATTTACGTCTTGGATGAACTTGCTGAGCCAGAGTGGAAGATGGCCTTCAGTCGTTCACAGCAGAGGGTATGGAAAGAGCCACGATGGTTAGGAAGAAAAAAATAAAGATAAAAGTGACGGGGGATAAAGTGATTTTGGATAAGTAAAAACTTTATTTTTGAACTTATTTAAGTGGTAAAATGATTTTAACTTTTTTAAATTTACTTTTAATAAGTAATCTCAAACACTATTTTTTTTTATATAGTTATGATAAGTCAAAAGTTCAAAAAATATTTTTTTTTAAGTCAATTCAATCACACTCTTATTAACGTTTACATATATAAATATAGTGAGTATACGTGCAAGTATCAGCCCCAATTATCACTATTTGGTATTAGTAGGGAGAGAAGGGCTTTTTCGAAAGAATATCAACATTTATTTATATAGATATAGTGAGTGTATCTGTGGGTATACTTATACCACTTAAAAGAAAGAATCCTAAATCAGTAAAGTAATTAATCAAACACAAGTAGTTTGTCAGGCCTTCCTCTGAAGCCTCCCGTCCATTATATTTAGTCTATAAAAGTTTAGTTACAATAATCAAGTTTTTAAAATTTTAATTACAATAATCAAGTTTTTAAAATTTTAATTAAGTTTCAATTTAGTCCTTGCATCAAAATTCATTGATTTATTTTGACATAATGGTCTTCTCAGACCAACACAAAACTTCGATATAGGAGTATATTTATTTAGTGGAAAATCTGTTACACATATGCTAAAAAATCTTATTTTATTTCATTTAATTTTGAAAATAAAAAAGAGTTTGAAAAAATAGATATAGAGGGAGAATTTGAGGTGTATTGCGAGACCCTGACCCAGAAAAAAAAAAAAGGTATATTGTGAAACAAAGAGAGAAATATGAATGTATTTTAGAAAGATATTTTTTGATGGATAAATATATATCCTTATGTTGGGCAAGTCTCGTAACATCTTTTTGTCAAAATAAATTAATAGATCTAGATGGAAGGATTAGATTGAAACTCGATTATAACTTTAAGGATATAATTGTATTAATTGAAATTTAAGAGATCAAATAAAAATTATGGTCATACGTTAAGGGTGTGAATTATAAATTATCCTAAACAAAATTGAGATAATTTTAAATTACACCCCGAAAGATCGTTCGAATTTTAATTTATACCTTTAAAGATCAAAAATCTTAATTTATACCATCAAAATAAAAAATTGTATCAATGCGTACCTCCAGCTAATAGCAGTTCTAAAATAGATAAATTATATCTAAATCACCTCATGCTTGTCACTTAATCACCTAGACGGTTGGATTCTCATATTTAAAATATTACACCTACATCCTATGAGAATCTAAATATAACTAAAAATATTTTCTCAATTGGGCATTTAAATAATTCTGCTTAAATGATGAATTGCATTGTATATAAAAAATATTATATAAATACATGTATTATATTAGGTATTCAAATGATAAACTTGATTTTAAATTTTAGAGTATAATGGGTTCACAAAATAAAAGATAGTATAAAATTATTTTTTATTAAGATAAAATTATATTTTTTAATGATTATATTAACATATATTAACGATAAGGGATAATACGTTATGCGTGGACAAACGTTTGGAGGCGTAGAAATAATATTTTAAATGTAAGTGGTCCGTGACAAACAAATGGGGTTTTAGATATAACCCAACAAAGTTTTGCAAGCCTTCAGGCGGGTCCGCACTGCTCAATCACGAATGGGAGAAAACTCGGAGCATCCACACACGGTCTCAGATAGTCAAAGCTTGTAAAAAAGGTTTCTGAAACTTGTGAGTCGCTGTTTTCGCTTTACCTTCTCTCTCCCTCCCTCTCTCTAGAAAATTTTCTAGGGTTTGGTTGTTCTTTGTTTTGGTCACTGTTGTTCGAAGCTCTGAAGTTTGCAAAATGTGAGTGATTCGCAGCTACAGGTAACATCTATGCGGTCCTTCTTTGTGTGATTTCCATTTTCCACTTTCTTAGCCTCCGTTTTCGTTTTCTTTCGGTAAATAATTCCATATGTTAGAGGAGTGTTTAGTTGCTAAGAATATGTAGGAAGTGAGAAAAAAGTTAAAGGTTTCCTCTCTGTTGGTGGAACCTGGCAATTCAAGCTTCCATTGAACTGAGATTGGACTGTTTTTGACTCATTTGAGCGAGTAATCAATTCCTTCCTAAGAAAACATCGGGCATGTAAAATTGAAGTTATTTGTTTTGTGTTTCGCATTTATTTTTCACGAATGGCAAAAAGTTTAACGTACTCCACACAAATGGTCATTTACATGGAGGAAAAGAAAAGGAAGATTAGTAAATAGAAACAAACATATAAATGCATGTTACACATAGGAGAATGCTATCCAGTTTCCAAGAATATGTCATTATAATTTTTTTTATTGATAAGTGAGAAAATCTAGTTGGGAAAAGGTTTGTTGAGTAGGGTGGAACATAAGTTAGTAAATCTCAATTGTGCTGCCCCATGATTGCTCTGGTTCTGGAAAGTCAATTACAACATCCAAATCTCCGGCATACAAGTAACCTTCTGAAAAGAAACAACTTTATCAAAATGTTAAATTTGTTATTCAATGCCTAAATGCTCAGTTCAAGTCAACTTAACATACCTTCTTTCTCATTTTTGAGGGAAGAATGCACTGGATAAGAAAAACTACTAGATCACTGTAGTTTGTAATGCCTGTTTGACCGATTACTCGAATCCTCCTGCATCAGCAGAAATTTTTAATTCTTTAACATATTGCTAAAAGTTAGATCTCTCAAATGCAGTAGTGTTGCGGCATATTGGTTTGACTATATGTATCAAGTCTAGGATGGAGCTAGTTCTTCTAGAGGAAATTGAATTAGACTTGGGACATAGTGAACTATGATTATTGTTGGCTCATTTACCTGATAATCATGCTCAAGGAGAGGCCAGGAAGGAGGTTTTAACATTTGTTTCTGATGTATAAATTGTTTTTCCTGTGACATGCTTGAACTCTACATGCAATGTTGAAAATAGCAGAGTTATCATAACTTGGTGTGTATGCATGTAGATAAGATATGTACATATTACAGAAGCAAGCAAAATGCTAATATTCAAATTGGAAAGAATGTAATATGACCTCGCACTAAGGAGACCTCCAATAAGCCTTCTTTATTCTTAAATTCAATTAATAACTGATAATCTAAGCTTGATTTTTTGTACTAAGTTTCTAGAAATTGTCTTGGTTGTTGGCATCCGATATAGTTTTCTTCTTAGTTATTACCATTCAGGTTAAGAAGCTGATGCTTTTTAATGTGACTTGTGCCTTTTAAGCCGCTCAACCAAACCTCCTGTTTGTGCTCACCAATATGACCTCGGGTGGTACGATGCCTTCGGAAATTGGAAAACCCAGTGGTGATACTATGTTTGTTGACAAGCTCCCAGAGGGAATCAATGAAATGAAGATCCAAGATGGCAAGGTGGAAAAGGTTGCTTCTCACAACTAGGATAACTAATTGCCTTCTTTGCTGTCTACTTTTTGCTTCTCTTCAGGACTACATTTTTTACTTGCCATTTTGATGATAGGAAATGGAGGCAACAATGGTGGATGGAAATGGAACTGAAACAGGCCACATCATTGTGACAACTATTGGCGGTAGAAATGGTCAACCCAAACAGGTAAAGTTTGTTGAAGTTGAACTACCTTAAGTCTTTTTGTTCTCTTCTGGTTAGGTTTGAGAATGGAGAAACATCATTCATCTCTAAATGGACTGAGTCATTTTGATTACCTAAAATTATGTGAGCTATGCCAGTAATCCTATAATTTGGCAAAGCTTGTAGGTATTTGGTACCAAAGGGTTGAAGAAAAGTTGTAGGCTTATGGGATTAGAAAGGGCTGGAATTGTCTTGATCACCTACATGCGTTACCAAAAACATGTGATATATTCTCCAGTACTGCTTAGAGAAGGATTTCACACAGCTTCTGCACCCTCCCTGGATGTCTCCTTCAATCATCAAAGAATTTTTACTGTTATTCTGAAGTTGGCATAACTTGGATGGTCACTCCAGGAAATGTATGAAGTGGTTGTGGGAAGAAGTGTGGCTAACGCTAATCTGACACATGAAAGTGATCTTCAAGAAATGGTATATGGTGTGGATAGGCTTCATTCAAAAATGTTGCGCCGTCCCTAAAATCAATAAGAAAAAAGAGCTAGGCAAAATCTACTGTTAACATGTTCTGAGAAGGAGAGAAAGGGTTTCGTTTTGTTGGCTATTTTAGAGGAAAACACTCATATTGGCAATCCTAATACACATAAATGAATTGATTTGATCTTACAGGTGGTAAGTTTGAGGGGTGTGGACATGAGTACCTGCTGGCTTTCTGTGCCTAGGTTAGGTTTTATTAGAGTTTGGTATTGAAGAGTGGGAATAGAGCTAGGGGCTGTTCAAGAGCTGTGAAAAAAAATTGTGAAACTTCTACACAGAAGAGGAAGAAAAGAAAGAGCTGAATTGGGAATATAACTTAAAGAGGAATAGAGGATTTTAGAAGTTGCCCTTCCAAGAATTAACTACAGCATATAAACATAACGTCAGGCTTTTCCAAGTCAGACTCTCTATAAACTAAAAATATATTTGAAGAAAAAAACTGAAATACAGAGACTACTTCACCTATTTATGGGTTTCTTAAGTTCTTGCCCTTTTACTAGGACTAAGGTGTTCCTTAAGTTACTCTGGCCACTCATATGAGGACCCAATAACACTATTGGACCCATGTTTAGATTCTTGAACCTTAACTACCACTCATGTCCAACCAATTGTACTATTGTCAAAATTACAATGGCACAGACATTTGGATCAAAAGGCTTATTGATTGTTGCAGGCCCATTTCCTTTGTTTCAGGCTTCCACAGCTTATAACATTTGTTCATCGAATTAATAGCTATGACACCATGATTAGTGTTGGTCATTAACAGGAACTTGTAATGTGCAAATAATGAACATCCAGTAACAATCTTTCTTGGATTCAACTCACTTGTTGAATGATATTGCATATGAGAAGCACGCCGAGCTTGTTAATAGCTAGAACATGTACTATACTTTTGTAGAGATTCCATAAAGGCTTTTAGTCTGCTGTTTAGTCTCATCTGCCATCCATGGTCATCTGTCTCAAGTTTTTTTTCCCCTGATTACCTGTTAAATGTACGTCATATATGCACATATATACATTCAACACTATTGATAAAGCATATACTTTGCTTGGAAAATATAATTTTTCTATTTGACAGTGTACAACTTCTTGACAAATAATATATGTTTTCCATTTGTAATCAGACAATAAGCTATATGGCAGAGCGCACTGTTGGGCAGGGTTCATTTGGAATTGTATTTCAGGTGATACTTTATGTACATTTTTCTGAACTATCAATATAACTGATAATTTAGTTGCTTTTAACAAGGCTATCATGTGAAGCACCATTTACAACAATAGATACAACCTTCCGTTAAAGCAAAGTTGTTTTGCAGGCTAAATGCCTGGAAACTGGGGAAACTGTTGCAATCAAAAAGGTCTTGCAGGATAAGAGATATAAGAACCGTGAATTGCAAACAATGCGCCTTCTTGATCACCCCAATGTAGTCTCACTCAAGCACTGCTTCTTTTCAACTACAGACAAAGATGAACTCTATCTCAATTTGGTTCTAGAATATGTTCCTGAGACTGTTTATCGGGTATCACGACACTACAGCAAGGCAAATCAGCGAATGCCCATGATATATGTCAAACTCTACACATATCAGGTCTGACATTTAGCATCAAGTAGATCTATATTTTCACCATTTTCTGAAGTGGCATTTTGTACAAAGTCTGATCCACAAGTAACAACTTAAGGTGTTTAGCATCTGCCCATATGCATTTCAATATTATTACTTATTTATATATCTCGAGCTTTTTCCAAAAATATTATTTGCACTAGTCAAAGACATGATGTTGATTATGTTCCTTGGGACAAACCTTTGTTGAGTTGAGTTTGAGTTGAGGGATTTAGTTCCTCTGAATTGTTATATATGTGTCTAGTCACATGCAGATTTTGGTTTTATGGTGTTTCGGTTTCTTTCCTTGCACAATTTGAGTTGTTTGAATAGAACCGAGCACTGAGAAGTACCTAATATACATGATACGACATTTGTCGTACCTAAATTCTGCGAGTTTAAGTTCTATTGCAGTATGATGTGTTAGGTAGTGATGAAGAGGATATGTCGTCAACTTTCATTCACATCCTATGATGATTGTTGTGTTTTATGGTGACTGTTGAATTTGGCAGATTTTTAGAGCTTTGGCATATATTCATGGTATAGGAGTCTGCCACAGGGACATAAAGCCGCAAAACCTACTGGTTTGTATTTAAAAGCTTAGGTGACGTCACATATTATGATCGACTGTTATTGACCAATACAATCTGTTGTTGCAGGTTAATCCTCACACTCATCAGCTCAAACTGTGTGATTTTGGAAGTGCGAAAGCTCTGGTATGTGATATCTCCTTGGACATGACTTATTCTTAGAACTTGATATTCCTTAAATTATGTTTGTTGGCATATTTCTGATTGGAGAGCTCAATATCTCCCTTAAGCTGCCAAATTGATGAATTAGTTGATAGTATATCTTTCTCTTGCAAATCACGTTGTTGAGGCTTATATGTTATTTGGTATTTGGTTTCTCCTTCATTATTTCATTCCGGATCTGGCTACTTTCAAGTTCCTTTTCTATACTGCATAATAGATTCATTACTACGACAGGTTAAAGGGGAGCCAAATATCTCATATATTTGTTCTCGTTATTACCGTGCTCCTGAACTCATATTTGGAGCAACCGAGTACACAACTGCAATTGATATATGGTCTGTGGGTTGCGTCCTTGCTGAATTGCTTCTTGGCCAGGTTCTTACAAGCCCAAAACTTTCTATATTATAATCTGGAAAAGATATTGGAGAATGAGGGGTTATTAACATTGATGTTTTTCTTAAAATTTTCATTTGGACGTTCCAAACTTGGTAGCCTCTCTTTCCAGGCGAGAGTGGAGTGGATCAGCTTGTCGAAATAATCAAGGTGACTTCCTATGCCTCCTGCATGAATAAGAGTGTCTCAATTCTGAAACTTCAGCATCTTACTTTTGCAATCAAAGCTAAACAACATATCGGGGAAAAAAAAACTGAAATAGCTGATCATCTCTTCTTTCATTCTTTTTTCTAGGTGCTAGGGACACCAACTCGTGAGGAGATCAAATGTATGAATCCAAACTATACAGAGTTCAAATTCCCACAAATCAAGGCTCATCCCTGGCACAAAGTGAGAAAAAATGTGGTTTCTTTGCTGACCTTTTCTCTTTTTTTTGGGAAAAACAAAAAACTGACACTAGTGTCGTTTATGTAAACGTGTGAAATTACTTAGCACCCTATTCTTGTTGTGGGCAGATATTTCACAAGCGGATGCCCCCTGAAGCTGTAGATCTTGTATCAAGACTTCTTCAATACTCTCCAAACTTAAGGTGCAGTGCGGTGAGTACATCCTAGCAAATTTTTTAATGTCAATGAAGAAATGGATCTATCTTTTCCTCTTTTCGAGTTTGCCTCTAATTTTGTTCAAATAAGTGCACCTGCCGTCTTTACATCTTGCCTTCTTACAAGTCATGGGGTTTATCCATCTTGATCACTACTGTACCAGGACATTTGTATGACCTATGGATATCAGTTTTACATTGTTTTACATGGCATTTGACGGCAAAAGCCATCCTCTTCCAGAAAAAGCAAGCTAATATTTACATGAGTCTGTTGAAAATGGGCATTTGCGGAACATCTACATTGCTATTTTATGGTAGATCAAATTGCTGGTTATTGTAACTCTATTGATTGGTGTCCCTTGCTTTTTGTTTGGTTGCAGTTGGATGCCTGTATCCACCCATTTTTTGATGAACTTCGTGATCCTAATACCCGACTACCAAATGGCCGTCCCTTGCCACCTCTTTTCAACTTCAAACCTCAAGGTTCGTTTTCATCCATTTAGTTTCATTGTTACTTTGTGCCCCTCTAATTACCTCTGTTGCATACTTGGGTTTCGAATGACAATTCTGTGTTTGCAGAGCTGAAAGGATCGTCTCTGGAGCTCCTGTCAAACTTGATACCAGAACATGCTCGGAAACAATGCCCCTTCCTTGGTTTTTAGGGTGTAACATTATTGTTCATATCTATTGACTGATTTGTGGTGTAACATTATTGTTTCTTTGTTGACTGGAGACTATGGGCACCGTCTCTATGTTGTATTGATTTCTCACAAAAACAAATGTTTGATGGACTTTATTGGTTCTTCTTTTAGTTTCTGTTGCCAACATCGTGTCGACTCAAAGTCCAGTGATTATCTCTATAATGGTATATTTTATTTTGGATATGTACAATCGCTCTTGCGATCTAGATAGATCCAAAAATGGAATTGGAACTTGATAGGTCTCGCAGCAACTAAGCTAAGGGCAGATTTCACAAATGGCTACTGCATCAAAGGTAAAGTACAAAAAACTTTGAAATCTATAATTGCTTCGGCAGTAACAGGAATTTCTGGTTTATATATGGTGATGTACACAAGAATAACCAGAGATGAAGAAAAGGAAACTGGGAGTTGCAATTCAGATCCCTTGTATAGTGGTTGGTGGGCATCGAGAGAAAAATATATTAGAAGAAATCTAAATCCTATTTTGTTGGTTCTGCAAATAATCCTCCACATCTCCTCAGTAATCCATTATTCACTTCCAACACAAACAATACATAAGTTAGTGGGTTAAATTATAGTATTGAAAAATAATTTTTTAATATCATATCTTCTGTTTCCTTCCAATGAAATCTTGTTATGTGTACATATTATTTATTTTATTTTAATTTATTATTTTTACAATTAATAATCAAAGATAAATTAATAAAATAAAAGTTTAAAGTTATTTAAAGATATAATAATGAAAAATAATTTTTCGATCCCACAACAATATTTTAATCTAGTGGGCCAAGCACTAAGAGACAAACTTAAAGGACCAAAATGTCAGTCTTATCATCAATTATGACTTTACCCTTTATATACTCGAGAGTACAATAATTTGCCTACTCATGCCCCAATGTCTCTAGGGTTAGGGGTGATAATTTTTTAAAAAACATAAAAGATACGATTTAAAATTGACACAAAATTAATAAATTAGAATTGATAATTTTTAACACAAATCGTATATAATACGGTCCGTTAACAAAAATAATAAATAGATTAAATTAATATCAAACAGAATTAACATGAAAATAACAGGATTAATATATTTAAATAATATTATAAAAATAAAAATATTATATATTTTATCAAGACCTAATTTTTAGATATCCATCAATTACTTACTGTATGACACAGCAAATAAGCTCTTCTCAAAATAAAAATGCACAGAAAACATATGGAACGTCTTCAATTACGCCCTTCTCAAAATAATATAATATTCCACGGAAAACTATCTGTATGACGTGTCGCGAGTGGAATTAGGTTTTTCCACCGTGGCGCGCATCTTTTTTGTATTGTTTTTTTCATTTTACTGTACCCTTCTGCACAAAATTTCCGGACAAAGACGCTTTCCCGTACTCGCACTCGTCAGTGCGATTCTTTGGTCCCAAAGCTTCCTTCAATTTCACGAGCGCCCTCCCTCTCTCTCCCTCTCAGCTACGAGAATCTTTCTCTCTCTCTCACAGCTACGAGAATCGTTTTCTCCCTCTTTATTTATATTTATTTGTTGCTTTTTTTTTTCCTCTTTTCACCTCTTCTGTGTTTCTTCGTCATCGTTTTGAAGATTTTGCTTTGTATATCTTCGGTTGTAAATCGAAATCCACCAGTTTTCGGGCGAAGGAATTTTTTTTGTTCCTTTTTTCTTACAGGAGAGAAGTACATTTCCGATGCTATTGAAGGTAGCGTCCTGATCAAAGTGATTCTTATCTTGTCAGGTAATTAGCATATGTATTAGTTGAATTTGTCCTGAAATTGTACCTTAATTGTGTTAAATTCGTCATTAGTGTTAAATACAAATGTTTTAATGATTGGCTGAAAATTATTAATGTTAGCCAAGGGACTAGGAGTGTTTTTGGTGAGTTTGTGCAGGTTTACAGAAATCCAGATTGGGTAATTTTGTGGAGTGTTTGTAGGGGAAAGCTTGGGGCTGCCATGGGCTATGTTGTAGAATTTTCAGGTTATCTTGGTTTGATTGGGTGAAGCGCGAGCATCTATTGAGGAGGTTGTTTGGGAAATCTCCTTATTTGAATCTGCCATTTCAACCATCTTCATATTTGGGGGTTCAATTCCTTCCTGGTTTCAGATTTCCTGTTCATACACCTGCCATAGTTTTTCTGTTTGCATGGCCAATTTTTTTTTGCATTATAGTAAAGAATATGTCTGAAAGAATTGGTGACGGAACTTACATTCGTTGCCTTTGATATTCTTAATCACTGTTGCTTATTTTGCCAAATGAACTACGTCAATATGATTATTGATTCTTTCTTTTTGTTGAACAGCTTGGGAACCTTTGTTCGGCTTACTAGAGGTTGCTGAGAAATGGTATTCCTTTCTTTTTCATGCAATTTCATATCATTAATACCAATGTTGTGATGTAATCACAACACGGCTTAGTTGAGTTGAGTTGAGTTGTAGAACCTATGTTGTGATGTCACTTCTTTCATAACACACTTATAGTTTCTACTGCACTAGACTATTTTTATTTTAACTAGTTGGTTCCCATGTACGTTGTACGTGGACCATTTTGTTTGAATTATAATTTTAGTTTTTATTTTTTAATTTTTACTCGCATTATCTCTATATTTGTAGTTTTATGTATACATAAAATAAGTGTGAAGTTACAAAGTAAAAGAGACAATATGTAAAATAAATGTATCAGGTCGTTGATTTGATTACTTATTAGTTGTTTATAAAATTTATGTTTCAAATATTTTACTTTTACCATGGTGTGAGCAACACTTAGCAGAATTCTCATCAAGAATATTGACTTTGGATTGAAAAAAATTACCATCTTACAATAAATATTTGACAATTGAAGATCAAAAAATGAATTAAAACTCGATAGAAATGAATAAAAATATAATTAATAAGTAGAATTTGTGTATAGTTGCAAAAATTAATCTCATGCACCAAGATCATGGCAAATCAAATTTCTAAATTAAAATTGAGAAGTAAATAAATAAAAAAAATTGAATCTAAATAGGGAATAAGACATATCACATTCTCTTAAAGTCCTAGATTACACTTAGATTAAATCATCAAAGCAATAGTTGATAGTACTGATAAAAAAAAAAATCATATAAATAACCAAGAATTATTGCACTTTGAGCTTATCATCTTCAATATCGTTTATAGTCTTACTTTCATAAGATTTATGACAACCTGCAAAGAAAATAAAAATAAAAACAAAACACATAAATGGAGGGAGCTATGAAAGTTATAAAGAAAAATAAAAATACCTATAACTTCTATTATTTAAAGAGAGAATATTTCTCTACTTGTGGTAAGTGAGAATTTGGAAGAAGAGCATGTTATTCTTATATTGTTTTTTAATTTTCTCTAGTATTACGAATATGAAAGGTCTTCTTATATATAATGTTATGTATTCATTGCACTTATAATTACAAATATTTATTCTTAGAAAGGGAAGGGGATAAGAGTTAAAGTAGTAAGTAGGATATAATTGTCTTTATATGATTAAGAAGGGGTAGAATAGGAAATCAAAAGTTTTCTCATTAGCTTCCTTTTATTAGTAGTATAGATATAGATTAATTAGGAACATTCAAGTGAAAACTGTTAATGTTATGTGTTTCAATTATATGTTTTTGGTTTGTTTGTTCTGTTTTGTTTTTATTTTTGTAGGATGGAAATGCTTCTTGTGAAGACGTTGATAACATTGACTGGGATACCGAAGATGAACTAGAAATTCAGGATATTCCTGTTTCATCTTGTTCAAGGTTGACGCCGCCTGGTGAAGAATCTGTTGCTGGCACGGGGGAGGTAAGTGTTTATAGTTAACTAAGGCTATGGTTACTCTCCTTCTCAATTGCGGACTATTGTGATTACAACAAAGATAGAGAAGTAAAGTCTTGTACATTACTTCCCTTCAATGAGTTATTTTCACTTTTTGAAAGGTTATGAGATTGTGAAAAAATAGTATTATATCAACTTGCAGCAGAATCATGGTTGACAAGAAAATTGCATTCTAAGAGATTTTTATCCAGGCTGGTCATATAATTTTATCAGTGGGACCATTGACTGGTGAAGTGAGAAAAGTGTTGGGCTAACAAACTATAAGGTTGCGGGTTTGAATTTGGGAGCAACCACTTTGTGCAATTAGTGCTAAATTTTTAAGGTCTGTTTGCCCCACCCCTTGAACACCTCTATTAACGGCGATCAAACTAGATGATCCATTCATTAGTACAACCATCACCTGCACATCCAATTTGCATAATTTATTTGACTGCCTCATAAATCTCCTACAATTTTGCAATATCGATTTGGAGTCATTACATTGCTTACTTATTTATCTTTGCCCCAAATCCTCGAAGGGAAGGAGCATGGACGCTGCTGTTTTTTATTTGGGGGTGGGGGAGGACCGAGGATCCATCTTTACAAACTAGAAACACTTATATACAAAGGGCTAGGGCATCCAAGCTGATGTAACCTATATTTACACATATATTCATATGGATGTTTGTAATACATTAGAAGCATGTGGTTATTTTCTGCAGTTCATTTAACAATTTGTTTGACTCCTTCCTTTTGGTTTCCTTCACATGCATTCTTCTCTCTTTTCTTTGTGCAATAAGAAATATAGTTCATATTTACTAATTCATTCAACTGTGACATCTACAGGCAAGCTCATCAGTAGATCCTTCTTCCCACTCCAAGTTGGTTCATCATTTCATAGGGATGGGGTTTTCTGAAAAATTGGTTACAAAAGCAATTGAGGAGAATGGTAGTTGCACTGTTTGTTCTTTCAAAAGAGAGTTTTGACCTAAGAAGCACGTATATGGATACGACGATACGCGAAAATCTTTAAAAGCAGAATACAAATACGACTAGGATATGTCTATATATATATATGGATTAGGAGATAAAAAATGTTCCAAACTTAAACAATTCATGTTACTGGCAAAGAAACTGCACAATAGTGTTTTGAATCCAATGTTCTATGTAGTCACTTGTGTCATCCTTCGAGAGTTGGTTTTGACGTAAGCCATAAAAACTAATTATTCAACCCAAACAAGTTGTAAAGAATTCTCAAAATTTCAGCCCAACACCGCTCTTTCTAGGGTGCAGGAACCTACTTATCAAACGGTTCTCCATAGGAGGTCTGTAAGGAGTTTCCAATGAGCCACTTTTTCCCTGAATCTATAATGAACACAAACGTATACTACTAGGCCATTGAGCACATTGATTAACTCAAATCTACACAGTCCACCACATTAAGTATAAGGAGCATGTATCCACCTTGAAGGTATACGTATTCGAGGTGTATCAACAAGTATCCAACAATGATAAGTATTTTATTAAGTATTGAATGCATACGGAAGGTATTCGATATACATTTTTGAGTATTTATCTAGTATCAGTATCGGATACCGGATATGTCAACCCAATCGAAGTATCTGTGCTTCTTAGGTTTTGACCTTGAAAGCTTGGTTGATGACTATATTCTAATACACGTGCAGGACAAGGCAATACAGAATCAATTCTAGAAACTCTCCTGACATACTCGGTAAGTCTCACACATTTTGAGACACTTTCCTGTAGCTTTTTCCTTCACCGCTTAAGCCCTTTGATACTCATCGGTGCTTTGTGAATGAAAACTAGGTCAAGCTGGGGGAAAACAAAACTGTTATTTTAATAGATCAGATGATAATATGTCTTTGGTTCATTGTTGCATACTTGAATCTGTTTTGGTCATAATGTTTGTCTCTTATCTGTTCTTGAACTACAATTCTTCAGTTTTTATAGTATAATAATATAATTTTCAATTTATGTGTGATGGTAGGAGCATTGAATCTTTTGTGTTTAACCGATCAGGCGAAGCTTGTTGGAAGTTGCATATACAGCTATTTGTCTTTTTTGTGTCCTTATACAATAATTTAAAAACAGTTTTTTCATATCCATTGTAACCTTAAAATATCGTCTTCCAGTGACGGGTGGTAATAGGAATTATAATTTTCACATTTAGGGGCACTGAATGAGGTAGTTTGGAATATATTATTGCTTTGGTGAAGCGTTTTAACTGTATTATATTTAAATGTTGCCTTAAATATGTCCTGATACTATAATTAAAAGAATTAGAAGGGACTAATTTTTTATTGTAGGACTAAGATACCTTCTTCTATTCATGTTTGATGGTCAGAATAAACCTTTTGAAGTTGGAAGGGGCGTTGAATCTCTTATTTGCCTGATATGAAAGCATGCGGTTACTGTGATGCTATAACTGGCTGAACAATACTTAACATAATGTATGTTGTATCCAGTGTTTTGGTTTACAATTGTGGGTAAGTATGAGTGATTGGTACAGAGAGGCAGCTTCTATCGAAGAGTTCCTTGTAATATGTTTCAGGACTCTGATATTGTGCTGTTAAATAGGCCAATGACCACACTTTTGATATCGCCTGAAGCAAGGCCAGTCAATCCTTTCTGAGAGCTTATGTTGCGCGAGTTCTTACTGCAGGAATGTTTGCCTTGCATGTGTGGGCAACCATCTAGTTAGAAGATGGAAAGACCAGCTGCACCACTTAATTTTGTCCCACAGGTTTCCTCATTGTTGTGCTTTTGCCATCTCTATCATGAATGGTTTTAGGTGATGTGAGAAATATATTCAAGTTCCTGATTGCATCTCATGGGTATTTTCAAGCTGTATTAGAGTTATATTGTTAGTTTGTCTACTCAAGTTGGAAAGCTTTCGAAACCAGATGGTTGAATGGTTTTACACCTGGTTTACCTTCATGATGCCTAGAATTCTTTATCCCTCGACTTCTTTGTGACTTTTTAAAATGTTGAACCCCAATTTATTGTGGACCTACAGTGAATAACATGATAAAGTAGGAGGGGTATTACTTTTGCTAGCTGAAAAGCAGTTATGCTTCCCGTTCATCTTCTTGGTAATTTATACAAGGACGTCGAAAATAAGATTGAGCTGGAATTTTTTAGGGTAGACCATTTGTAATGTTATTTTAAGCAATTGGATGCTAATATTGGGAATGAGTTCCTGTTGTTATTTTTTAGCATACAATATTACCCATCACATGAAACATCTATGTTGTTTTCTCAATCCTAGAACAAGCAAATGAGGTGATTGTTCACTAGAATGCGAGATTTGAGAGCACAGTATTTTTGGTATAGTATGTGTTTAGCATCACAACTCTATGCCCAAGTATGAGACATACGTGTTATGCATATGCAGGTTGTGTACTCCCTATGCCTCTTCTGTTGGTTATATATATTATAAAAAATGTGTAAGCATGATACTTATAAACTGGTTCAGATCTTCACCAACTTCCAGTCTGCTTATGCTTATGTGTCTTCATTGTTATCCTCTTGTGCTTTTGTTGGTCCATTAACTCATTGTAACTGTTAAAAATGCTTCCAAAGATACATTAGTACCTGCCAAGATACTTAACCTTTCACTTGGTGATTCAGTTAGCATTAATTTGGATTTTATTTTTCCTACGTTGAGAGTTTGCATTTTTATTTTCCTTTACGTTAAATACATGTTTGCAGGCTCTTGAAGATTCTCCTCAACAACAGCAATGCGTTAATTCAGACAAGAGCTCTCCAGAATACGATGAGAGCTTTCTGGATGATCTTTCCGATACAGATAGTTGGGCTGAAAATGAGTTAGCTGTATGTAATGTTTGACCACTTTGATCATTTAAAGTACCCTTCTGCTATTATCTAACAGTTAGCAAAATTCAAATTCGACTACTATTACTGTCTTAGGCCTATGGGCACAGATATAAGCAAAATATAGCAAATTGTTAGAAGTTGTATGGCCACTGGATGTTCATTATGCAATTTGTCAGGATCTATTGCATACAATTGTACTGATACTAGTGTACTTTACATACATCTATTTTGACAGTTTACTGCTGAATTTGAATATTTGGAAGTGAATGATATGTAGAGATCATACGTGCTTATTTATCCATTGATTTCTAGTCACTTGACAACATGTTGAACATCAGTAAATTGTTGAACTCAACAAAATTTATCATGAGTAGCAATGATTTTATCTTGATATTTTGGGTAGAGTCATATGTTGCTGTGAGAGATAGATTCATACTAGTGTACTTTACATACATCTATTTTGACAGTTTACTGCTGAATTTGAATATTTGGAAGTGAATGATCTGTAGAGATCATACGTGCTTATTTATCCATTGATTCTAGTCACTTGACGACATGTTGAACATCAGCAAATTGTTGTACTCGACAAAATTTATCATGAGTAGCAATGATTTTATCTTGATATTTTGGGTAGAGTCATATGTTGCTGTGAGAGCAAATATATATATATATATATATAGAGAGAGAGAGAGAGAGAGACCATAGGATTAAAGAAGCACAAAGATTGAGAAAGAGAAAGGGAGATAGAGAGAGAAGAGACCAAATTTCTGAACGCCCTCTTCCCAGGCCCATGGGGAACTCTAAACACCTCACCCTAGAAGGATCTCTCAGCCCCTCACCCGAGGTTCAGATGGAAACATGTATAAGCCTTTGAAAGGGAAAAACAATGGTACTCTGATTTTGAATCTCTAAGTCTCTGCAAGTCACTGACAAATATTTTATGCTTTGTATGGATGCATGTTGGAATGTAATTGCTGACTTGCCTCTATGCATCAACCAATTTTTCAGAAAGAAATCAGCATCACTGTTCATCAATTCATATCTTGGAAGCTAATATCTAACGGGAGTATTCCCTTAGGCTTTCAAGGCCCAGGATTTTTACCTGTTTGTATCTTGTAGAATCTAATACAGATTTCCCTTGGATGAGTATACTGCCTGGTTTCTTTATGTAGAAATTAGTGTTAAAAATTGGTTTTTCTTGCAGGAAAATATGAATTCATTATCTGACAAAGATAGAACACTGTTGTCCCTGGTAAATATGGGATACACAGTTGAAGAAGCTTCCATCGCCATGGATAGATGTGGTGCGTATATCATAATATGTGGCAATACTTTAATATGTTGCTGTGCACATTATTGTATTGTAAGTTTGGATTCAAAGTGGAGAAGTCAAGTATTATTTTATTGCGGAAAGGGTAACTCTTTGGAGTAGAGGTGTAACATGAGCCAAGCCAATTAGTAGCTTGAAAATTTAAACAAGCTAAGAACGATCTCGGACGAGGCTTCATTTACTCGATCTCAAGTTGAGCTTGAGTAGCTTGACTATCTAGATCTATTTATGCTTTAGATGCTGATTAGCTAATTAATCCCAAGGTGTTATTTATAGTCATGGTCAATCTATTTGTGGCCAATGACATCGTTATTAGAATTAAACTGATCCGATTGACCTAACCTGCTAACCAACAAGACCATGGCCCTTTAGATGGAAGCTCACAAGAGTGACTCGATAATATAACAGAATCTTATAATTGGATAGAAAATAACAAGCCCCCATTAAACAAAAGGTAACTATCGTATATGGCCCTCGAACTATTCCTTCATTCTCCCTCAACCTTCAATTGTTTGAATTAGTTCTTAAACTATGAAAAGCTTAGAAATCAGCCTGTTAAACTTTTGCTTTTATTATTTTTCAATTTGTTTTAACGTTTGAATTGGATGGAAGGGACCGATTGCTATGCTTTACATAATTTGAGGACTAACTTGAGAGATGTATGAAGTCGAGAGGGTATGTTAAATTGGAGGAAACAGGAGTTGCCATTTAGGGGAGAAGTTAGGAACTGTTTCACAACTTCGTATGTAAAAGAGGTTGGCCAATCATCATTGAAGATCTTGGTTTGAGGTTATAGTACAAGGTGCGGAGAGGGCATAACAGTTTACCCATCTCATCCTTTCAAAGTATTTTTAGGGCTTTAGGTTTAGTGAGCTTGGTCGTGCATCAAAAGCCTCTAGAAAATAACCTCAATCCGGTGGAAGTCAATATACTTGATTTCATTCAACAAGGGCTCATAGGTAGGGCTCCTAAGTTAAATGATTGGTAAAAAATAAGGTGTCTAAAGTAATGTATTTGGACATTTCCTTGTTTCTTTTTTTTCCCCTTTTCTTTGTCATTCTTCCCTTGGTTATTTTTTTCTTCCTTTTAGTCTGGCTTTTACTTAATATCTTAAGGTTGGTATGAGGTATTGCGTTAATTACTTCTTCTCTCATTGCTTTTGTCCTTAATATCTTGTAAGTTATTACTTATTAGTATTTCAAGGGAAGTATATAACCAATTATACATCTATGAAGTTACTGGCAATGCTATCGGAATCTGATGGATTGCTTTAGGGTGTGGAAGTCTCAGTTGTGAAAATATATCCAAATTTTCTTGAAGTAATATGTAACCTTCACTTGATGTCATGTGCTAAAAATGACGTAACTATTCACCAGGCTTCTGCCTATTGGGGGATCTGGGTAAGTTATTGCTCCTATTTACGGTTCTTGGTTTCTGGCTGGATATTTTATGTTTGCTTCTCTATCCTATCCTCATAATGCCTCCTCTACACACTGCAGGTCCAGAAGCCTCGATTGAAGAATTAACTGATTTTATATGTGCTGCTCAAGTGTCAAAGGAAGCGGATGCTTATCTACAAGAACTACCCTGTGAGGCCAAGGTACTTTCTTCTCCTCGTCTTAGGAAGTTAGAAAAAAAATTGTGAAAGATCTTATAGCTTGTTTCTCAATTACTATTGCCAATACATCAAATTCCATTTTACAGATTCTATTAATATTTATGATCAGTTTACCTCTACTTTGTCATTCTTCCTCTATATTCACAGCCAAAGCCAAATATATTCAGTGGCAATGGTAAACACAAGAGGAAATTTTATGAGCATGAGTTGTGGAGAAAGAAAAAGCAGAAGGGGTATCAAAACACAGCGCTGGATGAAGACACTGAGATGATTCGTCTTCCCATACCAATGATAGGGTTTGGAGTCCCTACAGAACCATGTCCATTAATTCACAGAACTCTTCCAGAAGCAGCCATTGGTCCTCCGTACTTCTATTATGAGAATGTGGCACTAGCTCCCAAAGGAGTTTGGGATACCATTAAAAGATTCTTATATGATGTTGACCCAGAGTTTGTTGATTCAAAGTTCTTCTGTGCAACTGCAAGGAAAAGAGGCTATATTCACAATCTCCCAATCAAAAATAGATTTCCTCTTCTTCCACTACCCCCACAGACAATACATGAAGCATTACCATTAACAAGGAAATGGTGGCCCTCATGGGATCAACGAACACATTTGAATTGTTTGCAAACTTGCATTTGTAGTGCAAAACTGACTGAGAGGATTCGCAAGTCTCTTGAACCATGGGATGGTGAGCCACCAATGCATGTGCAAAATTATGTCCTTCATGAATGTCGTAAATGGAATCTAGTTTGGGTGGGGAGGAACAAGGTTGCACCTCTAGAGGCTGATGAAGTGGAAATGCTTCTAGGGTTTCCAAGGAACCATACAAGGGGAGGTGGTATAAGTAGGACTGACAGGTATAAATCACTCGGGAATTCATTCCAGGTGAGCAACTATCTTTTCTTCTCTTTTATTGTTCTTTTTCTGTTTTTCATTTTTTGGGTCAAACTGATCTCTCTATTTCTCACCACTCTTGTTGGGTTAAACCATAATATTTATGTGAGTTGTTATTGGTGATAATGCAATATATGTGATTTTACTTATGTAACTTTTTTTCCATTATTTTTCCAAATTTTTTTAGGAAAAAAAATAAGTTGCCATCGTTCAAGTCATTTTCTGTTGCAGTTAGCCTAATCTCGAAGTGGTTATTTCCTAATTCTTCTCAGGTCGACACAGTGGCTTATCATCTCTCTGTGTTGAAGGACATATTCCCGGGTGGCATCAACGTTTTATCACTTTTTTCAGGGATTGGTGGTGCGGAAGTTGCTCTTCACCGGCTTGGTGTCCCCCTTAAGACTGTGGTATCAGTCGAGATATCTGAGGTTAATAGAAACATCGTCCGAAGTTGGTGGGAGCAGACCAATCAAAAAGGAACTCTGATTGATATGACTGATGTACAAGAGTTAAATGGCGACCGGCTAGAGCAGCTAATCGGTACATTTGGGGGCTTTGACTTGGTGATTGGTGGCAGCCCATGCAATAACCTTGCAGGCAGCAACCGGCATAGCAGGGATGGATTGGAGGGTAAAGAATCTTCACTTTTTTTCGATTATTTTCGTATTCTAGACCTGGTCAAGTGTATAATGGGTAGCAAACAATAATTTTCATTAGTAGGGCCATTTTTTCCAATCCTATTTGTTTCAAATTTCTTAGGTCCTCTTGACATTTAAAGGCTGTTAATGACTTATCCAAGTTCCATTCCTTGTCAAAGAAAACTGAATTCTTGAAAAAGGTGTTGGGTGCTGTTTTTTATTATATATACTGGGAGTAACCTGTGTTTGAAGGTACGGTATAATATGAATGATTTAAAAGAGATGTATATAAAATGTAAAACATGACAGACTTTCAATAAATTCTATCTGACGGTCTTAAATAGGTTTATTTAATGACCACTAACATACTGTACGTAATTATCTATTACTTATCTTCTGTTATTCAACTGCCCAAGTGATCCGTGCGGGTTAGTATGCTTTTATCATCCGTTGCTACTGAGCTGATCTGAACCACTTATGATGAGCTGCTTCTCTAGCTGTTGCTTTAGCTCTAGCCCCAAGGAACTTTGCCAAGGTTTTGAAGCTTTTTAGTAGCCAAATGCTTGTCGGCACTGCTGCCACATTCTGTAGATGAAGTATTCTATGTTACACCGGCAGCCTGCGCTTGGGGTTGCCTTGCCTGTCCGGATCAATTGAACCAACCTAGAAAATTCAGGGTTTGGGCTAGATTATTTGGCCGAAGCGATAGGCTTGTGCTCATTTTTTGGCCCGAACGAGATCTGGGTTGAGTCTGGATTATGATAAAAATAAATAACCTAACCTGGTCTAACTAGGAAATATATACAACTTAAATTTACCCCAACCAAACATAAGTTCATCTCGAAAGAAAAAACGAAGGATTTGTCTATGCGTTCTACCAAGCATTTCTGGTCCATATTCTTTTGACGTGTTAGGGGTGGGCAGATGGGAAGGATAGGTTTGAAGCTTTTTATCGTTTCCAATCTAACATTGCCAGTCGTATTGCCTTGAAAAAGGGTATATTCCTAAGTTATTACATGAGCCAAAGCAGTAAGAGCAACCTCTAATGAGACTAAAGTACCCTCCCTTGTGCATGGCAGTTGTTGCTGCAAGAAGAACAATAAGACTTCAAACCCTGCAGAGGAAACAATTAAAACTGAAATTAACATAATTCTAAAGGGGATCAACCGATCAAGGCCATACCATCACAGCCACCAATGTGCTTGCCACCAATAAACACATTAGGCACAGTCCGCTGTCCAGTCAACTGAGCAAGCGCTGATTGAATCTCACTCCCATCACCTTCAAAAAATGAAAACCTATGCCAGTTGTTAGTTTTGTTTCAGTAAATAAGTATGATTCAATTAACCGAAACAAATGACATTTATACAAGATATACCACCAGCTAGATACAAAAGTGACTCCACACACACACACAAAAAAAAAAAAAAAAAAGGTATGAAACCGGACAGGTTCATTTGTGACAGAGTAGTATGCATCCTTGGGATAATTATCAATATCTCTGCCTATCAAATGAGATTAGGAGGATGCCTTTTTTAAAGAGCCAGCCTCACAATTACCTTAGTCATTCTCTTATACAATGTAGTTTCTATAGCAATGGGCTTCCGCTCTTCTAATCTAAACGGGCAAAAGACTTGCTATCCACTAATTATTACTTAATGCTGCTTTTATATTGAAAATTTTGCGCACCCACACATACACAAATGGTTCAGCATGTCAACAAGGAAAAATGATGAATAATACAAGTCAATGATCATTTTTCTTTAATGCAGGACAAATCTACCTTCGTTAACCCTAACTATTTGGTGTCGGCTACGACAATTTCCTAGCCTTAGACACATTTGTATATGGACTTCCAAGACTGACAGAAGACATAATTGAACATGTGAGTTACTAGCTTAATAGTGATTTTCTACCAGTCTACCATAATAAAAAAAAAAAAAAAAAAAGTTTTGCACTGGCTGCCATTTTCTGTGATGGATGGACGTGAAATGATGGATTTCTGCAGACAAATCCATGTTATTACCATTTCACGTCCCAACGCCTATAACAATTTCCATCAAATTCTAATAAATTTCTTTCACTAGGATTTCCACTAAATTCTATATAAACTGAGGCTAGGAAAATAATCACAAAAGAAATTAAAATTGAAGTACAGAGAGAGAGAGAGAGAGAACTGACTTTCGGTGTCTAACTCAATGGCCTTGAAAGAGGCACCGAGCTCAGTGAGCAACTTCTTGACGCTCACACAGTATGAACAATACGATTTGCTGCCAAAAAACCACAGATCCACCCATCGATCCATCAGTCTTTTACAACAAAACAACTGTCAATTACAAAAGAGATAAGATTGGGGGAATTGGACCTGAAGACGACGCCAGGATTGGAGGAAACGACCTCCTTAGCCTTCGGCAGAGCCATCTTTCCTTCCTGTCTCAAGTTCAACTGCGTGAAACCCTAGGCTCACCTCTCTTCCTTATTTCTTTGTGTTTGCTGTTCTCTGCAATCAGACGGAGGAGGAGACACAAAAGACAAAACACACTGCACTTGCTTGAAATTGGTGGGCTGGATCAATAGGATCCATTTCATAGAGAGCGTTGCTTTGGGCTTAAGCCTTCAACTATGACGTTGGGGCCCAACCAGCCAGAAATAATGAAAAAGACCGATAAGTCCTATTTAAATAGGAGTACCAAACAGGCAACTACCCATTACGCCCTATCAATTTCTAGGTGTATATTGGGTTTGGACTTTATTGTATCACATCACAAAATGTTTTATACCCAATACAACCTGATCACCCTTGTCCTTGTATGTAGGCCCTATATCAATAAAGGATCATGAATGCCAATGGGACCAACAATTTGACGATTTTGGTCTTCTTGCGTGGAATTGGAATAAGAGTAATGTTACAAATAATTCACCAAATTTGTGCTCTAAAATTTGTATCAAATCAACTGTAGTTATTGAATTAATAATGAGACCTATTGATCTAACGGTGGCAAGTGATATGATGTAAATTTTGGTGCACATAACATTGCTTTAATGTCATTGGGGTTTAAATTGACTTAATTTATTAATATAATGATATATGAAATGATAAAATTTCAATAAAAACAGCCTAACAACTGCAATCATAATAATATTAATGAACCCCAAAGAGTAGCTCACGTGATAACAGAGACGAGTTATAAATTCAGATATTTTAAATTAAAATCATGGTAAACCCTTTAAAGTCAGACTGTGAATAATTTATTTTTTATGAATACTCTAATTCTGACGTGAATTACCAACTTTTAACCACATCAAAACAAAAAATTAATCAAAATACACGTAAACCGACTTAAACATCACTAACTATTAAAAAAGTCCTATTGAATTGTGTCCGTCACATCACTATTATGGTGTTAATAAAATTACTATTGAAACAGTAGCAGAGGGGCTTTTAGTCCTAACAAAGCGACCATCAGAAAATACTCTCTCTCTCTCTCACACACACACAACCGTACTAATTGCCACAAAGGACTAAAACCACAACTATATATACACTTACCAAATATAACAAACGCACAACGAACTCAGAATGGGAACGTGCAAAAGCCCAAGACGCATCACCCCCTCCCCCTCTCTCTCTCTCCTCTTCTTCTCTTTTTCTTTTCTTCTTCTTTCTATATTATAGAGGGAAAGATACTATTTTAAGCTTCTCTCAAGTCTCATCCCTCAAATTTTCAATTATCTTCCTCATCCCCTGTTCTTATTGTAGGAAGATACTAATTCTCTCTCTCTCTCTCTCTCTGTCTATATATATATATATATATATATTATGGCCACCATTGTTTTATCGTTGCTAATCTTTATCTCTTGTGTGATCTATTCGACAATGGCAAACCCTCGAACAGAGTTAATCCTCAAAAAATGTGGAAAAGGGCATGTGCAAAACATGCCAAAGTACTACGAGAATTATTCGAAAGTCTTGCAATCAATGCAAAGGGAGATGCAGAAGAAAAAGTCTGCTACCGGCGAAGAAGGCAACGTACCTAACCGTGTTTACGTGTTACCGCAGTGCATGAATGACCTTTCCACTGAAGATTGTCACACCTGCTTCTCTAAAATCAATACCTTATTGCCTGGTTGCTTTCCATCAGCCAGTGGTCGTGTCTTTTTCGATGGCTGCTGCATCAGGGTCGACAATTATAGTTTCTTTCATGAATCCACTTCGTCTGATGATACGTCGGTAAATATTTCTTTATATTTTCTTTGTAATTTTAGAATATAAGAATGAGATGGGTTGATATTGTTATTGACTGCTTTCCTTCAATTCTCATTCTTGGAAAACGTAGAACATCTTTTTATGTTTTCAGATACACCAAAAAAAATAAAAAATAAAAAAATTGAGAAAACTAGCCCTAAAGAATTCTCATTTGGTGGTTGTGTCTACAAATTATTTTTTAAGTTTTCGTGTTACCCTTAATCCTTGCAAGAGAAATCAATACAATAATTGTAAGACAATTTTTTATAAGTAACAATGGTGGATCTAGTGGTGGGCAACTGGCCCCATAAGGTTCTAAAACTGCTTTATTTTGAGATATAATTTTTACAGAGATGTTCACAATTTGAAGAAGTTTGCCCCTCCCCCATCAAGCCCATATCCTGGATCCATCACTAGGTTAGGGGAACATTATTTGCTAGATTGGCCTGCATTCACATCTTTGTGTTAATGTTAGATAATTAAATGGTATGCGCCTTTGACTGTGAAACATCCCCCTGTCAATAGTACCACATCAGGTAGCAAGCAATAAATATTATTAGCTTCCTCTTTTATGATTGTAGTTCGAATTTGTCATATCTGGGTATTCTCGATCATGTAACATGTTTATGTGTATACTTTTTCGGGATTAACTGGAAACAGAGATGCAGTGATTCCCAGGATGGTTCGAAGCAATTTTTAAGCATGGCACACATTGTGATTGATAAGTTGGTACACAAGGCACTGGATAACAAAGGCTATACAGTGTGGCATGCGACATCTTATGGTATACCAGTCTATGGTATGGAAAATTGCTGGGAGATGTTGGAATCTAGCTCCTGTGCCTCTTGCCTGGAAGATGCAAAGAAAAGTCTTATAAGGTGCTTGCCAGCAGTAGAGGCGCATTCACTCAATGCTGGCTGCTTTTTGCGTTACTCAGATTATGACTTCATTAACAAGGAAGGTTTATTGTCAAATGAAGGTTAGTTCCGCTAATTATCTAGGAAATGGTGCATAGAATTCGATTGATTAAGAAGTCCAAGGATTGTAATCGAAAAACTGTGGCAAAGCATGCCATTAGTAAAATGATTGAGTGAATCATGATTCATGACCCTCTAATTATCTCTAGGTACCCTGTTATTTGTATACGTTATTATAGACATAAGCATGCTATTTAATAAACTACCCTGCATAACCATTGGCTTTGGTATGTTACTTATTTGTTTGGATCTTCTAAGAGAGCAGCTGTTTGATTATCCTATTTAATTCACTGAATCATTAGTATGAATGGATTTAGGCATTTGGATTCTTCGAACAAGTTATCCTTTATTTTGAAGGGGTTCTTTGAATTAGGATCTTACATTGACATTGAAAGTTTAGTGTGATGTCTTCCTTTTTTTATGGTTTACTTGGTAATTCTTATGCAGATGGGGTTTTTGTATACCTCTTGTATGTTCTTGGTGCAGTTGGCATCTGTTTATTGGCAATCCTCTCAGGATGTTTTTCAGGCAAATTCATCTACACCCTACGCCAAAATAATATAAAGGGTAATACCATGACGAAAAGTAAAATCATCCCAGTTCTATGTATCTCAGTTTTCTGTAAGGTATTGATAATGACTTATTGATCTTTTGAAGGATTGGATATGGACTTAACAGTAATGAAGATGAGCTTTCGTTTCAGATATACAACACTGAAAAAAGCTACTGAAGGCTTCAGTGAAGCCCACAAGATTGATCAAGGAGCATTTGGTGAGGTATTTAAGGTAAGTGCATTCCTTCAAGCTTCTTCTTTGAATTCTGCTTTTCATGTATTATATTGTTCGCTTCTCTGGTTTGAGTGGGGAATCTTGCCAGATGGTAGAGAAATGGCCATAAAACGGTTATTTATAGCAGGCAAGCTTCGAGTTCAGGAGGTCTGCAATGAAGTGGATGTCATTGGTCAAGCCCAACACAAGAACTTAGTTCGCTTCCTTGGTTGTTGCTTTACTGATGAAGACGGTTTCCTTGTCTATGAATTCCTCGCAAACAAAAGCCTTGACCTCATGTTATTTGGTATGCTATCAAAAATAACAGCAAATCTCAATCTCCTCTGAGAATACCAGATATAAGCCATAATCAAATGTCAGCATTAAATACTACACGAATCTAATTAATCACATGCTAAATGATACTTGATGGACTGATTGGTAGTGTTTTCACAATTGGGATGAGCATAAATGAGATTTTTATTACATCTATATGTTGAGTTGAGGCAAGACTTTGTTGAGTTGAGTAGTATATGTTGAATAAATGAGCCAGTTTCTAATGGGATTCTGTAAAATTATCTTATCTTAGATTCAAATGACCCGACTTATTTTATGGTACAGTTGGAAGGTAGACCCAGAAAACAAGAAAGACTTGGATTGGAAGAGAAGGCTCAGAATAATCACAGGAACAGCTGAAGGCTTAGAATACCTTCACAAAGATTGTAAAGTGTGTATTATTCATAGAGATATCAAAGCGAGTAACATCTTACTGGACATGAAATATAGAACAAAAATTGCAGATTTTAATATAGCAAGATTTTACTCAAATGATCAAGTCACTGGTAGCCCTGCAGTTGCAGGCACACAGTAAGTACTTGCTACCATATTCTAATTCTTTGAACGACTCTTTTTGTTTTCAGTTATGTTCCACAGTGATAATTATTTCTGAATTCTTTGTCTATCCATTTTTGAGAACTGACTCTTTTATTGGTTTGATGGCCTAAAGAGGGTACATGGCTCCGGAATACCTTGCTCAAGGACGACTAATTGACAAGGTAGATGTTTATAGCTATGGAGTTCTTGTACTCGAAGTAGTCAGTGGCATGTAAAATAATAAATTTCAGCCAGAAGATTCTCTCAACACGCTAGTTACCGCTGTAAATGTCCAAACTCTTTCTCTAACACATTACACAGACATGCCCGTACACATCTATAATGTTGGAAGTATGCAAGTTCACTCACTTTTTCGTTTTTTTACAGACATGGAAGCATTTTCAAGAAAATAAGTTATCAGAAATTGTGGATAAAAGTATAGAGGTTGAAAATATGGATGAAACCCTAAGAGTAATTCAGATTGGTTTATTGTGTACTCAAGAGTCACCGTCTTTGCGTCCCACTATGACTACCGTGATTCAACTGCGTATGCAAAAGGAGTTAGCATTGCCTATTCCATCAAAGTCTCCCTTTACCGACGATGCATTTTTATCCCTTTCATGTTTTCCAGGCTCCTCCCAATGACATCGTTGGCCGTCTGTTGATTCCTGTACATATTATGACACTGATAATGACCCAACATAATATTATGTTACAGATCTATGCTTGCAAGTTATGGCACACAATTAGTTGTGACATGCTTTATCAAAGACTGTGGTTTCCAGAGATTTATGTCTGGGCTAACTGGATCAAAGCACCTGGATTTGTTTAAAAGAAGCTCACAGAGCAGGCAGTTGGGTGTTTTTTAACCCCTTCCAGGCTTTCTAATTTCTAAGAGTGGCACAGACAAGTGAAAGTTGGGCTTTCTGGAGAGTGGGAGGTGAAGACAATCTCAAACACTGCCACAACAATGAAATCTTTCTTCACCATGAAGCCTTGAACTCTGCAGGAAACTGTAGAGAAAGATCTTAGGGGGTGTTTCAGCTCTTGGAGCAATGGCTTATCATGTAAGTTTCTGAGTGTCTTATCTCCCTCCACAAAACTGTTTTGCATGCGTAGTTTACTCATCATGTAAGTATAAATTAGAGTAAGTCAAAATGCATAAACAAAGCAGGCCACAAGGGGTGGAAAATCCTATATATCACGAGACTCGCAAGATGCTGTTATTATAGGAAAATGACAAACATATATAATTATTTTGACCAGTGTGGCAGTGCACCCAAAATGTCAAATCTCATGGCGTACCATCTCACATATTTGTGTTATGATTCAACTGAAAAGTCCACTTCAGAAGCATTATTTGTTTGGAAATTGATGATCTTTTATATCAAACTTAGACAATTGACACTTTTGTTCGTAAGAACGACAGTTGAGTTGCATGTTAAACATGTGAGATTTATTGAAAGTTTAGTTGTATGTAATGAGTAAACACTAATGTCATTCCTTATTTCTGACATTTCCCATGGATAAAAAAATAAAAACTTTTATAATATAAAATTAGATAAATTTTAATAAGTCTATCCCATCCAACAATTACTACCGTTCCTTGTACCACCCCTATACGAAGAAAAGAATAGTTAAATTCAGGACTCACAGAGCGGAAACAAACGTGTGGGCACTTTTTAAGAGTAACGAAGATACCGACGGATACGAAGTCCTTACAGAACAGTGGGAACGTAAAAAATTATGTCGGAAATAATTTGACTCGTTGGAGCTTTCTCCATCAAAGCAGGCTTGTCAATTGTCATTTACTACCCACTCCCACAATACGCGAAAGGTGGCTAAAATCTAAGAGAGGAAGAAGAGAAAACAAAGAAGTTGACGGAGCCACTTTGAGGTGAGGTCTACTGTTCATACACATCCCCCTTAACACCTTTGCTGCTTTTCATCCCCACAGAAACACCCACACACGCACACGCAGAGAGAGAGAGGCCTTGCTCCTTTTCATCTAATAACCACTCAGCCCCCACTTTGTGAGAGAGCGAGAGAGAGACCTTGCTGCTTTTCATCTTGTAAACATTAAGCCCCAGTAATAAACACCGACACAAACACACACACAAAATTTCATCACACCCAAGTCGAATTACATGCATTTCTCAGCCTCCAACTTCACTAATCTCCAATGGATCGTCTTCTTCTTCTTCTTCAATCTTTTTCCAATCTCTCTCTCCGACACAAGAATCTCGGAGGCCGGACTCTTCTGCGGGAACAACAGACCACCACCAAACACCAGCTACATCCCAAACTTTGTCCAAGAAATGGAAGTTATCTCCCAACTCGTCACCTCTGACGACTGGGGTAGCCACGTAGTCAACTCAACACCACCCGTATATGGTCTCGCTCAATGCTTCCAAGACCTCTCTCACACCGACTGTCTTCTTTGCTACGCTGCGAGTCGGACCAGACTCCCTAGTTGTCTCCCCTCTATCTCTGCTCGTATATATCTTGATGGGTGCTTCTTACGGTACGACAACTATAGTTTCTTCAATGAAAGCACTGACCCAGATCGAGACACTGTGAATTGCAGTAGTCCATATGGTAAATTGAGTGGCAATGAAGCTGAAAGATCGGATTTCCAGAAGAGGGTTGGAGGGTTAATCGAGAATGTGACTGAAATTGCGGTTTTGGATGGAGGATTTGGAGTTTTCGAAATGAAGGGAGTTTATGGGTTGGCACAGTGTTGGAAGACTGTGAGCAAAGATGGGTGTAGAGAGTGTTTAGAGAAGGCGGGTCAGGAGGTGAGGGGGTGTTTGCCAAGCAGGGAAGGGAGGGGTTTGAATGCTGGGTGTTATTTGAGGTACTCCACCGTGAAGTTCTACAGTGATTCCGAGAAAATGAAGGAAAATTCTGGTAACTAGTCTGTTTTCTTTTCGTAGAATTTATGGAATGCATTGAATTGACAGGGGGATAAGTGCATATTTCCCTCTGATTGCATATGTTATTGCTAAGTGAAATGAAATGACTTTTAAAAATCATGTAGTTTGGCTTTGTTTATGTAATTTTGTCTTCCCCTCTCTGTTTCTTGTAAACTGTGTGTTGTTTTCATAGCTGTGTTCGTGAGATTCAGTTGTTTTCTTGATTGTGTTCGTGAGATTCAGTGTTTATTTCTGAAAGTTTTTTAATGGTCTTTGGTTTGTAGCTTTATCAATCGTAAGTTTCTACTTCTTTTTGCTAGTTACCTTTTTTTTTTAACCTGCAAGAGCTGTTTAGGTATCATTATTCATTTAGAAACTGTCGGCTTCTTCTTTTTGTCAAATACGTTGTTTTTCTTTCTTCTACTTTTTGCATGTTTGTCCTGTTTTGAACTTTTTGTAGATTTCTATCTTTTCTTCAACTTTTGGGTAGGTTGAGGTTTGACATTTCTTATATCTTTGAATATTTTTTGATGGATTTGAATTATTTATTCCAAAGTGCTCTTTTTTATGTGCACAGTTGGTGTAATGTGATCCATTCCATTGATACATATCCATAAAATAATTGTTTTGTTTCTCTTTTTTTTTTTTTCCATCCATGCTTTTCCAGGGGTATCTATAATAGGAGTCACTGTTGCGATTGCTTTGGCTGTAGCAGTAGTCTTAATGCTCTCACTCTTTGCTGCTTATGCAGCCTATGTAAGGCTGTCAAAGTTGAAAGAAGGTATAATTCATTACATAAAAACATGATTTCCAGTGAAACAAAAGTACTTAACAATGGTTTTTTCTTATTCACACAGAACAGAATAATCTCGGCCAAATATCAAATTCATTTAACAGGTCCGGTTTGAATTTCAAATATGAAACTCTTGAGAAGGCAACAAATTATTTTAATGCTTCAAGAAAATTAGGTCAGGGAGGAGCTGGTTCTGTATTCAAAGGTACTCTCCCAGATGGCAAAACTGTTGCTGTTAAGAGATTGTTTTTCAATACTCGGCAATGGGTAGATGAGTTTTTCAATGAGGTAAACTTGATCAGTGGAATTCAACACAGTAACCTTGTGAAGCTTTTGGGTTGTAGCATTGAAGGCCCTGAGAGCCTCCTGGTTTATGAGTATGTTCCCAACAGGAGTCTCAATCAGTTTCTTTTCGGTAAATCTTTTTCCTTCTTTTACTACTGTTTATGCAAATTCTTCTGAGTGTGCATTCATTCACATTCTATTTTTAGTTCTTCATAGCAAATTTACAAAGAATGAACAAAACTAGTATAATTCAGCATGATCATGGTCACATGCCGATTTCCTTATACAGATAAAAACAAGACTCAAATCTTAGACTGGAAGCAGCGGTTACAAATTATAGTTGGAACAGCTGAAGGGCTTGCTTATCTTCATGGGGGTTCACAGACAAGAATTATCCACAGAGACATTAAGAGCAGCAACATTCTTCTTGATGAGAATCTCGTTCCAAAGATTGCTGATTTTGGGCTTGCCCGGTGTTTTGGGGCTGATCAGACTCATCTCAGCACCGGAATCGCAGGGACACTGTAAGAGAGAAGTTCTATATAATCTTATGTTTCACTATCCCTGGCAATGGAAGCCTTTTGTTGGCCAAAAGAGAAAAAGAAGAAAAAGAAGAAAAAATAGAGAATAGACAATGTAGTTGAAGATTTAAGTTTGCTTAGTGACAGAAGTATCATAATTGGCTAATAGTTACTACAAGAAATACAGGATGAAACACAACATAAAAAAGTATTATAAATCTGGAAGATAAAATAGTCTGTAGTAACATACTTGAATTAGGACATGTACTTGCCAAGTACGGGTGATAATCTTGTATACGCACTTCTGAGGAAATTGGTTTTCAAACTCAAGCATATGGACGTTGCATAATTTGGGAATTCTTTCATAATTTGTAATTGGAACTATTGTATTCTGTTTCAGAATGCTTGTCAATTGAGTTATTGTTGAATGCTTATATCGGTTCTGTAACGTGTGAATTTTGGTGGTGCAGTGGATACATGGCTCCTGAATATCTTGTCCGTGGACAACTTACAGAAAAGGCTGATGTTTATAGTTTTGGGGTGCTGGTTATTGAGATTGTATGTGGTAAAAAGAATAATGCCTACACAGAGGACTCATGTTCCCTTTTACAAGCCGTAAGATTTGAATCACTCTCACTAGTTTGCCGAACCCTTACTTGTACAATAACACCCACAAAAAATAAATAAATAATATTATGCAGAACATATTTTCAACAAAAACTACGTTTTAAATTGGATTTTTGATTTTGGCCTCAGGTTTGGAAACTTTACAGAACAGATAAATTGGGTGAATCAGTTGACCCTTGCCTGAAAGACTATTTTTCGGCAGAAGAGGCATCGAAGGTGCTTCGAATTGGACTTCTATGCGCACAAGCTTCAGCTGCTCTAAGGCCATCGATGGATGAAGTGGTTCAAATGCTAACCAATGAAGAATGTGAAATTCCCATGCCTAATCAACCTCCTTTTCTAAGTGCTAGAGTACTTGATCCAGCCAGCTCCAATGGAGACTATAGAATAGACAGTTTAATATCAAATGCATTGACAAAAATTGAGGTGTCATCCACCTCTACAGAGTCCTCCAGCATGCAGAGTTCAGAAGGTCCATCAAGAAGTAAAGAATGAAGCAGAAGTGGATATTTATATAGCTGTCCAATGCTTTCCAGAGTACAATTTTGTAAGCACACAGGATCAGATCCATCATCCCTAGCCTTGTATGGGTAGAAGTTTTGAAGGAATACGTGCATGATAAAAGCAACTTGTTGGTCAATCTTCGTGGATTTTTGATGGAAAATTATGGGTTTTGTGTAGATTACAACACCTCGGGGAGGATGAAATTCTCAGAGTAAAAAAGACACTGTACGAGGTTGCTCCTATGTCAGGGTCTGGAGATTGTATATAATTTTACTTCAGTATGTGAAGAGGTAGTTTTTGTTACTCAAACTCATATCATCTGGGTTACAATAGATGAACTTTATTGTTGAGCCAAAGTCGATTCTCAAAGTTTTGCTCATAATTCCCTTAGATTATGCAGATTATGTCAAGGATGGGGCATTTAGTTGGGGACTATTTTTCCTTTTCCAGCCAGGCCAGTGCCGGTGCCGGTGCCAAACTAGTGCCTACTTTCCCTTTGTCAAACAGAAAATACCTTCATTAAAGATTAGGTGAGTTGGCCGATTGCTTGGATGGACCATATCTTATTTATAATTTCCTTTCTTCTTCATACATATGGTAGCTCTTTAGAAAACAATTGATGCGACTGCACATCTTTCACCCACCGCCTATCCACCCCATTTGATAATGGTTTTCTTTTCTTTTTTTAGGTAACGAGCGTATAAACGTTTTACTTTAACAAGTATAACTTTAAATTTTATTATATAATGCATTTTATGTATACCAAGGGCAGGTCGTGTAGTTATTTGTGACGATGGCTGATAATGTAGTTGGAACAACTTAAAATCAGGTATCACTTAAAGTTTGGAGGATTTCACATTAAAATGGTTTGATTGATTATCGTAATTTAGATTCTTCAGACATTACTAGTTGAAGTATATGTGAGGTTTTTGTTAAGTATGTGCCCTAAACTCTCATTACATAATATATTTGAAAGGCACATGGATTTAATTAAAAAATATATAATATTGTGAAAATATTAATCTAGACATTATATTTGACAAATTGATTTGAGGATAACAGATGAGTAGTCACTTGTTGAAAAGTTTATAAATTAATAATATTTTTTATACGTGATTTGAGAATTTAATCTGAATATCTAATCTCTTCTAACTATTAGATGAATAATAAACTTTATTTTAATCTAATAGTTATAATAAAATAAATCCGTGTATTAAATGTATAAAGTGGCCTGATATTGATAAGCATTGCATTGCATGTAATGCAGCTAAATGTGGTGACGACGGTTGTTGGAATTATGGGCCAGCGTTGGTGGGCCCATGACAGTCATAATCAGAAGGGTTTTTCAAGTGGAGCACCAGCGTTGCCTGCGCTAGATAGACACGCATCAATCTGTTCGTTGGAGGGCAGAGTCGCTGGATCGATATTAATTTCGAGAGAGTGATCGGTATGAATTTAAACCCTTTTTAATAAAAAAATAAATAAAAAAAACTAACAAGAGTCGTACTAATCCACTCTCTGACCTCAATGATAACATTAACAAGTTAACAGCCAACCAACCAACAAAATAGTTTTATTGAATTTTGGATGGTTAATATCTCGCTCCTTACCATAATCTCTCAAAATTATAAAATTATGAGGGTACGAAAATTTCGGATACTACATGAGACCGTTGCTAATTTTATGTTTAGTAAGGATAACTCGTGTTTGAAAGTTGTGAAAGTGAAAGGTTTTGAGGGAAATATTAGTGGTTGTTGAATGAGTCTATTTGAGATCGTCGGATGAACTTATTAAAGTCTGTCTTATTTTATATTATAAATAATTCAACGTTTGTTCAACAAAAAAAATGTTAGAAAATATAAGAAAGAAAAAATTTTAAAATTTTACATGAGTTTGTTTAGCATGAAATAGAAAATGATAGAAAAAATAATTTTCTCTCATGTATAAATTTTCTTACATCTAACTAACTTTTTTTTCTTACAAAAAACACAAGAAAAAACAATAAACTTGAATTCAATAACTTAACTTCCCATTTTTTAAAATATTCACTTAGTTATTACTTTTAAAAAAAATGTGTACAAATTAGGCTAATCATATAATTTGGTCTAGAGATTAAGGTTTGAGTCGATATTTGTTCTTAAATTAGGTTAGGAGCTAATTTTTTAAAAATTTGAATAATAAAAAATATTTTTTTTTCTTTAAACCGAGTTAAAATACTTAAGAATAATTTAGACAATTAAAAAAATTTTCTTATAACTTTCTTTTTTTCTATCAATGGAATGAGATTGTTTTAAAATTTTTTAGAAAATTTTCATACTAAACAAATACATGCATAAAAGTCAATGCCAATTCTCTTGAAAATTTATTTGTAAAATGGAATTTGCATTTAATTTGAGGTCTAATTTAAGAACAAATGACGTACAAGCCATTGAATTTGTTCGGGTGATTAAAGTATTCTTTCTTACTCTTTGGGGGAAAAAAATGAAAAACGAAGAAAGAGGAATAGTGTGATTGAGCCATTTGCTCAGTTACCAAAATGGCCTCGCTGCTTTCAAACTTTTTTCCATGGCTCACTCTCTCTCTCGCCCTCCAAGATCCTCCTTACTCTTTAATACTATACTATTAGAATTGAGTAATATTTCCTTCTTGTTTGAATCGCTACGTTCACATGGACATGTGTTCTTTTGTTGGCATTTATTCAAGTATTTTTCAGAGAAATTTAAGAAGGTTTTACGATTAGCATGATATCATCTGGAATCCATGAAATATATTTTATTGGGTTTGATTTTTCCCACCTCTTTAAATTCACATGTCTCTGCATGTTTGTTTTATTTTTGTCTATTATTCAGCTTGTTCTAATGGGTATTGGGGTTTGAATACTTCACTCTCGTTGTGCGTAATAAACCCAAGTAGCATTATTAGAACTGATCAGATGGAACTTTTAAACTGTGGAGGTTCAATAATCAGCTAGGATGACTTGGTTGTATCTTAATGTTATGTGTCTAGAGTTGGGGTGGTTAAGCCGATGCTGAAGTTCTATGGGGCATTTCGGCAAGCAGCTTTTGGATATGAAACTGATACTGTCAAATTTCTGTAGAATGTATGAGTCTAGCTAACGTAACTGTCAAAATGGGAAACATATTTGCTATATTTGACGGATGCTCCTATTCTTTCATGCAATTTGCTTAATGGTTATTGATTTCTTTCATGTTTCTTGAGTTGAACCGTGCCAAAATTCTGTGTAGTTTGACATCATGTGTTGGACAGTGAAATGTTGTCGGTTTGATATGGATGTGCATTTTGAAACACATTTCTAATAGATATATAACCTGCATGTATATGATCTGCAATAATTAAAACTTCCTCCTTCAACCTCTGTATATAGGGTGCCTGTAGAAGATTCCATGGACATATGCTGCCAGATATTGAAGCCTTTGAGCTTGTTCCACTAGTGTTGCTCTATTTTTTCCATTAATTATCTTCTCATTCAATGGTTCATTTGCTTATTGTCTTACTCGATTCTTTCCTCTTTTGATTGTATCCTATTCTTCTTGTAGTCCCAAGATGAGCTCTGCAAACTTCATAAGATGATGAGTCAGAAGGGAAAGAAGATGTGAAGGGGCTGATTTTGGTTTCAGGCATGCCCAAACAAGGAGGGTATAAAACTAAGAAAGATCATCTTAAGCTTAAAATGCATTTTGCAAGACCAGAATTTGAGGAGAACGGAAGCTCAAGTCAAAGTGACTCCAGTATTTTGGATCAATGTTGCTCCCCAGTTAACGAGTCAATTCTTTCTCCATTATCTCTATGTCCAGCACCAATTTGCCGTCAATTCTGGAAAGCTGGGAATTATGACACAGAACACAGTTCCAAAGCTCCAATACGAAGTACTAATTTCTCTATCATTGTATAAAAGTATTCCAGAGGCTTTCACCTGCACTAGCACCAACACACACACAGATATTCCCCCAAATTTGCCTGTGTATTTACTTGCATCCAGCACATGGGTCATTCTAGCCACCCCAATTGATTGGCCGATGATATGTTTCTGTGATCCAACCACTCAATGGCATTTTATAGTCAGTTTGTTTTGGGCTTCCATTTGGAGGTCCACTGTGGAGCCATTATGCTTTACTATTTGGAAGAGTAAGTAATTAATTTGAAGAAGTAATAGTTAGAAAACTTTGACATAGAAGCTGCAATAAGAAAATTTTTATCTTGAAGCGCTCTGCCATCTGTTGAATTGTCTGCTGAGAGTACTGTATTTCACTTTTTGGATTGCAGATGGGAAAAATTATCTGTGTGTTCACCCCATGTACCTTCACTCAAATGCCACCTCACATAAGTGGGCCTTTGGTGGTATGGTCTGCTTGGATGTTAATTTTATTCTTTCTATTCTGCCATTTTTTCCCGTTACCAAATTTTAATTTCTTCAGTGCAAAAAGTCAAATTCAATCCGATATCTTTACTTGGTTGCTTCTCCTTTGCAGCTATAGCAGAGTTGCTTGACAATGCAGTTGATGAGGTGAATCCCTGTTTATTTCACTTAAGCTGCTCTATGTTGTCTACTTTTTTCTTTTTTTTGTATTAACTTTTTGTTTCGAACTAAGTAATTGTGGAACAACATATTTTCACGGGTATATGGACCACCTATGCACACTACCTCTGTTACCTTAATGTTCTGAAGGTAAAAATATAGTTGTCTGAAAAAGGTCATCTCATTTTGTTAGTTATTGGTGGCTTATTTTCACAATCTCGTTAAGGGTATTATATAGTCATCCATTGATGTTCATTGTGTGGAGTAGATACAAAATGGGGCTACTTATGTGCAAATAGAGAAGATCATCAATCCACGAGATGGAAGCCTAGCTTTGCTCCTTCAAGGTATGCATTTGAAACCATTGGAATTGGTTTTTGAGGTGAGGGTGAATTTTGTAGTTGTTTATTGTTAAAGCATCCAACCTAAAACCAATTGGCAATGGTTGGAGTGCCCCCAAGAATATAAACCAACCATGAGTCTACTTAATTGTTTGATGTGAGATAGCTCTCTTCACACCCATCCTCATGTGCGACCCGGACTTGTATGCGGCTAACAAACTGAACTGCAACAAAACAAATTGAAGCTCAAAAAAGGTCAACTGGTTGAGAGAATTTACCCACTAACCACTCAAGGCCTAGTTCTGATATCATGTTAGAGTATCCAACCCAAAACTAATTGGTAATGGGTGGAGTAACAATATTGAGTCTATGTAGCTCTCTTCACATTCGTCATGCATAGATAGATATTAGCTTTTCATATTCAATTCTGTGTATCTGATTCCTTATGCTCTACTATAAGATGATGGTGGCGGAATGGACCCAGAAGCTATAAGGCAGTGTATGAGCTTTGGATTTTCAGAAAAGAAAATGAAGTCTGCCATTGGACAGTGTATGAATAGCGTTCTCTCTTTTTATTATTTTACCTTTTCATGCTTTAGTTTCTTTTTCGCACTAAATGGTTGGTTGTAGCTTTTCAGATGGAAATGGCTTCAAGACAAGTTCTATGAGACTGGGAGCAGATGTTATTGTCTTCACGCGTCACTTGGAAAAGAGGTTAGACCGCAACCCCTGATGAGTCAGCTTGCAAAGTTCTTATTCTCAGCGTAATTGTGTTATCCTTGTTTTGATAGATTGCCTGAATCAAGTAGATCAGTGTATCGAAGGAGAAGTTGGTACACTAATAATATGTAACATCCATAAGGCATCTCACATTTAAATCTTCAAAGTAAAACCATTGGGGCATTTGAACATGTGGTGGTTTAATAGATCTATCTTATTGGGAAGCATAATTTGAACATTGTTGTTGATTTATCAATTTATTCATTTAAGTTGCGTGCATGGTCCTTGGGAGCAAATTATGAAAAAAATTTCCCATTTGGGTTAATATTTTGTAAATGTGTTCCAGAGTATTCAAAAATGGAACTGTTAGATATCCCTTGTGGTCTCGTTCGTACTGAAGAAATTTAACTTTCATTTGCAAATGCAAATATAGGAGTGTTTACTTATGTGTCGCTTAAGTATTTGGTTATGTATTGTCGACTTCTTAGGTTTCTATTCACATTGATATCGTTTCGATGAACAGGAAAGTGACTCAAAGCATTGGACTCCTCTCCTATACATTCTTAAGAAAAACAAGCCATGACAGAGTAGTAGTACCACTGGTGAGTTGGACCATTTAGTACCAGCTTTTTAAATGGAGTTATCCATGTGAATTCTTACGGCTCAAACTCTGGGCTTGGTATTCGTTTGGTAGGTAACTGGGTGTAAAAATGTTACACATGTGACATAGGTGGAAATGCCAGAAACTGCCTTTTGGGGACTACAGCTTGGAGATCGAATGATAGCATAATTGCTAGACAGCGACGTTGCTAGTGTGTCTGTTGGTGCCATGTGGACATTAGACATGCACTCAAACTTAAATTTTAGGAAAGAGACTTCTTCTAAGTCTTTCATCTTGTGGATCATGAGAATCCACGAATAGCTCATTCAGAAAATGATTTTCACTGCAACTGATGACAATCCTTTTCACATGTGATCTTAATTGGATTAGGACCTTCCAGCATGATCTTTCCAGCTATAATATCTTTTTTTTTTTTTTTCTTTTCTGAACTGTGGCTGTAATACCTGAAACTGCCGGTTTTTCCTTTGGGTCTTCTAAGGTTTTTCTAAATTGCTACAGGTGGACTATGAGTTAGATGCATCAACTAGAAAGTTGGGGCACATATATCCTCACGGGAAACAATTTTTTTCGGCTAATCTCTCTGTGTTGTTGCAGTGGTCTCCGTATTCAACAGAAGAAATGCTGCTGAAACAAGTAAGCTCAGAAGTTTTGCATTTGTAGTTGTTGCTGTTTCAATTTTTCCATTTGCATGCATATGCCTGATAGGTGACATGATCTGCATGGGTGTTACACTCCTCACTAAGGTACTATGAAAATTGTATACTTTTGCATTATATAAGAGCTGATCTGAAACAATATAGTGTTAGTGTCCTCAAATATTGTACACGCTATGGTATGATGTGGTATCACATAATAAATTTATCCCTTACAAGCTCTGACTCAGTTATTGTATGTCTGATAATGTTATGCTTAATTGTAGGATACATTTTATGTGCATAGCTTGTTGGATCCTAAGTTGGATCTTGTCACCATGTTCTGCGCATATTTTGACCACAATGTGTTGCATGGACACATCACTGTATATATAGTCCCTAAATAAAAATGAGCTTATCTATTGTACTAAAAAATTGCATCATATTAAGCAGCGTTGAGAAAAGTTTTTTTAATTGAGTAGAATTATAATACACTATTAGTCACATATGATTGGAATTTTCTGGGACCAACGTTGAAAACTACAAAAAATGGAAGAATGAACTACAAGAAATGTCAATCTCCGGAGTTCTCATATTACACCTGATGGAGGAGTCACTTTCCAGATCCAATTTTTGAGAAATATTCAACACACACGGAACAGAGGTTGGCTAACTCTAAGAAGAGTGAGAAAGGGGGAAAAAATGCAAAGTTTAACAACAGACTGAACAGTGAGGGTGTGTTTGCATGGGATTGAAGAGCGATTTGGGGATGGGATTTGGGACTACAAGGGAACTAGGAAATCCAAATTGCAAAATCCCTTGTGGATTATGTCCCAATGCCAACCACCAAGTAAAACCGGGAAAAATATTGTATAACATATAGAGGGAGCAGAATTGTTTGAAAACACACATGCACACATCCCTGTTATTTATGCCAACTGGTACCCAGGAAGGACATTTTAACTTCTTATGGAATATCCGGTGCTTCAGAAAAGAATATTCACCAGAACATTGTCATCACTGTCATTTGTGTTACTTTTGTATATGTGCCTTTTTTGTGCTATTAGCTGTACTTTTAAGTTAAAGATGCTCAATTACAGTGTCAACGTCATTGAGGCACACTAGATGTACTCTCGTGGCTCTTGATGCACTCATTGCACTATTTCAAACTTTATTCTGCACCAACTTTTAATTTTTATTTATCCACTGGGCAGTTTGATGATATAGGTACTCATGGTACGAAAATTGTGATTTACAATCTTTGGCTAAATGGTGATGGTGATATGGAACTAGATTTTGATATTGATACAGAGGTATCTTTCATCCTTTTACTTTCATCTCTTTCCGGACAGTCTGTTAGTTCATAGCTCTTTATTTGGCTACTTGATTTTGTGGTTGCAGGATATTCGCATAAATGCAGATGCAAAACTACTTCAGACAGGGCATCACCCCAGACTAGTGTGTGACCAGCACATAGCTAACCTTTACCGCTATTCTCTCCGTGTAGGTTCTAGTGTAGATTACAAAGTTGACTTGTCAGGTCTCTCTGTATTGCTACAATGTTTAGTTAAGTTCCTTGTTCAAGTTCCACAGGCATATGCATCCATCTTGTACCTACGGCTACCTCAAAGCTTCAGAATAATTTTGCGTGGACGAGTTGTTGAACATCATAACATTGCAGACGATCTCAAATTTCCAGAATTTATACTGTATAGGCCTCAACTTGGTGGAAACATGGAGGTTTCAATTATATTTCTTATTTAAAGTGCATGTCTTGTCAATACTACCTTCTATATACTGTCAAATGTTTCAGGAGCACTTATCTTTTATCAGCTTCGTGTATGGTTTTGTGGTGGCAATTATAGTTGATTAGACTTTGAAGCTTTCATAGTAATTCGGTGAAGGGACACAGAACTTATAGTGTTCTTTTGTACATAGGGTACACGATATGTCCTGTCTAAGCATATACTGTATGGATGGATATGGTTGAAACGTTTTTGTTTTCTGGTGCACTGAAATTTTCACGGTTTGTTGTCAAAAACATGCTTTTGACTCTCTATTGTTATGCATGTCTGCCATGTGCTATTCGCCTGATAGTGACCTTTCTCAATCATAGCCTGCAGACATGTACCATTAGCTTGTCAATTATTAAATATAATCATACTACCAGAACAACTCCAGCTTGGTGAACAATTGACAAGGACCGTGAGTTCATCTGGTCATATACTTGACCAGATAAAAAAATTATCCATTGAAATCCGCGTGAGTTAACTGGGTTTCACTTTTGCTGTGTGATCCCCTTAGGATTTGGGAACTGGACAGTTGCTAATTACCAGAGTTTAGTGTGATAGATATAAAGCACATGAGCGCCTTACCATGCCTTTTTTGCTGAATTGTTGGTTTATTTGAAATATTGTAGTTTAAATCCATGAAATTTTATCCAGAATCGTAACCAACTTTTTATTATTATGCCTTGTGATGCACTTACAACGTTTGGGTTCTGGAGGGGAAGAAATGAAAATATGAATTTCATTTAGCTATCACGTCCATAGTAATAGGAGACAGATGCTCAAAAATTGTGACTTATGTACTTTAGTGCATGAACATAAGACCATGTATGAGTGGTGTTAGTATATTCACGATAGAGTACTAAATATGTGTATATAATTAGTTTGCATGTACAACCTATTTTCAGAACCTTTGTTTCATTTAAATATAGCAATAATACTTGTTAGTATTAAGTTTTTCCTTTACTTGTTCATCGTGTTTTATGTTATGTCATTTAATTTGAAATTATTCCTTAATCACACACTGGTTGAACTTGTTGATCCAATGATTGAACCAATGACCCATTACCATGTCCTCTAGGTAGGCAGTTTTCGTCGTCAGGGAGGGTCTTTGTAGATATCCATATTGTATTGTTTTCTTGTTCACTATGTGAATAATGCTTGATTTGATCTGAGGCCAGCTGCCTTCTCCCTCTCTCTCTCTCTCTCTCTCCCCCCCCCCAACCGTCTGTTTGTGCGTGTTTGCAGTTTGCAACGTTTGCATGTCCATGTGTATGTGTTTGCTGTTAGCTGACTAGCCATAACCAAGCCTGTTGGGCTAATTTGCAGGCTGCTGTTGTTACCACTATAGGATTTTTGAGGGATGCACCACATGTGAATATCCATGGCTTAAATATCTACCACAGGAACCGTCTTATAATGGTGAGATATTACTTATATTCCATATCGATCTAATAAAAATTCTGGCAGCTTGATATGACTAATATTTTTTCAGTATCTTGATTCAGAAAATGTCATTAGATTATCAATAGTTGTAATTCGTAAGTAGTTGAAATGGTGACATGATCGGATTAAGATATGTGAAATTGCTTTTGTCGGCAAATGTTGTTTTAATTAGGAACAGTACCCTGGATCCAATGCAGAAGGCTATATGCAACACTGAGTTGTATGTTACATGAATGTCATTCATTGAAGTGCTTTTCCATGTTGGGCACAGGATGTCTCAGTAGCAAATTGAGCTGACATCTCTAAATAGGCTTTTACACCTGCTGCACGAAATAGTTTTGTATCAAGTATGAAAATTTTATTTTTTCTACGGGCATAGCTTGGTTTTCATTTCTGCTTACCTTTCACCCTAATCTTCTCTGGCAGCCATTTTGGCGTGTGGTCAAGGATACGACCAATAGTAATGCAAGAGGAGTTGTTGGTGGGTACAGATTTTTCTATCTTAAGGTCTTGTCTTGGAGCTCTAATTTATCTAGATTTTAGTGAATACCAGATGAATGATATATTAGTGTTTGGCAGGTGTTTTGGAAGCAAATTTTATCGAGCCTACTCACAATAAGCAAGATTTTGAGAAGACTTCCCTTTTTCAAAAGCTTGAAGCTCGTTTAAAGGAAATGACAATGGAATACTGGTAAGCCATGCTTCAAGTTTTTTACTCTCGTTAAGAGATATTCTGATGAAATCTGGAGGAAGAAGTTGGGTATAATTTGAAAATATGCAGCTAAGTAGTAATACCTCTGCTGAATCTTTGTAGGCATTTCCATTGTGGACTGATTGGGTATCAGCAAATGAAGAAGTCCTCTCCTGCAACAGAACCTCTTTCTTCAAGACCACGTAGTCATGTAGAACAACCTGTGTTGTTGAATCAGACTTCCTCCCTAGTTGATAGACCAAGACCTGTTTCTTCTACAGTTGATTCTGTTGAAGATGATGAAAATACTGTGCCCAATCTCTCCTGTAGAAGTTTGGAACAAACTATTTATGATAATCATATCAGGCCCCGTCAAGGTCCACTTGGAATAAACAATACCTTTTTGATTGGATTTCGTGTTTCCATTTGATTGAATTTCTATTTCTGCCAACATAAGGTAAAGTAGATGAGTGTAGGATGGGCCCTTTTCAATCTTGCTGAGTTATATTTGACTTACACTGTGTGTACTAGGACTAAGGACAAAGAGGAAGAAACGAAAGGCTACACTGGAACCTGAACATGGAAAAAGTTGCCCAGGATCCGGGTCCTATGGAACGGATACCATGCATAATGCAGTTGAACAGGTTAGCTAAAATGTCCTATCTGAAATTTAATCAATGTTTGGAATGTTATCTAAAATAACTGTGAATTATGTACGAGCTAAGATATCTATTTTTGTGAATTATGTAAGGAAGGGATATGGTTTTGATATGCTTGGTTTTCCAGTTCTTTAGTTGCATCTTTTTAAAGGCTTCATGTACATTATTAGCCCTATTCTCTAATAGCTTTGGCTTTTGAAGTAACTAGTAGCCTAACATGGTAATAGAGTTTTGGTTCCAAAAAGTCTTGGGTTCATGTCTTCTTGTATACGTTTCCCCATTTGGTCAACTGTCTAGTTTTTTTATTTGTCCCTCCCCATGCAAGAAGGGTTTGTGTGTGCAGGTGTGTTTTGCTAGAACTTGATACACCTTAATTGGCTTATTTTAATTTTACTAGAAAATTCATGTCCAGACAGCTGTATTAATATTTACAACTTGACACACCTTAAATGGCTTATTTTAATTTTACTAGAAAATTCATGTCCAGACAGCTGTATTAATATTTCACTTTCCTGCTGACAGAAACTTGAGGTATGCTTGACGATATGTTGATTGCAAAATGTTAAATTTCAAGTTGCCAGTTTGCAAGCTGATCATAAGAATTTCAACTTGGCAATTTTGTGGTGCAACTACTTACCATTTGCGAGGCTCAATTCTATTTCAGAGTGTATCTTGCAAGAGAGGGCTTGTTGTCCATGAGCATACCTGCTAAAAGAGTACTGGTCACTAAACTTTGTCTCATTTATGTTGTAGCCTTCCGGTTGCCACGAAACTATGGTGCGTGATGAAGAGACAATGAGTCTAATGCAAGAAAATGAAAAACTCAAGTCAAAGTAAGTACAAAGCTGGTGTCCTTATATTTCTTTCCTTTTTTTTTTGAACTTATCCTCTACACTTGCTGATCAATGCGAAGAAAAGATTGTGCCACACTCTAGTAGATTCACTAACTAGACTGGCCTCGAAAATCATCTTCTTTGACTACAACAATTTTAAAGCCTTACAAATTCCTATTGTCTTTTGAGGCATTGGTGTGCCTAAAAGTTGAGAGATAAATAGAGAGGTAAACTGTGGAGTGGCAGAACCAAGTAAACCTACTCCACCTCTGCCCAAGGGTCTTATAAATTAGAAACAGTTTGAAAAACCTCTGCTTGGTGCCAACCCTTTTCCAGGATGTCAACCAGTAATTGACATGCCAACTAGAGTTGTAAATGGCGTTTGAGCTTTCATATCAAGGATCAGTTTGAATTAATTTATTGAGGGCTAGCCTCACCTAGGTTCAAGGTACCTGGTCCAGTGTACGTGTGTCACTTTAATTCATAGTTCAACAATGAAGGCCTATGTTCGAATACTTGCTTTAACCAACTACTTACTAGCACAGACTTTGCAGTTGAGATGGTGACTTTGACCACCCTGATATCAGCCCGATCTCTGATTTGAATTTTGCCTTATGGTCTGAACTTGGGCTGGATCAGTTCCAGGTCAGGCTTGGACAGTGGTTCTGCACTTTCAGATGATCTCTGCTGAGGCACCATTGCTCAACTTGCACCCACGTACCGCCATCTGATCATACTACCACTTATATTCCAGTGTTGCTTTAAAGTCTCTTCTAAAAGTGCTTACTAATATTCTTGGTCCCGTAAATATTGTCCACTCCGCCACACCTGAGTTGAACTCTCACTCGTTGTAGATTTTTGTAGAAAAACTATTTCTTAATTATTCATTGACTTGTGGATTGTGCACCTTTTCTAGGCTATTGGAACTGCAGAGAAGGGAGGAAAATCTTAATCTAAAGGTACTTATTTATGTACAACCTTTTTGTTCTGTGACATTGTTTTAGGCTTTATGTGATTTGCAAATTTTTTGATTGTTTTTTGCTCCATTGTAAAACATATGGTGAGTGCACAATGTCTGCTTATGTTGAATGTTAGGATATTTAACCAAGGGTATTCTTATAATTAGTGGTAGATTATGAATTAATATAAATATGGGTAATGAGGAGAGAGATGGGTTAACTCGTTCTCCTTAACCCTATTTTATAATCTCTTTCTTCTCTTTCTCCTTTCTTGCCTCGTCTCTATTCTAAACCCTAAACCTAAGAACTTGAGATTTTAACTGCATGTAATCTATCTTTATCAAATCAAGTAAGATTCAGCTTTTGCAAATTTTGCCGATTCAGCGAAAAAGGAATGTGGCTAGCCCCATTTCCTTCTGCTACCACTGTAGTCAATTTTCTTCCTTGGAACCCTCCATCTTTAAATGCTTGCTCTCCAAACTGCCCAAACATCCAGAGGAGGAAAAAAGGGAGAGGAGAGGGGGGGGGGGGGGGGGGGAATAGACACCTTCCTGTACACCATTAGGCATCAGTTTATGGGCGCACCCAACAATGAAAACGGAAAAAAATATAACTTCTCCCACAGAATATTGTTATGAGTTGTCATTGTCATTTGATCATGGATACTCTTTTGTTTTCAATACAGGTACAACAACTCAGGAGAGAACTTGGCGATGTCCAGGGTGAGTATGCAAGGCTGTTGGCTGAATCTGAAGGGATGGGCATATGACTAAGGAAGAGAAAAATGTAGATAGATAATTTCCTTCAATTTTTGTTCCACTTGGTATATAGCACGATCTGATGTTTTTCAATAGCTTAGCAATATGATGGGTGAAGAATATAACGGCACTGTGCTTGCAAAAGGGGAAAAAAAAATTATGATGGTTTTGATCTGGGCAGGGATTCAAATTCCCCCCCTTCTCTCTTCTGGTGCAAATAGAAAGAAGTATATTACTGAAATATGGATAGGGAACTCACGCTGTACAGCTTTATGCGTTAATATCATCAATAGTTTGCAGCAAGGCCTTCTTTTTTCGGTGATCATGCAAGCTCTCCCTCTCTCTCTGTCTCACTATTTGTTTGTTGAATGACTTCAAAATTATGATAATTATTTAAAAAATTTCTTGACGCAAAAGAATAGTGGTACTCCCATAAGGGGTGTCCATGGGTTGGGGTTTAGCTCAAAAGATTTGTTATCTGGCCCAAAAAAATTAGCTTGAAATTTGAGACTCAATAATTAGCCCATTTAAGCCCAATATTTTTGAATGTTTAGTAGTGATATTTGACTTTACTTTAAATTCAAAAATGTAATTTATAAAAATATTAAGTTGAAAATTTTTTAACGAATAATTGGCTATGAATATTTTTTTAAAACTTATTTGACTTTTAAATACCACCTTCAAACTTATACTCTATTAAGTCTTCTTTTTTATCAAATAGTTGTCAATAAATATAAATTTTAAAATATTTCAAATTCTTTTTGAAATGTATTCTATAATTACTCTTATCATAAATATTGTCTATCATTATTAGTTTCAATATTTTCAAATATAACAACTCATAACTTAAAAATTGTGCTAGCATTAGAAATAATTTTAATGCTTGCACAATTTTCAAATTATGAGTTGTTAATAGTAATACAATTATCAATTTAAGAGTTGTTAGTTTTTTCAAATAAGTTTTGATTAAGTATAACTATTAAAGATATTTTGGACAATAGAGATTAAAATGAACTTACCCTCAAACAAGTTTTTTTTGTGTACTTAAGTTCAAATAAATCTACAAAAAAGAGACTGGCCTTCAAAGGGCCCATTTTTTAAATAAAATTATATAAAACCCGCTTAATAGGCCCACCCAGTGAATGATTGATTGGGTTGCGAGTAGCCTATCTTTATGCAAAGCCTAACCTGATAATTCACCCGGATAAGAGTTTGAGGTTACCCTATCCAGACCCAAAAAAATTTTGCAGGCCTACTCCGGCCCGGACCATTGACAACCCTCCAGAGCTGATATGCATGTTCAACTTCGTACAGATAAGTGAATAAACCAAAAAAAAAAATGGATGCCAAAGGCAACCTCCATTTTCAAAAAGATTCGCATGCCAATTCATCTTACCATGTTATTTGTTTTGAAGGAAGTACTCGTTAAACTCTCTAATTAACAATTACCATAATCGACATAAGCTCTTATAGTCATTGTTTTTCACAAAGGTGTGCCCGGTTTCCTGAACATTCTCACCGCAGCACTATTGTTTGTCGATATGCCTCAACCACGTGAACATGAAAAAACACAAAGTAATAAAGCCTTCATCTTCACACAGTCCTTTTGGGGAAGGCCTTACATTGCACTAAATCAATCTCCTTTCCTCACAGTGGCCCCATAAGTACTTCTGCAATATCAAATGTCTGTTTTTTTTATTTATTTAAAAGTAAACCTCGACATAGCGAGTGTATTTTATTAATGCCTTCAAAGAATTACAAAAATAATGGGGGTGACATCATCAGCCTTACCCCTAATTTGAAAATGTAAAAGAAATAAAATTTTAAAGAGTCGTATAAAAGAAATGAAGGAATCAAACAATCAGAATTGTCTGGTTATTGAAGCCTTGATAACTACATGAAACAATATATTGTTAAGAAGAATGAATATACAGAGAAAATCATTGCAAAGAACCACAAATTTACCAGAGACTTCACTATGGAGCTAAAGATATATATAGGAGGACTATGCCGCAGTTGAAAAGAAGAAAAGGGAAGCAACTAAGAAGACTAGAAGTACAAGGAACTTAAGTGTTACTGTCCTATTATATTTTATTTTTCCATTTACGGGGCTACAATGTAACTACTAATTCAAGAAGGATGAAAATATTCAATTAAACTTAACAAAGCCTTATCCTAACTATTTGTAGTCATGAATACTTTTTCGCTATCGTACTCTGTCAAGGATTGAGACTATGTTTACAGTAAGAGTAAAAGCAACCATGTCTTTTTTACTATATCATTCCAAGCTAATTTTGTAGTCACTTTTCCCCAATAGTGCATTTTTGGTGTTAATTTTTTTTTAAACGGAAAAGGGACGTAATTTCCATGTACCATTGTGTGTATGTTTCAGCCTCTTCTGGGCAAGGAAAAACATTTATCTTCACTGATTATTATTTATTAACTTTTTGAGGGGGGACAGAGAGATGCATACCACTTTAAATCAAAAAATGGACAGTAGTAAGACATACCAAATCTGAAATGACCAGGCTCATGTTTTATGTTTAAGAAGCCTTCATATGAAAGCCTGCTTTCTGATCCATCAACTCTGTCATCCAGCAGTTCATGTCATAGATAAATCAGCTTCACTTCATTAGAAGTGACCACAGTCTTGCTGCCTTATATCAGAATCAATCTCCTCACCGTAAATGCATGAACATTGAAATGAGCAACCTATAAAAATACCATGTCACAAGAGGAGAAAGTTAAAACAGTGATTCAACTAAAAAGCCATCAGCAAGTCTTCTCCCACTGATTTGTAGTGCTGAGAGGGGTTAATGTGACACAAACCTTCAGGAACCTGTTGCACAAAGTGGCTGCTTTCATACTGTAACCTGTATTCTCATGCTTTGCAGCTTGACCTTCTACCGGCACACAATAGTCCCCATGATCCAGTATCAAACTGTGACATACAAGTTTCTTTATTGTGTTGGGGATGGTCATGCTGTATATGTTTAAATAAGAACAGGATTCACAAGAGCGTCACCGTGTCCAATGCTTGTCATCTTCAGATTCACAACAAGAATTACTTGGGAATTTCCAGAGCATCCATCTTTGGATTTCATTTTATGGAGTAACCTTTTCAATATGTAGGCTACAAATGGATCAGCTTTCTATAGAATCAGCATTTCAGACTTCAATAATTCTAGAATCCCATATATATCTGCAGACTCAGAGTGAGTTTCATCCTGAGAATAAAAAAGATGGAGATGGTTCCTCACCTCGACCCAACTACACCCACCACTTTTCTTCACTCCCTTCTCCTTCATCAATTTTCTGGTACTCAGAACATCAATCCATCTACCAGCCGAAGCATAAATATTTGACATCATGACATAACCTCCAGACTTTTTCTCTGACAGTTCTGAGAGCTTCCTGGCTGTCCTTTCTGCTATTCTCTCATTGGTATGTGTTTTACAGCCACTCAATAATGCTGCCCATGCATTGATCTCTGGTTGATATGGCATGGTAGTGATGAATTTCTCTGCCTCTAAAAGGCGCCCTGACCGAGAAAGCATATCCGCCACACAGGTGTAGTGTCTATTCATTGGCCTTACACCATAAACCTTCTCCATTGAATTGAAGTACCAGAGTCCTTTATCAACTAGCCCACAATGGGAACAAGCAAATAAAACTGCTAAAAAAATGAGCTCATTAGGTGCAACTGATGAAGTCTTTTCCATTTCTTCAAACAGAGTAAGAGACTCCTCTGCAAAACCATTTTCTGCAAGACCTTGAATCATAGCAGTCCAAGAAATTTCATTCTTCGTGGGCATTCTGTTGAATACCCTCTTAGAGCTCTCAATATCACCACATTTTGCATACATATCCGTAAGTGCTGTGTCCACAAAGGTATCATACTGAATCCCAAGTTTGATAACCTTACCATGAAGGTTCTTGCCTTTTTGTACTGAGGCAATGCTCGCACATGCACATAGAACACTAGAGAAAGTAGATTCACTAGGTGTTTCCCCTGACAATAGCATCTCATTGAATACTTCAAACACCTTATCAGATTGTTCATTCTCCAAGTAGCCAGCAATCATAGAGTTCCAAGATATGTTATTTTTCTTGGGTATCTGGTCAAACAGCTCCTTGGCTTCTTCCAATTGGCCATTCAAACTATACCCACTTACCATGGAGTTCCAACAAACAACATTCTTTTCCAAAATCGAGTCGAACACTACATGACCATCTTCAGTTTTTCCACATTTACAATACAAGTCAATAAGTGAGCTACCAACAAAAACGTCTCTCTCTATCCCAATTTTTGCAACATGTCCATGAATATTTTTTCCTGATTGCAAAGCCTCAAGGCTAGCCAAAGCACTGATCGTGCTAGAAAAGCAAGATGTGTTTGGCCTAAACCCATCCTGAACCATATGGTGGAACAGTTTCACTGCCTCTTCCGCATGACCAGACTGACTGTACCTTGCAATCATTGCACTCCAAGAAACTTCATTTCTTTCCGGCATCTCATCAAAGACCCGACGAGCTTCTCTCAAGTCTCCCATCTCAACATACATGTCCAGAATAGCTGTCCAAGAAACAACGTCTCTGTTTTCCATTTGATTGAAAATCCTCCGAGCCAAATCAATTTCACCAAACCTTATACTAAATGTAATCAAAGAATTAGAAACGGATAAATTGTGCTCAAATCCAACTTTAACGATCAAACCCAATACACTCATGCCCAAGCCAATGTCACCAAACTCTGCACATGCTCTAACGACAGAAGTAAAGGTAATATCATTAGGCATTACCCCAGATTGAAGCATTTTCAAAAAGACTTTGATAGCTTCGAAAGTTAATCCATTTTTCACCAACCCACTAATTCCTGCTGTCGATATAAACACATTCTGAAATGGGGTTCTCTCAAAATACCACATTGCTTCTTCCACTCTTCCATGTTTCAATAAACCCGAAATCAGCGCGGTCCACGAAACCTCGTTTTTATGGGGCATTTCATCGAACAGTTGACGAGCTCCATCAAGATTTCCCCAATCGACATTAGCAGCAATCAAACAATTATGCACGACGAGATTGAACCCATTAAACTCCTTTAAAATTTGGTCAGTTTCAGCAGATTTTCTAGAATTTAGGTACATAATAAGCAATTTAATTGCTATATAATTTTCTGATGAAATACCCATTTTGATTAAATGGGCATGAAGGACACTCCCATGAGTAAACAAGCCTTGTTTTGAGAAATCTTTCAAGAGAGAAACACTTGTTTCTATGTAAGCTTTGAAGCTATTTCCTGGGTTGATAGCGAAGAGAGTTTTCAAGGCACTTCTCATACTGTAAACAAGATGCAGAAATATACGGGAAGTTTAACATTGCTCTTGCGTTGTTTATATGGCGCCCGTCAAAAGTACTAAAATGTACTTAAAACGGGGCTGATTGGGTTAGTTCGATGCCTAGGAAGGACAGTGACTCAACAGTGATTGGACTTTTGTACCACAATTGTCGAGCGTGAAAATATGAAGCGTAAGATTAGGAAACGATACAATTCTGAAAACTATAATTCTTTTAGATGTAAGTTATAATTTTAAAAAAATAATCAATTATAGAGTGTCATGATCTTTTCTTAAAATAATTATAACTTCTTATTTTAATATCATAATTTTATCATAAAAAATAATAATCGACAATTTATCCTAAACTTTCCCGTAATGTCTACGGTACTAATACTATTTGGTGTAATCATCTATTAACTAGTGCTCTTTTACCTAATCATCTACTAACATGGGTGCTCTACAAAATTCAGTGACCATTATTGATATAATATACAACCATCTCCACGTAAAAAAATATAAGTGCACTTTATCCAGTTTTTTTTTGGGTCTCTCAAGAAACAAAGACACATCAAACAACAAAAAAACAAGAAGCAGCAGCCAAAAGGAGTCTAATTTATCCAGTTCATCCACATAATATATAATAACTTTCATGTAAAGAAAATAAGTCTACTTTATCCCGTAAATGTTGGATGTGCGGCATGTGCCTTCAAAATGGTAAGCCAATGGGAGGGAAGGTGGTCGCAATCCCACCCTAGGAAAACTGCCCTCACCTGAACTTTTTTTTTTTTTTTTTTTTTGTTTTGTTGTCCAAACGGTAGCCGTCTCACGTGACATTTTATCACTCAACATAACAACAATTAAACAGAGGGTGAAAATTGGAAACGACTTTAGGCTGCAGAATACATAAGGGGGTAGGATTTCATCAAAAACATTTTCGTTGGATAACAAACAACATAATTTCACCAAGAACATCCTCCGAGATATGTCTTGTACAATGACAAATGTTGTAGCGCTTATTTTTCAATGGTCGGTTTGAGACCGTACCAACACCATAATCGTTCTGCATAACGGTCAGCACAGGCTTCAGTAGATCGGCCACCACCTAGCAAGTATCGGAGAACACAAAAAAATGAAAAGCAATATTGTTGATCCAAATGGTTCATAACAAAACTTTGCTGATGCAAAGAACCGCTACTATTGTTGGAGCTATCATCATCCAGTTCCTTATATGTACATATATTGTTGATTTACATTCGTTGCTACAAAGTCCTCAAAAAAGAAACGACAAATTCCTCAGTTGATTTACGCCGGGAGAAGAAAAGAAAAAGAATCATAAACAGAATCATGTAAGTCACTACCTGAAAGAAACATTCTCAAAAGATCAGATTAGATGATCATTTTCTCCTTCTACCTCAAGTGATGATATGATTCCGTAGAGCTTTGTTCTTAAGTCGAGAAAACACTTCATGACATGCTGACAGGGGCAAAACCCACCAACCATTCAGAATTCCAATTAGGGTGAACTTCTCATCGTTTAGTTCAACTCTAGCCACACAGAAAAACATGTGGTCTTCGACTTCAATTTTTGTCGCATATAATGACTGCAGTGAAACATAACATAAGCAAACAATTAAGGACTTCAGTAAAAAGAGATTATACTTGAAATTATCAAGATAAACTGACATGGGGGGTGGGGGTGGGGGGTTGGGGAAGAGTTGAAGAGACCAGGATGATCTTCTAGCGCAAGCAGTGCTATGAAGAAGTTCCGGATGAGCATAAAGGAGACCTATCTGACTTTGTTAGTTGTGCCATTGCAAGCATAATTGCATGCATTGGATAGATTCAACTATTTCTCGTATCGAAAAGAAGTTGCCTCAATAGCCAGCCAAACACTCTGAAGGAAACTCTCTCGTAACACGTTCCTTCTATGACCAGATAAAGTGCAACTGATGTAGAAGTCGTCTAATAAAGAATAAATATGTATCTGATTGCTGGCTCCCTGACGGAAGTGCAAGTGGCCCTAAGAGGCAGACGTCTTAGAGTAAAGTAAACTGTGCTAGTCTATGCGATAGTTCCTTAGGGATGCTACAGAAAAAACAAGGGCATGACACTCACCTTAAATTTGTACAAGAAGGGGTGTTGGCGCAATACCTCATGCCGCAACTGAAATATTTAAGAAAGGAAATGTCAAACAATAGTCACACACACAGCAAAACCTCATTGATGTGCATATAAACCAAACATAAGCCACCCATCTGAAAATTCAGAGATTTACTGGGCCATATTTCTAAAAGTTCTCTGCAAATTCAGTCTGCAGATCCTCTAGACCGTGCAGTGGCGGTAGCCTCGTGCACTAAGCTGACGTTTTAATTTAAACCCAAAAATCTCCAAAATTGAGGATCTAGCTGTCTTGATCAAGCTAAAAGTTCAACTTCGCAATTTTCGCATGCCTCAAACTCATGCAAAAGCAAAAGGAGGAGTGCAAATTGGTAATCCAGACCATATTGTAAACTGGACGAGTTTTAATGGGGTCTAAACATGTACATCAATAAATATCTACTTGCAAGAGGGGAATTACAGTGATGCTGTTAGAGCAGTAGTAATAGGGTTTGCAGTTCATACCAAACCACAAGCCAAAATAGTATAGACCCACCCCATTTTCAAAGGCTACCCAAGAGTTGTCAGCCAACTTCAGCCACCATTGTATTTGGCCTACGACCCAAACTAGTAGTATGCAGAACCAACCCCAATTATTGGTCCCACAAAAATCTTGCTCATCAGATCTCTATTCATACACTAAATCCTCGCTCAGCTATATAGTCCAGTGATTGAAAAAACTCATATGAGGGGATGAGTGCACTAATAATAGTTAATAGTTGTATTTTACATCTCTCTAGGAGTTAATGTTGTTTTCAGCTCCCCAAGTTTGCAAGGTGCAAATCAGAGTCAATTTTCCATGTTACGTCCCCACCTGATAGTGGCATATTGCTTCCCAAAATTTTAATGCGGCAAATCAAAATGTAGAACTTCATAAATACAGCACATGGAGATTCAATGCTTACCTGTTCAATGAATAAATAAACTGAGAAAGGGCTGGGCTTAGTGCCAAGAAGAATAAGAATAACTTTAGCTGCAAGGATAATGGGATGACCCCAGTTCATAAAGACAGTTGCAAAGAGAAAAACAGGCACAAACAATTTCCTTGCAAAAGTCAGAATAGTGTGTGGATCTTCTTCAGAGCCTGAAGCAGCCAACAAGTCATCCCGATGATTGTCCCCCCAAATATCAAAGCCTACAATATTGAAAATCTAGACACTGAGACCTTTGGAAAGGACAGCTGGTCATGACTCGTGAAGTATATGAACTGCAATGCATCAACCAACATGGTATACTTACCATCCATAGCATATGCAACTCGTGGCCAAAGGCTAATGGATCCGACTAGAAATGACACGCCAAATATAGTCCTCATACCAAATTCGAGTCCTGAAAGGAAGCCATCATAACAAGATTTTTAATACGGCCTATGCTGATAGCAATAGCAGAAATACAAATTGAATTGGTATGGAAAATACAAAAAGAACAGCCACTTGCCCTCTCATTACAAAATCTATCAAAAATCACTTTCCACTTTGCAACTCAAGTCCTACAAGCCCTTCACTTTATTGAATTTTTTGTGGAAAGTCATGCAGTTAATTTCCCTTTCAAACAAGAAACAGCCATTTCGTAATAAGAAAATGCACGCAGGAGAATAAGAAGTGTCAACGGAAAGCCCTTGAGATAAGCATTGCCTGTCTGTCATGAGTGAGCGCCTAAGCTTCTGAAATTGATAGCTTCCCACTCAGCCAAAGAATCAACCTTCATGAAATGATTGGTGCAACAAAAAGAACAAGGCAAAGATCCAAATTTTATTACAGCCCATGACAATATGCCCATGGGCGTTGTGTTAAACAGTTAGCACCGTTCTTAACAGTTTATGAGATTCCTTTACAAGTACCTTTAGCCAAATCATGGCTCTTAGATTATACCCATTATCTTCAAAAGAGAAAAGATACCTGCTTTGATGGGCATAAATGTCCAGACCCCAAAAAAAGGGCATGGAGGAACTGAAGGTACACTGAACCAAATGCCTGTTTTCTTTTTCAGGCAAGTGACCCAAATCATGTGTTGAACACCAATAATTGTGACTCAATTCCCCCCTCCCTCTTCACACAAAATATGGAAAACTAAAAAAAAACCAAAAAAGCATAATCAAGACTTAGTTTTGGGTAAAGCCAGAAGAACCACTACAATCTTTGGGCGGAAGAGAAATAAACTGAGACTGCATAAAAATTGCCACCAAGAAGATAACATCACCTTGTAAGCAAAGTGGAGCATTCAAATGTAATAGTTACAACCCTAGGTCAATCCTTCAAAATCTGAAGAGAAGCTACAATGTGCTGAACTGTTAAAGCTTGTTCTAGATTCCAGAAGAAAGAATAACCTCGAGAGGTGAAAAAAAAATATTGAAATATAAATAGTTAAATTACACCTTCTCCAATAACTTAAACTTTTGGAATAGATGGCTGTCCAACATGGTAACATGGTATCAGTGCAGGAGAAGACTTCCACGTATTAGGCCCAAACTATAAATTCTTTACACTTTCTCCAACAACTTAAACTTTTGAAGTAGATCGTTGTTCAACACAAATCAATGTGCGGCAAAGGGGCAAAAATATTCGATGTTCAGCAGAGAAGTTGTATTCCTCTATACCTAATCCAAGACACACTTTCACAGTGTGTCACCGCACTGCGTGCCTCTACACATAATAGTTCTAATTCTTTCAAACAAAAGCGAAACATACACATACATAAATGATCTACGTCTAGAATATAAGAAATATCCATTTAAAATCTGACCTGAATTGTAGAGATTGGGCCTCCTATACTGAAATGTTGGTAAATATAATCTCCGAATCCAATGGGAAGTTGGAGCACGAGTCCGCAGTACAGGTTCGAGGAACTTTATCCAAGTCTTTAGAGGTTCCAATCTGCCATAAACTGCACAGGAGTTACATGATGGAAGCAATAGAGTGAAGATATTGACAAAGCCGCACATTTACCGTAAAAATCATGGAATTTCAATCATTCAATAGCTCAACTCTAAGCATATATACATCGGGACTTACATGGAAGTCTTGAATGATAGAGGAGCGAATAAGGAGAGGCTATTGATGAGAAAGATGACCTAATGGGCAGTAGAATTCTCGCTGTAAGCGCCATTCCTGTATATATGACCGTGTCACGTCATCACCGATAGCTAGGGGAACAATTCGTTGAGCTCGATTGCATCTCTATCCCAGGACTCAGTTTCGAGTCGAGTCGAATCGAATCGAAAAGAAGCAAATTTCTTTTCCTTCCTCGGTTTTAACTCTTTGTTTGTCTCTGGGTTTTGGACAGAAAATCTAAGAACGAATTCTGAATAAGAGAAAAAAATAAAGGGTTAATTACAAATTATCCCCTCTAACTTATGGTGATATTGCAATTAACTCCCTAAAGTTTTAATTTGAACAAATTGCCCCCCTTTTAGTTTGAATATTTTTCAATTATCTCTGACCTTCCATTTCCATTTCCATTTCCAAATGTGAAAATAACATAAATTTGGCAAGTGAACAGTCAAATTTACACCTAGTTAAGTTTTGGATAAATTATATTTATACCCTTAAATTATCATCTTTTTTCACTTTTCCCCCTCGGCTAGCTGTGCCCCACTTATTAAGTTTCACCTTACCCCATTTATTAACATCCATGATATATTTAACGGAAAGTTATTTCATTTTGCCCTTTAAACTATATAATTTTTTTCACTTTATACTGACACATCAACAATTTTTGTCCAAACAATAATAGATGTTTGCAATTGTGACAATGTAAAATAAAAGTATTAATTGAGAGTATAATGTGATAAATCTGATAGTTGAGGGGGTAAAATAGAAAAAGCATTATAATTCAAGGGGTTTAAGTGTAATTTGTCCGTAAGTTTTTGCCCCAGTCTGTAAACAAGCTCCCCCCATCCACCATCCCACCATCCAAACCCCTTCAGCACCAAACCTCCTCTTCCTTATGCGAGTACCTTTCTATATTCCATTCAGCAAACCTTCTTCCCATGCAACAATCCTATACAAGAACACGCATAGACATAAGTTCCATGAACAATTGAACCATTATCGTCCCATCCACCAATGACCAACCCATACGATAGACCCACGCATACACAAATCCCGTCGAAGATCACAAAGTCCCCCCTTACTATTGCTCACTCAATAAATCTGTCTCTCCCTCTCTCATTGCTTGTATATGCATAAATTCGTTGTTTGGTTGCAAAATTGGGTTCGGTATTTTTGGGTTGGCATCGGCGTGGGCAGATCTGAGGTGTTAAGGGGATGGGGGCTTGGGGCAGTCAATTTATACTGAGAAAATAAAGAGAGAGATGGACACGTTAATGTCCAAGCACCACCTACCATGTTTTCCAAAATACTCTCAATAGAGTTCGGCAGAACTGGGTGATGGAAAGTTATCATAACACATTGATCTTCTGTAACCTAAGAAATCCCACAAATGATTCCCAAAAGCATATATCTACTTGGTATCTTTCTGCTAAGTAAAATCATTTCAAAATCTAGCCCACAGACAATAGCATGTAATATTTTAAGCTAACAATTTACAACTTCAATCTTGCAGCATTTAAGCTAAACAGCCTCTAACTCCGAGATCCCGACCGGCTTCTCTTTACCATTTGAGATTAATCATATTGCCGACATTTGCCTGTTCCAGCACAAACCAAACACTCATCCACATCTCCGGCAACATGGCTTAAGCAATGTTTGATTCTGTCATTCATAACATCCTGTAATGCCAAACCTTTTAAGGTTAGAGTGATGACTGGCAGCCTTTCAATTGCAATTAAGTTTTCTATAAATATGAACTAAAAATTAAACCTTATTGATCACGAGAAACAACGAAAGAAAAAAAGAACAGAAATAAAATAATCTTGGCATGGTTGCCTCCATAGTGACAAGATTGGAATTGATGGGTTACAGCAATGATTAAGAATTTGATTCAGGAAGATTCAAAAACCTAAAAGTATTAGGGCAACCAGATATAATGACAAATAAAATGGAAAAAAATCAAAAAGACTTTGCACATAAATTTGAGAAAGGAAATCAAACCCCCACGGGGATGGAAGCCAGAAAACACACACTCATATGCTGCTACATCAGTTTTCAAAAGCACAGATAGTAAACTAACATCATATTGTAAGTTTAAAAATGATGAATTGAGTAATTTTTAAAATCAGACTACGCTGATTCACAAACATGATTACAATTTAAAACACTAGTAGAGTTTGAAAATTTTCAGCCAGGGTCCCAGGATGAATCTTTCAAAGAAACTACATGAAAGAAAAAATGAGGAAAAAGAAAGAATTTCATACCACGAGCAGCTCATGCAGGCCAATAGGTGCAGTTACAATATATGACGCCCCTGGGTGCTCCCTTGCAGCTTCGGCAGTTAAAGAAGGAATGTGCTGGAAAATAAGGACGGGCATTTTGAATGTCAGTATCTTTGATATTTGTTAGAATTTTTTCGTTATTAGATAAGTACTGAACGATTGGTGTCAGTGTCATATATTGTGTATAAAGGTATATTTAACCAATTACCAGATAAGAAGGATTACCTGGTGCCAATGTCGTCCAGGGAACAGGAAAAATGGGCTTACAATTACACGATTTGCCCCTTGTTGAACACACGAACTAAATGCATCTCTTATTGCTGGTTCTGCAAGCTCCTAGTTATATTAAAGAAGACATGAAGGGGTGAGAATTTGGTTGCAAGCACATAGCAAAAAACATCATGAAAATCAAGAATGCATAATAGATGCCAAAATACGTGAATAGAGGGGTGTGTGGTTACAAGCACTAGTGGACATGTGCAAATAAGTGTGCTTTTACTTTGCATTATAAGTTATAACAACATATCACAAAGAACATAGGATTTGTTAGAAATCCTAAACAAGATGATCCAAGTAGAATGATAAGAACAACATATAATGCACCATAGTGTTATTGAGCAAATAATGAAAACGAAGTGACTTAAATCTTCGCTCTCTTATTTGGGACATGAGAACATAATTTCCCACTCTATTACATAAATCTTTGATCCAAAGGACTCTATTAACAAAATTAATCATAAAGCATGTCTACGAATATTCGTGTACGTGTAGGCTAGTAATATGTTGCACGCGTATTTTAATATTCATCTGTTTCCTCACCAACCAACCAAATGTTCATTACCATATGAGCAGGTTCTACAATCAGGTACCCAGTTTTATCTCTAAACATAGCCACAAACTCATCTGAAATACATGAAATTGAAGTCAGAAGTTCCTTAGCACATAGCTAAACAAACATTAGCCAACCATGAAACTACAGAAATGCCACTAATTAAAACATCATGATAACAGTATCCCTATAATACGATTAGAGTAGCTTACTTAACATAAGATTGGACTCCTTCCGACGCGACCCATGGTCAACAATGATAACGCCATCTCTGTCCCCAACCCCGTGAAATTCCTGCCTAAACCCACTATTTGCAGTGGCCAAACATAATCTCGTGGGTAAATAACTGTTTTCTGATGGATAATTACGCAGTTCCACACATCTGGGAAGTAACCATCCATTTTTTCTTCCAGTTTCTCTAGTTATAGGGCTTCAATTATCCCAAGAACAAAGAAAACCCCAATCATCGACTGTCCGAGAAACATACATAATAAATTCATAAAATGGAAAAACGAAAAAAAAAATTGGGATGAAACTATTTCGAACATAACAAGCAATGGGGTTAGCTAGGGTTTATTCAGTTTTCGATCAAATGCTTAATATTGTCAAGTACATGTGTCTGTGTTTATAGGGGCCAGAGACAGTACCTTCTAACACTGAAATGAGATGGCAAAAACGATGACTCCATTGAATAGTTTGCTATCACGCGTGAATTTCAGCCAATTTCGTGTTTGGAAGTTATTTTCATTTCCAGGACACGCAAATGGGCACAAATGATACGCAGACAGACTTGGGCCAAACAACGTAAGCCCAGCCCACTGGCACACAATTAATCGCAAGTAGTAAAACTATTAGTGGGCGCCGCGTCTGCTGTACAAAATTTATTTTTCTAACAGTTACCATATTTCACTATTTTTAACTTTTCTATTATTAAGAAATTATCTATTAATTAAATAAAATAATATTTATTAAATATAAATAAAGTGAAGAAAGATGAGTAAAAATTTAAATTTGAAATAATATAAAAAAATAGTGAATCTAGTTACAAAAGATGAAATGAGTAGTTAAATAAGTGAAATAGAATAATTTAATTGGAATGGTTAAATAAAGTGAAGAAAGATGAGTAAAAATTTAAATTTGAAATAATATAAAAAAATAGTGAATCTAGTTACAAAAGATGAAATGAGTAGTAAAATAAGTGAAATAGAATAATTTAATTGGAATGGTTTAATTAAATATAGTAAAATTTAGAAATTAAGCATTTGGGGAGAAAAAATTCTCATAATTTTACGATATGTCTACATTATAATGTGTATTTTTTCCTTTGACACGTATAATAATGAATACAACGAGAGTCAAACAAATAATTAAAACATTGCTAAAATTGGTTCAAGCAATCTGAATGAAAATATTTCAATGTTATTATATTTGTATTTCCAGTTCAAAGCTTACGAAAAAAATCATCAAAAGTCAATGTGCATTATTTTGTGGAAGATTATGCATATCTGAATCTCTATAATATAATTACGAGTAAATATACAAATGCTTAGGATGGATTTTTTTTTTTTGTATTGTGGTTAGTTATAACTAACATGAATAAATAACTGATTTGATGTGCACATGCACATCTACATACATGAATATATATTGTAATGTTGGTTACATAATGAATAAAGTTTGGTCTAGTACTATGATCGTTGATGATAAATGAGTTGGTACTCCTACCAAATCACATGTCGATTTAATCCTTCACCTAATTTTAATGATTGAGGACATTATACTTAGTAGGTGCTCTGTTTTATTAAGACAATGAATAATAAAAAAGTACATATACTAATGTAAGAAGAGCTCCAATAAGCATTTTCATAACAGCAAAAGATATTGCTGTTGGTTGTTCTCTCCTTGTCATATTTGAAACTTTGTGTACTTTGCTTTTTGATGCTTTAATTCTAAAGCACTCTTCTTAAATGCTTAAGCAACATTACCACTTTTATGCCAAACCTCCGCTTTCAATGTGGATCGTGTGTGTTGTCCCCCTACAGACTTTTTTACATTGGGCTTCTCCTTTCCCTTTTTGGTAGTTGGGGGTTGGCTTGGAGGAATTATGTTTTGGTTCAATGATCAATAGTTCTTGACATCAGTTTTTGTATTTTTTGATAAATGGTTTATGTTGGGACTAGGATATTCACGAATGATCAATCTCTCATGACCTGATCTCAAAAAATCGTCAAAATTCAAATTCAATACATCTGAGTTTACAGCTCGTCTCTATTGCCACTTAAAATATTCTTAGAGTTGAAAGATTACATTTCTAGAGATGTCTTCCATGGCGTCAAACAATAATAAGCAAATACTACACCTACACCTACACCAATTATTGACTTAATGCCATTGAACTTAACAGCGGACCCCATAATTAATTAAGACTCATTACCAATTTAATGAGTAATGTTACATGAATCTAATTTAGGGACCTACTAATCCAATATTATCATCGGATTTGTTGCGAGTTTTCATATTAGATGAAACTCACTTTCAATCAAATGGTTATACTGAATCAGACCCCGCACATTAGATCCTCAAAATAAGTTCAAACATTATTTTCCCCAATTCATTAGATATAATATATTAATTACATCTAAATAGTATTTTTCAATAATATTATGAGCTTATTTTTCTACAATAAGAGTTAAACAATGCAAAAAAAAAAAAAGGAAGGGGGAGGAGGTGTAAATATCACCTTAAATTATATCCTTGATTTCTCTTTATTCTTAAATTTTGAAAATATGATACCTTTAACAATTCCGATTATTGACATTTTGCATGAAAACATAAAATTTTGGAACAAAAATAGTCTATTTGGTAGTCTAAAAAATAATTAACATAAACTCTTTATATTTAAATTTTAATAATCTATACAAGGTGACACGAACTGGAACAATTTAAGTGTATAATGTGTTTATCTAAATAATTGAGATAATAATAAGGGAAATGTGAAATTTATTAAATAATTGGAGCAAAACTTGGCAAACTTTTATTTTTAATCCCTTTTTTTGTATATGGTTTTTTTTTTGTTTTCAAATTGTTCAATTTTGAACGAATTTGAAGCATAAGCAAATTAATTTTGAAGGGCAAATTGAATTGTTTCTCCCTAAAATTTTATTATGGGGGGTTTTACTGACATTTTTGAAATATAGTTAGATGGTTGGATAAATCTATAAATAGTAGGTTTAATTGAAATTTCCTCAAAAAATATAGGAAGACTCATATTTTACACCTCAAAAAGATTTAAAAATCTTTATTTTGCACCTCAAATATTAAATTTTTCATATTGTTCCTTTAATATATTAACAATATTGTAATGTAATCGTTCCATTAACTTCGTTGTTTATTCCGTCAAAAATTATCTCATTGATGTTGATGGAATGTCCAGTTCAAAAAAATAGACATTAATGGAATGAGCAACGAAAGTTAACGAAAATACTACATTGTAATATATTTTTATACATTAAGGGTAAAATATAAAAAATTTAATATGTGAGGATATAAAATAAAAATTCTTGAATCTTTCAAAGTACAAAATGCAATTCACCAAAAAATTATCTAAAACAAGAAAATATTGGATGTCATAGTTAAAATACGTCATCAATATCACATAATGTAATCGTCCACTAATGAGTGAACAAATAAACATCTAATATTTAACCCAACCATAAAAAAAAAGAAAAATTATTAGGTGTAATGGTGATTTGGGGGGTGTCGTTGAAATTTTTTCTATATTCTATCTTTAATTATGGTAATTTGGTAATTTAATTATAATAGATAATATAATTGTATATTAATTATAATTTTTTAAGAAAAATAGATTTTTAATTTTTATTTTATTTTAATAAATATCATAATAGAATATGATTTAAAATATTTGATACTCTATTTTTTATTGTAGTATTTTTGATTTAAATATAATATTTTAAATTTGAAAGGTCTAAATATTATATGCGTACAAATTTTAAGAGGTATAAACTTAATTTACTCACAGATATATTAACAAACATTGACGACAGAAGTCTAAATATTACGTGTACAAATTTTAAAAGGTCAACATATAATATTGTAAATATTAAATAATTTAAATAATTATGTGATAAATTTCAGAGAATCTCAGTATTATTCTCTCAATCTTGTGTTATTGGACGGTCGGTCTGATATCGTTACATCCAATATTTACTCCAAAAAGGGATCTGATCCCCTGCCTCACACGCAACTAGCTGTACCGCTTTAGGACTCGGACACAAACAAACCCACTTCTCAAAGCCAGGTCTCGGTCTTTCTCACTCCCCCATCCCCCACGCCACCCTCTGTCGCGCTCTCTCTCTCGCTCTCTCTCTCGCTCTCTCTCGCTCCCCCACGCCACCCTCTGTCGCGCTCTCTCTCTCGCTCTCTCTCGCTCTCTCTCGTTATTGATTAGTTTTCTTTTCCTTACCCAGTCTGTGAACAATAATAAGTGACTGTAATTGTCCACGAGAGTCTCAAGAGTCGCGAAGAACTCTCAGTAATAAGTCTCACAAGCTTCTCGCCTTTCCACGATCTCGTAGTAGCTGCGAATGAGAGAAATGTTTTACGGAATTCCAAGCACTGTATTATGGAGATTTGGATTCTAACCTCCATAGCAATAGATCTGTTTGTGTCGGTTTCTTAAACTCGTTGAGCTTCAGTGAATTGCAATGCGAGAGCGGACTGTAAAATTAGAGTGAAAAGATCACATGGTGGTCGGCTCAATGTTGTTAATGCGATGATGAAGCCCGAATAAACCAGAGAGGGAGGGAAAGTAAAGAAAGAAGGTGCAGAGAGTGAGAGAGCATCCTATATCGATCAGCTTGATTTCGGCGAGCTTCGGTTTTTAGTATGTATTTTTCTTCTTGAAAATTATTGGCAATAATTAGTTTTTTATTACTGATTCTCGAACTTGAAGCCCGAATTTCGGGTACTGCGGTATCTGTAATAGCTCGGAATGGTCGAAAGTGAAGCTAGATGAAGCGAAAGGCCAGTTTCAAACAATCTCAGCACAAATGGAAGATAAAGCTTTTTGCTGCGCTTTTGCTCGTCTTCAGCTTCTCCACTTTAGTATTATTGGAGACACAATACAGTCGAATCAAAGCGTTAGCGTCACTTTCTCCTACATTTGTGCAAAAGCCTAAAATCGCGTTTCTATTTATAGCTCGGAATCGGCTTCCTCTGGACTTGGTTTGGGATGCATTCTTTCAGGTGATTTCCATATCAAGTGATTGTCATCCCCTCATTCAATTCATTTTTACTGTAAATATTGCGTATTATTCAGCCTTGTTTGGCCATTGTTAAGGCCGATTCGAGTGTGCTTTTTATAGACATGGTTATCTACCTTCATAGGTTCTTGTTTGGTTTTTAAGATTGGACCGAGGTTTGCTAACAACTTAACTGGAAACGATAATTTAAATGCTTTAAGTTTTAATGTCATTAGTTTCCCTGTGCAATAAGTGGCTGTTATTACTTACGTGGCAAATGGCAATTGCTAATAAATGAATATTTGATTACATTTAATAGCTTAAATATACCAGTTTGGAGTGTTTTATCAACTGGTGCGCACGTCTGTTTCTTGGATGTTTTTATTTGGCAGGCTCCAACTGTCATCATAAACCACTTCCCATATGTGAATAAGCAGTGTGTTAGTAATATGCTTATCATCCTTTATTACTTTTTAGTTCTATTCGTTATGGGGGGAGGATTAGCCACAGGTGTGGGCCAAACATCAAATGTCGTTACTGTTTCATGTCAATGAGCCATGGCTAAGATACCGTCGATGGTTGATCTCTTACAGTGTATATGATCTTATATGAAGAAGCTCTCACCGTGAATGGTGGTATCTGTCGATTCTCTTCTGTGAATGTTGTGACTAAGTATTGTGGAGGGTGGGAAAAGGGGTGTGTTAGGATTTAGGAACTTGGGATAATCCTGTCAGCTAAGATGATATAGTTTTCACTGAAATTGATGAGCGGCATCCCCTTTAAAATGATCTTGTAAGAAATTTGTTTTTTGTTAGTTAACAAGTCATTGTGGTTAGGAAAATCAAGGTTTAAATTGGCTACTTCATCATGTTGAACAGGGCCATTATTGGTGGTAGTTTGTCCAGTTGGCTATATCCAGTTTTGGTGACACTTTTGTTGACTTGTGTATTTGTTTTGTTCAATGTCACAACCACATGAAATTGAGCTAATGTGAACTAAGTTGTCCGACTACTCCTGAGGAAGAACAAGCCCCGACCCCTGAGCGCTGGGGGGTGGTTTTGTTGTGCTCTTGCTCTCTGTGTCTGCTCATGGGTGTCTTCATGCATTTTTTCCTAAATATTTAACAAAAGTCATTCTGTCTTCCTAAGAACAAGTTACAATGAAATCATACGTCATAGCACATATGCTTTTTTGTGGTTTTGCATTTGTATTCACTTAGAGCTCTTGTTGGTCTGCAGGGGGACAAGGAGAATACATTTTCAATTTTTGTTCACTCTAGGCCTGGGTTCCTGTTCAACAAGGCTACAACCAGATCAGTCTATTTCTTGAATCGTCAAGTGAATGATAGCATACAGGTTTTGCCCCCGTACACATGAAATCTTTCATTGAAACCACTGGTGTCATAATTCAATCCTCTTCTCCAAGGTCCCTCTCTCATAGGCCAAAGTTTGTCTCTTGGGTTTCAAGGCTGAGAACAAGATTGCCTCTGAAGACTACCTGAGAACATGTTAGTTAGTTCCCTAGCTGATGACAGGCTGGTGCAATACTTTGTCTTTCCATGTGCAGAATGAGATGCGCTACTTTAAGTTCAATCTACTGTACCATCACTCCAACATCTTTGTTTCAATTTTTTTGAACTGTTACAATGGGCCACTGAAGGAGGGTAAGCCCTCCCCCAGACTATGCAAAATCTTTTGACATATCCTAACGTAAGCCACAACTGAACTCAAGAAATTGGTTGCCTTCAGAGGATTTGGAAAGTTGGCTTGTAGGGCCTTGAATGAAGTTTGCCTGGATTCAGGGTAGTTCCTGTTCGGATAGAGCAGAGTCTAGGATTAGCTCATATTCGTGGGATTGTTCATTTGGCCAAATGTTTACATAGTTAGTAACATTTTGACCCCTGCAGGCCTACATTGTGCTTAACTTATCAAGTTAACTCTCAAGATACTAGTTTTTATTGGCTAATAACATTTATTGAGTTTGCTTCTTCTCCAGGTAGATTGGGGAGAAGCAAGCATGATCCTGGCAGAGCGTATTCTGCTTCAAAATGCCCTTGTGGATCCTTCTAATGAACGTTTTGTTTTCCTTTCAGACAGGTGAGGTTTGGTTTTTGGATGGATGCTTGGACATTTATCATGCACATTATTTTCCTGCATCAAAATTCTAAGAGAGTATTTTTCTTTTTCCTTCCCCTTTCTTCCACTTCTTTTGGGTGGAGTGGGGGTGGTGTTTTTTTTTTACATCAAAAGAGATGTTTATTTAGTTAATTAAATGAAACATTGACCTTTTTTAGTCATTTGCTCTTGTTCAAGTATTAAATATTAGGTTCTTATTTGTTTAATACAATTTTTTCTCATATAATCTAATGCTATTTCTGCTAATTAACCACATTTCAGCTGCATACCCTTGTACAACTTCAGTTACACGTATGACTATATAATGTCTACATCAACTAGTTTTGTGGACAGGTAAGTGGGGATGATTCATCTTTATATTCATCAATTTGAAACCTGCAGTAGATTGCAACTAATATTATGATTTCAAGCTGCTTTTAATTTTTTTTTGTGTATCATTTCATTTATATTCTCTACGGCCTATAATATGTGACAGATATTGATAGACAACAATGATTTTATGTTTCAAAACAAGGAGAGTAGTTACTAATTTTTTGTGGTATATTTGATTATGGAAGCAGCTTTGCTGATACAAAAGAAGGCCGGTACAATCCGACAATGCATCCTGTAATTCCTGTTCAAAACTGGAGGAAAGGATCTCAGGTAACATTTACATTGTTTTGGGTCACTTCCTTATTTTTGATGGGAAAACCCACTGAATAAAAAAAAATGATAAACAGAGACAGAAAAAGAGGGGGGGGGGGGGGATATTGTGCAATGTTATTGCAGAACGTAATTCTGTTTCTCTTACTTTTTTGGCATTATCTTCTTGCAGTGGGTTGTTCTGACCAGAAAGCATGCAGAAGTCATAGTGAAAGATGATGCTGTCTTTCCTATGTTTCAGTGGCATTGCAAGGCAAGTTGTTCAACCATGTTGTCAGGGGAAAAAAAAAGTTTACAGTACTTGTAATATGCTGCAAAATACTAGGTTGTTAATAAAGAATCACAAGCAATACATCTGTTCATAGAAAATCCACATCTCTTTCCACCTGTGTAATAGATCAAACTCAGTACTTTTTGCCTTGGAAATGCCTTCCTGATATCAAGCTGCAATTCATGAGTTTACAGCACAAGTATATGTTGTAAGACCACAAGTTGAAAATGAGGCTTATGTACAAGTTAGTAGACATCCTGCTCCCAGTTTTTAAAGGGAAGACACATTTTGCCCGACCACAATGAGCTACATAGTACATACTAAGTTACTAACTAGATTTTTTCTCCAATTTATATGGTTCTGATCCATCAATGCATCCTTGTCCCTAGGATATATCAAGCTACACCTTTGAAGTTTGATAGATGAGAACGTATTTTTTCCTTTTTTTCCGGAACTTGGTTTTGTCACTTACCTTGGTCCACCTATTTTTTGACATTCACACAGAGAAAGTCATTACCTGAATTTTGGCGGGACCATCCTATTGTGAGTGCTCATTTCTATCCTCTTTATTCTGTTTCCCCAATGTAGAATATTTGCCTTTATTTTGTTTTACCTATTGTCTGCACACTAAATTGGTAGTTTATTTTTAATATTTGGTCATTTATTAACAGCCAAAAGCAAAAGGACAGTTTGCTGGAAATGAATTTTCAAATGCAGGTTTCACATTGTATTCTAAAATATTCTTGCCCTTTGCAGCCTACTGATACATCCAAGGAGCATAACTGTATACCGGATGAACATTATGTTCAAACATTATTGGCTGTAAGTTGATCTGTCACTCAGCTTGCAGGGCCATGTTGTATGGAGAGAGTTTTTTTTCCCCTCTAGAAGGCAAAAACCATTTCGTGCCATAAGTTTGGGCAGAATGGCCTTTACAACAAAATTGTATTCTCAAAAGAAATGTATTTCTGTTGGTGTCTTTCATGACAATGCATTCTGTGTTATTTGGGTGCATTTAAGTCCCGAATTTATTGAAACTTTGCTCTTACCTTAGTTAATTTGGTTAATATTCTGAATATGACTACAATAGTTAACTCATGGATTATCAGTTATCACCTTTGCTTTAGGTGCCGTGATGTATATGCAAATATTTGACTGTATTTCTACCTCAAGGCCATCTATTTGCTGTCTAAAGTGATGGTAGATAATGGTTTTGAGGTTGATCAGAAGTATAGTATCACTCAGATTTGAGTCAGGAAAAGGTAACAATGTCAGCAAGCACTCAAAGGGTTCAGTTGATAGTGAGAGACTGGACTTGGACATAATTTTGAGCCCTATTAATGGCTTCTTCGGTTTAATTCAGCCTCCAGCTATAGCGCCGTTACTCATGTCTAATATTTTCTGGGCTGTATGCCAATTAAAGAAAAAGAAGTAGGAAAAGAAGAAAAATAGAGAATAAATCAAAGTATTTGTAGGAATATATATGATGTGATAGGGAATATGTCTTCAACAAGCTGTCTGTTCTGAAGAGGGACGCATGTGCATTTTCACACAACGGTTGCTTTGATGCTTGTAAATTTGGAGTTGTCTCTTACTATTGCTATTAGTTCTATTTGTTTTTTTCTGAGTTTGCATCTTTCAAATTTTTTAGCAAGAAGGCCTTGAAGAAGAAATCACACGAAGGTCTCTGACTCATACTTCATGGGATCTTTCATCCTCCAAAGACCGGGAGAGGCGAGGATGGCATCCTGTGACGTACAAATTAGCGGATGCGATTCCAAAGCTCATCCGATCTATTAAGGTAGGGATAATTTCTGCTCTAGGCAGACAAGCCTTAACTTTGTGTTTCGAGGGACTGTACAACAGTTTGTCGCTTACCTTCATTTCAACTTTATAAAATACTCATCTTAACAGATTGATAAATATGCAGGATATAGACAATATCTATTATGAAACTGAATACAGAAGAGAATGGTGCACTAGCAAGGGGAAACCCTCCACATGCTTCCTTTTTGCGAGGAAATTCAGTCGGCCTGCTGCTCTACGGCTTCTTAATATGGTATGTTCCTTACTTCAATATCTTAATGTCCTTTGGTCAAAATAAAATTTTGAAAGCCAATACACAACTTCTGGAATTTTGAGGAGTAGAAAGTCTAAATAAAGTAACCGTACACTGTCGGTTCAAATATTGGCTCTGATCCTCTATTTTTTGCTTTTATGTTTTTATCTTCACTTACCTGACTTCAGTATATATGATGAGCTGCTTGTCTCATTTCTGTTTCTCCAGTCTGCGTTGGGAGTTTCTAATGGAGCAAACTAACCTTTACCGTGAAGAAGTGTTTATCGTTTGTAAGTCATGTACCATGCAGAAGTAAAATTAGATTAACATGCACGAGAAACTAGTGCAACTTGTAAAAGGGAATAGAGAAAAAGAAAAGAAAGAGCTGTAAAAAAAGAAAAAAACAAGAGAGGAAATTGTGTATCATCAATAAAATATATATATATATATATTGTTGTGTTTTTTGCAACTGTAATAAGGATGGTCTGATGAACGAAAAAAATGAGTAAATAAAGGAGATGTGATTGTTTTTGTGTGCGTGTGTGTGTGTGTGTATCCTCAGCCTGCACGCCAGTTTAACCTCGTGTAGGCGTGTAGCCTCTCCTGTAAAAACAAGGTTTCAGAAAATATATAGTTCTTCGTGTGCCTGCTTTGAGTCTGTCTCTGCGGGTTTGTGTGTGTGTGAAAAAGAAAAAGAAAAAAATAGTGAGAGACAGAGGGAGAGAATACCCGGTTGATATAGAAGGATGTAGGTGGCGGTGGTGGAGGTGGAGGTTGAGGTTGAGGTACGACAAAGGTGGTTGAGTTTGGTCTAAGCTGGTTTGTGGCATGTTTCTTCTGACTCATCCTTATCAGCAGAAGGTTGGACTACCCTCGTCTTTGGACCAACTTTAAGGAAATGTTTGCTTGTATATCCGGATCCATGCTGTTTACTTATTTTTCTATTTTTTTCCCTATTTTGTATTGTGATCAACTCTGATCTTTGCCTGTTTAGTGGTGGTTTCTTTTGCATTATGATTGTTAGATTACTTTATAAAATTATTTATGATATGATGTCATTAAATTGAATGAAAATTTAATTGTACTCTATGATTATACAATTAAATAAAAATAAAATATAATTGGTTGATTAATTGATTAGAATTTTTCCCACGTGCAATTAGACTATTTCAATCGGAATTGACATCGGCAATAACTCTTTGAACAATGGGAATAAATTTTATGACTATACCACTGTTCGATTCGAGTCTCTTATTAAAAAATCTCGGTACTTTAGCTCATGGGTGCATGGCAGGACCAAGTCAGATATTCAACAGCAGTTAGTACTAGTCAAGGATTGAAATAAAATGTTGTCTAGGATTCTGGATCACATTATCTTTGGAGATGGTTGTCCCCATAGGAAGAAACGTTATGGTTCTCTCTCTCTATCGAAGGGATGGAAGGGCCTAATAATCAATTCATTGGGGGGTTTCATAATTAGGGACGGTAATTTTCGATTCAACATGATAACGTGAATCGAAGTAGACATAAATTTTATGACACGAATTTGATTATAACTCAACATAAATTTAAAAATGACCCGACACGTGAACACGAAATATAAACGAGTAATGTTTGGGTTCAAACTATCAAATCCAAAATTGATATGATCAACTCGTTTATTTAAGAATTGATACTTTTTCTATTTTTTTATTTATATGATAACACGATTAACATGTTTAATTAGTATTATAGAAATAAAATATTAATTATTTATAATTGTTTACAAGCATTGACATAATTATTGTATAAAAAAATATTTTTACTCATTATTATTATTATTATTATGTTTACTAAGGTAATTTTCAGTTTATAAAAAAAAGTATGAGCATGGATTCAATTAAATGAAAATAGAATCTTAATGTTCAATTTTTATTCCAAATTTATGTGAAAAAATAAATAGGTCAATTCGACACGATACGATTAATTAAATGAGTTAAATTAAAATTAATTAATGTTTGATATGAACCTGTAATGACCGGACACGATTCGATTGTTACTCTTACTCACAATGACTAACTAATATGCTTCTCGATCGTGTTTTTCTCCGTATTCTGGTGTCCTACACATAAAAGAACCACACCAATCCGTCCTAAATTTGGTGGTTAAACTTTATCATGGTGACGATCCTGCAATGTATAGTTTATTCCTCTTAAGAATCTTGATGGCCATAACTCGGTCGCTAGTTTGGCTTCAGCCTTCAAGTCCCAAAGCACAGGGCCCAATCTACAATTTCACTAAAATAATGCCTTCAAGCCTCAAAGCACAGGGGCCAATCTACAATTTTACTAAAATAATGCCGCATTAAATTTTAGAGTTAATTGTACTGAAAATCTCTAAAGTATGAATTTTTTTTTGTCCCTCTAATATTTTAATTGTATTATTTTAATCCCTGAAATATTAAATATATTTTTATTTGGTCCCTCAAGCAGACATCATCTAGATTACTAACAATTTTTTATTATAAATTTGTCACGTAATATTTAAATATAGGCAAAAAAATAATTTAAATAACTTTTCATTAAATTTCTATCCAAATTTTAGTCAAAAAGTTATCCAACTAAATTTTAGTCATGAACTATCTAAATTTTGGTCAAGAGTTATTCATATTACACATTTTTTGTCACACAACTACCCAAATTATTTGTTGTCGGTATTTAAATATCACGTAACAATTTTATGATAAAAAATTATTAGTAATTTGAATGTTATCTGATTCATAGATCACATAAAAATATATTCAATACTTTAAAAATTAAAATAATATAATTAAAAAATATTATGAACCAAAATGAGATAAATTTTATATTTTAGAGACTTCTAATCTAATTAACCCTATATTTTAATTTTGTGGATGGTTGTTACAATTCCAATATCAATGCCCAGGCGAGTATAGTTTTAGTTTTTTCCAGAAGTTGAGGAATTTTTTTATTATTTTTTTTTGTATAGGATGTTCAGATTTGAGGTGCGAATATCAGTCCCCGTAACCTTAAAAACATGTGCTGATATATGTTGGAATTGGGCATAATTTCCTATCCTTGTTCCCTCTCACCTGTTTCTTCATTAGAGAGAGAGAGTGTGACATTTGGAGAGAGAGACTGACATTTGGAGCGAGAGAGAGAGGAACAAAAGACAAAGGGGGGGAAACTACAGCCCAAGCTAATATTGAAACTAAGCACGGCTATATACGTCCGGTTGTTCGTAGAGAGAGCGAGAGGGAGGTATAAGCGAAACCCTAAGCACAGAGATCTATAACGAGGTTGATACTCTTTCTTCTTATCAATTTACCCTTGAAATTAATTATATATGTATATGTGGATGTATGCGTCATTCGTTTTTGATTTGTTAGTCGTGTATGATCGATTGAATTAGGGTTTTGGTTTGGATTGTTCAGCTTGTTGCAGAGCGAAACATGGTTAATTTGTGTTATTTTCATTCAAGAGAGGATGAGAGGGATGCGTCTCTCTCATTGAACCGAAACACGTTCTTGAAATATGGAATGTTTTCACAGTTAGTTTGATCTCTCAGCTTGTCTCGAAGAGACAGAGAGTTTGTTTGGAATTTTGTTTCCATTCCAGAGAGAGAGTGTGTATGTGTGTGCTTCAATTTTTTTCTGATCGAACCTTCTGGAACGACGTCTTGGAATATGGAATGTATTTACCGTTTGCTTATTTAGGACTGTTTGTTCTCATTTTGAGCTGTGGTTGAATTGAGCTGAAAATCTGTGTCTCCCCAAAACAAGTGTTTTCATTTGTTTTTTGATTTGTTCAGGATTACTTAAAAAGTGTCAACATGGATGTCTTGGCGTAGATTTTATTGGTGCTGTGTGTCAGTCCTTTTGAGTGTCGTGGCTGATCCAACTGAGTTGCTGCTGTTCAGACATTTTGTGTTTATGTGAGAAATCGTATTAAATATAGCAGTTCAGAATCCAGGGTACAAAAGTCCGAATATGCTGGATTTGTTATGGCAAACTTGATCTGTCATGGTTTGTAGCTGCACACGTTTTACGTTTTGAGTCCCAATATGACATTGACGTGGCAGTGAAAAAATCTACATTTTGTCGCATTGTAGATTACTAATTTCGCTTTTTAACTTAGTGGCCTACTCTCACTAATTCGCACGTGCTTATGAGAATCATATGGATTTGTTTTTTGTTTTTTTGTGAGTATAAATGGTTATGTTTGTAGTAACATTGCCTATGGTGAGATTCTGGATGCGTTACGTGTTAACTGTACAAAGTGGAGAGCTAATTAATGTGGAGAATCTTTCTTCAATGAGAAACTTTTAATTGGTGTGTGGTGTATAATTTCCGAGAAACTACTACTGCAGTTTTTCTTAAAAAACTTTTGAAATGCCAAAGAGCAATGCTCATTATTATTGAACATACTTTTTGTGCGGTTGGTTATTCATATTTGATACATTTCATGAAATCAAGGTAATTGTGAAGAATCAATAACTAGATACATATAGTTTTTTTCGGGTTCTTTGCTAGCCAGACACTTGATAGGAAACCTAATTAAATTCGATTGGATAGCCCTTGATAGGAAACCTAATTAAATTAGTTGTTGTGGAAAGGGTGGAAGATATTTTAGCAGCTACTTTATATAATATACGGACTCACAAGAATCTGAGTGTTGGGGCATTCAATGAATGTTAGATTAGAGAGATAATCGGCCTTCTTTTAGAATTTTTTTTAATATATGCTTATGACCCTGGATGGTTCCATAATAATGGTGGCCTTATTGTTGTCATTACTGTGATGCTTGACTGATGTACGAATTTTACCACGTGGGATTAGTTTTTTTCAATGTTTTTTATGTGTAAAAAGAACGGAAAACTGAGGTTGAACCGGGAAAGAGACAAAGAAAGAGCATGAGGTGAGTTGATTGAACATTCAATAATGATTTTTTTGATAAACACTGAGGCTCATTCGACCTTAAGTTGTATGTCCTTTCCATGAGTTGAATTTACATGAGAGTAGACAATATGCATGCTATACTTCCTGATATCTTTTTTGTAAGAAGGTGTTTTGAGAAATCTAGGACCTATTATTGAGATGGATTTAAATATGTTCTTTTTGTTTAGATTGGGAATCCGTATCGTTTGTTCCTCTTGTGTACAGATAGAATTAACGCTAATTATTTGGGTTTTACAATGTCAAGAGGTTTCAATGTATTAATGTATTGTTTGTCTTGTTTGCTTTTGTCTTCTCCCTTGAAGGACTCCAGTTGATGCTGAACTGATTCTGGCCAATGAAGTGGTGTGGGTACCTCCTCTACTAGGACTTGATACTTTGATGACAAAACATCAGTTTGCCGTTGTGTTTTCTTCTCCTAAGAGGACCCCATGGAGCTTAAAGTTTCATCTCCAAAGTCAGGTCTTTCACCTTCTGATTGTGCCAATGACCCTGAGGATAAAGAAATTAGTGATGATGACGATGATCGTAACCATAAGCATCGAAGGCGGGAGACACGATCTCAATCTTCGGAGAGAGATACTCTTGAACAAGTTTTAACAAGATCATACAGAAAGCGGAACAAACTATATGAAAATGGTCACCTTTATAGGGAAGGCAATTCTCAGTCACATGAAACCTGGAAAAACTATAATATTGCTCATATGTCGAAAGATCTCCCTGCAAAGTTTGAAAAAAGACGTCCTGGTTTAGCATCATTTTCCCGAGATCCACTAGATTTAAACCAAAGAATCAGGGTGAACCAATCATTATCTGGTGACCCTGATCCTGGTAGGGGTAGAGGAAGAGAACCTGGTTTCTGGAGCCAACGTGATTCTAGGTTTAGCACAGTTGATATTGCATCTCAAATGGTTCCGCTGGGTTCTGTTCCTCCTAGTCTTTTTGCAGGGAGGGGGGTACCAAATGTTTCAAACACACAGAGTGCATCTTGGAATGCATTTGGATTGGTTCCAGGAATGCGGAATGGTGGTCTGGATATAGTACATCCCCTTGGCTTGCAGGGAATGCTCAGACCACCCATCAATCCTTCAATGAATATAGGCATTCCACGCCAACGATGTAGAGACTTCGAGGAGCAGGGCTTTTGCTTAAGAGGAGACATGTGCCCAATGGAGCATGGTGTTAATCGTATTGTTATTGAAGATGTACAGGTACACCTCAGTCTTAACGTATTTGCCTATTTGATAATAGATAACATGTGGGAATATGGGGAATGCCTTTATTACTTCTATGTTATTTATGTATATGTGCAAACTACAAAGACATTTCTACATCTTACAATCAACTATGTGCCCACATGATATTGAAGATGCCATTGGTTTGTTGGGGTGGCATCTCACATGGTTACTTCCAGATTATGATGCCTTTTTGGCCAAGATTTGTTGGTTCGCTATTCTTGTAGAAGTATGACATAGGTACCATATGATTACCTGCTTCAGTTGTTTCTAATTGCAGCAATTTTTTTAGTGGTCTTTACTCTCAGCAGTTCTAACTTAAAGGTGTACCTATGAACAGGGGGACCTCGGTTGTAGATATCTCAATCTGTGTGTGGTCATTGATTCATTTTAACCTTAGAGCCTCTATATGCTAAAGTATCAAGACCTCTGCAGCTGAAATCTTCTTGTCATTAAATAGATGATCCTAGGTCCTAGCTGAAATGGATTGCGGGTGGTTTATATATAGTTGTTTCATTGTTTAGGCCATACAAATTGCACTATCTATTTCTAGATAGGTTTACAATGTCTTCATGTGTGAGCTTCTATGAATGCATGCTGGGCTGTTTCTGAAGCTATGATCTCATTTTATCTATGCGACTTTTTTTTTTTTGCTTTGGGAATATGTTAAAACTGCTGTAACGAAGCTGTTTTCTTAATTACAGAGCCTTTCACAATTTAATCTCCCTGTTTCACTTCCAAGTGCACACATGCTGGCGATGCCCGCTGGATCAGGACCTTTGTCTGCCATTAGTGCTCCTTCAAGTACAATTATGAAAAGCAAAGTGGTACATGGCAAAAGTAGCAAGCCTGGAATGGCTGATGATGGATTGGGCTTGAAAGGTGATTTCATGGGTTCTGCTGTTGTAGGTGGAACTGATTTCTATGATCCTGATGAGCCTCTATGGACTAATAAGTGTCCTGAAACATCAACTGTGCCTTTAGATTGTAATCCATCTGATGATGATGAAACTGAGTCATTGTTGGGTGCAGAACCTTGTGGCCATCATCATGTAGGGTTGTGCAATGGCTGTGACAGTGAGCAACCTGTTACAAAAGTTGGGACTGCTGTAGGATCTCAAAGTACAAGTCAGACTGTGTGGGAAAGAATTGGTAGTTCGAAGAATAGATCAGAAATGAAAGAGAATTTGAATTCTACGAGGATGTCCTCAAATTCTACAGAAAATGAAGCGAAGGAAGATGAGGAGCCATTGTATAATGCTCAAGGCACTGCCCATCAAAGGAAGTGGAACCATGTGGATGATGTTGGCCCACAAGCCATTGGCTCTTCTAGGCAAAGTACCCGAAAACCAGCTCAAAAGGCACTACGTACTCTATTTGTTAATGGCATTCCCCTGAAAAACAACAGAAGGGATACCCTTTTATCGCATTTCCAGAAATTTGGAGAGGTCATTGATATTTATATTCCATTCAATACTGAAAGAGCTTTTGTTCAGTTCTCTAAGAGAGAAGAAGCAGAGGCTGCTGTAAAAGCGCCTGATGCTGTAATGGGTAACCGCTTTATTAAGCTAATGTGGGCTAATAGAGACAGCATTCCTGATGATGGAATGAGTAGCAGCAATAGTATGACAGTTGGTTCAGTTCCACCTCAATCATCTGGTGCTAACAGAGGAAAAGATGTTATTCAGTCTACACCTTTCAAGAGTAGTGTTGCCCATGCTTCTGTCATTCCTGTGCCAGCCTCTGATCATCCTAAGCCTGTGGTAGCTAATGGTCCCAGAGCCCAACCTCCTTCAAAAAAGAAGCTGGATGAAATAGAGCTTTTGAAGAAGGAAGTCCGCAAGAAGCAAGAGATGCTTGATCAGAAACGGAATGACTTGCGGCTGCAATTGGATTTGCTTGAGAAACAAGTAATACACTTGACTTAAAATTGTCGATCCTAATTGAGTTTCTTAACTATTTATATCAAATTCTGTATGCTTTCGTTTTTTATTTCCCCATTCCGATCTTTTGTGTGCATCAAGCTGTTGGTTTGTTTGCTCCTGCACTATATTCATGTTCATGATGTGAATTTGCACACTATAGTAATATAAGATACCAAATTCACCCCCCGCCCTCTCTCTCTTTCCCTAACTCCTCTTGTTTGGTGTCACTTCTTTGGTTGGCTATTTAGATTTTGGCCTTTTGCAGGGTAAAGGTCTGAAAGGTGAGGCATCATCAGAGCAGGCCGCTAAAAGACATAAAGCTGGTGCCGTAGCTGATGTTGCAAAATTTGCAGCTTCTAGATCCGTTGATCCTGGTACTGTTGTATCATCACTGCAAGCTGAAGTGGTTAATGATAATGGCAAAGCTGCAGAGACTCATAGTTCCAAATCAAGTTCAATTGTGGCTCTGCCGGAACCCTCAAGCGTGAAATCTTCAATTCGTCCATTGGCTTCTGTAGGGGCAGCTTTTATCAATAGATTCAAATTGGACAACCGTCCCACTGCATTTAAGATCATTCCACCTTTGCCAACTGGTCTTACTAATGTAATCTTTTTCTCCATCACCTCCTCTCTCCCTCTCTATACGTAAATTATTTTCGATTCATTTGGTGGATCAAATGTCAATTTGTCTTACATGCATTCTTTGCATATCGCTTGGTGAGATGAGGTAACTCGTCTATCACTTTGGGATAAACGTCTGTTTACTATCTATGGCTGAAAGGGTTGTTTACAGGTCTGATTTTAAGGTGTTAGAATCACTACTTTAGTAATTTCTTTTTATCCTTGTATATGTGCATATGATTGTTTGTAAGATGAATAATGTGTTTTGTTTGTTTACTTTCATTTTATTATTTTTCCAAGTTACGCATATTCCATGAGTTAGGCAAAAGAAAATGAACTGTAAGGGATGCAATGAAACATTTGCTTGGAGTTCACATACTTCATATGATACCTATGCCTTCTGAAACACTCTGCCTCTCATACACAACCTTCATCATGTATCTCAGCCACTGAAACTTTACTGTCTTAGCAGTTTGAAAGAGAGTGTGTATCCATGTGCTCTTTATCCCTATGTTCCTCAATGCTACAAATGGTAAAAATGCTGACATTTGTGTTCCCAGGTTGCTGCTTTGAAGGAACACTTCTCTTCATATGGCGATCTTTCTACTGTGGAGCTAGAAGATTTAGATTCCCAGGATGGAGGTAATGTCTCTGAGACATCAAAATGCTCGGCTCATATATCTTTCATGACGCGACGTGCAGCTGAGAGGGCATTTTTGAATGGGAAATGCTGGCAAGGTCACGATTTGCAGTTTGTGTGGCTTACGTCTAGTAATCCTGCCAACTGTAGCAAGGATGTCGGTGGCAGAGAAAGTCCGTTGTCTTCTAAAGGGCCTTCAGATGCTAACATGATGCCTACAGAAGAAGCATCCACTGGTTCTGGAAAACAACCTGCCTTGGAAAATGAAAAATCTGGATATATTGCAAGAAGAGAGGGCGATTGTGACCGTAGGGAGCTCGATGGACATTTTCATTCCAGTTCAACCACATCATCATCTGAGAAACAGCCACTTTAAGGTGGTGTTTCTTGTGGATAGACTAATTGCCAGAGTTGTACATTGAGGTAAACGAAAAATCCATTTCAAGTCTAATTCAGATGTTTTAGCAATTGTTAAATTCTGCTTTTCCAGTTTTGTCTTATGTTATATTTGGGATATGTATAAAGGGGGAACCTTCTGATCAACTGCCAGCTTTGAACGATAGTTGGTTAGTTGTAATGAATGTATTATCTTTTAAAAGTGTAGGTATGTCCAGAATTAAAGGTCGCAGGTTCTGTGAAAATAAATTGAGAGGTGACATTATTCTGGCTGTGGTGTCCTTGCCTGTCTTTCATTGTTACAATTTCATTTCACCTATTATCGTAGTAGACATGTTTTAATTTTGCTATTGTACTTGTCTGAAGTCTGGCTTGTTACATTTAGATCTAGGGAGGGAAAAATCTTTGAGGACATTAGGCCCGTTTGGAGTTAGTTTTTTTGGTGCAAAACAGAGGTTTAAAAAAGTGAAATGAAAAAATAAGAATTAAAAAAACTTTTGGAACCATTTGGAGTATTTTCAAAAAAGTTGATTTTTTTCTTGAAAGCTCTTGGATAAGTCTTATTTTTTTAAAAAAGCTATTTTTATCCAAAAAAATTGATAGAAAAGCTGTCCAATAAGTCTGGGTCCAAATGGATCAAGCTTCTTTTTCTTTGAAACCAAAAAAGGTTTGAGGTTTTAAGCAGGCCCTTTAGTAGTTTGAATTACAATCCTCTGTTGAGCATTTAAGAAGCAATTTTGGAAACCCCAAACCCCATGAACTAAGTGTAATCTCTAGCTTGAATTTGATGTTGGTTTTTAAATCAGTTTTGTGTTTTTCTAATACCAAATGGAAACAACAACTACTGTTTTTTTTGCAAACTACCACTTGTATGACAATTCACATGGAACCTAGTAATGTATTAAACATGGGCTGGCTTGCTATTTGAAAAATTACTGTACTCAACAAAATTTTGTCTCAAATATTTTTAGAGTCAGCTACATGAATCTTGTTATGTCATTGTAGTCTATTAAAGAGTCAAAAAAAAAAAAAAAATACAAGTTTGACATATACTGCCAATTGTATACCTCATTGGTCTAAATATCTATCCTATACATGAAAGAAAGATCTAAAAAAATATCTTTTAAATCCAACAACAGTAATATTATATTAGGTCCAACGAGTGTTATTATCTTTTGTATAACAAGTTGGTGTTGGAGCCTCTGTTTAATCCTTCCATGTACAACATATTTGGGTAACTAAGGATTAAGATTTCCTCTATTTTATTTTTCTTCAATGAGAAATAACCCCATATGCATGTGTGACTGGTGAATGGCTCACAAGTGCATCCTATTTCAGTTTATGGTGTGTGATAACTAAAAAAGATATTATTCTGGTAATTACTTAGACACCTACCTCCAACCATCTTGGAAGAGAAGTTGCAATCATTTATATTCAAGTAAAATACATTGAGATTGCTTGTAAGAATAAAAACAAGGAAATGAAATCATATATATGCGACTCTCTAGTCACAGAGCCTCATGCACTGAACCATCCTTTATCTACTTGCGTATAGGCTCCAGTTAAATGGCATTCCTGTTTCAAAACTTTTCTGAAATGTTCTTCTGCCCCTACTCCTCATTCCCATCAGTCCACCAAGCAGCATGATTCACATACAGCAATCACAACTCCCATCAAAACCAAAGAAGAAAACACTCCAACAAACTCGGGCACGCTGCATGCAACTGTGCGAGCACTTGCTACATCCTCCACATTACAAGGCCACAAAGAATTATCTGAAACACGAGTTCAACATTCTCAATTTACATGATGACTGTTTTTGCCAACACCCATATCGCCCCGCAAACCATCAATCAAATGCTTGCACGTCAGGCTATTTGGCGCAAAGCCCAATTTCAGCATCTCATCCTGAAGCTCCATGGACTTAGAAACGCCGCCTTCCTCACAAAGAACCCTGACAACTGCATTATAACATTCTGTGTCATTTATTTGGAATTCCTCGGCAAAGTATCTCAGTATTGATTCCGCTTTATAGATATTCCTCTCTTTGCAGTATCCATTTACCAAAGCTCTGCAAATGGCTATGTCAGGTAGCATTCCAGAGTCAACCATTTCTCTCAATAGGGATTCACCCTCCACATTTCTACTCAATCTACACAAACCACCTATAATAGCTCTATATGTAACTAAATCCGGTTTTTTATCCTTACAAAGCATTTCATATTTCAAGAGTAATGCCTCCTCCACACAATTGCACTTGCATAGAGAATCAATCAACTCATTGTAGATCTCCAATGTAGGCTCGTGGCCATCTCGAGACATTTGTTCCAAAAGGTTCTTGGCAGCAAATGGCCGACTCTCCTGACAGAGAGAAACAATGAGATAAGCATAAACATCACGAGAGATTGAAACACCAAATCTTTGAAGCTCCACAACCAGATTTAAGGCTGGAAGCAACCTATTCTTTTTGTTATATCCTTCGACAAGTATACAACAAGTGTATCTGTCAGGGCGAACCCCATTCCCAATCATGTCATGCAACAAAAGCCTCGCCTCTTGCATCATTCCCTCCTTACAGTAACCACGTATAAGGGTATTATATGCAAAAATATCTGGACTAATCCCTCTGTGAACCATCCGATGAAAGAGCTGATGAGCCTCTCTCACATTGCCAGCCTTGCAGAAGCCATCTATCAAGGCCGTATATGTAACCATATCTGGCGTTATACCTCTCCTATACATAATTTTATACAAATACAATGCATCTTTTAACCTTCCCTTTTTACAATAGCTATCAATCAATGTATTATAAGTGACAATATCAGGATCAAATCCTTCTTCTTCCATCTTCTCCAAGAACTCATTCACCTTATCCACATCTCCATCTCTGCACATAACATGAATTAATATATTGAACGTATGTGAATTCGGATGTATCCCAATTCTTCCCATCTCTTCGTAGATTTCCCAACATTTTTCTACATAATTTGACTTCAAAACACCATTCAATAGACAGTTGATCGTAATAACTCTCGGAACAAATCCAAGCTTCACCATTTGCCTAAAGGATCTCAAACCCTCTCGAATCATACCCTTGTTGACATAAGCCTTAAGAAGCATATCAAAGATAACAGGGTCCCAATTACACTCATTAGTACATGAAACCAAACTTTGGAAAACATCTGTTCTCAATTCTACCAATTCAGACAATAATTTCATTGCTTGGACAAGGTTCCTAGACCATGCCAAAATATGAACAATAATACAATAGCAAAGAGTATTTGGTTTGAGACCCAGATCATTTTTGGCCCAGTTGAAGAAAGTGAGAGCAGTAGATGAATCAGATTGGCACCTCAACAAAACCCTAGAAATTTCATGAGTACCCAAATGAGGAAGAAGCCCTTGTATGTCTTGGTGAAGAGAGTCGATCTGGGCATTTTGTTGTTTGAGCTTTGAGCATATGAGGTTCACTATCTTATTGGGGTTCCGGGTTTCGGGGAGAAAACTGTAAAGTGAGCCTGAGATTGAGTTGGATAAAGACTGGGTTGTGGTTTGCAGAGATGAAGAATAGGAAGACAATGGTGCTACTACAGATGTCGATGAAAATGATGCATTTGAATGAAACTTAATATTGAAGATTGATTTAAGGAGGAAAGAATTTGCAGAAATAATTAAAGTTCGATTCATCAGTGACTGATAAAAAAAATGAAGCCAGAGAGAGAGAGAGAGACTTATCTCAGTCCAACTCCTCGGCGGTTCTTTGGTTCTGTAATTTACTATTTTGTGGTGGTGAAGGATAGACGATGACGCCTGTCCTTAATCCCTGCTATTCCTTCTTCTTCATTAGCGAGTGAGTGTCTGTAATACAGCAACACTGTGATTCAGGTGGAAGCCCTAAGTTCGTTTATGGACGTCGAAGTGATGATACCTTTTTATTTTTCGATTTCCTTTTTTAGGCCGGTATAATTTATTTTTATTTTTTCCTAGTGTTTTGGCAGGTATAGAATACTATTAGATTGATCAAAATTAAAAATTAAATAATTAATGATGATAAGTTAAATAAAATTTGAATTTTTAGTTATGCATTGATATTATTTATTTTTTTTTATCTTATTCTTAAATAATAGGGTTATTTGCAATGGAGGATACATGATAAATTTATGATAAAAAATTATTAACAATCTATAAACGTTGTGTGCTTGAGGAACCATATAAAAATATATTCAATACATTAGGAACTAAAATGATAGAATTGAAATATTGGGGGTTACAATAAAATAAATCTTATACTTTAGAGGCCTCTAATACAATTAATCCTAAATAATATAATATTACACAATACCCTTGTGTGATTCTTAATTTAATTCTTTGTATTTGATTGGGTGTACAATAGATCGATGGACAACTTCGACACGGCAAGAAAACGACGATTTCGTGTAACATTCTATAGTTTTAACGTCCTCGCGGGTGCTCCATTAAGTCGACGTCAAGTTTGTTCTATTTTCTAGTAATGAGTTTCACAATGACATATAATACCTTTTATAAATTGGAAAACTCCATAACTATACCTATTTCCTTTAAAAAAAAAAAAAAACCCTATTCCCTAATAGTGCTTTTAATTAATTTCACATTTCAATCACCTGTCAACTTCTTGTCTGTTTCTCTCTCACGCCACCACACCCCCACCCACACCCACACCCGCCAATGTCCACCCGCCCTCTATCGGTCGGTCTACCACCGCCGAACTTTGTCCAATCACTTCATAGAGGCGCTGTGGCAGCTAGAGGGGGCTAATTTTTTATGCACTAATATTTTTCTTGTTGATCCAATAAATTTCCTACGCTCTCCAAAACAAAAACGAAAAAAAGAACTTTGAACTTTATGAAGGAATACATTGCGAGATCGATAGAGGTTCGACAATTGTCACATATAATTAAAATCCCCAAATTTATTCGCAAAGAAAATGATGATTACAACACAGTAAAATAATGAGTAAACAGGACCCTACTTGGGCTCTGGGAAGAAGCAAAGAAATGAAATGTATCAGATTAGATTTGGATATGAAATGAATCTTGTCTATTTCTATCCTAAAACCCCTTAGGGATATAATTCAGACGGGTTAGACAATCAATCCTAACTCAATTCTAAGTATATAATTTTCAAATCTAACCTTAGCCCTAACCCTACTTCAGATTAGAGAACTCAATCCGAACAATGCCCAAATTTAATTCGAACGGACTCGAGTTGATGATTTCGAACTAATTTCGGGTTATTTTACGGGTTCAATTCAGATAGAGCCTAAAATAGACTTGTTGTTCTAAACCTAACATATATATTACATAATATTCACCTAAATTAACAACCAATAACTTCAACTAAATTTTTAACAAGAGAGACAAAGAGAATAAGAGAGACAGACAACGATAGAACAAAAATGAAAAATCAATGCTAATGTTTTATATATATATATATATATATTATTTATTATTATTATTATATTTTTTTTTTAATTTATCAAGTTCGAGTTGAACTCAGATTCACGAAACCTTAACCTTAGCCCAACCCAAATTAAATTCGAGTTGGAATTTTTTGACTCAAATATTAAAAACCCTTGCCCAAACCCTAATTTTTTCGGGTTGAAATTGGATTACCCAATCCAAATTGCACCCCTACTCTAGACTAGACTTTTGGGTCTTTTGGCCAATTCACTAGAGTTCTTCGCTTGCTGATCTTGATGACAACTTCATCATCTTCGAACTTTTTTTCTTTTTTGAAGCTAGTGGCCAAAGAATCTTTACAAACTGTTAATGATACATATTGTAGAGATTAGCATTATTAGACTTGCACCCAAATTGCCTTCATATAGTCCCATTGTAAAATTCAGGGGACCACCAGGTTAGCAACCTTAAGCTGCTTCTCTAGAGGCAAATAACCTTTCAAAGAAACACAGGCTTGATGCATCACCTGCAAAAGAAAAACAGCCATATCGTTCTCACTTTTGTCAATAGGTTGTGGGCTGGGTGAATCATCACCACGAGCTATACGCATGGCCCATTCATATATCCGTTCTGTTGATGTCCACAGAGACAAAACCACAGATTCAGCCACCACCTCCCAACTGCTGTCTGATAGAAGAGATTTAAGGGTGACCGGTAGGTCACTCAACACAGTCAACCGATCCACAATCAGAAAAGGCATATATTTAGAGCAACTACCACTTAGCAGGCCAATGAACTGCAGAGCCTGTATGGAAAGCCAGGAGAACAGAGTAAAAATAATAAATGCAAATAAACTTAGCAAAACAGAAATCAATTGCCCGTTCCAAGTAGTTGTGTGCTCACTAATAACTTGCCAAACTTGCAAAGTAGATATTGTTGTTTTCAACAATAGTTCCAGTCTGGTATATAGTCAAAAAAATTGATCTTTGATTTTTATGTTTCTATTAAATATCAAATTTGGCTTAATGACAGTTAACCATCACTACCATACTGTTAATAGTTCTGCATCCAAGGGAATTGGAGCTTACCGTAGAAGGATAACTTGTGACACAGCTAATTTCCACAGCATCAGCAAGCCACTGTCTTTTGATACTTCCCCCTGCATGATGCAAAGTTGCAACAACTTCTACCAGAACGTCCCATATAGCTGCAAAGACAGAAAGTTAAGATTAGCTCTGGAGTCTACATGGATCTATTGGCTTACATAGAGAGATTTCTATACATTAATCAAGCACTGCCAAAATTTCAAAATCCAAACTAACAAATTCACCAGCTATCATGTGATATTTTCTCAAATTCCAAACTGGCCACCTTTCTTCGACAAACTGACCTTCTGATTTGTAGTTCAATATATAAGCTTTCAGTGTTCCCAGTTCACTCAATGGAATGCAACCCATCCGAACTAGCCTGGCCTTTGCTTGAATCTTTTTCATGACCTCAAAAAAGGGGCTGTTCCCTTCAATCAAACTGAACTCTGAAACCTGCAATCGACATACGGCAGTAGAAGTTACTGCACTAGCTCAATGCTTAAAGGCAATTTAAGGACTACAATGGGAGTAACACCATGCCTCACAACAACTTAGTCTGCATGTGCGCTTCACACAGCCATCAAATTTTCAATAGATTAATATCTAACAAAACACTGAAGTACATGACTTTTGTTGGGAAAAGATTAGCAAGGAGGAGTTACATTTTTTCTTGTTCTTTTTTGTAGTTTCCTTTTCTTTCTTTTTTTTTTTTTTTTTCCAATTAAGTTTGAGCCACAAATACATCAACACATTGGCTCATTCAAAAAGCGGCAAGCTAAGCATGAATGCTCAAGGTAAACACTTCATTCATAATAAATATAGGCAAGGAAAAGTTGAGTACCTGCAGAAGGTCCAATAACCAACCCCTTTGAACCTTCCCCAGGCATCTAACTGCAACAGACCACTCATGTACTAGATATCCCTGAACTGATCCCAATACAGGAGCTGAGTGCAAACCAGGCAAAGAAGAAAAGAGCACCTCCATGCAGTGTTCCAGGTTAGAAATATACTCTTGAGAATCAAGAGAAGTCTCATCCCAACACAGATAAAGACCCTTCCAGCATGAAACCCGCAACAAGCTTTTCTGTTCTGGGTTATAAAGCTGGTCAGAAGAAACCAACCAGTACATGAAATTAGACATGTCATCCAATAGTTTCTCAATCCTAGAACCTGAGAATGTCTTTATTAGAGTTGCCAGATGAAAGAGCATACTCGACTGCAGATTCAGCTCCAGGGTCCGGAACCTGGACAGATCAGATAGCTCATCGAGGAAGCTAAGAAGAGAATCAAATTGGCTTGCATGAGCTAAAGAGAACTGTAGACATTCCTCCCTAAGGATTCCTTTCTTAAGATCTGAATTTGGGGGTAACAGTTCAGCAATTTGACCCTCATATCTCATGCACCTTCTGATGATTGCTCCCCAGTCCACTGGTGGCAATCTCGGAGCTTGTGAAAGGCACCGCAATGCAGTTGCAACTGTGTTAACATGCAAAATGGTACCTGTCTGAGTTTCATGAAGCCAAAAAAACATAGAAGAATTAATCAGAATGATGGCCGTTTGTGTGTGTTGGTTGGGATGGGGATAATTGATACGAGGGAAAATTTGAAAAAGGATGAGTTTCATCACTTGCTAGTTGCTATTAGATATCACAGAACATCTTAAAGAAGTAGAGGACTAATTCTAGGTTGCAAGTAGGATTGTTGAGGATAATTATAAGCGCACCTCTAATATCTTAAGAACAAAATCTTTTGGCAGTATTTTTCTTTCATCAGGGTATATGCTGCTGCCAAAGCTTAAAAAAACCCTTGATGCAAAGCTAGATATATAAACAAAAGAAAAAAAAAGAGAGCCAAGCTATTGAAATAAAATGATCCTGCAGGTTCAAGCTGTGGCAGGCAGCCTATCTGAAATAGGTCTGAGTTAATCATTAGATTAAGGAGACCGGCATCTATCACATAATTATGATACTTGCAGCGGAACAGAAAAACTAGATCCCTTTTCAACTCAAGACACAACCCATAGACACACACAAAAAGGGATACGTGCATGGTTGAAGATGATTCAAAATTGCTTTTCCTCCCTAACCCATTTTGGATCTTCTACATTGCAGTGGCTTCAATGTCATTATAGATATCTAAGTAGGACTTTAGGAGGTTAACAAGAAAGCAGAAATTCGTCCCAGGGTTTATTTTTCTAAGCCTACAACTATATTCCTAAGTTTTTGATATGATTTCCCTACACCAAGCAGCAATTGTGACACAGAGAAGAGAGTGCCTCTAATGTCACTTCAACACAAGATCATAGGGCATGATGAAATTAAACTAGAATAAATGTCAGTAGTAGCTGCTTGAAACTAAATAAAGACACTAAGGTAAAGCATGGTTGTATAAAGAGACCCACCCCAGGAGAGCTCAGATGCATTAGCCACAAAGAGATCTTCATGACTGTACTATCCTCAGGAAATGCTTGAGATATGAGCTTCGAACCAACTGCATCACGTTGCATACTACTGTCCTCGATGCGAATTTCCTTGACCCACAAATAGTGTCTAAGCAATGAAACTGCCCAGGCTGCATACTGCTGCAGTTGATGATCATCAGAATTTTTAGCAACAAGAAACATCTCCTGTACTTGTGAAGTCAAATCAGGCTCCAGAACAGGGCTTCGAAGTAGAGGACCCGTGATATAAGAAGATTCCTGTCAAGAAACAAGAAAATTAAGAAATATATGAACAAATATAAGTCTTTACGACAGTCATACCGGTCTTGACCTGATGACCTGTTCAACCAGACTGATGTGGCACTGGTGCCAAAGAGGAATGCACTGACCAAAAAGATATGCAGGTGTTAAAAAATAGAATTACCTCTTGATTATAAACAGTGTTCGAAGAGGTCAAAGGGTGAGGTTGAACCAACGTCCCCACGCCAGCACCAAATGCATTTACAACGCCAAGCATCCCACCCAAGTGGATAAGAGGAGGATGGGGATCAGAACTAGTTTTTCTAAACAATGCCAACAAATCTTTAACATGCTTAGCTTCCAAGGAATGCACGCCTTCATTTAAAATACAGGCAAGAAGATTTCCTGCTCCAATACAAGATGCCATCAACAAGCTCTGATGGAAGATGCCAGATTTTTTAACAGATATTAGTTCAGAAATGAGCCCTATAAAGCCACTCACTAGATGGTCCAGGTCAGTATCATCAATCAGTTCTACTTTCTGGCAGAAAGCCACTACGATAGGAAGCGCAAGACAAGAGCCCACAGATAAGGCTATCTCACATGTTTCACCGACAGCAGTGGGTTGAACTGAAGAATTCAAGTGGGGGATCCACGATAAGATTAAGGTTTTGATCTTAAGCACAGCATCATGGGCCCCAGTTCTGTATATTGCACTAACAGAACTCCCCAAAGCCAGGATAAGTCCTGCAACACCCCATATATCTTCCTCCAAGTTATCGTAATTCCTACCCAACAAATTAATAGTGGGATCCGAATCAATATCATCTGGTCTCACAGGAAAATATGCAGATAAGCTTTGTAGAACCTCACAAGAAGATTGCGTAAATGGACATATCATCAGAGATAAAGCCCTAACAATCTTTCCTAATAAATCCGCTTCCTGCATCTTGTGTGTTTCTTTATTCAAGAGGGAGTCATCTTCAGCTGCAACCCCGGTAAGAAGATCTTGACATGAAAAACCCAATCCAACTCCGCAAGCTCCTTTCACAAGAGTGCTTTTGCTATGAGATGCAACCTGAAAGCACACGCCAACATTGTACCACTGAATATTTTTAACCCACTTAAAGGAAGTGCACCACAGCACATAGATGTTCATTTGTTCTTAGCAAATCACCATGAGAATGGTGAAGCAGTGTTCTAAGTTCTATAGAGGATGCCATACCAAAGAACATCTCCATCTTTTTAGGACTTTCATCAATCATCAATGAAAAAGGTTGATGACCGCCACAGCACATAGATGTTCATTTGTTCTTAGCAAATCACCATGAGAATGGTGAAGCAGTGTTCTAAGTTCTATAAAGGATGCCATACCATAGAACATCTCCATCTTTTTAGGACTTTCATCCATCATCAATGAAAAAGGTTGATGAAAAATAAAAACATTTTCAAAATAATCTTCAATTTCATATAAATATTTGGAATACTCTGCAGATCTATGAAAAAAATTAAGGTCACATCATTGTCGAGCAATGTTTCAGAAAAAACATGGAAAAAGCAGATATAAGGTTTTATTTTTCCTATTAATAGTACCGAAGAAGATGAAAAAACCAAGTTCATCATATATTTAACCAAGGATTTTGCCACATGTCCAGTATGGTCGAGAGAAGTTCATTAATATAGGAAAAGTAGGCATGCTTCATTATTAGCATGCCCAACAGAAAAAAAAATACAAATATACTTCCAGCCAACAAATATCACCAAGAAACACAAATTTAACTACTCAAAAACAGTTTTACGTCTCAAAATATGATTATGTAACTTAAAAAACCTTGTACCTGAAGGAGTGCGTTGATGCTTTCAAATTTCTGTTTGTAATCGGTCACATGAAGGCAACTTGAGATCAATCCAAGAGAAATTGCTGCTGACCATTGGCGATATTCATGTTCATACTGGAATAACCAATTCAACATGAACTTTGAAGCAGTTGATTTAACAGCATGGGCAGACTGGGGCAGGACCTGAAAAGAGTAAAGTGTTGCCTAAGGACTGAATTGAGCGGAGCATGTGGTTAGAAATCACAATCCAGACACGAAGAGTACTACTCCACATAAACACGCAAAACAAATGTAAATCATCAAAGTCTACTGGGAAAACAAAGTTAAGGAGCATGACTAAGGATAGGTACCCAATTAAGGTCTAGGCTATGTAATAGAAGTAAATTAACATAACTCTCGTCTCAGTCGACCCCAGTTGTTTTATAAGATCACGTGTTAATAATGGACAAGCTCTACTAGATACAGAAGATAAAAGAATAACAAAACTGAGGCATACATCGAGGCTAGTAAACACTAGCCCAAGCAACACTCAACTGATAAGTTTTAGAAAAAATTCTGGAGTCAACAAAGCCTTAAATGCACCTCAAATGGACATAAGGAAATAACATGAATTCAAGAATATTAATTCTCATTATGGCTTCTATTTTACAGCAGAAATTTGCAACACCGACATAATTGGGAGAAATAGGTTTTTTGAAGAAGTTTACTCATTGTGCTTCCAAACCACCAGGCTCAAAAGTGTAAAACACAATATCTTTACATTTCAATGATGTGTTCCCAAGGTGTTCTTTGTGAAGTTTTAGGAGGCTTCTTTAGCTAATCTTTTTGAACTATAGGCTTGTACATGTCTTTGCCCTTCCTTCTTATACTTTTCTCGCACTTGGAATGCACAGCCTTCCCCAGTACAAGGTTTTTGACAATTTTAGTGCACTTCCCTGGTCAAAAAACTACAAAAAAGAAAATGAAAAATTCACTGATAGGTAAAGAGCTTATGGGAACCCAAATTGATCAGATATATGTAAAAACTTCATCTAAGGAATAGCTTCCTCAATCTGCCAACTGAAGCAGCAAAGCAACAAGAGAAAATATAAGTTAAAAGGACACAATATGCGTGCTTAAAAATTTCTAATTTGAACAACCATTAATAACACAAGGAGAGATAATATTTCTGTATGGGTTGGAGCAAGAGTTTGTAAAGATGTAATATGCATTCAGCAGACACTTCATACTCAGCCAATGTCAGAACAAAGAAACAATTTACACATAAAATTTGCAAAAGAATCATTCAGGTTGTTGAAAATTGCTTTTTTGGGGGAACAATAAGAGTAATATTCACCGTACAAAGCGCTCCCACAGCTAGTGCAATATTTTCGGCAGATCTAGGGATGGAATGCTCAGCTATACGCCTCATAGTCTGTGTGATAAACAGGACAGAAAAACTATATCATGTGTGACATAAGAACTTTGGATAACTGTGGCAAAATGTGATCAGAATGCAACATAGTGACGTGAGACAGAGGATACCGAACCTTGAGAATATCATTAGCAGCTCTAGAAGTTTTATCCAACACAGTGTGTGGTGCCTTGGCATCAAGTAACATGATACGAGCCCTCATCCAACGTTGGAGGAAAGGTTTCCATGATTGCAGGGAAAGCAGTGCAATCACAATATTTCTTGAGAGCTGAAGAGAGGCACCTATCTCTTCTAATGCATTCTCATATCTAACGTGTACATCTTGTAGTTCCTGAACACTAAAAGTGCAGATTTAAAGCGCCATAAAGAGTTTAGAATACTTGAGCATTAAGCATAGTTACAATTATCTTACTTTTGACGCTCCTTGTTGATTCAGATCTTTGGGATTGAAGGAAAGGCAAAACAGAGCTGCACCAGGTAATTCACTTGCTCTGCTGTTATTTCCTGTAAATTAAATGCATAGAGTTTTAGTGCCCCATTGTTTGGGTACATGATTCTCTTTCGTATTTTCACTGTATAAAGGCGCAGAAACTGTTGATCTTTCTGCATGATGCCAGATTGTAAATAATCTAGCAACTTGGGGTACCAAGAAGAGTTCTACCAAACAAAAATATTATGAGCGCGAAAAAGCATGTTCCTTTGAAAAATTATCCTTCATCCAACAAACTAGAAACTAAGAAAAATTCAGCATTTTTTTGTCGATACACAGCTTAAAGGTTATAGAACAACAATCTGTTAATACCTGAAGCGAAGATGACTCGAGGAAAAACATCCAGCAACTTCTCAATCTTGTTTGCAGAGACCCTTTTCTCCTTTACTAATCGTCGTCGTGTGCTGGGAAAAAATAACAAAAGGTTGCCAGTTCAACAAATTCAATTGTTTCCTTCAACAAGTGAAACAGACAAAAAAGTATGAAGAAATGCTTCATTACAGGTGCTCGTTTGTTATAATCTTGACTTCAAATCCTTCCACCGCTCTAAGTACTTCGGGCTCTGTCTCAGAAATAAGCAACTCCATGTTCTTTTCCCTGATTTCTGGAATGCTTTTCTGAATATGCAATACCTAAGAAAAGATCGCATGATTTGGAAGTATGATAAATGGTGAAGGAGCAGCTCAAACAAAATAAAATGCAGAGCAGTCAACAAATCTGCCTGGACATAAGCAAACGGCAATACAAAGATTTATATAGTTTACCCATCAAAGGTATTTAGTGAATATGATGTGAAAAAAGCAATCAAGCCATCTATAATCTACCTCGTAGCATGTTAATGCCTCAAAGGCAGATGCCCTAGCCTTTGCCCATGACCCATGACCAGGATGCCGAAAGGTTCCAACTTCCCACAAAATTTGTAAAACATCTTTAGCGGCTTCTGGATATGCTTCAGCATCCATTGCACCCCATCTTAAAAGAAGACACATGCTGCCCAGAAGATGTAAAAAATAGACTTTATAAGTATATCTTTTCTTAAGAAATAGGAAAATATTATTGGAAGAACAAAAGGGTTAATAATAACGAGGGATGACAAATCCTTCAACATATGCAAAAGAGCTCTAAAAACGACCAGTTATCTAAAATGTATGTACCAACGCAATGCATACATTTCAATAGTAACTGCCATTGAAAGCATAGTATGAGCCTACTCAGCATCAGGGCAAAGAGAGGCTTTTCTTTAATATGTATGTGTCATATGAGGAGGAATAAAGTCCATCTGTCCGTGCAAATACAGGATAGTAGACATAGAGGGAGTAAAACCTCAACTGTACAGTTTAACACAATCTGTCAAATTACCTTAGGTTCAAGGACTAACTCTACTCATGAGGTTTCCATAAAAACCTCTGAACTATAACACATCATACATTTGCAAAATACGTCTACAAGTCTCTGGTTGAAAAAACTTTTCAGGACCTCTTCAAACAAATTAAATGCCAAGACAGTGCTCATGCACAACAAATTATTTTGCCATATTTTTTAGCTTTTTGGGTGCTTCCAAGGATAACTAATTCGCTGGGTAGAAGAACAATCAAACATTGATGAGGCATTGACCAAGTCAAACATTTGGGAATCTGCAAATTGACGAGTCTTTGACAGTCAAAATCATAAGTTTAACTGGGTCAACAGAATTAGTAGTACTTAGGCAACATCTCATACTTTGGTGGCCTTCGCTTTCGCGGTCACACCTAAAATATGGCATGTTTGGGTGTCATTTAAATGCCCATGTGGGCGCCAATTAACAAAAATGTGTGAAGAAAGATGATGGAGTAAACTTCAAAAGTGTGTAACTTTTATTTCACATCTTGCATGGGAATATCTAGGCTATATTTTCTCTTATTTCACATCTTGCAATTATATATATATGTATATGCTTATAATTTTTTCTCTGTACATATTGTTGTTTCAAAACTGCTCTGGAAGGTCAGTCAAGGATACTCCAAGATAGACTTGCCTTTAGTGGAGTGATGTATACAGGTATCCATTTCAAACCAAGTCCCTTTAGAGGATCACGCAATTTTAGACCACCTTCCCAAATCCAATGAGATGAAATATGTGTGCGTGTGAGAGAGGGCAAAACCTCCCACACCCACTGCTGGCAGAATCAAGGTTCTAGAGATGTCAAATTCTCACCCCCCCCCCCCTTTTTTTTTCTCAAAATCTACTTCATTTAGATGAATGTGCAAAAATATCGGAATGATCCCCAACAAAGCATAAAGTAGCGAGATCAAAATTAAATAGAATATGAAAAAACCAATTTACTAAAAAATACCGAATGGGAAGTAACCTTAAAATAAAATTATGTTGCATGATATCAGTTTGCAATCCTCGCATTTTAATTGTTTCCATGTGTATGCCATAACTAATGTGCAAAATAACAGTGTCTACATCATCAAATAACAAATCTCACACATAAGGATCAGATTTTTTCCATTTGCTTCTGAATGCAGATGTATTTCAAAATTGAAAAGCAAATCCTTGAAAGCATAGAGACAAAGTAAGGCATGCAAACTTACCTGTGAGCAACGCTGGGATCAGTTGGGTAGGTCATCACATGTTTTGAAATCACACCCCAAGCAGTATAAAAATCTGGACAACAAATATATGTTTCAGATAAGCACACTTATAGCAATTGCTTTCATTACTGATTAAGGGTTTATACTAATATGCGTGTATCAAAAAAGTACAGTCCTTTAAAGGACAAGAAATTGGAAAACCATGTTTTCTGAAAATGAAATTTCTTTCAGATAACTGCTTAAACTAGGAAATTTGTCACACCAAAGCAGCGGTTCCAACAAATTTCTAAAAAAATGTTTTTCGATGACTCGGATGAGAAAACTTTCCTATCAATCACGAAATGTAGTAACTGAGATTCTATGTCACAAGGAAGCAGTAAGCAAAATTCAAACCATCATCCAATGAGGAGTATGAGGAGAGAGCAAAAATAAAAATCATACAAGGAAGAAGACTCAATTGCCCGAATTTCTCTAATTCTCACTGGTCAATCAGAATAGCAGGTTATCCGAATCTAATTGAGAAGTCCCAATAGAGTAAAATCTGTAAGTTTAAGCAGAATTTGTTGAACAAATAGAAACAGAGTAAACTCTGTACATAAAGCACGGTATTGTTACCAATTACATCAGCTTCACAAAGATGGGCAAGGCTTTGCAACCCAAGAGCTTGAATTATAGGATCTTGACTCTCAATGCATGCCTGTTTGTTAAAAGGAGATATCAAAAACCTTGGAGCAGCATCATTGGCAAAGCGTAGACAAGACAGTTTTTAGAAAATCCTACCGAAACAGAGAGGATAAGGTCCACACCCCTGTCAGGATTTCTTCTGCAAACATCCCGAATGGAAACAGCCATACTTATACAGATATTCCGCTCAGATGCAAACTGGGAGAACTGTTTTGGAAGTAATACCCCCTAACATTCAGATGGAGGAACACAAGAAGTAAGAGTAAACATCTCAGTCACCCTACAAAGGAAGGGGTATGAGGGAAGCAATATCATTTGGATTGGTACCGCTCCAGTGAAGTTTGTGGCATTCTGATTTAGGTTTCAGTACAATACATGTACTTGGATTTAACAATTTGCAGCATCAGAACAAAATACAGGGAAAAGTAAACTGGTTTTGATCTCAAAGAGCCAAAGTAAGCTCCACTTTGACTTAACTCTTTGCATACGGATTCACAGTGGTTTATGTTGCAGTTTACACCCAGTTTGTCCTGCCTGCCTAGTTGCTACACCATGTTCATGATGGAATCGTAGAAGAAAAGAGTTACTAAAATCTAAATTTTGTACTTTACAAGCCCAAATTGACTTATATTTTGGCATAATCCGATCATCTAAGCCAATATACTTTCGTTTATCCTTCGAAAAATAAAGCTCAAGTCTCAGTACCATGAGATATGCTTTTTGGGTATACATACAGCAGGCCTGAGTTACACTGTTGATTCAAACCTCAAGTAAGCTGCACAAATACCTGGTGAGGCACATGCCAGGCAAATTACCACTCGGTCTTTTACGAAAAAACTCTCCTATCACTTTGGAGACCATTCTGATTAGCTTAAGTAAAATAAATAATAGAAAGCAAGAGAGCAGGGAGAGCTGCGATGGCTACGATTCATGCTCACATGGAAACATATGGATTGGTGCATGTTAAACAATCATCTACTCTAAAAGTTTAAGCTGTTGAGGATGTAACTTAACTATTTATAATTCAACAAAATGTGCGTGCTAGATTTTGGGCCTAGCACGTGAAAATATTTTAATAATTAGTAACTTAAGTATTTATAATTCAACAAAACGTAAGTGCTAGATTTTGGGCCTGGCACATGAAAATATTTTTAATAATTAGGGTAATGACAAAATTCGAATACAAGGTCTTTTCCTCTGATACCATGTTAAACAACCATCTACTCTAGAAGTTTAAAGTGTTAGAGAGGGTGTAACTTAAGTATTTATGCTTCAACAATACAAAAAAGACAGCTTTTGTCTTTTCCAAACCTAAAACTTCAATACAGATTAGAGATACAGATACCTCAAGGAGTGTGAATGGCCATTATGATCATATGTCCACACCTAGCAAAAATAAAAAATAAAGAAAATCGTGGGTTCACCAACTACAAGGAAACTCTTTCACTTGGTGTTGCCCATTTGCTTGAAAAATCTTCCAAAACAAAAGCAAACTGGTAATCTTACAGAGTTTAAAACTTGTCAGATCATCAGCTAATGTCAAACAACAGAAACCGATGTTATCCAGAATTGATTGGGTCTCATAACAAGCGTGTGATCGAGTTGAAAATGGTATGAAGAAAGATGATAAGCTAAGCGACATGTGCCATAACCTAAGTATACCAGAATTTCAGTCAATGAAATAGATAGACTGAATTTAATTGCCCCCATATGAAGCTTAAAGAGAATAACCAAAAAATTAAGGAAAATTTTTTTAAAAACAAAAACAATGTGTATAGTACATCCATATTCGTCCTGTACAGTTGTACTATCATTCGTATTTTTCCCATGATTCTTCAGTTCCATCTTAACGGAAATGAAGAACAGCTACAATATAACAGTCAATAAGGCACGCACAAACAAATCTTACCTGCAAACTCCCAAAAATGCGGTCATTGATCTCCCAAGTCTTACAAAGCAAACGTATGGCAGTAGCATACAATGCACTGAACACCAAATAAAAAACCATTACCCAGTACACCAATCAAGTAACTCGATGACAACCACATCACGAAAGGTAGCTTATTCATACAATAAACGGTTTACTAAATTTGAAATGAAATGCAACTGTCACATGTGCAGAATCAAATGTGAATCATGAAGCACATAAAGTTGCTGAGTGACCACCAAACAGTCCCTACACTCCAAAGAATTGTTTGCAAATTACAAACTTGGTCACTCAAAAAACTGACACATTTTAGTGGGAAGAATACTTTGTAAAAAAGGAAAAGATTTGGTAAAAACCATATCAATATTTCATGCATATATTCTAATGCTCACAGACAGTCTGATTCATCTAAAATTATTAACAATTTTGCAATAAATAATTGCTTCTTAAAGACTATAATTCAGAAGTCCAACATGTGTAGATCCAACATCCCCAATGCTATAATAAAGTATGGTTATCAGGAAAAGCAGAACTAAGGTTTCAAAATTTTGGACTACCAATTGAGATTTCATAAGGTCTGTAGAATTAGCTCACAAATCCATGTCCATCTATCAGATTTCGAATGTTTTTTTTTTAACATACCAATTGGAAACTTTAACATTTGTAGTTTCTTAAATAATGCTTGCTTCCCAAACTAGCTATGCACGTATTATGAGAAGACACTGTTTGTTTAATCTTTTTATAAAAATAACATTAAAGAAAGCAGTCCACTCACAGAATATTTATCACAATCTGATTAAGGGACGGTTATAGTAAACCATGAAAATAAAGAAGGAAAATGATAAATTAAAAAAGGAGATGATTTTTGTAGAGAACATACGGCTTTGAATCCTTGTGAAGCATTGGCAAGATAGTCTGAACTATAAGTGGTATCATCGCAGGATGTGAAGCAAGTGATGGGAGCATTCCCAGAAGTTTTAGCTGCATATATTGTCAACAGAAAACTTGTCAAATAACACTAAAGATCTAAATCCAAAAGGAAATTCATGCATTAAGCAATGCCGAACGAGTTGCAGCTAAAAACTAACACTCACCAACTTATCGTGAAAGTCAATATATACATCTTCAGCAGATAATGTGTGATTGTAGAATAAAATGACTAATAACAAGGGAACACCAAGTTTAGGATCCATATTGCCACTAACAGCCAGGAGATCTACAGCAGAGGTCCCTAATGTTTGATGCATGACGAAAACACTCGCAACTGTACCAAGTAATAGGGGCATTTCTACACAGACAAATAGGGTAGAGTGTTAGTACAACAAACATAAACTTAATCTGCAAAATAAGGATACCAAATAAAAAAAACACCAATCGAGTACAAGTAAGAAACTCCGGCAACTTAATATTATGCGTATTCACCAGCTCGAAAGATCTCCTGAGAGTGAGAAATAGGTAGGGCCAACTTTTGTTTTTCAGCAACCCATTGTGAGTATTCTCTAAGTAGATAAATCCAGTTTTGGGATACATGGCGCACTTCTTTGACATCCGGCTCACCCATAGAGGTAAAAGCTATATAAAAAGATCCGGATAATGAAGATTGATCCTGAAAACACAATATTAAGAATAACCAATGTTAAGCTCATGTACAACATAATGCAGCAGTACTGCAGCCTTGATACTTGACAATGACCTTCATGTACCAACAAAGAGCACTCAACTAAAAACCCAAGGACGGACACCTTAGCCTTATGAGTTTATAACAAATATTCTTCCCACAAGTGTGCAGATATTCAATGGCCCAACAGATAACTTAGAAACAAATACTAAAGTCAACAATAATTTAGGATTTTGATTTTCAACAAAAAATGATAATAAACATAAGCATACAAAAATAATAATGAAATATAATCTGCAAAGAGAAATCAAACAAAAAATATGTGATTAAGAATACAATTAGTTTCAGAGGCCAGATAAAAAGTCACTCTTCCTGTAAACATTGGCAGAAGCAATAAGATGATATAGAAACAAATTTATCTATGATAAATGGCTTTTGCTTAGCTTAGCATTATAAGGAACTAATATAGATATTAAGATAAATAAAAACTTGCTTCAAATGAAAGGTACAAAACAAGGAAAACTGAACCTGAAACCACAATTGTCGCAAAAGCCTAAAAATAATGACTCCAGGTCTGGTAATAGATGGAAATCTCCCTTGCATGGTTAGCTCTTTCTTGGGTGCAGTAAAGAAATTTATTGATAGCTTTCCCAAAACTGAAAGTAAATCAGTGGCGACTTGTTTAACAGATTTGGAAGGAGATGACACGAGGTTGATGACTGGAAAAATGAATAAAAGCTCTTCACTCAACTCACTTGCGGCCCTGCCGACAATATATTCTGCAAAAGCAAGTAGAAAACACAATTTATTTACCAGGAAAAAAAAAGCATAAAACACATACTTTGGGCACGAAATTGGGAAATGGAACAAAGGGGGCAAGCAACTATCCCGTTATACATCCAATGTGAACAGGAAAAACAATGACACCACAAAACTAAAGTACATGAAATTCAAAGATTAAGGCTATTATGCATTCTCACAAAATCAATAAGGATTACAACCAATAAGAAAAAAAAAATTACTGCAATAGTAATACTAATGACGATGCTGACAACTTGGTTTTCCCTATAATTTTCGGAGCACCATGGAAAACATTGTTTTCAAGCACAGCAGCATGGATGCAAGGGAAGGCTATATGTGTATGTTTCTGCATTTTTGTATTTTTTTTATGCTTGTGCATTTTTGTGTTTTTTTTTATCTTTGCAAGTGGAAGGGAAGCCAAATATAATGTTAAATAAACACATGAATGATTCAGATCGTACAATTTTTGTTCCATAAATAGCAATTGAAGAGACCCGACAACTAAACAGTTGTCAAGAAACTCCCTGAAAAGAAAAGGGAAGAAAAGGGAAAAAAAAAGACAAAATGACATAGCAAGGAAATGGCAACAATGATCACCTAAGAGGAAAGTTGACATCTCCTAACCAGAAAAAACAAAAAAAATGCTGAAGTACAATTTACGAGCAACAAGCTGCACCAGAGACTCTAACCAGCTCGCTCTGACTGATGCGTATGGTTCAAAGACAAATCTAAGCACTCCAACAGCTAATTCCAATCATTCTAACTTTGGCAGGCAAAACCATTTTAGAGGGGCTTGCCACAATAAATGATCTACTACAGCTAGTTTCTTTATCTATTCTCCCAAGACACCCACAATCCTCAACAAAAGGTAACTCCTGGTGCAGCTTCATGAGTACTTTCAATTGAATCACGGATTCATACAACTGACTTCTGCACAGGAGTATTATTATAGACAAACAAAGTTCACGTGGACAAAACAAAAGCAGACCAAGGGATAGAAAGTTGAATTTCAATCGTGATGCATCAAACTATGTCCACTATCTAGTCTAAGTAAACAAGGTAAAAGTTTCATAGAATAATTGAGACAAATCGGTGACCATACCATTTTCACTTTTCCACGCCAAGAGAAAAAGAAGCAGTTTTGCTATAGACAATTGTTCATGTTCTACCTCCAACTGAATGAAAGTAACAAACAACGACAAAATCACTGATGATAGCTCAGGAATGTAACTCAAGCCAAGCTCTTTCTGAACAAACAATAAACGCCTTGATACTTCGAAAATGGCCTCACTTCCACCAGAGAACTTCTGAAGATCCATATGTAATGAAAAAATAATCTCTAGCAGTTCCACACCACATACCTGAGCCTCACGAACCAGCTGCTAACATCAATAGGACCAATAAAAACATATAGATCTTAACCCCCAAAAAAAATGAAACAAAAAATAGTAGTTTATATTGAACTCAAGAACACATCCACAATGTCGTGAAAGGACAACACAAGAATGTAAGAAATAATTAAGGGTTCATTGGATTAGATAGTTTAACCACATACCAAGCTCATTCTGACCAAGTTCCTCAACACCACTAGAAATGCATCAACCATGTAGTCCAGAAAAAAAGAACTATTAGAAAAATCCTGCAAAATATTTGAGGACAAGAAAACAGTAAGTATCATATTTGTCAAACTTCAACTATTCACTCCAATTAAAAAATGTAACCATTATACTGCAAAATATTTATTATATTGAATTGTTTACCCAACAAGTCCACTTACTTCTGCATCCTTGCAATGAAAATATTTAAGACATCCCGTCAACAGCTTAATTAGAGGAATTGCCTCCCGAGGAAATGAACAGCACACGGATGCCATTGAGGATATTAAGTTCCTCGCAACTGAAGCTAACGAACTCAAAAAGGGCATTCTTATGAATACAAAGTTCAAGAAGGGCCTTAAGAATTCACATACTTCAACCATCCCCAGTTGCTTATTCTGCACTATAAATATAAGCACTTGTTGCACGAGCTCGAATGAAACCTCCACTCTACAAGAAAGTATCTGAAACCCATAAATTTACATCACATCAATTTCCAAAATTTCCAATAACATTGTTTATCAAAGGATCATTCACATCATCAATATGAACTAATGAACAATCAAATTATAAACGGAAATATGAAACTAGTAATGGTAGTGGTGGTCATGGTGAAATTCAAGCTATATACATCCAAAAAAAAAAAGCACATAGAGAATCATGTAGTCGTGGATTCATTACAGTTACCTTGACGAAAGGATGAGTTTCTGAAGAATGAAAACGAAACGAAGAACTGTTCCTTTGAAACCCTAACCTAACAAGAAATCCTAAACCTTTAACGAATACGTCAACGAAGCGTGAATTAGAGCCCTCTAGAGCAGATTGGAGCTCCAACAAGCCGCGAGGGAGGTCCAATTTGGAGTCCTTTACCAGGAGGCAAAACTCTCGAACCGATTGGTCGACGACGGCCGGAGAAGTGGAGTGGAGGCATTGAGTTATGGCTTCTCTTCCTGGGTCGGAGTCTGGGTCCAAATGCGTAGGTGCTGATCGGAGCTTTTCGAAGATTGAGATCACCGCGAATTTTTGGAGGGAAGGTTGAGGGACTCGAATTTTCTCCAGCAGAGAAGAGTACGGTTCCATTCTGGGTTAGATAGAAGTAGAAGTAGAGAGAGCAGCGCCGGTAAATACTTTCTCCGGTCGGACGGACCTGAGAGTGAGAGAGAGAGTAGGGAAGGGACTAAAGGAGCAAGTATTTTACGGGCCTGCCCCGTTGCCCGTTAAGCAGCCCGATTTGAAGACTTCCCTGGTGATTACGTAGACTGTCACTGTATAATATATAATTGCTTACAGCATCTCAAGAAAATGTTTAATATTTTAAAATAGCTAAAATTTAATTATTTAAATATAAAAATTATGTTCTAATAAAATATATTAATAATAACATGCTTAAATACACTTTAAAACTTAAAAAATATTTAATTTTAAATAATTTTTGCGGCAAAATTTACTCTAAAATTATGAACTCAAAAAAATCACAACCTTTCTACAGAGTATATATCTCATTATATATATCATTATCTAACTTACAATGTTGTTGGAACCTTAAAATTAAAACTTCTAAACTAAAAATCCCAATTTAAAAACCCTAATTTATTCAAATACAAATAGACAAAAAAAGATAACAAAAAAAAATTTGCAAGTGCTATAATTAATTTTAAATACAATCATTTACCAATTATCACATCAATTTTTCTTTTGGTCACCATCAATTTCAATTCACTAACAACAATTAGCAAATGAGGAGTACGTACAATGGGAGTGTGAGTGTTAATTGTTGTTGGTGTGTACTATATGATGTTTTGTATATTATGTGTGCGTGTGATTATGAGTGTTTATTGAAGACAGAGAGGGGGACCTGCACTGTGTTCGGTCACTTGTCTATGACGTCAATTGGACAATATTTGATACATCTATTGCACTATCTAAAGCAATTTAAACCCAAATGAATAAGCATCAAATATCAATCCTATAAACCCAATAGAAGTCATACGATTAATAGACATTATATCCGGCATAAAAAGTAACATTATAACTAGATAAATTACCTTGTTAAAAAAAGACATAATACCATATTACAAACACACACATATACACAAAGCACTCAACTAATCCTATATAGGACTAGAAGTAGAGAGAGCAGCGCCGATAAATATTTTCTTCGGTCGGATAGACCTAAGAGTGAAAGAGAGAATAGGGAATGGACTAAAGGAGCAAGTATTTTATGAGCTGCCCCATTGCCGGTTAAGCAGCCCGATTCGAAGACTACCCTAGGAATTACGTAGACTGTTACTGTATAATTGCTTACAACATCTCAAATAAAATGTTTAAAATTTTAAAATAGCTAAAATTTAGTTATTTAAATATAAAAATTATGTTCTAATAGAAGATATTATTGTTGTTTCTCGTGTCTCTTGTTCACTATTTGTCTTATTGTTTATTTTTTCTCTATCTCCATCCCACATTTCCAACATAGGTATAAAACATGAGAAATAATATTTAAAATAAATACTTAAAATATAAAAAATATGTTAGAGTGTGTATTGAAAAAGTTAGTAGCTAAAATAAATATATATATATTTTTTTATAGTTAAAATACAAAATTTCGTTAGAGATGTTCTTAGTAGGACTGCTAATAAATCGAGTTTGAATTGAATTATAACTTATTTGAAATCAATTATAAAAGTTCAATCTGAATTAAATTCGATGGTTTGACGGATTTTATTTTCGTAGTTCTTATTTGAATTTGTTAACAATTCGAATTCGATCCAAATAACTTAATTAACTAAAATTTAATAAATTATACTTAAAATTGAGTTAATATTTTTAAAATAATCACTTAATTTCTATAATATTTATATAAAATATAAATAATTAGTGCAACCCAAAATACTCAACTCAAATATTGTTCGAAGTTGTTTCAAGTAAACTTGAATTAAAATCGGGTTAACAATTTTAACTCAACAAATAATAATCTTAAATTATGTGTGAGTCTTCTTTACATAAAGGAAAGAGGGAGAGTGGAAATGGGAGAGGTTCATTTGAATTGTTTATCTGGCGTGGGATGATAACTCCTTATAATTCTTTTGTTTTTTTTTATTTATCCCAGGTTATGTAAACTTTTGTCATCATTTATAGTTCTTATAAATCATATCTTACTTTAATTTTAAAAAATAATAATATATATATATATATATATATATATATATATAAGAGTTAGTGCCATGTGAGTATTAGGACAATGGAAGTCAAGGGTAAAGTCTGGGAAGCAGTTAAAGTAGACTGGACCTCGGTGGAGTCCTGTCTCCATGATTCCCAAGACACTTGGTTCCCAATCAAAAAACCTTGCATCTCTTAGTGCTAGTAAGGCAGCAGCATTCCTGCCTTGGGTAATAAGAGGCTTACTGGCCACTTGGACAAGACCTATATGGATAAAATTAAATCCTTTGGCCTTGTAAATTTTAAGAGTCTTCTTACTGAGGAGCTCGCAAAGCTCATCTTCTTTTCTGAGAGGATGAACCTGTTCAACAGTTTTAACTTGGTGTTCTTCACTAAAGGTTTTCTGAACTCAAGTTGTGCTATAAATATTTTTTTCTTTAACTGGAGGAATATTCCATTTCTTCCAGTCTGTTCTAGTTTCTTCTATTTCTAATTCTTCCTCATTTAATCTATGTGGCATAGAATAATCTGAAGATCTAGATGTACTAGCTCTAGAATTAGATCTGAATAATCTACTCATTTTTAAAATCTAAATTGTTATCAAATTTTAAATTAATATGTAAGTTTGACGACACTAGACATACCCCCTAATCTGGCTCCAATTTCTCTCAAAGGTCCAAAATTTAGATCAAAAAAGACAGACAAAGGTAAAGGAAAAGTCCAGGATATTACATGTTTTAATTGCGGAAAATCAGGCCACATTAGTCCTGAGTGCCCAATTAAAAAACAAGTAAAAAGATTAAATTTATCCCAAGATGATGAGGACAGAATCCTTGAAATCTTTAGGATAAACAATCTTGACAACTTTGAAGATTCAGATAGCCCAGTAGGCACCCCAGACTCTTCAGATTATTATTCAGCTTCTGATCACCCTGATGCACCTAAAATTAAAATAGGATGCTCTTGTCAGAAACAAGTTAGGGTAATCACAAAGCAAAATGAATACTAGTTCCTTAGTACTTATCTATAGGATTTATTACAAGTGCATTCGTACCAATTTAAATGTACAAAGCCTTGACCCAAGTCCTAAAGGAAGTACTATGTTAATTCAATCTAGTTCTGCACAGGCTAACATCCAGGTCCCAAAGCAGCTACTTTGGAAAGATGTGACTTTACCAGAGTCATGGACTGTACAGAATGAGAACTTTGACAAGGAATCTAGTGCCGAGTCAACAACAACTGATCTGGAGACTATCAGACAGCTCCCTGACGGATCAGTAAAAATATCATTTGACACTGCCAGATCCACTAGATCTTGCAGATTCACCCCCAGGCAAGATCAGATTTCTGAAGGAAGAAAATCTGATTTCTCATCTGTTTCCCATAGAGACAGAGAGATTGCCAAAGAACTTGACCATAGGTTGAAAGGAATCGCTAATTCCTCAGACCCAGTAGCTAGACCAGTGTACACTCCCATAAGTGTCCCGTTAAAGTCTAGGTACACAGAGTTCAAACAAACAGAGAATGATGCTTTTACTCCATCACCTTCTCTGTCACTCACTGCTAGTGCTTTTGATGAAAATGACAAAACCCATCAATTATACACTATCACTAGGGAAAAAGAATTTTTTATGCCTGATATTTACAAATTAAAAAAGAATTTCAAAACTCCTGAGAACAGACCTCTTAGGAAAGCTTTTGAATCTTTACCTTGTAAAACCCAGGAAACCATTAAAAAAGAATGGGTTAAATTAATGTATAAATTAGAATCCGAAATTGCTTTTGAAAATTACTTAAATAACTTCCACAAAGAAGTAAAAGTAGTAACTCAGCAAAATTGGAAAACAGAATCTGCCGTGGTAACCGCTAGTCACCCACCAGCAGAAACTATTGAATTTAAATACGCTAACAAAACTGTTACAGCTACTCCCTTTAAGATTCCAGTCTTAGAATCTGAAAAGAAGATAGTTGAACAGGTCAATTTCACCAACCAAAGCCTAATTACCATAGGTAAACAGTTGGATAAAATTGAAAATAAAATAGATGAAATTAAACCATCTTCAGTAGAAAGACCATTAGTCAACTTACCTGAAGAAAGAAAGAATTTAGGTTTAAAAGAAAAAAACCTAATTCAACAGATTGATGCACTCTTATCCAGGAAAGAATCTACTAGTACTTCCCAGATAACAGTCATCAACCAAACTGAAGAAAGTTCAGAGTCTAATTCAGAATCTGATAGTCCCAAAGACACCACTCAAAAGTAGCCGAAAGTAATGAAAGAAACTTTTAAAGAATTTGAAGACTCAGTTGAAGTCCGGAAGCCCCTTTCCCTATATAAGGCAGCCTCCTCTCCTCTGATAAGCAAGCTTTGAAAACTTCAGACCCCTTCTAGTCTGGATTCTCAAAGATCATTACAAACCCTTCTAGTTTTGTAATCATACCTATTACTTGTAAGCCTTCTTCATAATGCAAAAGAAGTGCTGCACCTCTATCACCGCTTATTTCCACTAGACCATTAGTTCTAGTGTTGTAAGTGTTTATTTTCTTTAATTGAATATTTTGTTTATTTTCATATCTGTTCCATATTCTTCTTTATCTATATTAATAAAATTGTTATAAAAATATATAAAAACTCCTAAAAATAACACCATATATACAAATGCTTATTGAAAAAAAAAACAAATACTAACATAACCTAATGAAATTTACAATCTTTAAGTAATAAAAAAAAATAAAGTTAAATATAAATTTGACAAAATTATATTTCAATTTTTGATAAAATTATATATTAATTTATAATATAAGGCTCATTTTGTGTTGAATATTATTTGGAATTTATAGTTAATGTGCTATTTTTTATTTACATTAAATTTTATTTACAAATTAAGAAGTAAGTGATAAAATACATGTCGTCTAATATATAAAAGTTTTGAATTAGTTTAATGGAATAAGTAAATATGTAGTTAGATAGAGGGAAAGAGATAAAATATAAGATAGATAGATGGAAAAAGTTATACGAGAGATGTGAGTCTTAAGAGTTGTAAAAAGAAAGAAAGTCTAATTAGGACCATCAGATTAAAATGATTTGAACCGCAAAAAGTTTAAGACAAACAATCTAACTACTTTATTATATAGATGTATTATTTATGAATAAAATATAATACATAAATTCAGATTATGTTTAGGTTGAACTCGATTTCATTAATTTGGGATTGGATTCGGGTTGAACTCATGAAATCGAGTTCTTAAAATCAAGACTATGAGAGATTTATTCTCAAAAATATTCTAGTTATAGTGTGAATGATAATTTTTTTTTCAACAGTCAAAAATATTTGAATCAATTTATGCACGCCTTAATTAATTGATCCGATCAAATATAAACTACTAGTTATTGCATGCGCTTTAAGGCACGCAATAATAAAAAATAGTAAACAATAAATATATTTGTATTCATATTCAAAATTAAATGTCAAACATAAAAAAGAGATAAAAAAATTTAAACATTGATTTGTTGTGGGAGTGAGAGATAGTGGACGACAGTGATGGTAGTAGGAGACAGTAATAATTGCGACGGCGGTGGTAGTGATGGATGTGACGATGACGATGATGGTGGTGGCGGTGGAGATGGAGGTGGAGGTGGAGGTGGTGGCGGTGGCGGTGGCGGTGGCAATAGTGGCAGTGGTGGAGGTGGGGGTGGTGGCGGTGGTAGTGATGGTGGCGACGACGATGATGGTGGTGGCGGTAGAGGTGATGGCAACAGTGGGTGACGACGGTGATGACGGCGACGGTGGTGGTGACGACAATTGTGGTGGCGGGGATGGCGACGACAGTGGTGGTAGTAGAGATAGTGGTTGAGCGGTTCAAAATAATATATATTTTTTTAAAGTACTTATAAGAAATAATTCATAAAAACACTTTAAAAAAATTATTTAAAACACACCTTTAAAAACTTATTTTTTCTTATTAAATTTAGAGTTTTAATACTAGTCGTTCGATTAATTTTAAAATAATATTTAAAATGACTTTAATCACGAATAATAAAAATTATTTTATTTATTTTTGAGATTTAAATCGTAACCTATTTTATTACACAGATTTGGACCCTTTCGTAACTTCAACGACCTTCGCGTGAATGGCATTTGACCGCAGAAATAATTCGTTGACCCGAAAAAATCAGTAGTTGTGCAGATTGTGCTGAACTCAATCGCCGTTTTATTTTGTAATTTTTTTTTTTCAATTTATTTATCAATCAAAGACTTTTTTTCCGTCTAAAACCCAAGATTATCATAGTTCTCTCAATCAGCGTGCTAAACCCTAACTAAACTGCTCTCTCTAACGCCGTATTTTGAATTGCACTCTTGGGCTTTCCTCAGTCGGTGTTGTTCAAACTCTGCGTCTGTGCAGAATTTACCAGTGAAGATGACGTCGCTCACTGGACTCAACGAGGAGATCGTTCGTAGTATGTCAATTGGAGCTGTTTTCTCAGATTTTGTGAGTTTCATTTAGGTTTCTAACGGCTCTCGCTTTCCATCTGTATCTATATATATACACACCCACAAACTTTTTTATGCATCTACTTCTGCAACAAGTCTCAATGGACCGAAATAGAAAAATTATAGAAGTGTTTAAAGCATTGATTCCATGCTTAACGCATTGTTTCACTAGGGTTCATTGTCATTTATGCATTCGGAAGGGGTTGGATGGAAAGTCTGCCATCAATTTAGAATACCCATAATTTTATTTACGTAGCTTTATATAGGTATAGACTCGACGAAGTGTAAATTTCGTTTGAACTTTTAAGCACCCTGTAAATTTATGCTAATGTGGACTTACCTTTAGAATGCTAATAGCCTAATACATGTCTTCGAAGCTGTTGCATTAGTATTATTTTTTTGGATACATGGGAAATGGTAAAACATAAGTCACATTGACTCTCTAACAAAAGAGACGCCGGCCATTTCTGAGTTCAGCAAAGCCCCCATCTGTGAGGGGGGAGGGGGATCCTCCAGCACCACTAAACCTCCAAGGTTTGCCAACCTGTCCACACATTGGTTGCCTTCACGCAATGTGTGGGTGATTGGAATGTGGTGCGTTTCCATCAGTGCTTTGCAATTAGCAATTAACACTCTGTTTGGGTGGGTTTCATCCTGTTTGTTGGAGAAAAGCGTGAAAACTTCTAAGGAGTTAGTTTCCACCTTGACCTTGGGGAATTTTCTTCTCTGGATGAGTTGCAGTCCCCTGTAGATTGTCCACAACAGGGGTAAGCTGTTGCATTATTGCCACTTCTTCTGTTGGACGAATTGAGTCACTCAATGTGGGTATATGCGTAAACTTCCTATCGGTTTCTCAATTGTTATTTCCCACTCTCTTCACTGTTTGATATTAGGACGGAATGTTATCGCCCTTCTACCTGCTCAGCGCATGCATCTGTGTAACATGGAGATGTTTGTTATATGGACCTCTATATGTATGGAGTTTTTAGATCAGGTTTATCCTGCTCTAGGTACTTCTGACATCAATTCATATCAGCCGATCAGTCAGTCAGCCTTTTCTGCCAAGGAAATTTGGAACCAATGTTGCACAGTCAACTAAAAAACAGTTTTACTTCATTTTATTGTTGGTTACACCTGCACCTGATTGTTTTATTTTTATTATCTAATTTTGGCACCACTGTTAAGTTTGTTTGTCACAAGTTTGACCTCCAATGAATGAGCTTTCGGGCTCTCATTAAGGAATTCAGTAGTTTTTTTTAACCTTTTTCAATAATTTTTTTGAATTGAATACGTGTCCTATTTTCCCTCTTCATGTAAGTGTTTCAGTTTACTTATCAATTAATATAAATGTTTCAGGTTGGCAAGATAAATTCACTTGATTTTCACCGCAATGCTGATTTATTGGTTGCAGCTAGTGAGGATGATTCAGTGCGACTTTATGACATTGCAAATGCCAAGTGAGTATACTATACGATTAGTTTAGAATCATGGGGGATATGGTCATAATGGGCTACATTTGGATCTGTATTTGTATAATTGATTTTTTGCTTGCCTATATTTGTTGGTGTGCTTTGATATGAATATTAGACAGGATGGAATACTTGTCTTTATTGTGGCTATATAAGAATTTCACTTTTTTTTTTATTATTCGGAGAAGCAAGTAAGTCTGGAATTTTCTTGGTTAAAACATTTTTTTTTTCTGGAAAAGGAAGATAGGCCTGCATTTTTGAAGTTGGAGTGCATTGCTGTTATTTTATAGGAACTGGACTCCCCTAATTGTAATCAAACATTGAACTGCATGTATTTTAGTATATTTGTGGACTGGCTACTACTGGATTTTTAATATGGTGCCTTAATCAATAAAGTTCTCTATTGGGAGGTTGAACTTTTACTGCACATTAAATTTTCTTAAGAAAACAGGGTTATGTTGAGGGCTAGAATGAAACTGTGTTGAGTGATGATTATGATTGGACTTCAGGTTACAATGTGTATAGTAAGGTTCAACTGATTGCTTATCGTGGGTATGTTGTAAATGTAATTTAGCATGCCAGATATATACCAAGTCAGGGTGAAAGTTTTTTTTTTGGAACATAAAATGAATATATAGATAGACCATTTCTCATATCTGTTAGGGGGCATTGTCTCTAAACACCACACAACTATGTAAAGGAGACTCCATCGCACCTTCGTCGGGGCCAAAGTTAAAATCTCACCGTGCACTAGGTTTAGCCACACCGAGCTGCTGTAGTTGCGAAGACTTGAACTCACGTTTGCGCGAGGAAATCCGAGTTTTTATCCACTGGACCTACCGCTCGGTGGTCACATTAATTATACTTAAACGTTGTAAAACTGATGGAGGTGGTTTTATTTATTCAATACATGAAGGAAGAACTGGTTACTTCCAAACTTCCAATACGTAAAGTGATGAAAGTGCAATAAACATTGTAAGCCATATTTTTTGTATACCAATTTGTTAGATTGCCCCTATATCTGTGGCTAGTTGCAGTTAACACATCGTTGCCACAAATTGCCAGTGCTATAGAATAGTTCATCTATCACACAATTTTGGCTGTGGTATGTTTATTTTAGAAAACATTGTAATTGGTGACATTGTATCTTTGCTATTCTTGAAAGTATTTTTCGCTCTTCACAACACAGTATATGAAACAATGAATTGAAATCTAGTAGGGAAACGGCCATAATGCATGACGAGAGAAATAGAGTAGTATATGCTTTGCCCTTATGTGGTTGATCTATATCAAATATAACTGCAAAAATGAATAATATAGATCTGCATTATGCTGTCCATTTCCTTTATCACTTTCTATAGGAAAATGGAACTTGTTTTATCTCATCTAACCACCAATGTATATAAATAGATATATATACACACACACATCCCTTTTAATTTTCAGTTATGTGCATCAGGTTGCTTAAGACCACATATCACAAGAAACATGGCGCTGATCGAATATGCTTTACTCACCATCCGAGTTCTGTAATATGCTCGTCTAGTTATAATTTGGATTCTACAGGAGGTTACCGTCTCAGCGAAAAGTTATTTGTTTCTTGTGTTAGTTAATTTAAGTAAATGATGGCTAACTGTTTATTTCATTTTTTTGTGACCAGAATCCATGCGGTATCTATCTATGTATGATAACCGGTGCCTTCGTTACTTTAAGGGGCATAAAGAGAGGTTTGGATCTTATGAATTGCTTGGTGTTCTTTTTAATAATTGTATGAATGCAGATTTTGTTAACACCTAATGATAGAACTTAAATATTTGTGAAGTATTTTTGCAAGTGGTTTCTTATAATATTTCTACTGCTAATTTGTTATGAGTAATGTGAACATCTTCTATTCAGGGATTCTATCAAAGTTATGCTACATCTTCTTGCACAAGTAACATATTGTTAGTGCATACGGTAGAGGATAATAATAGTTTCGTTGTATGATGAGTGTATGACCTGATAACACTTCTGTTACCATGTTGCATACGTGATGGATATGTATGGTAGCAATAAACGTTTGGACATTTGTGTTATACTCTTTTCTCTTCTGTTTTGTAGTCTAATATTTTTATATCCAGGGTGCTACATGATTAACTTTATTAATGCTAATAAGGTGCACCTTTTCCCTTTTTCTTTTTGAATTTAATATCACCAAGTTGTGATGCTGACTTTTTTAGGTGCTGCCTGTCTGTTTTGGCTGTAGGGTTGTGTCCCTCTGCATGTCTCCAGTAAATGACAGCTTCATGTCTGGTTCTCTTGACCACACTGTTAGAATATGGGACCTTCGCGTAAATGCCTGCCAGGTTGGTTTAAGTTTTTAACGAATCAGATGTGACTTGCATGCTGAGAGTAATCTTGCAAAAGCTAAGTTCTTGTAATAGATAGAGTTCAACAATGATTTGTAACTTCCAAACTCGTGAATTTATTTTAACTTTTGAACCTGGTAAGTTGATTTGGCTTCAAAGCGGTGGGGGTTGACCTTGGAACTCGTGCCACTCTCTCTCTCTCTCTCACACACACACAAAAAAAAAAGAAGAAGATTTTGAATTAGTTTGATACATAAGAGCACTATATTGTGGAGGAGAACTGATGATGGTCTTATTTGGTAAGTTTTGTATTGCTAATGTGATTGCTTTTGCCTTCCAAAAGCACTTCACAATTGTGATTTGTGCTCACTGTTGTAGTTTTCAGGGAATTTTACGTCTACGAGGCAGGCCTACAGTTGCCTATGACCAACAAGGCCTCGTTTTTGTAGTAGCAATGGAAGGGGGTGCTATTAAATTGTTTGATTCACGATCATATGACAAGGTACTTTCCTATAAAGCATTAGCTTGCTTTTAACATAATTTTAACACGAGTTATGATTTTTACCTCCAATATGCAGGGACCCTTTGACACTTTTCTGGTTGGTGGAGATACAGCGGAGGTCTCTGATATTAAATTCAGCAATGATGGCAAATCAGTGCTTTTGACAACCACAAGCCACAATGTTTATGTTCTTGATGCATATGCCGGAGAGAAGGTTAGTTTTATTTTGGGCTGGATTTCCTCAAAATCTATTTGCTGTGTCACCTTGGTGACTGCACTGCACTTATGTCCCCCCCCCCTCCCTCTCCCTTTTCCCTCTTTTCACTATTGGGTGTTCCATATCAGTTAGATATTGGATCTGAAGTTTCTAGATATTAAACTTTCTCTGGTGCAGCGGTGTGGGTTCAGTCTGGATCCATCTCCAAATACAACAATGGAGGCAACATTTACGCCAGATGGCCAGTATGTGTTATCAGGTATTCGTCAAGTGAAAAGCGACTGTAGGTTATGATTCTACTACGTTTTTTGACATATGGTCTCTGATTTTATCTGGAATCTGGTTCAGTTTATTGCATAATTATTGAATTAGATGACTGAAACTTCCAACTTGGAACAGCTATCTTGTTCAGACTTACAGATCATTGGACACATGAATTATGCCATTTTGATCTGCAAATATGCAGATCCATGGGCCACGACCATCAAACTCTTGTGCTTTTCACATTAGATTTGTTCAAGTTGGAACTGAAGAATGGTATTTTGCTAGCGTGAATGTTTAGTTTGTTGTAGTGGGAACTGATAATTAGTCCTTGTTTCTATGAAAGGCTCAGGAGATGGAACTTTGCATGCTTGGGGCGTCTACACAGCACATAAGGTACTTTCCAATCCTAATCATACTCCTCGTGGTACTGCTGTTGTAACCCTAAATGCATAACTAGTTAGTTATTCACATATCTCATGGACCTTCTGCACTTTAAACGTACTGATGTACTAAATAGAGAATTTAGCTTTGTATTATCCTCCGCCTAATAGTGACAAAATATTCATTGCAACAGTGACACCACGTCATTGTTGTTACGTGGTATCATCATCTAATTAGAATATCACAAGTAGGCAAAATGAATCCTACTATTTTTATAACTATTTGTAATTACCACATCCAATCATCAACACGTAGGATTAATGTAATTCACTTTGCCTACTTGTAGTTTTCTAATTCGATGGTGACACCACATGACAGTGATGACTTGGTGTCACCATTGTAATGAATATTTTTTCATAATGGTGTGGGAAAGAGAACCGTCAAGTAGGTTGAGTGCATCGTCTGTCCTGTTATATGGCTCACGTTAGACTATGAGGGGTGTGATATTTTGTTTAGCTCTTGTAGTCATATTATCTTTCATTTTTCCCTTATCCCTAACCAAAAAATAAAATAAAAAATGATTGGAGGTTGAACTTGAATACGATTGATATCCTCGAGAAGAGGATATATATATATATATAGCTTCTCTGTTCTTATTTTCATGTCATCTCCTAAATAGCTTGATGACATAGGAACAAGAAATAAACCCAGAAAATGCTTGGACAAGGCTAAGTGCTACGACACAGGAATGAGAAATAAACGCTGAAAATGTTTGGACAAGACTTGGTGCTGTATTGGGTCATATGAATATTATGAGTTGAGGGTGCTGATTAAAATTTATTGTTGGTTGAGAGCTGAGTTAATTCCTACCATGAACGGGTGATTATTATTGTTCCACAGGTGGCGAGCTGGGACTCTTATATAGGCGTTGTATCTTGCTTGAAATGGGCACCTCGGAGACTCATGTTTGCCGCTGCATCAACAGTTCTCACGTTTTGGATACCCGACGATTCAGACTCATCCACACTACCTGAACATACTTCTCAATGAATTCTTCTTCTTTCATGACTTGGGCTTGAATTCAATGCACGGTTTTGCTTGCATACGACCGCCCACTACAAATTTTGATTATGTTGATGTTTGGGAAAATAATCCTAGAATTCTCAGACAGGCTTTTGTATAAGTATTAATTACTATTACCTCTTCGAATTCTTATCTTTTGGAAGATTTTCCGTATCCACAATCTAATTTTTTTTTTGGTTCCAACGGTCAGGAATGTTCGGGCTAATTTTCGCATACTTTTACTAATTTTTTTATCAAACCGGTTAAAGATAGATTATTCACGTTAGGATTAGAGTATTCTTCAGAGATAATTTTTTATGGTATGACCTTAAGGGTTTGTTTGGGTAAAGGGGTGGAATATGGTAGATTTTCTTTTTTTATATCCTAACCAATCCAAATTAAACTCATTCATTCATTTTAAAACCATAACTCAAAATTATATTTAATCTTAACTTTTATTTGAGAAACAAATGTATTATTCAGTGGATTTCATAGATTACACAAAATTTTTTGTAATAGTTTACCATTCTGTCCATCACTCTATCCATTCCATTTCAATCCAAATCAATCATATTCTATGTTTGGTTAACCCATCCAAACTTAATAAAATTATACATTTTTCACATATACATAAAAACATATAAAAATAAAGAAAGTTATATATATATATATATATATATATATATATAATTTTTTTAATTTTTTTTTCAAACAAATCAACACTTTATTTCATTTCTTAAAAATTAATTATAATGGGAGAAAGACAAACAATCTTGCCTTAAAACAATATGTTAAAGCAACCAAAACAATGAAAATATAAAAATTTATTGATATATCTTAGAGCTTTCAGAGGATGAAGTCAATTGTGTCCGATTGTGATTTGCAAGACTTATATTTTCATTGTTTTGGTTGCTATATGAAACCAAAACATTATGATAAAGCAACACCAAGACAATATGATATTGTACCACTAATTATAAATTTTGTGATTTCATTTATAATTTTAAAAATCATTTATGAGCCTAAAAACTTATATTTTAACTCACAAAATTTATAATTTTTTTTTTGTTGTAAACAAACCTAAGAACTTATATTTCAACTCACAAACTTCATACAAATTGATGATATGATACTGATTTTTTATTTTTATTTTTAAAGTACCATAATCGTCTCCTTTCATATGACATCTTCTCCAGTATAATTTCTTTATGACCATTTATTCTGAGAACAAGGGCAGAAAATTAAAGCTACGGGAAAAGGTTATAACCAGCTTGCTTCCAAACCACTCGTGGAGATGTTCAAGGAGTTATTCCAATGACCCCAGAGAGCTGATAGTCAAACAAACTCGAGTGAGCTCAAATTGAACTTAAAAAACTTAATCAAGTCTAAAAAATTATTCAAATTTTTCTCGCTTAAAAAACGAGCTAAACTTGAACAAAGTCAAAATAAGCCGAGTTTAAGTATTTACACGTAAATAAGTCCAGCCTGTCGGACTCATTTTTTAGATTAGCCAAAAAAATTATTTAAGTTCGATTCGTTTAGAAAACGAGCCGAACTTAAACGAGCAAAAAATGAGTTGAACCCGAACCAAACTTGAGTAGCTTGTTTTGATTAACAACCCTAACCCCAGATGCAACCAAACCAAACCCGCTGGTTACACAACTGAATCATCCCAACAGCAGACTTGAATGCACCAACAAACACAAAGACATTAAAAGTAGGAGGAGCATGTAAAGAGTTAAATGTTCCCACCTACCTCACGGAAAATGGGTAACAAAAAAATTTTCCAAAAAAATGTACAATCACATTCCAATCCACTGCCCAGCACGACCCAACAGCAATGGCATCACACATGAAGGTGAATATATGGAGATGAATATCCTGATATCTTATTTAGCATTCCATATACAATATAATACAACTGATATGTATTCAACAGTGAATGAAGTAACACGTTTTGTTATCTCAACCCATAGACAGGCTTGTTCATATGATGTGTTAGTTGAACTTTGGTATCAAGAAAAAAATAGAGAAACAATTAAAAAAAAACAAGCTGAATGTGCAAATCATGAATGGAAGCACTAGCAAGCAGGCCATACTTCTGAACTAACTGCAGGCCATTCAGCAAAGCTTTAAATTCAGCAGCCACATTCGAGCACTCATCATAAAAGAAACAAGCAGCTAATACCAATCCCCCAAACTCAGTCCTCAACACAGCACCACCACCGGCTATGCCAGGATTATTCTTGGCAGCCCCATCAGTATTTAACTTTAAGCAACCAGCAGGATGTTCCATCCATTTTACCCAAATAATTTAGTTCACCAAACTTGAATATGCAAAAATTCCAAAAAAGAAGAGCCAAGAACATCATTCTGCATCTTCCCCAGCACAGATTATTCATAAAATCCTCACAATGCAATCCTTTGTTTGGATTTCTCACTTAGCCTACAAACATCTACAATTTACCACATGAAATTTATACATAAAAAAATACACTTTAATCTATTTAATTAACTTACCAACACAATCATACAGTGTAATAAACATTTATTTTGGCATTTAATCAATTGCCGCCAAATACAACGCCAAAATGTGCATTCGTTCTAATAATATCAAAATCAGAAATTACTCTAATAAATCACTTCAAATGTGCATTGTAGTTCGTAAACTACAAGTCCACATCCCATAAATCACTTCAATTTAACTTCTGCATCAATCTCAATTTTCCTCGAACTTCAATTCCAACATAAGAAATTTAGCCTTTTCAAGCAATTAAGGCAGAAAGAGAGAAACACAACTCTTAAAGAAATTGGGCCTCTACACATCACTGCCGGAGAGAGAGAGAGAGAGAGAACAGAACTCAGCTTTCCATTCAATTCAAGCTTATTCCACAGAGGAGAGAGAGAGAGGGGGAGAAAGCGTGCACGCACACACACACTCACACTCTTCCGCCAAAGCAGCTCGAAAAAGAGCTTCAGGATACGACATCAACTCCACCAAACCAACGCCATCAGACTCAAACCAACCCAAATCCAAACCCCAAGAAACCATCTCAACAGACCCACCAATCCTGCAGACCTCAGGAAGCTCTAGAGGATCAAGAGGCTCAGGACCCATGACACAAAACAGAGTATCCCTCCAATTAGCAGACCTTGACTGATACAGATCGAGAGAGAGACAAAGAGAGGGGGAGAGAGACCAATTCGTCGGAGAAGGGGAATAAATGTACCACTGACTTTCGTCGAAGAATAGAGAGAGCGAGAGACCTCCCAGAAGCTTCCCCCTTCGCCTTCATCGTCGCCGTTGCTTGGGTGCTTCTCAGCCAAGGATCCCGTTTGACGAATGGTTGGACGAAATGAAAAGGGCAAGAACGTTTGTCTATAAGCTTCGCCTTCATCGTTGCCGTTGCTTGGGTGCTTCTCAGCCAAGGATCCCGTTTGACGAATGGTTGGACGAAATGAAAAGGGCAAGAACGTTTGTCTATGCATGGTAAAAATGTCATTGCATCTTTTATCCTCTCGGCAAGGTTTGTAGTAACCTTTGGAGGAGGTGGGTTTCATTTAACCAGGCTAAAAAACATTGTAGCACCCGGGTCAAAATTAGACCCGAAATTTATAACCTCACTCAAATTTGTCTTTCCAAGATTTTGTGGGACCCGCAATCATATTAGCCTATCCAATTAAGTGTTAACTTACTTTTAACCCATTACCCAAACATACCTTAAGAGAAGATTATTGAGATATAAATTTAAGACATCTAAATTAATAATTCGTCTTTACTATCACTTAGAGTTATTTTTTTTTGGGTTGAATAATATAATTGGTGGTACGGTTCATAACTAGGTTCCCACTTGTCATTTTTATACTGAAATTTGTGATCGTAATGAAAATGAAACAAGTTATAAATTTAAATATTTTAATTTCAAATTTTAATAATTTTTTTAAATTAAATTATAAGTGATTTATTTTTTACAAATAACTTGCTTTTAATGTAAATGGTCTATTAGAATATTAATTGAGATGAGCGTCCGGATATCGTGACCGTCGATTATTAAAAAAAAACACTCTAATCTCGAAACCTGATTTGATGCGATAGATTTCATACTGTCCAGTTGCAGACAACAAACACCAAATTGATACGCCCCATTGCCCGATAAAACAAAACAAAATTCGGTTAACTACGACTAACCGAAACACGCAGGTAAAATACCTCAAACCATGAACTAATAATCTAACATTATTCGAGCCATTTCGAACATAATTAGTTCCTCATCTTTTAGCTCAAGTCCTCCTAGCTTCTTTTCCAACTTCCTGGCCCTTGTTCTGGATCGTCTGGTCCATTGGACCTGGACCCGTCACATCCTGCATTCGCCTCTTAGCGTGGTTCAACTGTTCCGGCATGGAGCCACCGGCCTGTCTGAAGTACTTCAACACCCAAGTGAGTGATGACAGTCCGGTCAGCCCAAGAGCTCCCGACGTGAGGAAGGCGATGACCACAAGACCGAGGGTGATGGTTGCAGGGACAAGAACTGGGCTGAAGATGACAAACAGTGGGGTGGTGACGGCGAGGAAAATCAGGGTACCCACGAGGGTAACGCCGGAGAGGCCTAGTAGGGTTCCACCTACCGGGAGGAGGGTGATGACAGCTAGGACCTTGGATGCTGATGGGCCCTTTTGAGGCCGAGCATACTGGCTTTGTGGGCGGATTTGTATGTGGTGCGGTTGTGGGCGGTCGCGGTCAGCCATGGGAGAGGATGGAGATATAGAGAGATGAGTGAGTGGGGGTAATGTTTAAGGGAGGGAGGTCTTAAAAAGATGGTGGGTGAGTGCAACACTGTGACACGTACTTGAGGCATGCATTGACAGGGGCTTGCATGAGAGACAAGTTTCAAGTTGGCTGTTTGACACAGGGCATCTATGCAATTGCCACATTTCTCTTGTTTTCTGTGAGCTGTTGTGTTGCCTGTAATTTTACCTTTTCACCGCAAACAAGTTGTCTTTTGGACTCATATCACTTTGCATAGCATCACTTTTATGCAACAAACAATAAGGCCTTTTGGCCTGGGTTCGGTCTGACTTTCAAGAGAGGGGGTAGAAAAGTTAGAATGAATGTCAAGCACCGTCGCATAGTGTGCACACTTAACAAGGGATCCTCACAAATTCTTTTGACAATTATTCATTAAAAATATATTATATTTTATTAGTGACGTTCACCCACATGATATTATAGTAAATAAAATAATATTTTTAAAACTTAAAAATTTAACATTCATCAAGAATAATGTTATTAACATCTAATTCATTATCCTCGTTAATCACAATATTAATGAAACCTATTATTAATTCAGTAGCCACAATGTCCGAACCTCAGTCCCCCTACGAACCTTCTCCGCCAATGATGAATTGTAGGCGCGAGATCCTGGAGGAAAAGCGTAAGTTGGATCCAAGTGGGACAAGCTCTTCGCCTATTGTAGGTAATGAATCAGGACATTCTAGCAAAGCAGGGCTCGACAAAAAGTCCATGGACCCCGCACAGGGTCATGATCTTTGGTGTGATAGCCCAGTGGACTGGCTTAACTTAGGGCCGTGGCCCAGGTGTCCTGCTGCGGCACGAAAGCTTTATGTGCACGGAACAATTTTATCAATAAAATCCCAACCCGACCCACTGGTTCTCAAATGACGATGGCTTGTTTCGGCTCCCCACTCAAACAAAACCCTACTTCTTCCTTTTAAGTTTCTCTATCTCTCTCTCTCTGCGTCTCTGGTTGTGCGTGTCTCTCTCTTTCCGCCTCTGGTTCTATCTTTCTTCGTCTCGTTGCTTAGCTCCAACCTGAGCTCGAAGCCATGCCGAAGCATTACAGGCCTCCCGTAAGTTGAAACCCAATCACCAAATACGTTATATGAATATATGTAAATGTGTATGCGCACACACTTGTGACTGCTTCTCATGAATTTGTTCGGTTGGTTTTTAACTTTCCAGGGGAAGAAAAAGGAAGGAAACGCTGCAAGATACATCACTAGGTCGCAAGCTGTTAAATCTCTTCAAGTCAGTCTATCACTCTTCAGGTCTCTCTCTCTCTCTCTCTCTCCCCTTTAAATTCATTGTCGCTGCTTTTTTCTGAAATTAGTTCTATTTAACTGATGAGAATCATGCTGAAAAGAACCTAATGATGAAAAGTGAGACCATTGTTTTACTAGTTGAAATCAACTCAGATCAATGTTGATTTTATCTAACCAGATGATGAGCTGAGCGTATTCACGTGAGAGAAATAGAAAGCAGGAAATCAACTTTGGATTTCTCCTTATATTGTGCTTTGCGCAGCTGATATATGCATCAACGTTGATGTCATCTTTTGCTTTTGACACGTAGTTGTATGTTATCCAGGTCAAACTACAAGAACTATTTGATAAAGATTAAAAGCAGAAGTATTTATCTTTGTACATTCATTTGTTTTAGGAATTCTAGCAACCAGAGTTTGAAGGGGGTTTTGATATTGTATCTGTGTGTATAGATGCAAGCAAAATTTGTACATACCTGAGTATATTTACCCTTTAACTTCATTGAAGCTTAGGGTGTGTGTGGTTGGGTGGATGGAAAAATGGAAGAATAGAAAGTTGTGTTTGGTAAGAGGGATGAAAAGTAGGAATTATTGAGTTTTATTTTATTTTATTTTATATTTTGTGTTTGGTAAGATGGAAAAGTGGAAAGATAAAAAAATATAAATGCATACTTTATTATTATATCTATGTATGAAATTAATGTATATATGATATGCGATAGATAAATATATAGGTAAATAAGATACATTTTAGTGCACAAAATTAATTTTTCATATAATTTTCCTCCTAATTTGGAGGGATTGATTTTGGTGAATTAGAAGGAAAGCTAATTTATCAAATTTTCAATAGATAAATATATAGGTAAATAAGATACATTTTAGTGCACAAAATTAATTTTTCATATAATTTTCCTCCTAATTTGGAGGGATTGATTTTGGTGAATTAGAAGGAAAGCTAATTTATCAAATTTTCAATCATTCTTATTTTTTTTCATTGCCAAACATTTTATCTATCTTAACAACTTTTTATTCTTTTATTTTTCTATCGTACCAAACAAAGCATTAGATTTTGATTTGTTTGAAAAAATAAAAAAATAAAAGTAATTCAGACTATCAACTAAACTAATCCCTATTTGATTTAAAACTTACAGGAAATTATGCATTCTCAAAGGTATCTTTCCTCGAGAACCAAAGAAGAAGGTGAAAGGAAATCACCACACCTACTATCACCTCAAAGATATAATGTTCCTTAAACACGAACCATTGCTTGAGAAGTTTAGAGAAATGCGGGCATATGAGAAGAAAGTAAAGAAAGCTATGTCAAAGAAGAACAGGGATCTTGCTGAACGCTTACTGACTCGCAAACCTACTTACACCCTTGATATGCTTATTCGTGAAAGGTTGGTATGCTGTTTCCCTTGTGATAAGTCAAATTTGCTGTCATCAGTATTCATTATTTCACTATTGTCATTCTCCTTTCTTTGCTTGTAGGTACCCTACGTTCATTGATGCACTAAGGGATTTGGATGACTGTCTCAGCATGGTTCACCTTTTTGCTGCATTGCCTGCAGTAGAGAGGGAAAAGATTGAAGTGAAGCGCGTCCATAATTGTCGAAGGTTGACATTTCAGTTTTCCTATTCTATCTTTTTCTTCTAGGCTGGTTCCATTTACTTCAAGTAATTTGTTGTGATGTTAAGTTTATACTATCTGATTATTTCCTGCTTTATGGATTGTTGCAATGTGTGTTTGTCTGCCATTTCCTTACAAATTTATTGAAGTTCTAAAATTTATTTTCTAGGTTAAGTCATGAATGGCAAGCCTATATTTCTCGCACTCATAAGTTACGGAAAACTTTCATATCTGTGAAAGGAATTTATTACCAGGTATTGTGGCATACAGTGGGTGCTTTTTTTTTGTAAACTATTCCTTCCCCCCCCCCCCCCCCAAAAAAAAAAAAAAAAAAAAAAAAAAAAACAGTTTAGCTTGACTGTGCTATCCACCTGTATAGGCAGAGGTTGAGGGGCAAAAGATCACTTGGTTAACGCCTCATGCATTGCAGCAAGTACTGCCTGTAGATGTCGACTTCAAAGTCATGCTAACTTTCTTGGAATTTTATGAGGTCAATTTTCTGTCATGGCTGGTTGTTTTGTAATTCTCTTGTCTTCCCATAATTGTTTCTTTTGTATTTGTTTACTACTTTCTTTTTGATTGCAGACTCTCCTTGCTTTCGTCAATTTTAGAATTTATCATTCAATAAATGTGAAATATCCACCCATTCTTGATCCTCGGCTGGAAGCTTTAGCAGCAGGTATGGCGTTACTTTTTATTTACTCAAATTTCTGTAATTTGAACTCAGTATTTTTTTCAAGTCCAATATCTTCACATTCTTCAATCATTACCTTCATGACTTATAGATTATTTCATGCTTCCGGCGCAAGTAGATGGGACTAAAGCTTTGTTAAGTAAAGTGATTGTAAAAAGGGGCTTTGTTGAGTAAACCTTGAGTGGTGTATCTTCTTTTTCTATATGCTCTATTTCACTATATGTTACCCTTTTGGAGGTGTGCAGATCTTTATGCGTTGTCAAGATACTTTGATGCCAATACTACAGCCCCCACGGTGGAATCACAAGCTGTTAGTTCATATGGATCAAATGGGCAAGTTGAGGACAAGCCAGCAGGTGCAAAGCTTGCTGAGTCTGAACTTAGGCTGGCCCAACTTCAGCACCAACTTCCTTCAAATGAACCTGGTGCTTTGATGCACCTTGTTGAAGATGCTGCCGGCAAGGATGAAGATGACGAAGAAGTGAAGGAATGTAAAAATCTCTTCAAAAATAAGAAATTCTTCTTGAGTCGTGAGGTGAGATTTATTTAATGTCATTGAAACTTCCTATCAACAAAAAATTGTATGTCATTGACACGGTAGCATTTCATTAGGCTGTTTCTTCACCAATTGATAGGATTGAATTTCTTCGTGTTTTGCTTTCTTCTTCTAGGTCTTTCAGTTTTGTGCCATGTTGTAAGATTTGTTTCTTTATTGCTTGATTTCTCTCGACACGTTGTTGTTTGTTTTAACGGTAATTTGGCTTAGAATTAGTTTGTCCATACATACACATGTCCCCCTTATAATTTATCTCGTCTTTTATGCTGTGTGAGGCTGTGATCTGCACTCACTCCTAATGTGATTTATGTTGCAATGCTTCCCCTTGTCTCTTTCTTACATTGAGCACATCCTTGTTTTCCCTATGTTCAGGTTCCCAGAGAGTCATTGCTTTTTGTCATTCCTGCTTTTGGCGGTGTGGTTTCTTGGGAGGGAGAAGGAGCTCCATTCGGAGAATCTGATCAGAGCATTACTTATCAGGTCTTCTATCATGAACACACTTAAGGGAATGCATGTATTCACAGAAATGTATATAATGAAAATAATATTAGCTGTCATAATGTTGCGTTACTATCATGTACTTTGAATGAAGGCCTTATAGTCTGATTTGCCAAGTATGCTATTTGTTCGTAAATATGTTGCCTATTGGACGGATAAAAGCTGAGCCACCGAACATGGAATTAGTGAATTCAAATATTTGCTGCTTATCATATGTGCTAAACCCTCTTGATTTCCTGTGATGAGTATCATTTTTAGCAAGGAAAAACCCACAATTCAATCTGGTGCTTTGGCATACTGGGCTGAACATTGGAATCAATATTTTTATACAAATTGCTATTTGGGAGGCTGAACTTACTCTTGTTCCTTGAAGGAACTTGATTAGTTGAAGTTGTTCCCAATTTCAAAAATTATATTTCTGCTGCTATTCTGTTTTCTCTTTGTCAATCATGACTATTTAAAGAAGATGCTATGTAGCAATTTTTTTTAAGTTAACGTTCTGGTATGTAATCAAGCCAATCAATTTTGTGTTCAAAACATTTCACTCATGCAGCTGAATCATTAAGCTTCCTTCCTTCCTTTGTTATTCTTATGCTCTCACTTAAAACCCCCTCTTCTTTTTCTTCTTCTTCTTAGTCTATTGTTCATCACTCTCATTTAACTTTTAGTCTAGAATATGCAATCCCTTGTTTATGTCTTCTTCGTTGATGATATTTTTCATCTTTTATGTTTAAAAGATATACAAGTGTGGCCATTGGGCAGTGGCTCAATTGTGAAGGCGTTGGGAGAAGTCTTAGGTTAGAATATTACCTAGATAAAGAGTAAAAAAGCTTGTCTTAATGGTCCACTATATATCTGACATGTCTAAGCTTATGTGGTGTGATGTCTCTACGAGATGATTGACCCAGAAGGATTTTATGCTGAAGTTTTGATGCAGTTTTTTATTTTTATAAAAGGTAAGGTATATATTGAGTTCATGGGTATTTACGGCCATTATTTATGCAGATTGTTGACAGGACAATGCAGGGCCACAGGTTTCTTTCCAGAGAATACGTTCAGCCTCAGTGGGTCTTTGATTGCATAAATGCACGTGTGATATTACCGACTGAGGAATATATGGTAGGCAGGTAACTTTTAGGAATTCATCATCTGATTCAATTCTTTGTCTGTTTTAACTTGTAAGTGTCTGTTGAATTTTTGCACTTGCCTTACCTGCCTGGCCTTTACTACTACATAATGATATGTAACAGTTTTGTTTGGCTAAATAAATGGTTCAAGTGTATGACAATTTTCTTGAGGCACTTCAAGTGATTTCTGATTTGTCGGATCTCCAAGCTCTTTGGTACCAGCAAAGTACCATTTTTTAGGGCTGTATTTAAAATTGTTCTGTGGCTTTTTTAATTTCATCGGCTCACTTTGTCAAATGCCTAAAATTTGTTTTGAACAGGGTTCCTCCACCACATTTATCCCCATTCGTCGACAATGAAGCTGAGGGATATGTTCCTGAGTATGCAGAGACAATCAACCGGCTGCAGGCTGCTGCAAGAAAAGAAATCCTTCCAATACTGGGTGTGGGAAAAGAAGATTTGGATGATCCACAAAATTTATTGGTTGAAGGTATCATTGACAGGGCTGAAGCTATTGAAGCTGCCGAGAAAAAGCGGAAGGTATAGTCTCCTATTGAGTGACATTTCATTGGAATATGGATGGTAAAGGCGAAACAAAGCTGGGTTGTGCAACCCTGTCACTGCATTGGCACAAAAACTAAGTATTAGTCATCGTTGGAATGGTTGGGGGGATATTTATATGGATTCATTAAAAATAGGATTAAGACCTGAAGGAAAAATCTGATATTCTATTTATATAAGAAGATAATGATGATGAACACTTTCAATAATTTCCGGAGCATCTAATATATTAAACAAGATAAATACTTTGAATGAATTGTTTCTTGATTCAAAACAAATATTTAATGAGAAATCCACTATTAAGGGCACTTAAGGTGACCTATTTAGCTCAGTTGGTTAGAGCGTTGTGCTAATAACATGAAGGTCGCAGGTTTGAGACCTGCATGGCCAAGCACTTCAATTATTACTTCCTCCCCCCCCCCCCCAAAAAAAAAGGTGCATTTTCTCTGTATCACTATTAGGAATATATTCTTGTGTTATGTTACACAGCCGTATGCTTCGTGTTTTTGATTCTAGATTCTCCCAATGATGGAATTGGTATTGACTGAAACAAAACAAACACCATCTTGTTACAAAGTGGTTTGTGTCTTGTTTTGATTGGAAGTATTAGATTTCCCAAGGATGTGGTATTGATTGACAGAAAACAAACATCACACCTTCACGCCCCAGTTTTTGTTTTCTTTTTTTTTTTTTTCCGGCTGAGGCGAGGGAGGTGACTAGTCTGCTTGTGAACATATTTCTTGGGAAGTTGGATACAATTTTTTTTTTGATATTTTCATTGAAATGCTGGGGTGTGCTGCTGCTCATTTTTAAGTGAAATGGTTAATCTGTTATTTTGAAATACGTGTATATTCCTTTTTTGAGTTATTTTTTTTAAACACCCTCTTTTTTCTTAGATGTTTGCTGTTATGCCTTATTCTTTATCCTTCGCTGTATTCACGCCAAAAGAATGCATTTTGCTTTTGTTAGTTTTGTCACAGAATATATGAGGTTGTTTCCTCTTTCAAGTCAGTCACTATGCACCTGATTAGTTTAGCTGTCACATTTTGGGATGGATGCAGATGTCAATTCTACAGAAGCAATATCATGATGAATTAAAAATAGAACTTCAAGGCGTCCAGTATTCCTCTGTCTCAAATGCCACTAAGCAGAATTCTGTTGAGGACACAGAGGCTGGAGGTGAATCTCTTCCTGACTTCCAACAAATTGCTGAGGATGCTGCCAACATTTCCAAGGTGGTGATGCCACGTAAAAAGAGGAGGCTTTATGAAGCAATGCAGGTAATTTTGTTTGACACTACTATGTTGCATTTATTGTCCAATCTAGGTATGCGATATTTACTCATTATTTTTGAGTAATCATGATTGCCATATATGTATTTTGTAGTCAATCATCAAACTGATGGATTTGGTCTGCTTTTTTATTCTGTACCTTGGTTGGGCACTAACTGCAATGCTCAATTTTCCGAAGCCAATCTTGATTTTCATTTTTTTGTGTGTGGCTCATAAAATATTATTCTTTCATTCAGATTGGCAAAGAGCGGAAGCGGGCTGATATTGGTCTGCTAAAGGAAAGAAAGAGAAAAATTGATGAAGCCAAGAAATCAGAGTAAATTTGAAGCCAGTCAGATATACGTGTAACCTGAGGTTTATTGGCAGTTTATCGATTCTTGTAATTTCTGGTCTTTAAGCTTATTTTGTTTGCCTTTTATTATTCATGTTTCTGACTTGTACGCTATGCTGCCAATTAGGTTGTGATTGGCTACAATTTTGCTATGACTTGTTTGAGTTTTGCTCTATTTCATATACAAAGCCTTTATAATCTATTTTTTTCCCGGCAAGTCCTTTATAATCTCTGCTTACTTGAACAAGTTATGATTATGATTTTTTCACTTTCACTTGTATTTTCCAGCACTTTTAGGCAGCATGCTGGTGAAGCTTTTTAGTGTATTTGAACATATAAAGCTATGTCGTGTCTCTTCTCTTTTACTTGGTATTATCTTACCAATTCCATTTTGCAAGGCATACTTAGAGATTGTAGTTCTGTGCTTCCTAGTGGAAACCTGTACATATGTTATACTTAGCTCATTTATCGACACGTGACTATCCTCTATCTGAAACATGGCAGTGTTGGTTGTTGGGAATGATATTGAGAAAGTGAATAGTAGAATGAAGTGAAATTGAGACCGTAGTTAAAGGATACAAAGATGTAATTTGCCCCAACACCCGATAAGCAAATACAAACACCCAGAAGAACATTTAACGTAATTTTTGATGGAAGAACTGTAACCAATAAGGTCATCATAGTACTTGGACCACAACATTACACCTACATACATGGTGGTGTTCTTAATTTCCGGTAACACCTGCGATATCAGGACATCTTCAGGGATGTATCCGCTCCTTGCTCCGCCCTGTGCCGCTGGGAGACCCAGAAAAAATTGTGTGGCGGTGGTATTGTTAGTCAATTGATCCCACATTATTTTCAACTCAGAAGCTTTGCCATTGTATTCACAGTAATTGTTGTAGAATTGCATCCATATGTAGTCGAAGAATCCACTTGCTAAGGCCTTTCCCATGTAGACGTCGGGAACGGACACTGCGGTGCTGCCCTTAAATAAACCTTTGTTTTCGACTTGTAGTCCCTCAGATAGCTGCAACGAATAAAAGAAAAGGCAAAGAAACTTGTTACATGAAACCAAGGATCGAAAGTTTGTTTCCAATCAATTGAAACGGCCGAAATTTTTTGATTTTAAGAAGAGTGAAACAAATCAGTAATTTGTCAACCCATAAGAACACATGTAGTACCTTGCTAATTCATCCCAGTGCTCTGTGGTTGCTCCTTCAATATCAAAATCAATGACATCCAACACAGCATCACCAAAAGGCCTTGAATGGTATGAGCCACCCAAGTAGCTATTCCAAAGGTACTGAGCTACCCGCTTCGCGTCCTCAGGTAATAGCCACCACCAATCGACAGCAAAACCTTGACACCTTTGCTTGGACACGATCAGATTTCATTGGCTAGGCCGTTGCAACCATTGGTGGAGGGGTCGCAGTGGTCATCAAGGTCCAGTACAGGAGTTTGATTGTTGCCAAATACGCAGAGGAATGCTATGTTAACGTATGCAAATCTTCCAGTGGCGCAGGTCTCAGCAAGGGTTCCCTCCTTTGCGTTTTGGCCCCAGTAGATGGAAATGTTGCCAGAATAAGTTTGGTTGGTCCTAATGGCCAAGATGAAGAACAAAAGGAGTAGCTTGACAGCCATTTTTCCTTCTTGGGACTAGAGATGAATGAACTTTTGGGTGTCTGTTCCTGTGTAAGAAGCCAATACTTATAACCTTATTGAGTCTAATTTTTGGTAATTCAGAAATTTCAAGTTAAATCCAGTTCAAGCCACGGTAACCAACCACTGAGTTTGAAGGAGTAATCGATAATAAGTTTGAACACTTTGTAACCAAAAAAATATATATATTTATAGTGTTTTGGTACAACCTTTTTTTAAAAAAAAATAAAAATAATTGCAACTTAACTTTATATTTTTATTGTGACAAGAGCAAGAATTCGAATTAGAATTAGAAATTTACTTGTAGTCATGTATAATTATGTATATGTTATGTTAATTTCGTGTCATATGTATTATTAAGCAGATTTGACAAATCATATCAATTATGGCTCAAACCGTCTAATATTAAACTCATACCAAATAATTTTATGTGAATTTTATATCAAGTTAATTAGTCATGTAAAGAACGGTCAATCCTACAGAGATATGCAACCCGATGCAAATGAACAATGCCTTGTCCCTTGATCAATTGGCCAAGCTAAACCATGAAGCATTTCAGCAAAGCCTTTTTTAGATTTGTGCTTTAGCAGCTTTTGGTACTCTCTCTAGTTTTATGGTTTTTGTATTTGTATTTGGTCATTTGGTGCACTCACATTAGATGCCTAGCTTCTGCATATATATATATATATATAACGCCCTGATCCGTATTATACAATATTATCCGTTTTAAGTTACGCTGACACGACCTTAAAACTTGTTGTATAACTAAAGTTCAAAGCTCACATTTATATACAACTCCATGTCCATTTCGCTAGTCAATGTGAATTGAGTCGTCACATACACACACGCGCATATATATATATTAGAAATCATGAAGTGGAGGAGATTAAAACGATTTTGTAGTCATGGATAGATGCCAAAATCACCTAACTTGTTAAGATGACTAACCCAATGAATGCTCTACTAAGTACCAAGTACTAAGTGCTCTCAAGCAAGATCTTAAGTACCAATTTTTTATTCCATCAGTTTTTTAAAAATATCCTGTCTCATCGATTTAATAAATGAGTCGATATAAATCTAACTATACATGACAAGAATTCAACTAAGATGATAGGAAACTAATTATATTTATGTATTAATATATAGTGTGTGAATTGAATAAATTTTAATACTAAACAACGTAGTTGGGGTGTTAATCGAAACGAGCTACTCAGGCTCAGTTTGGGCTTGACTCGTGTTTTAAACGAGCTGAGTTTAAATAATTTTTTAGGCTCGTTTAAAAAAATAACACTAAAAGGTTCGATTTGTGCTTGCAAAGTTCGACTCGTTTATATGTAAAATAATTGAGTTTCTCAAGCTTAAGCTCGACTCAGGATTTAAACAAGCTGGGTTTGAACAACTTTTTAGATTCGTTTAGAAAAATAAATTCGACAGACTCGAGTTCAAATTCAAGTTCGTAAATATCGGTTCAATTAACACCTCTAATCGTAATTATGACAAAATGAAATGGCCCAAGGAGTTGTAAACTTGTAAATTCATAACATCTTTGGATTGGATCTTCCTCAGCCTAAATGGGCCAAGGCCCAACATCACTTTTCGGAGTATTCTCACCCGCCAAACGGGGTTCTACGATACATTGACCCATCATACCCTCATCTATCTTCACTGTCAAAGATTCTCTCTGACAAGGTTAAAACGACGCAGTATGGTTGAATTTGGAAATAATAATGTGGCTAAGGGTAATATTGGAAACATAAAATACTAATGCGCGGGAATGAGAGCCGTTGTAACCAAACTCCAAACAGTTGGCGCCAAAAATCTCAGAATTATTCGGGCTTCGGCTGCCCGATATTCGACGGGCAGCTCTCTCTCTCTCTCCCTCTCTTCAAATCTTTTTTCATTCGTCATCATTAGTCTCATCGTATACCATACTTCCTAAGCGATTAGCATTAGTAAAACGTTTTCAAATAGGTCATGTGGGTTGTTTCCTTGGACTTTCACTCTCTTCCACCCAAAATATATTCTCTCTTTTTCTCTCCCTTTATCACAACTCTTCTCATTTTGCCGCCACACTTTTCTTCATTCAAAGTCTTCAACCTATTTTCTCACTCCATTCTCTCCCCCTCTCTCCTTTTTTCTCTTTAGAGTCTTCCCAGAATAGTAACAAAGACGCTTTAGATTTATTCCTCTTATCCCTCTCAAAGTCTAGTTTTCTTGATTTACAGAGCTTTATTTTTTTGAAGCAAAGCCAATCTTTTGCTATTCCTGTTTTCCTCCTCCTCTTTCAGTTGATTAGCAGCCTAAAATAGTGTTTTATTGGAATACTGTTATTGGGTTCTTTTGATCTCAGTCCAAAAGTTTCTATTTTGTGTTCTTTATGGGGTCTTCAAAAAAGCATCAAGTGGAAGGAGGATTAGAATCAGAAAGCAAGAAATGGGTAATTGCCGGAATAGCGTTATGTGCTCCATTAAGATCGATATCCACAAAGCCGAAGGAGTCTGAGGAGGAGGAGAAGGAGGAGGCGTTTTCGACAACACCTACGGCGAAAGAAGCACAAATACCGCAGGGATTGCCGTGCCCGCCAGCCCCGAGGAAGCGCCGGCCTACATCAACGTGCCATTACAATTTTTCAAGGGTGTATTTTACTCCTCCAGACTTGGAATCAATATTTATTGAGAGAGCGAATTGAGTTAAAATCAAGGGTTATGACTCACTCCTTTAGGTCTTTTTCTGTTCTTTTTTTTTTTTTTTCTTTCTGTTTTTTGTTTATTGCGTTTCAGTTCTTAGTTTAGCTAGAGGATATTAGAAATGTAGATATTATGGTATTAATGCAATGGGTTGTCTACTTTGGTTCTAAATTAGCTGAAGGAGAAGTTTCTGAATTTTCTCCCAAGTTTCTTTCTTTTGATGTGCTTTGGAATTTTTCTGTATGTTTTGCAATGTTCCTTCTTCGTGTTTGTTAGAGTGGATGGATATGCTTTACTTTCCGTGCTTCATGTCTCATTGAACCTTGGGATATAGAATATAGAGGCTTGTATATAGTTATCATCTCATAAGGTTTCATCTCTCTCTCTCTCTTAATTATTGGGGGTAACGTGGTATAACCATTTAATGATATAATGAATGAGTGATTATAACTGTTACGCCTAATATTTATTCTCGGTCCACCCCAAAAAAATCTTTCAAGGAGTTTCTGTGCGCGTTAACTGTATTTTCTACTTCAACTATTCATTCCTCTCTTTCTCTGGTACAAATTTCTGATGAAATATGTTGAGAGTTCCTTCTATTTTGCTTTTTCATCAAGTTTCTTTGCTCATCAAACCTATGTTACATTCTTCATCGATCTAATCATTTGCTCAGTTGCTCCCCCGACCACCTCTATTTCTATTCTGCATTACTTTCTATCTCTTAGCTGCTGTACTAATGCTTCAGGAAGTGATTGACCATTACAATCTCTGATCATGACCTTCCTTGGCCCCCCCAAGTACTGTCCCTAGGCTCAGCCATGCCCTCTTTAGTCTTCCTATGTCCCACACTGTTGTGTCCCACCTCACCTGGAACTCTATTGGCAAAACCCCAAGTTCATCCTCATGCTTCTATGATTATTAAAGGACAAACAAATGCATCTAGGAGTATGATATATTAGAATCCTATGTGGGGTTTAAGAGCTGTTTGGCTCCATCAAAATTAAATGTTTTTCAGTACACTTGATGACAGAGACACTAGGCAAGTTGGTGTTTTGGATAATACCAAAGCATACAACAATATCTGATTATAGTGATATGGATAACATATTTTGTGCATGACCAAGCAGGTGATGTGTTTAAAAAAAGTGAGAAGAAGAAATTCACATCATATCAGATTCCTTAAACCTTATAAAGGCGAGCTGTAAACTTAGATATCTTGAGTTCGAATTTTAATAACTCCTCGGAGTTATACTATAAAAGATAAATCCCCTAGTTTTAGTGTGAATAACTTGCTTTTAATCGAATCGGAGAGAGAATTAGTCAAAATGTGCGTAACTTGACGCAAACATTGAAAAAAAAAAAGGAAAGTCCTAGGATGGTTCAGGACTGTATAAAAAGCAAATTGTAAATTGTAACAGCGACAAGAGTTTAGGTCTTACTTTGCCAGATAGTAGTCATTGTGGATGGGCTAACCAAACTCTGTTTAATTTAAAGGTTTGGGTGTGTTCACATATGACTTAGGTTGTCTTCATTGGATTCTTTTAATAGACTTTTTGGATAAGTCCCAGTTTTATTCTCACTGCTACCATCTGGGTGGCAACAGATGCTGCCAAAAACACGAATTTATTTTGCTCACTAATCTCTTTTTTTCTTTTCAAAATTGTTAACTTTGACTATGCAATACTTTCATACTTATACCATCCAATAATGGACCTACATAGTTATCTGTGAAAACACACTTGAGGTGCGTTTGTTTTAGGTATTAAAAAAAGAAGGATTAGAAAAAATATGTTTGAGGCCGTCTTATTTTATTTATACTCATGTTTGAGTGAACATTATTGACTCGATATTATTACCTGCAAATATTCCTAACCTAGATGAATAGTGCTTATATTTTATTTATTTATTTATCTTTTGGAAAGGGGAAGAGACTTGAACCTTTAACCTCAAAGGCAAAACCTTCTCAAGATAAAGAGTATTATTGGACCAAAAACTATTGATAGATGAATAGTACTTCTAAACCCACATATAACTTTTTAAATAAACACACCTATTTGGTGAGTTTAAATACTCCGGTCGGAGAGTATTTGTGCAAAACATATTTTTACTCTAAAGAATATCTAGGATATAAATATCACTTTTTCTCTTAAGGGTTTTTTGGTAATTTAATGCTCATACTATCATTCAATACTTTATCCAAACAAAGCATTAGATGAGATAAATGTAAAGTCCACTACTTCTTAATATTTAAATCAAACAAGGTATATTGATACATTATCACTATAATTAGTCCAAGGACTAGATGAATGGGTATGGGATAAAAGCTATTTGTCCAATCTAGTCCTTCCTAATGCATAAACCAAACACACCCTTTATTTATAATCTTGTTAACTGTTCAGGTTGTTTTTTTATTACAAAATCTATTTCAATCATACATTGTTTAGATTTGTGATTATTATGTAAACTCAGATTGTATGCATTCACTTTTAAACTAACGTGAATTGGATCAATTGGGATGTCTCTTGTGAGACTCCAATTGGAAACCATTAGAATTTGAAACGTAAGCTATTAATCATTGAAGTCATGTCCTCCAAACTATCCTGAAATCCTATTATTGACTCGATCTATCTAAATTTAGCAAATTTGAGTCATTCCAAATCTCCCAAAAAAACCATGTAAAGCGTGTAGGGCAATTATGGATTGGGCCACATTGTTTGAAAGCACGATTGCACATGTAGTGTAGATGATCGTAGATTCAAATTGAACGTCTGAGATCGCCATCGGGCTTTGCTTGCACTTCTGACACCCCCTTCCCCTTCCCCTCCGCCAGTGGACGGCCCGGGGGTGATGATTTGATGCCTTTTAATCCGGTTAGTAGAAGCTTGAGCCTTACTTGAGGACTTATGGCCATAAGCTAAAAGTTCTACTTCAAAGGCCAAGCCTTGTATCTTTGAAGCCAAGTATTACTGTTAAGTACCACCAAGTGGGTGGTTCAGTGAAATATCAACCAAATTTCTTATTTTAAGGTTGAAAGTTCGAGTCAGTATGATGTCTAAACGCTCTTTTTTGCCTCCTTTTTGTACTAGCAAAAAAAAAAAAAAAATTACTGTTAAGTGATCACTTGACTACCAAGTGACCACATCATTTGCTAAGTCTTTTCTTTTTCTCCACTAAATCTCTCACCACCATCCGAGGAGGCAAATGGTTCAGTATTAACCACCATATCAGAACCAAACATAATCTTTTGAGAGAGAGAGAGAGAGATATTAGAAGTTTTTTTTAGCAAAATACAGTTCTTTTCCAACTACATGCCCTAGTTACAGTTGTTTTCATTTTATTTATCCAACCACAACAGTTTTTAGGAAAACACCCACGCTTTTGGATGAAAAAACAAACCCCTTTTTTCAACAAAAAAAAAAAAAAAAAACTTAAATAAAAGCATGTTTTACAAATGTGTTTTTTTTCATTGAGAAAACACTGTAATTTAGTAAAAAAAAAAGTCAAAAAGAATAGTATTACAGTAAAACATATTCAAGAAAACGATAGTGTAATCATTGATTGGAAAGATTGCAGACATGCACACATGGGCTTGCAAAGAATCCTAAGAAGATTCTGATTGATTGATTATAAATCTAAAACTCTGACTTCCCCCAACCATATACAAGAAAATAGACGTTTTTTCTTCTCTCCTTTTTCATAAGCCTAAGCCTATGAACCCCACACGGTCACACCTTTCAACGGGTTAAGTTTTAACGCGGCTTCAGCCCAGTTACCTTGCCCGCAGCCCACAACATTGAGTAAATATTCGATGTAACTATGACAACACAACATGTCACCCATTATCAAATCTATAACAAGTGGAGAAGTTAAACCTCAATATTTTTTTATACAAAGTGATTATTTTTTTACATGGATAGAATAGTAACAAAATTAAGTGATTTTTTTTTTTACCCTACAGGGTGTTCAGACTTCAGACTTGCACCAACTATTCCTTCGAGTTCAGTAGTTGTCACCGTAACTTTAACTAGGTTAGAACATATCCCTAAAAAATAAACGTGACTGACCTTTAGAGGGTGTGAAAAAAAATTAAACTTGAAAAACATCTGAGTTACCTAAAGCTACATTGAACCAATCAACCAACCCTAAATGAAATTCACTAATTTATTGATTTGTTTGTTATTGAATGATAATATTACGGTGACAATAGTGATATGATGGCACAGTTAAATATGTAATATTTTCTCCACAAAAGTTTGCCATTCCTGACCAAATTACCCGAACAATTTTGGCGGGAATCCTAACAAATTCTTCGGACCCTAGTCTGTTTCGCGCCAAAAAAAAAAAAAAATAAAAAGATGGACCGTGAAAGGCGGGGTCGACCCTTTTCTTTCACATATTTCGGCGGCTATTTGGATTGACCAAAATGCACTTTGCTCCTTAACTATTCACTCATCCAAATCCCATGCAGATAAGAAGTTGGAGTATTCTTATAGCCTTATATAAAGTGGAGATTCACTTGCTTTTATTTTCGTTTATAGAACAAACTTTGTACAGGTGTGGCCCATTTCATTGTGAATTCCATCAGTGGCCAAGTTTGGAGAGCATGGGCATGGCCTACTAATCGAGCCCAAACCGACTACACTAGACCAGTAGACCCACACAATGCCTGGTCTTGGTTTACATGCAGACTCAAATCATCCCAAATCTTTCTTCTCTTCAGATTTCTTAGAAAAATGCCAAAAAATTACAAACAACAAAGAGCCAAGTGGACGAGGCTCCTGTAATTATGGAGTCTAGGAGAATCGGATATAAGCCGTCTTACCCTTTTTTGAGGGTAAGGCTGATGTCTATACCAGATTGTGGGAAACAACTTATTTCAAACCACCTACCTGATGTGTATAGTGGGAAGCTATAAATAAGCAAGCGAGTCAAAACAGCTGTAAAAAATGAAGTTAGTTATGGCAAAGCAAACCTTCCAAATGTAAGTGAGCACAACCCTCACAATTCAATATCAAAGAAGCTGCTCCTTATTTCATGACAACAGGCCTTAGAAGACTGATCAATTACCAAAGAGAGTTTGTGCTTGCTTTTCCATTCTGTATACACAAACCACTTCCAGGTCAGCATTTTTTTTTTTGGTGTGGGGGGTTGTGGTTTTCTAAATACTTAAGTTGAGTCATTCCTAACATTAAAATGACAAGGATGAAAAAATCGCCAGCTGCAATGGTGCATTCACTGCACTACTCACTGCAAAAACAAAAGAAAGAATACAGTGCACATTTCTCAGATGTTTTCTGTATTCTCAAGTCCAAGCAACATTATTAATGGATAGCTTCAGAAACAAAAGAATCATAAGCTCTATTTCTGCTCTGACCTATAACTGCAGATACTTCCGGCATCAAAACTCAAACACTGTTCATTTCCTCTAGCAGGCAATTCCAAAGTCCAAACTACCACATCCACAACGTCCTCATCTTTCATCAATGCCTTAAATAAATTAAGAAATCTCCCAAAATTATCTATCTTATGCAGGACTGATATATTTCATCATTTTCATCTATGTGAATATCTAAGACCTTAATCAACAGATTGCATGTGCCATATAATTTCCAAGCAAAAGGCTGCGTTCATTACATGGTTGCAGCATCACAATAGATTGAATGAAAAAACCTTGACCTTCTGGTCAAAGGAATAGGATCGAATTGAAATAACTGTAGAAAAATCTTAGGTTCCATAAGACATCATATGTTTTGAACAAAGTCATAAGCACTCATATTCTGTAATAAGTACCCAGACGGATGCATCTGTAGCAAATGCTGTATAGATAACTGATGCAAAATGGTAAGTGCAGCCATCTATAAAACCAATGCAGCATTAGAGAAAACAAAAAACGTGATAAGAACAGTATAAAATCATAGCAGAGAAGGATCCACATTATGAGTATGTATTATTGCAAGATGAAAAATCTTACTCACCAAGCAGAATGAAAAATTTACCTGTTTCATCTTGAGATTATTTAGGTGACTGGGACAGAAACATAAATAGCTATTCTTTGGCACTTCGACTGGAAAATCATCAATCAACGTATGAAACAACCTCAATAAAATTATTCAATGCCCACATTCTGGCAGCATCAGAGAGCTTGCATTGCTCAACCTGTACCCGCCTCAGCATTGGAGGATTCAAAACAAATAACTCATGCGCCTCTGCCCCAATCCCACAACAATACATTATATCAACACATTGCAATTGCTTACAGTTCTCGAACATAGGTACCATGGCTGCATTTGTCAACCCATTACATCCCCTCAAATTCAATACATTCAAACAACCACATGAAACTAGCATGATGCATGTAAACTCTTCATCACCTAACATCGCATTGTTTGACGACTCCAATTCCCTCAGCCGCCTCAAATTCTGTCCTAAGGTGGTCAATACACCCGGTTCTCTTTCAACTACATCACAGTCTATCAAAGGTAGCTCCTCAAGCCCATCACTCACCGCTCTCCCAAGAGTGTTAAGCCCTTCACCAGTAACAAGACAATTACTTTCTAGCATTAGATTCAATAATCCCCTGAGATTCAGCCAAGGCCATCAAATGATTGTCGTCAAGGTCTAGAGGTAATCGAAAATTAAGTTTTTCTAGATTAGATTGGGTTTGACTAATGAATTGAAGTAAACCCTCTCTACTACCACCATCATATACCAATGGTGAGTTCAAAGATACACAATTCTCAGTCAATTTCAACAAAACCCCATCAACTATAGTCCCACAAGACCTCAATTCCACTTGTTCAAGACCCTTCAACCACTTAATAAAGGACGAGAAAGTCCCGTAATCGCTAATACCTTTACAATAATTCAACTGCAATTTCTTGGGCAGGTTCGAGTTGTAGAAACAACCTCCCAAACCCCGCACTGGCGGGAGCCTCCTGGGTATGCCTTTTATCACCCTATCAAATCCCTGACAAACAAAGACTTTCAATTTGTAATTCAGCATCAAAATTACCAATGCCATCGATGTCTTCCTCGAGGGGTTGGAATTCCACGGAACTGAATTCTGGGGTGCTTCCGGTGAACATGATTGACAGGAATTTGAGAGAGAGAAAAGAGAGGGTAATAGTGAGAGAAGAGAGGTGAGGAGAGGGAGAGGAAGAGGAAAGATAAAGTAGAAAGGAGGAACAAAGAAACGAAGGGGTTCGAAGATTGGGACAAGAAGAAGCTATTGATGGAAGAAGATGATTGGAAAAGTAGGAGGTGTCAGTCCGGACGGAAACAGAGAAGAAAGATAAAAGTGGTGTGAGAGGAAGGAGGAGATGAAGGGATGGTGGGGAAGTGATGAGGGTATAAAATAGAGAGAGAGGGAGGTGCTGGATGAATGGAGGAGATCGAACCACCGCTTGAAGACCAGAGAGACGGCGGAGGAAAAGCGCGGCGGTCGAGGATTTCCTGTAAAGCAAGCTACAAATTTTTGTGTTGGTGTATTGATGAAAAGATTTAATACATGTCATCACAAAAAAATTAAAACAGACCACTCTGCATGAGACACCCACTAATAGGATTCTTGAACATCTGTTATGCAAGTGAATCTGAAAGGTGACATTGTCGTTCGTAAGAATTAGATTTGAACCAGAGACTCATCCAAAAGCTTAAATTGATAGAATGGACCTAACATAAGCATTTTATACTTCAACAAAGACAAGTGACCGAAGACAGCAACTTGTCATGGTTTGCAGAAACAGATAAACAGGTTCTCAGCACCGCACCTGCAACCTCTCATGTCCCGATCATCTGAAGTGAAGTAATAAAACGAGGCTAACCAAGCTGACGATATGCAACAAAAGATAAATTAGTGATTAAGATTAAACTCAATATTCAGTTTTTTTCTGAAACAACAAAGTACCGCACAAAAATGAAAAGTCAACAAGGATACAGTAAAGTGATGATACATAGAACCCAGCAAGGGAGGTGAACCATACATAAATAGATGTAGGTGGCACTGTTCCATTTCCAAAGGGACTCCATCCAATTCCAGAATTCACCAGCACTGATACTGTCAAAACCTTGTAATGCGCCTATTAACACAAGAAATGCAACCAGAGGAAACCCGATGAATACCAATAATAGATTACTAGCTGCCCTTGCACATGCCCTCGAATTCTTCACTCTTAAATCAAGCCTCAAAGGTGCAGCCATCAAACACATTGGCACTACCAGCAGAGCACCGATCTCTGCTGTTGCAAAGTTTATGACTGACATTAGACAGAGTCCTGTGAAGGTGGCTGTGATCATTACTGATTTCAAGAGAGCCCATTCATTTCCTTGAGGCTGAGAGACATCGACAAGTGAAAAAGGGGAACCCAAAACCAAGTGCAAGATAAGAAGGCTGATCATCGAAAGCAGAACCCAGGTTAAAAGACTGGTTGTCGGCGAGAGATTGGGTATCTGATATATACAATAAGGAAGTAATGTCAGGATTACACCCCATAAATGTACAACAAATACCACTTTTGCTGCATGAAGCCATTTCCATGATCTGAAACTGATGGCAGGCTCATCAGCAGCGGCTGGGAAACTGGTGAGTTTGCCTTTCTCAAAACTAGGATTCCTTTTATTAGCATCAGAATACAGAGAAGCAGCCACCATTGGAAGGGGAGCAACAAGCAATGCAAAAGCAATCATGTAGACTCCAACTGACACAAACCGACTTGGAGAAGTTAACAGGTATAAGAAAAAGGACTGGTGAAACTTCTCAAGGAGGTTATTAACAGACAAGATAACTCCTTCAATTAACCTGCGCCGACAAAACAAAAAGTTGAACAATGAAAAAAAAAGAGACCTAATAGTAGCCAAAACATTTCAAAAGAAAAGAAAGATTTTCCTAAATAAACTACAGGTTGAAGAGACCTTAAGAAAGCCCTATTTCAAGAAAACCCCATACTACAACCTGAGGAGATCATTATTGAATCTTATACAAAAATACCATATAGCCATTCTTTTCCAACAAAAAAACCCGCATCAATTATGTCCAAAACCGACCACAAATTGTAAATTGCTCATGCTTAAAATTTTGCATAAGTATTAAAGTCCACAAGGAGAATAAGCTGATCAGGAAGAAAAAATTACAGATAAAAACAGAAAATGTAAATGAGCCCTGACCTGCCACCTCGCAGAAGAACCTCGTTTTGCCTGCCGTTATATTTTGAAAAAGCCTTGGGTGACATCTCTATAGTAACAGCATCAACTTGATAATCACGAAAAGCACCATGGGGGCCGGTAGGAACACCTAAAGCCTAAGAGTGATAATACATGAATTAATAACTTAACTCTCAGTGCTCAGAAACAGATATTGAACTCTATCATTCCCTCATTCATCCATTTTTAGATGCTTAAAAGATAACTAACAACCCCCCCCCCCCCCAAAAAAAAAAAAAAAAACCTTCTTCTTCCCAAAAAAAGTGCACTTAAGGGATTTATAAAAGAAGCTAGCTTGATTACCTGGTTATATAGTGAACTGGCAAGCGTAGCAGTGCCATCAACATACTCTGCAACAGGTATACCAAAATTCCATTGACGATTTAAGCTTCTAGCCACTTTTCCTAACGTCTCAAATAAGTCACCCAGACTCTTCAGCCACGTGGAATCAAGTAACGACCACAATTTCTCCACCTTCACCTGTAAACCCTGCCTATGTACTGCCAAATAATTCACGACATTGATGAGGTCTAGGTTTGGCATCTGCCCATTGGATGCCTCAGCATATATGCTGAGAGCATCCTTTTCAAACTCTTCACTGTTATCTGCGACCTTAATGACAAGGGCAGCAGCAATCGTCCCAGCACGTTGAAAATCATCAGACATTTCTGTTGCTGTTGTCAGTGTTTTTTTCCACTCATAAGGATTATTTCTTTCATGACACATTTCAGTATTCAATTTGCCCAAGCCACCAAATACAGGTGTATGATAATCTCTTAGCCAAGCAGCAACGGAAGCATATTCTCCATGCTGTGAATCTGCAGCAAGCCATACAATATCCTTGGCCAGCCAAGTAACTCGGGTGAGTAAAGAAAACACAGAGTAAGCAATGCCTAATGATAAAGCCTCACCCAGAGTGATGTTTACAGTATTGTAAGGTGTCACCAGCACAATAGCTTCTTTCCCATCACCACGTGGAGCTCTTATAATTCCAACAGTATTGACACCAAATGATGAGCAACTATAATTCTCTTGGACTGCTGCAGGATTAGGGCTAGAAAAAAAGTTCAGAGGATGAAACTTATTCAACAGGGGGTGGAACTTGTTATAACTAACTTCACCACCCAAGTCTGCCACACGCTGTGCTATCAGTTTTGGAATTTCTCTGCATTCATACACAAACAAGGTGAACATTTAACTAGATTGAGCACATTTGGAAATATGACAAATGATCACTAATATTTCAGAAGAAAAATGAAAAACAATTCCCCGTGCTTTTTTTCCCTTTCAGATTTGTGAAGCTAAACAATAAATCAAGTGAAAAAGAAAGATAAAGAAGATGCAACATGAGATAGCACGAGAAAGACCACGGACACTTAGCAAGTAGCAAACAAACAATATCTATCTTAATATTTACATCTGTTTGAGATGTCAATATGCTGCAAGGTTTGTAGAATTATAGAACACTCTAAAATTTTCTAAAGCATTGAGATAAACAACGCAATGAATGGAAGAAAGCATAAAAAAGGTTCACCAGAATAATGAAACTGGATCACTCTCTCAATAGCATAATGGTGGTTGAACAAATTGCTTTTGATAAGAGTAGGAAAACACACCAGAAGTTCCCCCCCTGGGTCTACTCTAGGCTCTAGCAACATGGTTTGCAAAGGCACGCAATAAAAGTCCTATCCTTCAACTCGCTAATCAATTAGTGACGTCTTATCATAGTGCTTTATGGAACATGGTTTGAGGTTTGTATTGATCAATTGGCAGCATCATATGGATGTATCGAGATATAAAATTATCCCATTGATTTTCAATATTTGAATTTTGTTGAGTGATATGATATAGCAAAGCAGACGATACAGAAAAGTCAAGCCACTCAAGCTCTGGTTGACAAAGACTCGCTTGAGATGGGCTCGAAAGATAAATAAGTCCAGCTTGAACTCTAGTTAAAGTTTGTCTTGGTCTCATAACTCTATTTCTGTTTTAAAGTAATTTGGAACCTCAATGTCAACAAGACAACGATCACCACTGAACCTTTGGATAACCTTAAATGTGTAAATACCTATAACATCCAATAAAATGGATGCATATGCACAAAACACAAGTGATTGTACAACTACAGAGGTGCAATGTGACAATTGAATACCAACAAAAAAAAGGAGTATATGAGGGTACAACATGGACAAATATGTGATATTGATTCAACTCCAAAAGACCTTAACCAAAGCATCCCAAAATAGAGTAAATTGATGGGATTGAAGTTGACCTCCTGCAGTGTACTGCAGGAGGATGCAGAAAAAAAAATACAAATTAGGAAAAACATAGAAAAACACCACAGAGAAAGCACATACATGTCTGTGCTAGTAGATTTCAAGTTCAGGCTAGTTATCTCGTTCACGAATGTATTTGCCACCGAAACATCAACAGTAGAGAGCATTGGACTTGCAGAACCTGTAAAAAAAGATAGTTTGATGATGTGTCAGGATCGAGTCAGCAGATATATTTATCAGATAACCAAAGAAGGCATCCAATTTACAAAATGAAAATTGTAGATATGGCCCTTCACCACAAACCTCCATGGACATAAAGTATATGAGAAATTTGGGAAGCTAAAGTGTGACCGGAAGCTAAGCGAAAATCGGGAAGGGGTCTTATGTCCTCCTTCACTTATGTCAAATATGGCTAGGTAATTAGGTAAGGTTTCCATCTTGGTTTTTAAAGCAGAAACCACATAAAATTTTGCTCTCAAATAGCTTTAAAGGTTAATTTTCAAAATGCTCTCTAACTAATCTAAATGCAAGCTTCTAATTTACATCCACATAAACCAACAAAATTTCACATTACAGAACCCACTACAACAGCTACTTAATATAAATTCATTGTTCTACTCGGTTTTCTACACAGCAAAAAGAGAGGTAGCAGAACTCAGTAGTGTACATACTACCACCAGAACCATATTCAAACCATCATAAGAAATTTTCATGAAGTTAATTAACTAACAGTGCAATTACTAACCAGGCATGAGGGCATTTTCGGAAATGTAGGTGTTCTTGGCAAGAACAGGCAACAACAAAAGAGCCAGAAGCCCTGCTGTAATGCAAACAACACTGAATACGTACCAAAAAGAGACGCTAATCAGTTTATTATCCACAACCAACACGACAATATTCAATTCAATTTCAAATCTATACAGAGAGAGAGAACCTAACGAGGAGGCTGTGAGAGATAAGAAAGAGGCCAATACGGACGATTGGTCGAGGTTTCGGTTTCGGGGGCTCACTTTCCGCCATGGATCTGAATTGGGGGCGATCGGCGTCGACCTTTTCGTCTCTTCTTCAACTGTTTGATCCACTCTACCACTGCAAAGGTTTACCATCCTTATACGACGTCGTCAAAGGAAAAACCCCTTACAAAGTAGTGGCCCCTCATAAAGGATTAATTATAATTCGCACCTTAAACTATTGGCCAAGTGTCCTTTTGCCACTGCACTATCTATTAAATAATATTGTTCTTCAAATTGTTTAAATTTGTATTAGCTAACAATTACGATCCTTTTTCTTTCTCAACCAAATTCACTGCTCAAAAATTTTCATAAACTAAGTGATTTACTTGGTCTTAGATGTTTATAAAAGCTCCTCTAGTTCTAAAAAGGTTCATATAAACACTTCATCAAAAAATATAAAATAATGTGTTTTGTGATGTTAAAATCAAATTATTTGTATTTAACACTAATCTAATATAGTCATACCATTTTTTTGTTTATATCAAATGATAGTTGATCGTAACCTATAATTTATGTTCGGTTCCAGTCATTCAACGTCTCGTGTCAAATTTATCGTCAAACTTACCCTTAATACTCAAAGCAAAGTGCATGACATGATTAGGTTGAATGAATTGAGAGGTCGAGTTTAACTCAATCAACATTTTAAAACATTCAATATGAGTTTAACTTGAATTTGAATTTAATTTGAATTTTTTAATTTGAATATTGCCTATGTTTAATTTTTTTGACTTGAATTATATAAAGCCATTTTGACTCAAAATTTACTCAAACCTAAGTGAATTTTTTAGTAGAAAAACTTGATTTAACACAATCAAACTCATATTTTCACTCACTTTTTACAAAAAAAAAAAAATTCCCATATTATACTAAACGTCTATTTGTTTTTTTTCTCTCTTCCAGAGTTGTTTTCCTATTTTATTTTTCTTTAGATTTTTCCATCCAATACCCCTCTTTCTTTCTTTGTTTTTTTTAAAGATACTGTACAGAAAAATACATAAATGAGAGTGAATTATGGAGTCTTGTACCTGTAACCCATTTATGAGACTTATGCTACTGCATGATTTAAAAAATAATCCTGTAATATCAAATATAGATGATTTTATCTCTCAGTTTTACTCGAGATTATTTTCGTGACCGATAAATGTAACAATTGATAGAATACTAAATTTCGAACCAGACCAATTTGATGCTTATGTTGTCTGCATAACAAGCCTATAAAGCCCCAACATTCATGATACAAAAAGATCAAATTTTGAAAAATTAGTTATCTACGACCAATCCCTTATACATAAAACCCCCATTTTGTTTGCCCATAGCCACCCTTATTTTTAAAGAGATATGCTGTAAACTAGGCATGATTATGGAAAGAATCATCTATCATGTCCTAAGTTTTGCGATCATCCCTTCAACCAGTCTCAGTGTTTCCCCGGCTCTCTCTCCTCGATCAATCTGTCTCATACCCTGCTCCAATAGCGCATTCTTAGATTGCTTACCTCTAGTAGTGCAACCAGAACGATCTCTCAAAAGCTGAAGCAGAGCTTTGGCCTTCTCCTTAGCCCTCCGTGCCCCATCAACACTCAACTGAAGCAGCCCTGGCATTGCCCCTTCCCTCAAAATCATCCCCCTGTATCTATGTCTGCAGCTTTTGCATATCGGTAGTAGAATTCCCACTGCATGCTCTTGGCATTGTGGCGAACCTTCCTCCACGGCCTCTACTAACAACTGAATTGCACCTTCAGTCCCAGCAGTCTCTTTTAGTGCAATCTCTGATGAAGAAACAATCTTCTCGAGCAACGCCATTGCTTTCTCAACCAACTCGGACGATTTTTCAGAAGCATTGATTAATTGAAGCAAAGAAATAACTGTGGCAGATGAAACTATTGATGGAATGATCTGATGGCAGGTCGAGAGATTATGGAGTGTGGATATAATATCAAGCTTGGCTTGCAGGCTTATGGTTATGTTGTCATTGTCGTTGTCGTTATAGTTGTCGTCAGGGTAATGTGAATATAGGATTTCAACTAAAAGTTGTATAGCTCCAGAGGCCGCAATTGCCAGCTTGTTTGCAGTGCAAGAAGAGAGGATCAAGAGGGCCGCTATTGCAAGGTCAAATAGCTCGGTCTGGCATTGAAGGACCTTCAATAATCCTGGTATAGCTTCAGATTGGGCAATCCGGATCTTGTTCCTGTAAAATCATAGAATCGGTTAAAAAAAAGATACGGTCTATGAGACAAAGCCACCGTGGGCGTAAAAAGCAGATAGGATCAGATATACGCAAGGACATAGTCATTAGTGGATTATGATGGGTTGAAGCCCAGAGTGAAAAATAAAATAAAATTTTATTAGTAAGGCATATATATTATATATTTATATAATGTATTATGTGTGTTCCTCTCATTTATGTTAAATCCATATTATTTATACAAAAAATTAAAAAATTTAACCCATTTAAAACCAAAAAATTTGAGCCCAATATTATCTACCCAAACTTATTACAAAAATTTTTGATCTAATATTAAAAAAATAAATTTTTTGGCTCAATATTAAAAAAAAATAATTTTGGCCCACAATTAAAAAACAAAATTTTTAGGCCAACATTAAAAACAAAATTTTTGAGTCATTAATGGGCCATGTTTATGAGTTTACATTTATATATTGTTGGATAAATTGTAAGGGGTACACCAAATTAGACTTATTTGGTAAAAAATATACACAAAAAAATGTAAAGTTATTAAATACTTAATTTTGATACTTATTTGTATCAAAGTGCATAATTTGAATTTATCTATTTTTATTGTGACATTTTTGTCCTCCATTAATCTATATGTATTTAATGCACTATTTTTCTTTAGAAAATAGTTCATTAAACATTTTCTAGTTTTATGGAAGAATTTTAATACATATATATATATATATATATATATATATACATAAATACAAATTTTAAAATTCAAACAAGTATATATGTGTGTGTGTATATATATATATTAATAAATACACATGAATCAAAAGTGCATTAAATATATATTAACAAACACACATGAATCAAGGTGTATTAAAGATAAGAGATTTTGAATTAAATGACTCTAAAATGGACATTAACTCACATTTTGTTTTATGTATTTTTTGTTAAATAAGTCTAATTAAATATATCGATTTTTAAAAAATCCTATTTTATTAGTCGTATAAATACTTACTTAATCGAAGATAAACAAAAATCCTAGTTCCGCTTTTGGATATACGGAATTTTACTGAGTATGATTGATGAACCTTTCACTGCCAAAGGCCAGACTGAGCAGAGCAAATAGAGCAGCTTCAATGGCTTCGTAATCTTGGGCATGAAGCATCGAAACCAAGGGCGCGATGACTCCTCTCTCAGCCAACTTGTGTCTCTGCTTACTCGTTGATTTACCGAGTTCCCGAGCGGCCAGAACTTGTGCTTCTTTGTCGCCAAATAAGAGGGCTTCCACCATTTCTTCCTCCATGGAAGCCCTCTCCCTCTTTTCTCTGTGTGTGTGTTGAGCAGTTTATATGTAACAGTGATTGCTTCAGAAGGGTGTAATGTTCGGCCTTTTAGGGTGGTGACTCCATTGTGTGGATTACAAGCAACTTAGTATTCCCTGTTCAGCTTTCCAAAGCTGTCCTAAGTGGAAATACCGATGAATCTTTTGCTTTCCTTTTATTTAAGAAACCGCCCTCAGCTTTGCTTTGAGCTTTACAGTAACCGCAGGATATGAGAGATCCTCACGGGATTTATTACCTCCTGCCCAATTTTAAGGTACATGGCAATTTGTAGATGAGGTGTCATAATCTCAAAAAAAATAGTGGGTGTTATCAGTATCACATAACTGTTCACTAATATATAAATCAATTAACAAATGGACCCCATTAACATTAATAACCAATCATGTAATACATAATCCGCTCCGCAAATCTCATCCCTAGCAACGTGTAAAGAAGATGGAGAGCAGCTTGATGAGGAATGAGTGATGAGACAGAAGATTAATACCCACTTAAATATCCCTAGGATTACGATTAAAGCTCCGTGGATTATTTAACTTTTGTTGGGCTACCATGTCCCGTGATCCAAAGGCCAAAGCTGACGTCCTGATGAAACAGAGCTAACATGGCTTCTCTCTCTTTCTCTCTGCTCTTCTGTGAGTAAACAGTCTATCAGGTGCTTTGCTTTGCTTTTGAATATAAAACATGAAAATTTGGCACAGAAAATCATGAATTGCGGTTCATTATCCATTAACATTGACAACTTTTTAAGGAAGATCACTGTTTTTGCTTTGGCCATTATACGGCGGCCGAACTATTTATCTTTACCCAAGATGCTTCTCTATCTTTATCACCATTGCCATGGGAAAACATTGAACGCTTGACCTAATTTAGGGCTTCACTGATGAAATCAGATTTGATACAGAGAACACGAGTGAGCAGAAATGGGAGAAAAGAGGCACCGGTGAACCTTATTTTCCCATTTTTTTTTTTTCAAACGGTCAGAGTGTCAACTTCGTGTTGATATTTTCCAATCATATTATTTTAATTTGTATCGTAATTGTCTCAATATTCACACAAAAAAAATTATTTCACATATTACAAGTGTTTAATATTAAACTTTTTTTCTCATATGTTTATTATAACCTATTCATTATATATATTTATTAGTTGTATTAACTTTTAATTTATGTCATATCAATTTTTAATTCGTGTCATGTCAAATTTATATCGTGTACTGTGTTGACAGATTACACCCTTATATTTGGGTTTAGATTACCTTTTCGTAGTTGGGTGGTCCAGTAGAGTATAATTGATCTTTTTATTTTGAGGTTGAAAGTTTGAATATTAGAATCTACATTAAAATTTGGTAATTGGCTGTTATACTAGTCTAAATAGGTTCGTTTCTCAGAGGAGTAACGAACTTGGTTAGGGGTCTCGTGATTCCACCAGTGAAATCCTATCGGAGTGATTTATAGGCGCTCTCCTTTGTCTCCGTCGCCCCCTTCTTTTTCAAGCAAAAAAAAAAAAAGTGTTAAGAGAATTTTAAAAAGAGTTCAAGTGATAACATTGACAAATTGAAAATTCAAATGTCTCAAGCTTAAATATTTGCAACTCTTTGAAGCCAAAAGTTATAAAAAAAAATTACCTCTCATGAATACTCTAATTCTAATATGAATGACTTATCATTAATTGAACTAAGAATTTAGTCGAGACCGCATAAACCGGATAAAACACTACTGACCAACGAACATTAAAAAAAAAAAAAAAAACGTGTCCTGAGTTTTGGGTGGGTTTCGTCCGGTTTAGGATTGGGCCATAGATTCCATTGAAAGCCGGAAAGACCCAGTCCATCTCCTGTCCGGAATGGTGCCCTATTCTGTTTTGTTTCATCCGAGTTCAAAAACAGAGCACTCAGAATAACAGAAGTTCCTCTTCCCCCGGTTTTGTGATTAGGGCTTCGAATTATTCCTGAGATTTAGGTGATGAAGGAAGTGGAGGAGGTGCAGGGACGCAACCGAAAGCGGAAAAGGGGAAGACGTCACAAGCATTCTCAAGCTGTGAAATCGTTTACGCCGACGGAGACGCCGACAAATAATATCGTCAACAAAGAAGATAATGAACAATCTGCTTCTTCTGCTAAGCTCAAAAACTCCTCCACTTTTCTCGATAAGGTCTTCTCTCTCCCTCTATGTGTGTGTGTGTGTGTGTGTAGTTTCCATAAAATATAGGGAACGGATGGGTGAATAATGGTTGGCGATTGTATGAATTTCAGATGAGAGCTAGGTTGTCAGGAGGCCATTTTCGTATGATTAACGAGAAGCTCTACACTTGCAGGTGCGTCTATGTATCTCTCCTTTAATTCCTATGTATTAGAATTGAATTTTCAAACATTAATAAGTTTACGCTTTTGTTTACCTATCGTCAGTGGAGATCAAGCGCTTAACTATTTTAAAGAAGACACATCATTGTTTAACGTGGTAAGATTCAAACCAGTGATATATAGTACGTTTTGAGCTTCAAATCTATTTATGGGTTTTTAATTTTCTGCCTTTATGTATTCAAATATGCAATATGATATATTATCACGACTTCATCCTTTAGAGAATACAAGATTGGGGCAAAGGGGCTTTGTGTCTTGAATTATGGGTGTTGGAGCTGTTTCACAAGTGCTTCAACTTTTATTTTCCTCAACATAGTCTACATTTTGCAGCAGATCAATAGGTTTGAGTAGGTTCGCCTAGGTTATTTTAATTTTAAGCACTACATGCTCGAACGGTCACATTTAATATCAAGAGTTGGGGAATCTTCATTTTTTGATCCATTTAATCATCTCAAGATTTGACTTGTTGCCACCATATCTGTAATCAATCTACAATCCAATCGGCACTACTCTTGTTAGATTTTCCAGAATTCCACATCCTTCTACGTGGTACCAATTTGCCTCACCCTGTTGGAAAGTGGCATCTTTTTCTCTTGTTGGTCTTTTCAAATTACCCTTGGTTTTAAAAATATTGTGGCAGAAATTCCTAGTTTTGTGGAATGGAAAATGCAAATTGCAACTTGAAACATTTTAAAATCAGAACTAGAATCCAACTATCTTAATGGCCTTTGTGCTGTAATAATGTAATAATGCTGTAATGTAGTCTTAGACTCTTAGAAACAACATAGGATAAGATGTAGTCGACTAGCTTGGCTATTATTATAACAGCACGAAATAGTACCCACAGTGCGTCAGAGTTCAGAATAATGTCAGTTTTATTACCGACTATGCATTTAAGACTTGCATTTCATCACCATGTCTAAGCCTTCATTTTGGCTCATTGTATTTGAGTCGTTGCTATAACTGCATCATTACCTTGTGAATGTTGGATTATGTGTTCTAGCTTCTTCATGTGGCTATGAAATCATTTTACTTCCACTCTACTGGTTTGCTTATGTTCTTTTCTTCCTAGTGGTCTGTATGCAACCTTGTTTGTGGCACTGCATGTAATGTTTTGAAACATTATTAGTACAGTTTACCATACTAATTTTTTCAGTTTTCTGCATCAAAACTTATGTTCACTTACATGGCCAGTATCATGCAGGATATCAAGAGCAAATGGCACATTGGCCTGAGCAACCGGTTAACATTATTATAAAATGGCTAAAGAATCACAGCCCTTCTTTAATTGTGGCTGATTTTGGCTGTGGTGAGAACTTTGATACTTTTGCATAGAAATCTGCTGAACTAAAAAAAAAACCTAATGTTGAAATTTGTTAATGTTCCGATTTAATTTGTCAATGTGATTTTAATCCAGGGGATGCACGACTTGCAAGAAATGTGAAGAATAAAGTTTTCTCTTTTGATCTTGTTGCAAACGATCCATCAGTGATTGCTTGTGATATGTCAAATGTAAGTGCTCACATCATGATGTTTTGAAATGTCTGTAGTTAATAACTCTGATCTGCATGCTCTTTATGCGCAACCTGAAACCGTTTTTGTTTGAACCCTTTTCATACAATAGGTCCTTAAAAGAAGCTGTTGTAGTTTAGGATCTTATTCTGTTTACTTGATTTGTATTTTGGAACTGTCTGCTTGTTGTTTAGAGCATGTTAGCGTCAGGTTTATAGTTGGAAGACTGCTTTTTTCACCCCCCTCCCCCCTCTTTTTGCGACCTTGTAAGAGAACCTCACTAACGATTAAGTTATTTCGCTCTTAATTGCAGACGCCCCTTGATTCTTTATCTATAGATGTTGCTGTCTTCTGCCTTTCACTGATGGGGACTAACTTCTCAAATTACCTTCAGGAAGCACACAGAGTTCTTAAGCCATGGTATCTGTAAAATGCATCTAAACCTTTTAAATCATCTTTGTTTATTGCTTTTCTAATTCAAATTTTAAGATATAATGGTTTCGTACAGTGGCTGGCTCTTGATTGCTGAAGTAAAGAGCCGGTTTGATCCCAAATCTGGAGGAGCAGACCCAGATAGGTTTTCAAAAGCTGTCTGTGAACTAGGATTTATGTCTGTATCAAAGGTTGATTAATTTCCCTTTTTCTTTCATATTATATAATTGATCAACTGTTAATCCATGCTAAGTGATGCCATTGGGTGTAGGACATCTCAAATAAAATGTTCATATTATTGTACTTCAAGAAAAAGGTATGATTACTATTCTGTTGTTTGCAGAATTCAATTATGCGTTTGCCTTGTATTAGCCTGCATTTCTTAATCTCATGAAGTGGTATATGCTGAGAAGTTCGTCAACAATGTCTGTCTGCTTGCTGTGCAGGAGAAGGAAAGCTTGAAAAGGAAGGAAATAGAATGGCCTGAGCTGAAACCTTGTTTGTACAAGCGTCGCTGAAGATCTCAAAGAAACACTTCCATTTTACAGTTAAAGGGCCCAACTCATCTGCTTGCTCCATTATAATAGTGCACAATGTGAGAATTGTCATGATGCCTCTGCTTTGGGATATAATTTACGACATTATCTACATGGATCTGCAGTTATTGTATTAGATTTCATCCAAAAGCCGTGACTCCATTATAATGTTAAGAATCTCCATGACTATTGACATTCAGGTGTTTTTTGCATTCAACTCTATGAATAATGGCCCAGCATGTTTTTATGCAGTGGAGGGGGTGGTTATTAAATCTGTCCCTTGGGCGCATAACAAAATAAAAGTTGCTCCTGCTACTGAACCGAGAGCCTTGAAGGTGGTATCATCTAGTTCAGTTTTTCACATACGCCACGCTGTAGGTGTCCCAGAACAAATTAGACTGATGGTAATATGGACTTCTCTCTCCAGTATAAAATTTTGGACTGGGATGGAGGCTGATGGATTGTTGTGGTTTCTGCACTCTCAGGGGAGTTTTCTTGGTCTTATGGTCTTATTTGCAGGACCGAAAGGGAAAGACTTATTTTGATTTTTGGGGATAAAAATTGGCACGGCAAGTGACCATCTGGCAGGTGTAGAGAGTTCAAAATTGTGGTCTTGATTAGCTGTTAAAACAACCCAGACTGAGTTATTGAGCTCCAATATTAGTCATCTAAATCTTGGATTTTTTCTGATCTTTTTTATTATTATCTCTATGTATATATAACAAACAACATAGGGGACAGAGAGAGCTTGAGAAGCGAATATTCCCTCCCAATTTGTTAAATTCTTAAAATTTTTAATTAAAAATCTGAGTATTCCTCCAATCAACTCCTAGCATGTGTCATTTGTAAGCATCTTTCAACTCTCCTATAACAAATAACTGTTTTTTCAAGTTTATTTAAATATATTTCTGTCAACTGAAATATTTTCTAAAATTATTTATTTATCTTTTTAAGTGATAGAATGAAAAGAAAACAAATTTTAAATCAAAAAATAAAAAGAAACAAGAATTATAATCTTGTGCAATGCACGTGATGGGCCGATAGTACATTATATAAAAATGTTCATTAATTTCGAATTTGCTAACTTTGATATAAACTGCTTGGTTTTCATTCTACCTTCGTAATTGCGACAAATGACACAGTTGGGATCCCGTAAGGCTGAAATTAGGGTGATACGGCGACGTTTCACAATGACTCAGTTATTATTATAATACCAAAAAAGTCAAAAACATCTCTTTGATGCGCCGTTGCCGGGGATCGAACCCGGGTCACCCGCGTGACAGGCGGGAATACTCACCACTATACTACAACGACTTTGTTGTTTGAGGCTCTTGCGTTTTTAATTTATTTAATTGTTGTAAAAGCAGTTATGAAGCTTCCAGGGTTTTTTTTTTTTTTTTTTTTTTTAAATTTTTTCTGTTAAAATATTTCACAAGTGTCCCACAAAGTAAAGGTGGATTCAGGTTTTTTTGACAGTTGATTAATTCGATAAATAAAATTGAAAAAATTAAAGGAAACAATTAACCGACAACACATTTATTTTCAATCTAATCTATTACATTAGTCTTAAATTTATCACTTTTTTTTAATGAGACAGTTATTTTCTTACATTGAAAAGATAATTACCAAATTATTTAAAATTTGTTTGTCTATATTATTAATTTAATATTAGATGGTAGCATTATATAATAATTTATAATATAAAATAGGATAAATTTCAATAATTCTATTCGACGATCTCAAATAAACTCATTTAACAGTTATTAATATTCCTCTCAAAATTATTTATTATACACTGTGCCTTCAAGCATGATTATTCCAAGTACTGATATAATATTATTGTTACAATAAATATTTCAACTACACCGTCACATATATAGGTTTATAAATTAGAAACTCAAATGATTAATATATCAGTAAATTCCAACTAAAAATTATATAATTTATAAGAATTTACGTGTTAGAATAAAAATAAATATATATATATTTTTTTTACCGTTAACGTCTACATCGTTACCGTGGGAAGCAAGTATCCCGTTCCCTGCCAAAGCCGAGGCTCGGATATAGCTTTGGTCAACGTTGGCCTGGCTTAGACTTTAGAGCATTTACTCGGAGCCTCAGCGGACTAAGATGCCTACCCAAAGCTCAGGCTTGGAGCTCGAGCCTCTCATAACGGCACCACAGCTGGGTTTTCCCGCTCATCGAGCATACGCCCACACATTCAGACTTTCTCTCTGTCTCTCTTTGACTACTCTTTACTTAGTTCAGTGGAGAAGTGGAAGTGTCACTCACACACAACACAGCTTCTTCTGTCTCAAATTCGTTGCAATCTCCACACCGAGTCGCTCTATTGAAATATGCCAAGGTAAGAGAATCATTATATGCTCTCTACCAAAATTTTTGATGATATTTTTCCGATTATATTCCTGATCAACAATCGTCGTTAGTCCATTATCTGATGTTTATATGCGACATCCATGTAAGAGGAAAGCTTGATTGTTTGATTCTTGTTTACAAGGTTTTCTCAAAATTGGTACACCTCTAATATTTGGGAGCTCCTCCGTTCATTTCTGAGTATATATGTTGAATTTTGTATTTGGGGAAGAAAATGCAATGTGTTTCTCTTGAATTTTTGCATCAATGTATATTTGATTGCTAATTATTTGGTCACTGATTCGTTTCCTTCCTATTTTAGTTCTTCTTACAAACGAAAATTTTTGGGTGAAGAGCATAATTTTTTTTGGGATGATCCCTATTTGTTTAAATACTATAAGGATCAGATCATTAGCATATGTGTACCTAATCAAGATTGATCATACTTATAATCAGTCTCAGAGAAACATCCCCCCTCACATTTGGGATAAATTAGTTACAAAATGCGTGTTTCTGAATAAAATTAGTTACCTGCCACAGCCTAATTGTATCCGTAAGCAACTTAATTACTAAGTTTGTGTACTGATTTGCTCCTTATTCAAACTGGAGTGATTTGTGCTATTGTTGCTAACGTATGCTTCTTTTTTGTGGGCTATGAGGATTGTTTTATCAATCTAGCTTAAATGAAACACGTATAATTGTTGCAGGTCTTGGCTTATTGATAGCAGAGGACTTGCAAGGAAAGTGAAAAATGCCACTCTACCTTCTGCATCTCAGATCAAAGATTGTGGGGCAAATCGTGAATGCCCAAATTGTCATTACCGCATTGATAACAGAGATGTAAGCTGATATTTTTTTTTAATTTCTGAATTTGCATAAATATAGCTACTTTATGTTAATGAATTGATACATTACGAAAAACTTATCTTGCTTGCGGAGTATTACATCATGATGAGCTGTTGAGTATAGGCTCCATGATGAACTGTTGAGCATGGCTTCTGCAGAATGCCGACTAAGACAATTCAAGACTTCATATGAGATCAATATTGATTCATATTATTGTCATTACCATATCACTTTTTTCTTTTTTTTCTTCAAGCTGTGATAAACATATGCAACGGAAGAGGGTTTTTAAACTTTTTTCTTGGTGACAAGTCAAGTACTGCTGTGTGGCTTGTGGATTGTGTCGTTGAGTTTCATTGGTATGTTATAGTTACAGTTGATTTTGATTTTTCTGATGTTTCACCTGTGTAGGTTTCTCAAGAATGGCCTGGTTTGCCTGCTGGTGTAAAATTTGATCCATCTGATGTAGAACTCCTAGAACATTTGGCTGCAAAATGTGGAGTGGGTAATTTAAAACCTCACATGTTTATTGATGAGTTCATCCCAACACTAACAGATGCCGAAGGAATTTGTTCTACACATCCAGAAAATCTTCCTGGTGAGCAAACGGCCAAATTAAAATATGTATGTCTTGGGATCATCTGCACTGTAATTCAACACACTTTAACAAGGTTAGGAATCTGCAAAGAATTTGACTGAATATGTTATATTGTGGATTGCATAATCTCCATGCACCAAATAAAGATACGCCTTGTGATGAAACTGTACAATGAGTTCTATAGGCTACGTGCTCACCCTTTTATGGCATTTGCCCATTGGGAAATCTGGCTCCCCTGAAATGGTCTTGCTTGACATGACAGCACTTAACTTTTTTTCTGAGTGGTGAACTTTTAACAAAATGGGGGTTTAGTTTGATCAGCCATTTCTAGAATAGGATTTTCCAGTTTCTTTTCTAGTCATTGACAGTCTGCTTTGACTTTTTTTTTTTTTCCCTTTTTGCCTATGTATGTTTTATTTAATCAGACCATTTCTTAGTCAATGCATATGCTTGGATTTAATTAGACCATTTCTAAGTCCTTGGGTTTTATTTTAGGTGCCAGAAAAGATGGAAGCAGCGTCCATTTCTTTTACAAAATTATCAATGCATATGCTTCTGGTCAACGGAAGCGCCGCAAGATTCATGATCAACATGGTACGATAAAAGAGCATGTCCGCTGGCACAAGACTGGTAAGACCAAGCTTGTGATGGAAAATGGAGTTCAGAAGGGATGTAAGAAGATAATGGTTCTTTATAGAACTTCAAAGAAGGGATCCAAACCAGATAAGTCCAATTGGGTTATGCATCAATACCATTTGGGGATTGATGAAGATGAGAAAGAAGGCCAATATGTTGTTTCAAAAATTTGTTATCAGCAGCAGAAGCAAACTGACAAGGATGATAATTCTCTAGTTGTTGAAGAGCCTGATATGGGAACAATTCGAACTAGTCCCAGGACTCCCAAGACAACCACCCCTAATCCACCTCGCAATGGAAAATCTGTTTCACGTGATGATGTCACAGATGATTATATACTCCAGTCACCTGCCCAGGTAGTTTTCAACTTCCATTATATGCTATCGTTTGAAGACCCTTATGCCACATTTATCAGTTGTTTGGGTAGTTAACCAATTTTTTTGTTGTAGAGCACCCTTAACTACAAAACATTGGCATTCAATACACTTGTGGATGCAACATTTGTGTCCTTTCCTCTCCAACTCTACCTTGACCCTACAGAGGAGTTGGCATTTTGTCACTCTGATAATGAGGTTGAAAAATGAGTGAATTAGGCCTCTTTTTCAAATAAGCTATTTAAAAGTTGTTAGTTTTTTTGCAAAAATGGGAATTCTAAAGCAGAAACTGATTTACGTATTGTGTAGAATACAAAGACAACATATCTTGCCTTGCTCTGTTTTCTAGGCTTCGAAAAACTTGTGTCTGCTGCAGTGTTCATGCCAAAACATGATAGATGCTCGTTAATTTTTTGTTTCTTATTGTTTCCCTTATGTTTTTTCTCACTTATCCTAAATGATCTCGTTTGCATCAGGAAGCAGAGTTTGTGACAGAAATATCTCATCATTCTTCATCTCCTGCTCTAATCAATGATGACATGGAATATCCCACTTGTTTGGCTGGAGAATCACAAGATGTAGATATAGTTGGTGCAGATGACTCATTGTTATGCAATGAGGTTTTGGATTATAATGCTCTTACCGATTTGGGACTCAATCATGGCCCTTTCACTGGCTTTGCTCGCAACACTAATGATGTGCCTGAAGGAGAAGGCAATGCTAATTATAACATAGCTGACCTTGAGAACTTAGAATTGGATACACCACTAGATTGTCATCTCACAGTAAGCATTTTAACCTGTCCAATTCTTTTATTTTTTTGTTCAATTCTTACAACCATCTCAATAATCTATATAATATGCGCAACTCTCTATCCATGCTTGCAGGATTTGCAGTTTGGTTCACAAGACAGCATTCTTGATTGGTTGGACTGGTTGTAGTCAAGATAAAAGCTTTCAATAATGGCAATCAAATCTCAATTTTGTGTCCTATCCCATGGCAGCGGTTCTCCTCTGTCGCTTTCTCAAAGTCATGCTTCCATGATGAAAAGTCTTGCTTTAAGGGAGGGGCATTGGGACTTTGCCCTTTCATACACCGCTTATTTAAATGCAACAAAGCTTGAAGGGATGTAAGGCTGTGGAGTTTCAACATAAAATTGTCCGCTTAATACTATGTTTAAGTATTAGGAGCTGCCATGATGAGTCCGCGATGAAGCAGATATGACTCCAATTTTGGTTGTGTTTCAACCTCTTCCTCGAGCTTATCTGTTTAGTTTTTGAAAAGACTTCAGTGCGTGAAATATTTTTAGCAAGTGTTGCATATACCAATTATTATGTCATTTTACTAGGACAGTACATGAACACTTAACAGTTGAACATGAAATACAAGTTTAAGTCGATTTTATTGATGCAAAGCTTATAGATATAGATTACATTGCACATGATGAGAATAGTTTTTATTAGAACTTATTAATTACAGGAACTGACCTAACTGTTTGATGGCTGCCAATGAACATAGCAAAATTTCTTCAGTAAGTCGACCATAGGTCTCACCCTTTCTGAAGCAGTAAAGCTTCTGATTGACAAAAGCGAACAGGTTGTTTGATACTTCCATGTGGAAAACAGGTTGAGTTTTTTTTACCTATTTTTTGGTCGTCCAGCTTGAGTTCGTTAGTAGCGGGTGGTACATAGAGCTGTGCGAGAATGTTTGGCAATGCTGACCCCTTAGTTATACCTTGTTCTACTGTGTTCCTGTATTTTCTCACATTACATATTAGTTTCACATTACCACTTTCAGGAATTTGAAAGCTTATGCCTACTGCTTTACCGAAGACTAGAACAAGTAGCAGTAGCAATTCAATTACAAACATTTTACAAATTGTTTCAAGATATTTTTAATATGATTATCTGTAATCGAGTAATTGATGTTAATTGCTTTATATTGTGTTTAAGAGTTTTCTACAATTAGCCTCGATTTGCATATTTTTATTTTTATTTTGTTTTGTTATTGGTCTTTAATTTGATTGTAATAATTTGATCTGTGAATTAATTTTTATTTTTATGAGATTACTGTGTTATTTTTTAGAGAGAATTATATCTAGATTCCTTGAGGTTTGTACGCGTGTAACACTTAGACTCCTGCCGTCAATATCCGTTAGTAAATTACATCCAGACTTCCTAAAATTTATAAACGTATAATACTTAAACCCCTCAAGTTTAAAATGTTATACTTATATTAAAAATACTCTAATCAAAAATAAAATATTAAATACTTTAAATTTTACAACAAAAATTCATGTTTTATTATGATATTTATTGAAATATAATTAAAAATAAAAAATTAATTTTTTTCTTAAAAAATCATAATTAACATACAATTATACCAATTATGAAATTTATTCTAATTATAATTTTTTAAGAAAAAATAAATTTTTATTTTTAATAAATGACATCATAAAACATAAATTTTGGTTGTAAGATTCATGTTTTATTATGAATGACTTAGACCCCTTGTTTAATTTTTTAGTTTTAGTATAATAGATAGTATAATTTATATACTAATTAAGATTTTTTAAGAAAAAATTGGCTTTTTATTTTTTTTTATCTCAATAAATGATACAATAGAATATGAATTTTTGTTTTAAAATTTAAAATATTTAATATTCTATTTTTGATTAAAGTATTTTTAGTCTTCGTATAACATTTTAAATTTGAGAAGTCTAAATATTATATGCTTACAAACTTCAAAATATATGAGTATAATTTATTAACAGAAATACTAACGCACATTTAAAGGCAGGAGTCTTAAATGTTACATGCATATAAACCTCAGGAGTCTGCGTATAATATTTCAAACGTCAGGAAGTCTCAGTGATTAAGTGATAAACTTTAGGAGTTTGAGTGTAATTCTTCATATTTTTTATTAATAAGAAGAAGTAAATTAGAGCTGGCAGTTAAAGTATCCATCCAAGAATAATTTTTTGACTTTTCTCTTTTGGTCATTTTGTCTCTGAAATTGTTTTATTTTGCTCCTAACTCCACCAAAAATCCAATGACAAGTGGGTATTTTCTATATAAATAATTATACTAAATGTTTAGTTTTGGGCAATATAAAGCCAATTTCAGGGCTTGACATGAAAGCATTTTTTTTTGGACATGAAAGCATAAATAACTCAATTAGAAGGAATAAAGTGAGATTAGAATCATGAGTATAATTTATTGACCACTCAAGATTTATTTCTACCAACATTAACCAATAATAATTGAATGTTATTAATCTCGGTTTAGTTAGACAATTAATCCGAAAACTTAAAAAATTGTTGTCCATCCTGAAGTGAATTGGTATTTGGATTAATTTTTTGCAAAAAAAAAAAAAACAAGTTAAAATTCAGTTCACTCGGAAGAGTTTTTTAAAATTGTATAAATCGAACCATTCTTAGTTTGGGTCAATGAAATTGGATAAAAGTCCTATCCATACAATTTTTAAGCCCTAAAAACACTCTTATCTCACTATGTCTTGGAGTTACTATTGACCATCTCGATCTCAACTCTCATGTCCTAGTAGCAAACCCTTGAATTGGTGCAACAAATGTACTGGTTAGCTATCGATCTAACAGGTAATCTCTCTAATCTCACATTCTCACTCTAGTTCTCTCCGGTGAAGTTCTTCGTCATCCAAGGAATTCGTTAGATTTTAAATCAAATAGATCTAGGATTTTGCACTAATTTCACTCTGACTCAGTATGAATCTTATACACCTCCAACCCATATCTCTCAACCATTCTTAATCCATCTAGCAACGCCATAAATTCTGCATTCATATTCGATCATTCACCATAAAAAAAAGAAGCAGCTAGAACCATGTGCCCACTTGGATTGCGCAAAATCGCTCGTTCACTTGACAGATTAGGATTTCCTTGATGCACTATCCACATTCAATTTTAGGAGTTCATCTACATACATATTCAATTATTAGTTGTTCAGATTGGTTCCATGAACAACTATGGAAACAATGCGCATTCTAACAAGTCACTCTCTCACAAGTCACTCTGATAATTAGTAACTCATTTGGTCTAAATTTTACGAAGTAGTGGCCATGTGTATAATTTTTGATATTATAGATTAAAATATAATAAAGACTATTATCAGTTAAAAATAAAAAAGAATTAAAATTTGTTAATATAGCAAAATAATTCTTTAAATGATGAATGTTAGTAGAATTTTGAATAATAAGCTATTGCAACCCACTTTCTTTTTTGATTGATTGGTGTGTAGTAAAAAAAAAATAATAATAAAGTAAAAACTTCGACACGAACAAAAAAAACCATGAATAAGCTAATAGTTGGTTACTTATCTCTTGCTTGGTTTCTTGTGAATAAAAATCACCACTTATTTATAAGTCTTTGGTCTTATCAAGATTGTCAAATGATATACATTTATAGTGTTTCTAAAGTCTTCTATGCAGATATCTAGTTTTTTAATATGTATAAAAACATGATAAATCTCTCCTATACTTCTCTTTATATTTCTTATATATTCTAAAATGTTCCTTGAAAAAAGTTTAAAAATATTCCTTCAAAGAGTCTTAAAATTAATAAACTCATACTAAGGTTGTTTGAAATTTTCAAGAATACGGGACGTTACAAAAGTCTCACTTAACATAAGATATTGTGTATTGAGATAACTCGTTTTTTTTCAGTATTTACATAAAAAAAGGTAAGAATAAAAAAATAAAGATAATAAAAATATTTATTATGTTTTTGTCGTATTAAAATTGAATCAATTTATACCCGATCCATTTATAATCTTATATAGTTGTATTTGTATTATATATAAGTGATGTTTAGCAGATTTGTTTATTGTTTAGTTGGATCTATGTTCACCCATTTATTTGAAAAACCTTTCAAATTCACTTATTTATCACCAGTATCTATTAAAACTAAATCCAAACTCATATTTTTGTATCAATTTCTTACTGGGTTCACACTTTCATATTTAAAATTAGAGACACTAATTTTTTTTGGAACCCCAAATATATGTATTAAATTGGGCCCTATTCATAGCCCGTAGGGGTTCAACTTGGGCAGGTTGGACGAGTTGGGCAATCAACCCTAACCTAACCCTAGGTATATAATTTTTAACCTTAATCCTAACTCTAACCCTACTTCGGGTTAAGAAACTCAACCCGAGCACTGCTCGAGTTTAATTCGGACGGACTCAGGTTGAATTCGGGTTAATGATTTCGGGTTATTTTACAAATTTAATTCGGGTTGAGTTTGAGTAGAGTCTAAAATAGGCTTGTTGTTCTAAACCTAATACATATATTACATAATATTTATCTAAATTAATAATCAATAATTTCAACCAAGTTTTTAACAGTGTTAATGCTAAAACAAAAATGAAAATGAATGAGAGAGACAGAAAACGATAAAATAAAAATGAAAAATCAGTGTTAATATTTTATATATATAATTTTTTTTTAATTTTCGGGTTCGGGTTGAACCCGTGAACCAGAAACCTTAACCCTGAAGTCCCACCCAAATGTGACATAATCGGGTTAATCTGAGTCCAACCCATATTTTAATTATATTGTCGATTCGACCCGTGAGTCATTGGTCCGATTCTTTGATGTCCGAGCCGGGCTTTAAACAATGCTTAAAAACAGTGTCATTTCACTGCGTCTCAGAGTGATCAGTCTCAAACCCTAGAATCAGTGCAATAGTTCGTCATCGATCCACCCAGGTAATCTCCCATATCTCTCAGTTCACATCCTCACCCCAGTCTCGCATAGGCAACTCCCTCCCTTCTACCCGCTACCACTAAGGACTCTAAGAGACCTTCAGGTTCAGGTTGAGCACAATATAATTTCACATCAGTGACTCATTTTATGTAATGTTTGCGAAGCCGTTACCATGTGTGCTGCAAGGAACCTTCAAAAACACTGCCTCAGAACCCTCTCTTCTTCCATTATCAACTATACCTCCGAGTATGGCCCCTCTCTCTGTATATGCATATGCCGAGTTTCAGTTATTTTTATTCATTTTCTTGATTTGAGTTTGGTGTTTATTAATGATATTCAGGCATGCAATGTTACGAAGAGACATTTGGCCGAGATTCGTACCTGTCAATGTGGCACAGCCAAAATTTTCAATCAAAGATGACATTTTTCCGCAAATTAAGGTTTTAAATTGCTTCGATGGGTCTCGAGCAATGTCAACTTCTAGAGGAAGGAGCATGAGAAGCAAAGTGGAGGCGCGGATGCGTAAAGAGTCTGGGAAAACCCTAAGGGAGATTCGGCGGGCAAAGAAAATAAAGAAGAAGCTGATGACTGATGAGGAGCGCCTTATTTACAACCTCAGAAGGGTATGTTGATTTTCCTTTTTGCTCTCCTTATTAGTTAATTTTGAGAGTTTATATAAGTACCGAGTGCACGACGACGTAATTTTACACAGAAAAACTGTATTCACGACTCACAATGGAGCAATTTTACTGTTGCGGCAAGGTTCACCCTCTTTGATAGTTTATATAATTAACTACTGCAAAATGTTAGTAGTGGCTTAAGCTTTGGTGCATTTATGCGTTCCATTATAATTATTGCACTTTGTGTAGTCGGATCTTTGTTTATTAGAAATTAGAATATACCACCATATTTTTATTGGGATCAAGTCTAATTCAAAGCTTATAAGCATATGTTGATGCATTCATGCTCGACCCTATAATAATCAATCTCAATAACTTCATAATCTTTATTATTTATTAACTCTTTTGGAAACTCACTTGTTTCCATGGTGGAATCTTATTAATTCTGTTACCTAATTAATTTTTTTATTGGAAATTAATATTTCTGTACGAAATCAATAGATACATTGTATATGTTGTATATTTAATTTACTATGTGTTTTTATGTTATATGTTACATTGTATATTTAAAAAATACATAGTATGTATATTATGAATTAAAGTCATGGGGGGCATGTGCCTTCCAACACAAGTTGGTGTTGAGCTCTCCATAGTTCTTATTGACCAAAAAGAGTCGTAATTGTACCTGCTAATCTAGTCGGTAAAGCCTCTACATAGTCATACCAGGAACATGGGGTCAACTTCCAATTTCATTTGGATTGTGGAGAGGCGGAGGGCTTCCCCATTGTGTAACCAATAATTCCCATCAAAACAAGAAAGGGGAAAAAAAGGATTATTTCCTATCATTCAGTGTTAGCTTTATGCTTCTTCTACATTGGCAATATTTGTAATTGTCTCACAGTCCCAGTGGTAACACTCTATTGAAGTGCTACCAAGCTAGTTAGTGGCAGAAGAGGGGCTTGCCACAACCATTCGCTCATGCAATTTTGATGGATAGGAAACAGAATCAGTAATTATCTTCTTGGATGTTTCGGATGTCCCTAGGATATCAAGTTCAAGGACTACAAAATCAGGTAACGACCTACTAAATGTTGCTAGTGGTAGTTGTCTTATGCTTCCATGGAAGAAAGCAATAGCTGACAATTGCTTAATCTTTAGTGACGGAAATATTGCTGGCTCTTCCTCGTTAAATTTTACTTGTTTCTGTTAATTAAAGATTGATGTAACCTCTTTTATGGAGGAATAACTTTTAGTTTAATCACGAGTTACTTGGCAATTATCATAGAGTATCTCTTTAAGTTAGTGATATTTAAGGCATGTAATATGATTTCCTCAGATTAATTCATTGTTATATTGTCTTTTTTCCAATTTCCAAGAAAACTTGTTTCGTGCCTCAATTCCTTTCTGATTATTGCAGGCTAAGAAAAAGGTGGCATTACTTCTACAGAAGTTGAAAAAATATGAACTACCAGAGCTGCCAACTCCACGACATGATCCTGAGCTTTTGACCCCTGAGCAGCTTCAAGCATATAAAAAGATTGGTTTTAGGAATAAAAATTATGTGCCTGTTGGTGTTCGTGGAGTCTTTGGAGGAGTTGTCCAAAATATGCACCTCCACTGGAAGTTCCATGAGACCGTCCAAGTTTGTTGTGATAACTTCCCCAAGGAAAAAATCAAAGATATGGCAACCATGCTTGCAAGATTGAGTGGTGGTATTGTGGTTAACATTCATAATGTCAAAACTATTATCATGTTTCGTGGCAGAAACTATCGTCAACCAAAGAATTTGATACCTATCAACACCCTTACAAAAAGGAAGGTAAGTAACCATAGTCGTCTTCTTTCTCTGTTTTACACTTTTGCGTTATCTGCATGTGTATTTGCCCAATGCATTATCTTCATGTGTATTTGCCTAAACATAGAAACCCTAAGTTATGAGTAATAACAAATGTCACAGGCTCCACAATGTAGTGTTTGCTTACTGGTTTTCATAACCGGCGCCCACTAAAAGTAAAGGCGCCAAAACTGTGTTTTAGGTCCTCATCTTTGCATATTAAGCAGCAATAGTGAGTATAAAAAGGGTTCTACGAAGCCTAGAAAGGTGGTCCATCTTATCATGCCTTCTCCACCAAGGCACCAATTATTCTGAAATATCATCTTCTGGAATATGGAACCCCAAGATTTTAATTGGAATGAATTACCCCAAACTGAATGAATATCTGCGTAAGGCGGAGGGGAGGGTCAGGGAAGCAGAGTGTTTGATCCTCTCTTGCGTGGCAACTGCATATATGGATCTGCCTCATATAACTTCTATGCTTCATTTCTTTATTCCGTTTGGCTAGAGAAACATATTGGTGCTGAAAAAAGTTTGGATTGGGTATTTGCTCTGTGAATCGATGTTCCATATAAATATGCACGGTTATCTTCATCTTGCAGGCATTATTCAAAGCCAGATTTGAACAAGCACTTGAATCTCAAAAACTAAATATTAAGAAAACAGAGCAGCAGCTCAGGCGGATGGGAGTTAACCCCGAGGACCCAGTTGCCATGGCCAGCATCCAGAGAGTAGCTTCCACATTCTTCAATGCCATTGATAAAAAAGAAGGAACCCCTTATGTTTTCCAGGAGGACAAACACAGCACTAATTTACAGCAGCAAGAACTCAGTGAAGACAGTGAGCAGGAGGAGCTTGACAAATTCATAGCTGAGATAGAAGATGCAGCTGACAAAGAATGGGCTGCTGAGGAAGCAGCAGAAAAGGAAGAACTGAGCATAATTAGATATCGTCACAGAGAAGATTTGGGTGGGAGATTCAGACGATCTGGAACGGCTGGAAGTGAGGACTCAGATGATGAGATTAGAGGAAACGCTAGGAGCTGGAAGGGTGCACGTGGCAAGAAGAGAGTTGATGATAGTGAGGATGAAGACGATGACATTGATGAGGATGATGTTGGATCGGATTCCATTGATGTAGTAGATACGAATGAGCATGGGATTGACTCAGATGAAGTTCGTGACAAATATGATGTACGTACTGTAGGAAGGCCTGGTAGGATTGGTAGAGGTAAATTTAATCACAAAGATTTCAGGAGAAACGCTGAAGCAAAATTGAAGGGAAAGATGGTGGAAGAAGATTCAGGGTCAGAAGATATGTTAAGTGATCTGGAAGATACCATGTGGGCATCAGAAGATGGGGAAGAAGAACAGGACATAGCAAAATCAAGAGCAAAGAGTTCTGATTATGTGAGCAGCAGCGATAATGAAGACAGATGAGTGGGTGGTGGTGAAAATGGTACTTTCATCGATATATTTTTAAGCTATGCTACTTTCATAGAAATCTAAATGCTCTGCATATCAAAAAAGTTTTATAAACTATTCTTACTAATTGTAGTCCCATAACGCCCTACAAAACTAGCGGGCTGACATTTTTGTCATAGGGATTGAGGTTTTTGCGATGCAGCATAACACCCTATCAAAATATTTTTGATAAAAGGAGCTGTTTTATTCGTGTAATAAGAGTTTTAGTTAGTTCAAATGGGGTATAATGTCCTGTGGGGGATGAAATATATATAATAAAATATAATGTAATTCAAATTTTAAAAGATAAATAAAATAATTTTTTACTTTTTTGTGATGTCTCTTTAATTTTTTTTTTAAGTTAATTTTATGGTTAATATTAGCACTTTAAATTTATTAATATGAAAAATAAATTCTTAAAGGTTTATTTAGAGTGATTTTTTAAAAATATTTTTAGAATTTATAACTTTTCATAAATACTTTTTTTTTTTTAAAAAGTAATATTTAAAATCAATCCACCACTATAACAACCATTACCACCACCGCAAGTACCCCCAACCACCGCTGCCACGATTCCCAAAACCTTTGCATAGTGCTTTCAACCATATTAGAGAAACAATGACCAAGGGGAAAGGGGAGAAGAAAAGACTACAAACTACGTATGATTTTAAGGGAGATTCCAAGATTTTCGTTTGAGCAATGCTATTGAGATTTAATTTATTGACCTAATTTGACTTAATTCACTGTGACATTTGAATTGACTGTAGGGTCCATCAAATATTAAAATTTAGTATTAATCAAATGATTCTGCTGAAATCATATCATTATGTCAACAAATTAGGTCAAATTTTTAGGTCCAAATAGTATTATTCTTTCTGTTTCGCTTTTTACCGAAAACAAGCAATCAGAAAGTAAAACATGAAATACGAAGAAAACTAACAAATGACTTTTAAATGACAAAGTTCAAACAAAAAGAGTGTATTGTTTTTTTTTTTTGAAGCTACCGATATGATAGTCAAACCGTTAAAACGACTCTGGTAGTTAAACCAAGTTTCTAATATAATCATTCTTTGCCGCCCTAACGAGTGGTGGAATTGGGTGGATCAATTCCCATTGCCCTAAAATAGGCCTTCTCTGCACCAGCCATCCGATCCTGAAATATTGTCCACTCCTTTCTACACCTTTCCCTCACCTGGGGCAAAAGAATTCCATACATTAGAACACCTTGTGATGAAAGCCAGAGGTTGCTTCCCATAAGGTCTTTACAAACTCTTCCAGTGCAGAACACAAGTACATTAGAAAATGTGATTAAGGCAGCATTGAGAGCGATCTGGATTAAATATTATTCGAATAATACAATTAAAGAAATAAATCAATAGAAGATAAAAGTCTTGTCACATACCCCTTCCCATGGTGCCTTACCATTCTCTGGCTGACCCTGTTCAAAGAAGAAAGCAATGACACCATTTAGTTCCGCACCATGTAAATCTTTTACTCGAAATTGAGAACTGCAGTTTACCTGGTTCCCAAGTGAAGGGACGGTTTGATGAACAATCCATTGAGCATCTACAACTCCAATTTTTTCATGAGCAGGCTGTTCTCATGCGAGGATATGATAAGAACACAACGATGACAAAGACGATTGTAGCAAGCAATGATTAAACAAATGTAACAAATAGTGACCTACCTCGACACATTTCCTAAGAGCAAAATCAAGGCCCCATCCATGGACTAAGTCATTCTGCAAGAACAAAATATTAGATTTTCAGACTTCACAAACTCATGTAGGCAGCAACTCTGGGTTGGTTTCTGCTTCTAATCTGTACTGTTTCGGGATTGCATTTGTTTTCTTTTGTGTGTGTGTTTGTGAGTGCATCGATTTGTCCTTTTTTCCTGTTGTGCTTATTGGCACTTCACGTAAACAGAGGAAAGAAACAGAAAGAAAATGAAAATGCTCCGAACCTGAATCAAGTGCCAGACACAACGCCAAGCATCTCGAGAAAACACGGGCGCCATGATCTCAACAAAACTGTGTATTTATAAGTTGATTGGTAAAAACTACTTGCCTCTATTAGGAAATACGAAGCAAAGCACATGTTGTCAGTCGTAAAATGGATGGTAAAAATTCCTTACGTACGCTGCACATGGTGGCAAATGCGGATCAGCACACCAGTCAGGTCTTTCCTCTGTGTCTCTGGGAAGCAAACATAACAATAACCTTTTAAAAATCCAAGCTAGGGGCACATGGATTCATCTGATAGTACAGAAGACGACTGCAGGTTGGGATAATGAGAATTATGGTGCCCTTACTTATGAACTTCACTGTCGTCTCGCTTCTTTGTCATCTGCCACGTCAAGCCACTATTTGGTTCTAAACCAGGCTGTGAAACCTCCAGTCCATGCTTTCTCACCAGTTTTATGTATCTGCATTAGATGCACAGTAAATATGTTAAAATTTTAGTTCTCACAGACAGCATTCTATTCACAGCAGGATACTAGATTTTCAATACTCACTCCTCTGCATCAAAATTCTCCACTCCAAGGTCCTCATCCCAAATGAAAATGTAGTCATAGGGTGCCACAATGTCAGGATGCAGAAAACGTTTGGCATACCACCTTGGACCAATTTCAGGGAGTAAGTAGGCCTCCACAAATATTGATTGCAGGCTATCAGAACAAAGTAAAAACTGAAAAAAATCTTACAATTTATTACCATTTAGTCTGCTTCCGAGCACTGACATGGATTGCCCTCTTTGACCACTCAAATTCATCCCATTCACTAGTCCGACCATCATAGTGAAACAGCATAATTGAAAAGTTCTCTGAGAGCTGTAAATGTGTGTTAAGCAGTGCAAGGGTGCACACACACACAACACACACACACACACACACACAGAAACGGAGGACTTTGTCCCGACCTTTTTTACTGCCGCGTCAATGTTGTTTTTCTGGTCGTAACCAACGGTAAAGGTTACAAGATACCTTGGCTTTATAACAAGGTCCTGCAAGTGTATCATCAAATTGATGAATGAAGGATTAAAAATGTCATCATAATGAAAATTGAGCATCTTCATTATAACTATGTACAGTATGTTTTTGAAGTGTTGCCCCATCAAAGTGACTTCCTATGGTGAGAAATTCAGTGCATAATTTCTATCAAGTTAAAACAATTGAGGATGCAACCATATATCTTCACCTATTATGGGATAAATTCAATGATCATATGTAACAGGCTCATATACCACCACCCCTCCTTTCTCCAACCAACCAAAAGAAAATAACAGGTTATGTGCATTTCATATCAGGCTTATGGCGACAATACACACCTCACTGGGCAGTCCCCACAATCTGCGGAGGTAGAAATCAGACTCAAATGCAATTATACCTGGGGGAAGTCTTTCTGCACCTCGAGGGTTTGTTGGAACCCAGATCTGCATTAGAATCACTTAGAAATTAATGCTTGCAACCATGCTCCAATATAGATCAATAAAAGGATACACACCTTAGTACCATTAAGAATGTGCCCCGAGGTGTCTCTATTACCCTTCAGAGAACCCCAAACATTCAAGAGCGCTTGTGTTGAGAGGCCCGAGTACTTGTCCTCAATGTAAGTAAGATCAATGGAAGGAAACAGGCTAGATGGTATGTTCATCTACAAAATTCAAACACAGACCAAGATCAGCATTCTTATTCTTTACTGGTCAGTAAAGCAATAGAAAAGGATGGCTTTCGGAGGAGTATTTCGGAAATGAAAAAATCCAAAAAGGATGTTCACTTGCCTTGGTCAATGAAAGTGTGGGGAAAGATACTCCTAAGAAAAAGCCAAACACAACCCCAACAAAAGTCGTCACAATTAGCCTCATTGTCTCGTTTGGTTTTCTGCAGCCAAAGTCACAGCAAGAAATAAAAAAATGGTGGCACTTTCCATTATAAATCACGGGTATGTAAATCTCCAATAACATAAATATTTATTTGAAAAAGTAAATCAAAGAAGAAATCCTCTGTTCAGTAAGAACTAATCAACTCAAATGTCTAAACCTGCGCAGTCCCATGGTAATCACAATATTCTGCTTTGGAAATCACAGAAGAAAAAGCTGCAATCCTACAAGCAATAGCTTCTTCACATACTAATCAACATTGAAGTCTCCAGTTCTTTAGAAAAGAAGTGGGCGCCCTCATCGGAGTAGAATCAACCCTAAAAATCAGAATATGACAAAGAACCTGTGAGACCCACATTGCATTAGTATCACAATATGTAGGACAATTTTTCCCAGATAAAAAAGAATTCCACTAATGGAGGTGAAGCTAAATCCGGATACTGCATTGCAGATTATCAGAAATTCATTGTTGAATTGATCTGTCAACAACATAGGGTTAACCAGGGAGGGAGAGAATGATGCACATATCTGAATGGGAATCAGAAATATTTTCTTGCTGAACCAGTGAATAACTGAGTATACATCATAATCGAACAATCGGATACTAGACCAGAGGTCCAAAACCCACCCTTCAATAGGAACAGACAAACAGCCCAAGTTACAGAACAACCACCTATTGTTTTACATCTTCAACTTGTAATCTTCCAAGAAACAGTCTAACCAATGCAATTATTTGAATACTCAACAAATATATATACACATAAAGGTTAGATTAACTCAGTCCATTTAGTTATAAACATAGCACAGTCAAGTTCTCTTAATATACTCAAATCTAATAACAAACAAATTGATGAGAGATTAATTAACTTACATTGAAACAAAAAGTAGCAAGTTTCTGATCAAATAAACCTGTTATTGAACCTCAGAAGTATGCGAATCTTGATAAATCACCTAAAGGCGTAAGGCGCCGAATCTCCTGCGAATCTGATCTTCGGTGCGAACGCAAAAAATCCTGGAGCTGATCCAACGTTTCAAATTGGACGGGATTTTGAAGTAGAAATTGTACTGAAGAACCAAACAGACCTCACAGAAGGAATCGATTTTCAGGGTGGAGTGGGTGAAGAGTTTTGGTGAATTCAAACGTTTGAGATTGAAAGTGGAATGAGACTGTTTCTGTATTCTTGCGTTTTGGACATGGGAAGATGATCCTGTGTGACGCTTATACCTTAATCAACTGAATTAAGACTGAAAGACGGCCCAAGAATATAATAAGGAGAACAGAGGGTTGATGTCCACGTGTAGCGATATGATGGGTCTAACAGAGGAAAAAACATTGAGGGTAACGGAGACACATGTCGCGCCACATTGTATCACCATTGAATAAGAGTATGATAAGTAAGCAAGCGGATTTCATATATTACAGTAAAAAAATGCTTTATAATTTAAATAAAAATTTAAATTTAAATGTATATTATCTCTAAGATGAGTGTAACATGAGTGGATCCTATTAAAAAAAATAATGGGACTCACTCATCCAAAAAATGATATGTATTTAAATTACAATTTTTTAAATTTTATAGCATTGCTCATTATAGTAATCACCTCTCTTTGTCATTTGATAATCATCCAAATAGAGTTTACATTACACACTTATAAATTTTATTATTAGATGTTGACACCGTACGACAGCCATAACGTAATTCACCGTTACACTCAATATTTACTCTTAATAGAGGGTTGAGCCCTAAGCCTAGAGCTGTTAATTGAGTTGAGTTAATTAAACTTGATTTGAATAGAACTCGACTCAACCTTGACTTATGTTATAAACAAATCGAACTTGAACAATTTTTTAAGGTCGTTAAAACATAGACTCATTTTTTAAGTTCATTTAAAAAAGGAGTTCGACAGGATCGGACTCAAGCACGCAAAATTCGATCCTTTTTTAAGTCGCGTGGTAAAACAAAATATAAATGCATATAAAGATAAATGTAAAACAAATACTACTTCAAACGATAATTTGGAAAGAAAAAATAATAGATATTTAAAAAAAAAATGTCAAATAGTGCCTTAATTTTAACTTTCACACCCAGAATAGCTTAAATTAAAAATTAGGAGTCTAATCAAGAATAATCTAAGATCAAACAACCTTTAAAGATTAATATTTTGTTTGAGGTGAAAAAAAAAACTTAATAACGTTTTGAAAAGGAGAATGCTATTATTCGTGTTCCCAATAAGACCAAAGCAACGGCCTTTACATCTATAAAAACAACAAATTGAAACAACCACCGATGAGACACTACTTAATGTCTAAAATGATATTTTTTCTTTAAAGAAAATGCTATCTAATTTAAATTTGGATTTCAAGTAGTGTCTTAAATGAATAAGGATCATTAAATGAATGAGTTCTATCAACTTTTTTAAATAAAACTCATTGATCCAATGGTCTTTATTGATTTGAAATATCATTTAAAATCTTCTCACTCGGTTATATATACGCGCAATGGCACGCATACCTTAGATAAAACAGTGAATAGGATAATTAAAAATTACCAATCGGATAACTACTCATTTATAACTTAATTGACCATAATTAATAAATTAAATAATTAATTTGTCAATTAAGTGTTTGAATCCATTTTTACTTGCTTAAAAAACAACCTCTTTGGAATGAAAATATATATATATATATATATATGCAATCAATATGCCCAACTATTCCATCAATTAATCATTTGGTCCAATAAGCCAACTTTCATAAAATTCAATATTTGATGAATAAATTATAAAATATAATTAAAGCGACAATTCATCAAACATAGTCACTAAAATTGCAAGTGTGTACAAACTAAAGCAAAATTATAATCATTCACAATACAAATAATTTTACGTGACAATCCTGTCTAAAAAAATTACAGAACCGACATCTGATTCACATAGCCTAATACATTATTCCATGGTCAACTTATAAGTAGTCGAATCTTATATCCTATCTAATTTACCCATAATTATATGTTTCTTTATTTATCAAATCTTTTCCTCTAGATATCACCCCCAAAAGTCTTGAGTACTTTCACTCACACACCACGATGAACAGTCTATGTCTCGAGTAATCTTCAAGGATTCTTTCCTACGACTTACACAACAAATATGAGGTTTTCTAGAACACCAAAATATTATTTTTCAATGTGTGAAGTTTAATTGGAATAATTAGGATGGTTTGACATTTGGAATTTAGGAATCTAAGGTTGTTCCTAATTCCCTAAACATTTAAGAGGTTGATTTTTGGCTCACAATAAAGATACTATATCTTAGAACGACGTATTGTATTTATAACCACACAAACCTAAATTCGTGAAGAATCGTTTGAGTCTTCTGAGAGTGGTAGGATAATAGTTGCAAAGGAATGAGAAAAGGTTCCAATCCTATAAAATAGAGAAAGTATTGCTCTAGTCAAAGACAATCAAACATAAGGTGGTCCTTAATTTTGAAGTCATAAATCAAACAAAAACTGGACTTATTGAGCACTAAGGAGTATTGCTCTAATAGGATCCGATACATGACTTATCTTATGTTCTCAAAACATATTTTGATGTTTAGAAAATTCTTTTTTCATGAAAGACTTCAGAGTCATCTACAAATATTCTTAAATCCAATTTCATTAACCTAATTAATCAAAATAAAAAAATAAAACAAAAGGTTCTTAAGTATTTAGGTCATTACATTTGTCATAAACTCTTGAAGGTTAATTGGAGATATTTTGATTTACGAATTAATTGCACTAGAAGTCTCCATAATATGGAGTTTATCTCATTTTTTGTCTATAATATTTTAATTACATAATTTTAGTATATGAAGTATCAAATATATTTATGTACTAGTTATTGGCTGTGTCTAAAGACACAGAGTAATAAAAAATGGTATACAATAAATATATTTGTATTCGTATCCAAAATCAAATCACAAACATAAAAAAATAAATAAATAAATTTAAATATTGATTTGTAGTAGGGGGTGAGAAGTGGTGGGCGACAATAGTGACAGTAGGAGAGGGTGATGGTTGTGGTAGATGACAATGATCATGGTGGTGGTGGTGGTGGAGGTGGTGGCAGCGATAGTGGTGGTGGTGGCGACGATGGCGACAACGATGTTGGTAGTGGCAGGGGTTGTGGATGGCAGTGGCTGTGATGGTGGGGGTGGGGGTGGTGGCGGTGACGGTAGTGGTGACGACGACGATGGTGGTGCACCAAATTATTGTTTACTTATATTTAGGTATCACAAGACAAATTTATGATAAAAAATCATAAATAATTTAGATGTTATATACTTAAAGGAGCATATATAAATATATTCAGTAATTCAAAGATTAAAATGTTACAATTAATATATTATAGATAAAAATGAAACAAATTTTATATTTTAGAAACCTCTAGTGTAATTAACCATTGATCTAGCTTTGAAGATTGCCTCCTCATTCCTCAAAACTTTTAAAACTTGATATTTGAAGCATCATGTCCATAAACTTAAATTGAGATTTACAACAAAATTTTACGAAATTTATCGATTATAACCAATTTTCCAATATCTTTTTTCTTATTTGTTCTCTTATTAGCTCTTGTAGAAGCCCGATTACTAATACTTGGCACAAAAAGTCTTTAGTGGTATGTGTGATTTTATATATACACAAGTGTGTGTATAAAGAGATTTTTTAATTTTAACTTCATACCCTAATGCCATATTCGTAAATGTAATATAATTTTCTCATGCAATAATTCATTTTTTTCGCATTGATTATAATATTCTATCACCCATATTATGCCGATGCCTACTATTAATAACCCAAATATAATTTTCTAATTTTAACTAATTTTAATTTCTTATTCGAATAGATTCAAAGTTAGTTGCTTAGAAGCACGAACACATTATCACGAACCATGTACTTCCACATACGTTAAGTACTGTGTGTAACTAGGTCATCATTGCTGGACCCAATATCATTTTGACGCGTGGACTTAAAACGGTTAAACAATATATTTCGCCAAACTAATCATACTTGTGTATTCGCCACGTGGCAAAAATCAGATAGTGCTGCACATTATTTATCGAGCCTCCCCCGCACCCCCAATTCTATTTCCAAGCTTTCAGTATCTTTCTATTTCCATTCCTTTCATAGGATCACACTGAAAATTCTCAGGCGGATTATGTATATCGAACCCCCTCTCCGATTCCTCTCTGCCGTCTCCTACGATCGAGCACAGTGATCAAAGGTTTGGGGTCCTGTTGGCTGTAAAAGCAGAACGTTCGAGAAAATTCGGAAGATATACAGTTGAAACGATCTTCAAGGAAAGGAAAGCAATGTCGACGCCAGACATTGCCGGAATATTAGACAACTCGAAGTTGCTCGATCGGTTAAGGAAAGAGCAAGAAGAAGTGCTCCAAGAGATCAACAAGATGCACAAGAAGCTGCAATCCAGTGAGTTTTACCTACACCATACAAAATAATTGATCATCTTACCCATCGTTATCGGTGATTGATCAGCAATTAACAATCTCTCATTGTCATAGGTTGTCATATACTCTTGATCTGAATACGAATTGGTAGTACATTTATTAAACATGTGTGATTTCGTTGTGTTTACATTACATGGTTCAGAATGCTATTAATCGTACTGTTTTTCCCCAAAGGCGACTACTTCTGTATTTCAGGCTATGATTTTACTCCCCCAAGAGTTGCAAAAAAGCACTTTTTATCAATACTATTGTTTGCCTTGAATATATCCATATTATCTAGGCTAGCCCCTTAGATTGTTTGAGAGATACGAGGCTGCTACCTAGATTTTGTGGAAATTCTAAGCGGTCGCCCAAAATCATGTGTACGACATCTATGCAGTAGATTTTATTGTTATAGTGGATGAGTAACGAGATGAATGAAAAAGATAGCATATACTCATTTTTAGGAGATTGTTGATAACGTCTTTTTGAAAGAAGAAATATGAATTGTCCTTTCTCCTCAATATCTGTTTCATATCCCTCTCACATTTAATATAGTTGGCTCCTCTTGCAAAAGACATGATCATTATTTATGAATCATCTCTATGAGATACAAATGGAGCTTATTGTTCTATTATACCTTTTGAGTTTGTGCTCATTTATCAACGTGCCTTTATGAAGGCTTTGTCTTCTCAAGGTCAAGGATTTAAATCCCCACTCCCCCTCAACAAAAAAAAAAAAATAGAGTTTGTGCTCATCTAACATACTAAGCTAGAAGTCATCAAGCTTTGCAACGTAAATCTGAAGCTATGTCGAATGCAAGACATCTAGTACCAGTAACAGAAGCAATTGTTCAACTACTTAGAAAAGATGGATTGGTTGTTTTGGTTGAGAAAGTTGTTTTTTCGAAAAACATGAGACATATGGGTGATATGATTGTGTTGTACAATGGATTGAGGTTGTTCGTGTAACTGTGCTTCTGTGAGAATGGCTAAAGTTACTTCTTAGGAGGAAGTTTATTTTATTTTTTCTCAAATCTACAATACATTTATGTGATGGCTTCACAATAATTTGTCTCTCTGCAGCTAAAAAATAATCACTTGCATTATAGAATTGGCGTGGTCTAGATTCACATTGGAAAAAAAATCACTTTCCTCCCACTTAAATGATACTTTTTAGTTCTTACCCAGGTTTTGCTGGGATCCAACTAATTTTAATAAAGACCAATCCGACATCTTTTCTAAGATCATTGATGTGTGCTATATTAATCTTTGTGATTTACCACCATGACCACAATTTTGCTCTACCCCTAGAGTCATTATTTCCTAAAAAGATATCTGTACTTTCATTCATAAGCTGTGCCATGATCCTTTTTACAAAAGCTATTACACAATTGCCAGTTTTGACTATACCAGTATTGGACCACCTCACTGTCATCAGCATTGTTGCCATTTCACAACTGCTATCAACTTCAGCATTGCCAATCCCCATCCCAATTTGGAAAAAAATTCAACATCGTGAGCTCATTGTTAATTTTACCACTATCCACTCCCACTGTATGGTCACCGACTCACTGCCAGTGCCATTGCCTCCTGACAATCATTATGAATTGTTATCTTCATACGTAGCCCCTTGCCAACACCCCCCTCCTTCCCTCTGCTTTTTTAGTCATGATCACAAATCAGCACATCAGGATGGGCATGCATCATGTGTGATGTTTGCTAAAAGTGTTCAATTAAAGGCCTTGGGATTGCCAATGTTCAATGTATTATGCAATCTACACAAACAAAGAGATTTTATGATGAAACTCTGTAAAGGGATGATTAGGTATAAGTAACGCTGAAATGTATTTCTGGACGAACTTTTATAGATTCTTCAATTCAAACTGCAAGTTATTGTTGATTGGTTTCATTGGAAACATTAGATGTAAATCACCTATCTGTAAGGGTGAGAAACTGAATTATTGGCTCTCTAGAAATTTTAGGGTTTTTTAATCTTTTTTTTTTTTTTTTTGTGTTTATGTGGGAAGCCTTAGGTGGGAAAAGTTAATTATTGATTTTGCTGATGCATATAGTAAAAAGACTTACTTAACTTGAAGATGGCATGGTACTATAAGGGCAAGAAAGACCTAAGAAGGAAGTGGATCTAGTATTGACAAAAACTTATTGTTTTCTTGTAGTTGGCAATGGTGTCCTTAACAGAGCTGAATGGTTAAAATGATTTTCGGTTGCCACGTAATTGTTCCATAGTGTCAACTGAAAAACAGAATTTTTGGCACTATAAACCATGCAATCTTTTTGCCACCCTTGAAGACAATCTACACACAATCAAAGAAGCTCACACAGCCAATTAATATCTGCTCAAGTTCGTTATTCACCCTCTTTTTCCTGGACGAAAAAAGAAAAATATAGGAATTAAAGAATCCAACCATGGTCACAGTCTCAGCAATTTGTCTTGTCATGGAAGACTCAAGCTTGTGAGGGCTTGAATTCAACAGTTTCACTCTCTGACGACGTCTTTTTTTTTTCTTTTTTATCTTTGGATACTTTGTCAGTGTTCTCCTTTCTATTAGGCGGGTATCAAAACTACATATAACACTGGGAGAGACGAGTGAGCATAGATGACAGCCATTGTTGGATGCTAATTTTGCTTAACATCCTTGCTTTATTATTTTATGCCTATGTTTAGGCTATTATTTCATACTCATGTTCTCTCTTCACTTGACATTGGTCTTTTAGTTCTCTTCATCTGTTTTTGAGAATTTCTCCTTGGGGTTCTCTGCATGATGGTTGAGTTATGCTGCTGATCATTTTAAACTTTTGACAATGAGTTGAACCACTTTGAGGTCTCAGAAGACACTTGTTTCTTTCTTATGTAGAAGTTGACTTCAACCTATACGTGGGAGTAAATGAACTACAAAAACATGCTTGCTTTAACATCTTTTTCTTGTGTTCAGCTCTTGTTCTCTATTCATGATTACAGCTGTTAAAGATCTATATTTTTCCATATTCCAATGCAGCACCTGAGGTGGTTGAGAAGCCTAGTGATACTTCACTGTCGAGACTTAAGCAGTTATACACTCATGCCAAAGAGCTTTCTGAAAATGAAGTGACGTATGCCTATTCTATAACTTTGTCTGGGTTGAATAAATTAGTTATTTCCATTTGAAAAATAAAAATTAACTGAATTCTGATGTTTCTTTGTTGAGGTGCAGTGTTTCTAATCAGTTGTTAAATCAACTGGACGCTCTGATGCCTTCTGGCTCCTCTGGGCAACAGCGAAGAAAATTCGGTGTGTGCTCCAACTGAGCTATGACTTGTTTCTAATGAAAACATTACTCCTGGCTTTAGTGCTGGCTTTGATCTTTTCCCTTTTTGCTTAAAAATATGCACACCTGAACTTAACATTCTATTTCTAAACTCCTTGATGCATTTTCCAATTATTCATGTATTTTAACCAGCTGTTGTCTCACATACCAATTTGGTGAAAATGCACTTAAGCTAGATGTTCTGTTGAGGCATGTCTCTTTTCCAGTGGCACAGAATCATGTGAAGGGCTCCTTGTTAGGTACAGACTTAAATGCATGAGCAGTGAACTAGCATTGAGACGAGAGAACACTATAAATCCCCTATATGATTGATCTTGTTGGCTGTATAGTTTCATATTGCGTTTATGCTAGTGTTCCTGGTTGAATACGATCAATTGGTGCATGGTGGACATAGACAGGGGAGGGGGGTTGAATTGGGCAGCTGCACCAACTGAAACCTTGCCAGGGATTTGTTATTCAAAATTCTAGGAAAATAGAAAAGAGGGGGAAAGGTTTTTCAAAGCCTCTTTTTGATGTAGATCGGGAAAGACTAACAATCACATAATAGAAAGAGAACAGGAAAAAAGAGGGGGTGGAAGGGGTTTACCTCATCCTCGCAAGGAATCGGTGAAGAATACTCAATTCTTATTCATAATCTCTCTCTAAATAAAAATAATTGGGATTACACCTTTATTTATCGTCAAGTTCCCTATTAAAATAAAAACTACCTTCCCACTAAAGTACTAAAAGAGTTTCATGATCAAACTCTCAAATCACTATCCTACTAAAACTCTATAATAATTCATTAATTAAACTCTAATTAATACTTCTAGTCAAACAAATATTCTCTAACTAATAAAATAATACTAAAACAAATAATAAAATTCAATTTTTACATTTAAGATCGTCCAATCCCTTTTCGATCTCTATCACATTTCTAACAAAATGGTTCTTTTTTAGATATTGATGGATAAGAAGTAATTAAATCAATTAGGCTTACTCGTAGACATCAAAATGGCTGACTAACGTAGTTGAATTGGAACCTATTTGGTGATTGTTGTTTACTTCTCCGCGGACGATTATGCACCATTTACTATTCTTCAACAATTGATTGCCTCCACTAGAACAAAATCTTGGCTTTCTCCCCGATGGTGAACATTGATTTTGGTACCTGAGTGGGTCATTTCTTACAACATGCTTGATGCAAATGAAACTAAGCAAATAAATTTGCATTTTTTAAAAAGAAGGAAATGGAAAAGCAAAACAATGGTGCTTAAAGGTGAAGAAGTTGTACACGTAGGTTAACTAGTGACAACAATGCATTTTCATGCCTTCGATTTGAAAGCTCTATTTTTGTTGCAATTGCAAAAGTTCCTTCCTTAATGTTAATGCAGTTATCTATGACCAGTTAAAGTTCTAAATCTAAATTGGATGTCACATGAAATGCAGAAGGTAATGAACAGAAAAAGAAACGAATGAAAGTTGATTCGGATGGCCCAAGGCTTTCTCCTTCCATGCGAAACCACCTGGATGCTCTTGCTAGTTTAAAGGGTGAACAAGTAGGCATCAATTCTTTCTTTTTTGTTTTCTTTGTTTTTTGATTGAACCATCAGCTCTATCTCATTAACATCTTCTTTAGTTCGTTATTCCACATTGAGCATCGAATTTATTATTATTTTTTTGGTGCAAGTATTTTGTTACTTTTATCATTGGCCATGCTAGGGTAGAGGTACATCAAAATTATCTTTGAAGGAGATAGTAAAAAAAGAAATGATAGTTATTAATCTAACAAAATATGACCCATATAAGAGCCAATGGAAGATTAAGATTCATGTATTTTGTCACTTAGGTAGTTGCAATAAATTTTTTGACTCTAAAACTGCTTACTATTTCTTCTCTGTAATATGCAATATGTTTTCCAGGTAGCAGCTAGGGTCACTCTAGACGACGCTCCCAAAGATGAGTGGTTCATTGTCAAAGTAACTCATTTTGACAGGGAAACAAAAGAGTAAGTATAGTTTTGCTATATTATTAAAAAAGAAAAGAACACCAAGAATACTTGCAAGTCTGATTTGATGACCAATAAATTAGAAATCAGACTGCATGTCATTTCACAAGTTGGTTGATGCCTTGGTGTACAGAGAATTGTATCCCACATCGAGTGGTAAGGGTCACCTGAGGTTGGTTTTTGTGGTTGAGGAGTTTCTTCTCTAATTGTTAATTGGTTTTGGGTTAGATGCTCTAATATTGTCCAAGAGCCATATCTTTATATTTCTTGCTGGGTCCCATTTGAATTTCTTGATATTTATGCTTGCTTGTTTTTTGATTATTCAACTTGCGACTCTAGATCTCACATAGAGAACTTGTCTCATACTTTTGCCCATTTGAATTTCCTTTTTTTTTTTTTTTGGGTAAATAAACTGAATATTTATTGATCTTAAATGAAGCTCTATTACAATAGAGGGAAAATAGAAAAAATCCTCTTAATATCTGTCTGTGTAGTATCCATAAACATGGACCAACACAAGGACGATCAAGCCATGTCATATATCAATTATCCAATCAACTGAATCTGAATCAACTTGCAGCTAATTAAGCATCCATTCAAATCCACAAATTCCTCAATTGTCACACCTTTATATCAGCAGGGATTCAAAACCATCAAACTCACAGATGCACTCAAAACAAACAAGAGTCTGGGAGCTGTCAATTGTAGACATTAGCCCTGTTCTCTCTAGAATTCTTGAATTTGATGGATAAAAGTCTGCGTCTTATGGTGTCACAAATTATCTGCTGTAAAGCTATTGCATCCTTTTGGTTATTCCAATGAACACTTGAGTTTCTTTCTCTTCACAGATAATTTAATTGTAGCAACCAGGCATAGTTTCTTAATCACGTTGGCAATGGATTTACCTTTCCATTGAGTAGCTTGTAAAATAAAAGTTTGACATGGGATAGATTGCCATGCGGTCCCACACTCGGATAAAATAGCTAACCATAGCAGAACATTAAATGCAAGAGATAGATGATTAGGGGATTCCATTACAAAGTTACAAAAACACATCCACAAGTTAGTTGAAGTGAAAATGACCGTGTTCTATCTCTAGTTTTGGGCGCCTCTCTTTGATTGCAAGCCACAGGATGAAAGTCATGTGGGGAATAGTTTAATTGAACCAGACTATTTTGCACCAAGGAACTTTGGCAGAATATGCCCCTGTTGATGAAGGCAACCACTTAACAATATCACCAGATGAAGACTTGGGGAGAGCAACTGGCACTGAAGCTTTAATCTCCATTAACTCGGCAGAGTTAGTTATTGCCAAATTCCAATGCCCATCATGAATTATATCACCGACTTTTGATCCCAATGGAAGTCCAGAGTCATAAATAACTTTACCATTCCATTTAAGTAACAAAAGGCCTAAAGGATGGCAATGTCCCTCCACAGTATTTCTTCCATCCCTAATGACATGTTTCACTTGCCCTCTCCCTAGGTCCCTATAAGGATCTTCCTCTACTTCCATGAACAAGTTTGCGGAGTCTTCAAGTCCTAGAAATTTTTACTTTTCACACAGTATCTTTTTGCCCAGTTAGTCCAGATATTATCAGTATCAGTAAGAAGATACCAGGTATATCTAGCCACCATGGCCATATTCCAGGTCACCAAATTCCTACTAACCAATTCCCCTTTTGCTTTGGGCTTACAAATATCCTCCCATGCTACTTTTGGCCCATCCTGTACCTGACCACATAAATGCTCTCATGGTCTGCTCTATGTTCTTGAATATTTTCTTAGGCAAGAAGAGATGGCTTGCCCAATAAGTTTGAATGCTACACAAGACTGACTTAATAAATTGCAATCTACCTGCATGAGAAAAGAATTTGTTAGTCAAGAGCTTATTATGGCCATTCGAATTTCTTGATATTCATGTTTGTTACGTGTGAGTCCAGATCTTGAGGAAGGGTATAAAGAGAACTTGTCTTCCATATCGAAAGATTAGGGCAACCCAAAGATGGTTTTATATGGTTGGGAGATCTCTCTGTTCATTGCCAATTTGTTTATGGTTGGATGCACACACACTCAGGACAAACCATATTATGTGCTATTGAGAATACTTGGGGCAATTGCTAGTAACTAGTTCGCATTATTACTGGCGTTGAAACAAGTGCTTTGAAGTATTTTCATATAGATACAATGTTTTGTTGTGGCTTGTTAGGAACTGGCTAACTGAGTAAGTTTCAGATAGAGTACATTGGTGAAACATGATTCATATGATCCACTCCAAGTAGTCAAGAAAAGGTGGTGTTGAGTTGAGTTAACCTAGCTTCTGTCCTGGCTTCTTGGGACAGACGTTTTTCATCTTATTGAGAAGGCATTTTTTCATGTGTTCTTCCCAGAAATGACTTGCGGTGTTTCTAATGGTATGCTTCCATTGGAGACCTTATTCATAGGATGATGACCATTGTGCCAAAATGATTTGTGTTCTGCTGTTCCTGCGTCCTAGTGTCTTGAGTACATACAGGGGATACAGGTAAGGCGGAGTTGTTAGATTGTGTTCTGGTTCCACACAGCTTGATAAAGTGAGCAGAATCTATGTTATATTTTTAAGGGAGAGACCAGGCTTAGTCTGTCGATGTCTCCCATATTGGGATTATCTTCTCAAAACAACTGTCCATGACCCAAAAAATTTGCCAATCACCCTAATTACACGGAGGACACTTCATATTTATGGAGACCTCCTGAGTTTATATTTTATAACAGAAAAACACCTCTACTAATTATATGGATATCCCTGACATTTCAGGAATCACATATTAACTTCCTGAGGTTTGTTTATCTTAATAGAAATGCCCTTTCCGAGATTACACACTAATGCATACCATGAATTCCAATATTATTTAGGTGTGAAACTATGAATGAGAATATATTTCTTGTAAAAAAAAAAAATTTGACTTTTGGCCTTGGTTGTGCACGCCACAGCATGACATGAATGCCATGTTGTTTGGGTGGTGTCTCAAATCTTTCTTGGCTGATAATATTGGCACTTGATAAACAGCTTCAAGCATTAAAGTTAAACTTTTATAGAAGCGAACATTATCATGAATATTTTGAATAAAGTGCCTGAGATGGCTTTTGTAATCACAATAACTTACAGCTTTCTTCTTCATCATCTTCTTTGTGTTTCTCTCTGTTCTCTTTCTGGTTTTCTTCTTTTTCTCTACACATGTAGTAACCTCTATGCTTTCATGCCTTGACATGTTTTGACTATGCAAAAGTTGTTGTGTTTTCTCATGACCATGACTACGTGCTTTAATGCAATTTCTCTTCCCTAAGTGGACAATTGGGTTTTGTGTTAGATTGAATTAAATATATTGAGGGAACAAAAGGGGGAGGGAAAAAGTCCCCCTTTATCACCTTTTTATGTTCTACACAAGTCGTGTCTGCTACAACATATGTTTTTATGCAGATTTGAAGTACTTGATGAGGAACCCGGTGATGATGAGGAGGGCACTGGCCAGAGGTAGTTTTCGTGTCTGTTTATTTTGGAGCTTTGCATTGTATTCTGTCAAATTTATTTTTTTGTGCTCACTTCTGTCTTCCACATAATAAATTGCCATATTGGTGGTGCTTGCTTTATGCAAGCATATACTTAACTCATAATGAATAAACTTGCTTTAGGAATACAATAGATTTTGATTTTTGGCTTGCAAATGCATATAATATTTTCCTGCTTGTTGTTATGTTTGTGTTGTTGGAATGAATCAGTCGTTTAATTGGTATTTTTGCTTCTCCTGTACTAATCAAAAAGCGTAGAACTATCATTACTCCTAATGTTACATTGTACATGTACTTGAGTCTGCATGTCAAGTGAGGTTGTGAATACAATTATTGGATTTATATATCCTTTTGAATTTAGCACATAGGAATGCAGCAGAATTTGCTCAAGTTCCAAAATTTTCTTCCTCATAGCCTAGGGGTTGAATGTGTTGAAGTTATGGTGGATCTTCAATATGAGTGTTCCCATCTTTCTGAATTAATGAAAAATAAATTTATAAACCAAGTATCCCTTTGAATACATGGTGACGAGGGAAATATGTTTAATTTTTTTATGCATTGCCACACCTATACCTATAGCCATGCCTTTTCAGGTATTAACTTCACATGACTTGAAGCGCCTTGTGGCATCAGTTGCGCATGCAACTCTTTGCAAGAAGTCGTTTTCATTTCTTTTTTGTTTTGTTTTCTTTTATTTCACATTTCAGTTGATCTTACTCTTCCTTTTGTGGTAAAATTGCTATATTCGCATGGATTAGGATTTTGTGACATATCATTCCTTGCTCGCTTAGGAATCATGTGTTCAATGATATGCCTGTCACTGCATCCTCACTTTAGGAACAGATATTGTTATCTTGTATAGCGAACATTCTATCTTTGCTTCTCTTGTATCTCAAATTCCACAAGCTGGAAGGAAAAAAAAAAAAAAAAAGAACAACTTGGGTTTGTAGTAAGAGATTTGCAGACTTCTCTGATACCCACCTTGACCTTGTAATTTTTTTGTGATTAATTTTTATAATATTTTACATTGATAATATGCGAAACCTTTCAGGTCATTCTTAGTAGTTTCTCCTTTACTTTTTATTTGTTCCATATGTTTCATTGTGTCGTGTGTGCCATTTTTGTTTTGGGTTTAGCTACTTCATTTACCTGTCTTTTTACAAACATTATTTTCATTGAGCTGGCATGTTGAGTTTGTGCCGTTGCTTCCTTGTATTCATATTTATGTTAGAAGCAAAATGTTGTTGACATATTGTCATATAACTTACATTGATAATCCTGCAATCAATGCTATGTTGTTTAGAATCGTTTTGGATTTTGATTTTGTTTTTTATGTAATGCCTCCTTTACCAAGTATAAGCCATTAGTTCAATCGATTATGGATTCTTTTTTTATATTTCTACTTTCAGAAAGTACAAGCTCCATATGTCGCATATCATACCTTTCCCTAAGCGAAATGATCTCTCTAGTGCTCAAGATTTCCCTCCTGGAAGTCATGTTTTAGCAGTCTATCCTGGAACAACTGCACTGTATAAAGCAACGGTAGCCCATGCTCGTAAGGTAAAAGATACCCATCTATTTGTAACCGTGTATTTAGTTTTGCACTATACTTTTATCAATTTTGGTTGATGACATTGTGAAACTGATTACTGGTTGCATTTTCATGCCTTTGCGGTGTTCTTCCACTGTTTTGCAAATTCTCAGAGAAAGACTGATGAGTAAGTACCTTTCCTTCCTTCAGTTAGAATATTGCACATTTTACTGAAATTCTTTCTTTCTGCGGGGCATTGGAGACCAAATGGAAATGCAACCATTTCTTTATTCACTTACATGGGACTGGCTTTTACTTTTTTTTTTTTTTAAGAAGATAAGTTAAGTAAGAGGATGAGGAATAGTAGTAACGGATAGGCTAACCACAAAAAAAAAAAAAAACAATGAGGGATTTAATGATTGTCAGAATTGGAAAATGCTCAGTGTAGATGAGCTAAGCCAATAGGCTGAACAAAATAAGTTCTTCATCATGATCTTTGTAGAGCCAAACAAGATCTTCATCATGAACTTTGTTCAGCGCACACCACTTAGATGGCCTCTAGAAAGTCATGATAGTACAAAGCCATGAAAGGGTGTTGGATTTTGAATTGCCTTAAAACAATTTTGGATGATATTGTTAATATTATTAAGACTAATCAAACATAATAATCCAACATTAACAAGGATACACAATGTAGGTCCTTATATATTAGGGCAACAAAATAATATAAAATGCCTAAATTATCTATAATATAAATACTCTAACATCCTCCCTCAAACTCATGATGTAGTAGCATCAAATATCAAGAGTTTGCTAAAAAAGAAACGGAAGCGCATGATGGTGTGAGATTTCGTAAAGAAATCTGTCAACTGCATAGTAGAAGGAACAAAGAGGAGAGATAACGTGCCCAGCTGAAGATGGTGGTACATAAAGTGACAACCAATCTCAATATGTTTTGTACGCTCATGGAACACCGAGTTATGAGCAATCCAAATGGCATTGGTGTTATCCCAATACATAGGAGTTGGAGCAGATAAGGAAACGCCAAGATTAGCAAGTAGTCAACGCAACCAAACGATCTCTGCAGTTGTGGAGGCCATAGCATGATACTCAGCTTCAAAAGAGGATCGAGTCACAACAGTTTGTTTCTTATTTTTACACGAAATAAGAGAATCACCAAGAAAGAGACAAAAATTAGTAGTGGACTTGTGATCTATAGAGTCACCAGCCAAGTCTGCATTAGAGTAAGCACGAAGCTCTAAAGACGATGAGCAAGAAAATAATAAACTCTGATGCAATGTACCACGCAGATATCGAAGAATCCGAAGAACGGCAAACCAGTGAAGTATAGTAGGAGCAGCAACAAACTGACCAACCATATGCACCACATAAGCAATATCTGGACGAGTAACAGTAAAATACACCAAACTCCTAACAATAGTATGATATAGGGTAGGATTAGGCAGAAGCGAACCATCAGAGGAAGTATAACGAATATTGAGCTCCAAGGGTGTGTCAACTATCCGAGTATCCGTTAAGCAAGCTCGCTGAATAACATCTGAGACATATTTTGACTGAAAAAGAAGATAACCTTTGGGAAAAGAAGCAACCTCAATCCCTAAGAAATATCGAAGTGGATCCAAATCTTTCATCTCAAAATAATCTTGTAACTGAGTTTTCAACAGCTGTATTCCAACACTGTCATCACCTGTAATAATTATGTCATCCACATAATGAAACTAGAAGAAGTAGATCGAAAGAAGAGAGCAGAATTATGATCACTAGCACAGAAGCCTAAGTCACATATGACTGAAGAAAATTTTGTAAACTGTGCCCTCGGGACCTGTTTAAGAACATATAAAGTCTTGTGAAGTTTGCACACATGTTCAGGACTACAAGGCAACCCAGGAGGAAGAGTCATATAGATCTCTTCAGATAAATCACCATGAAGAAAAGCGTTTTTCACATTCAGCTGAGAGAAGCTCCACTGAAAAACAGCTCCTACGACAATTATTGTGTGAATCGTGGTCATCTTAGCCACTGGAGCAAAGGTCTCATTGTAGTCAAGCCCATACTCTTGGCCAAATCCTTTGGCCACTAATCTAGCCTTGAACCTTTCCACAGAACCATTAGATTGAGTTTTGATTTTATAAACCCACTTACAACCAATGGGGTGTTTACCAGGAGGTAAAGACATCAACTCCCATGCTCGAGTCTTATGTAACGTAAAAGTTCCTCATCCATAGCTTGTTGCCAAAGAGGATTAAGTATAGCCTCCTTATGGGAGGTTGGTTCAAACAGAGAATGTATAGAAGTCAGGAAAAAACAAAAATCAGAAGAGTAACAAGAGTTGGACCAACCAAACCTGTCAGGACACTTCCGAGTGCGCTGAGGGTAGCGAGGAGTGTGATCCATGGTGTCAGAATTTGATTAGGAGCCAAGAGGTTCAGATGAAGACACAACATCTGTGGAGGAGATAGTGGGAGTCCTGCGAATATAAGAATACACAATCGGGGGATAGGTAATAGACATACCAGGCAAAGAGGAAGAAGAAGAAGAGGAGGGGGGAAGATCAGCCACATTCATATCACCAACATATGAGTCAAGGAAAACATTAGAGGGAAAAGGATCAAGATAGATAAGATTAAATTTATGCAGAGATGAAGAACTAGATAGAATAAAGAAAAAGGGAATATGCTCCATAAAAACATGGTGAGAAACATAGAGTTTTTGTATACTACGATCATAATACTGGAATCCTTTTTGTCCCTCACCATATCCAAGAAAAATACATAAGGTTGAGCGAGCCGAGAGTTTGGTACGATTAATACTAGGTAGCAGAACAAAACATGTACATCCAAACACACATAAGGAGAAATAATCAGGTGTCTTACTACATAATTTTTCAAAAGGTGAGACATTAAAATTAAGGATTGTAGGAATGCAATTAATCAGATGAACTACTGTAAGGACTGTTTCTCCCTAAAAAGGGTTGGGGACACTGGATGACAACAACAGAGAACGAGCTATCTCGATAATGTGACGATGTTTTTGTTCAGCCACTCTATTCTGAGCAAGTGTGTTGGTACAAGAAGACTGATAAATAGTACTATCAGATTTCAACAAATCACGAAAGAAATAAAAAAATATTCTCTACCTTGATCATACCAGAAACATTTGATAATAGAAGAATATTGAGTACGCACCATAGTACGAAAATAGTGAAAATGGAAAAGAACTCAGACCTACGTGTCATCAGATGCACCCAACAATATCTAGTATGATCATCAATAAAAGAGACATAATATATATACCCTCTTTTAGTAGCAATAAGAGTTGGTCTCCAAATATCATAATGTACAAGATCAAAAGGTGCAAGAGAACGAGAATTACTTTTATTGAAAGGTAATGCAGTAAATTTAGCCAACTTATAGCCACTACAATCTGAAATATCATGACACTCTAAACTACCCAAACTACTAGTAGAAGTTAAAAATTTTAAACAAGAATGAGAAACATGACCTAAACGAGAATGTCATAAATAAAAATTAGATGATTTTGGGCTCAATTGAATAGAAGATAAATCAATAGTAGATGCAATAATTTCAGAGACATGAAGTTCGTCCAACACATATAGCCCTCCATATTTATGACCTGTCTTAATCAACTTCTTGGACCGTGGATCTTGTACAACACAACCAGTAGAAGAAAAGTGAATTAAAAATCCCGAATCAAACAACTGACTAATAGAGATTAAATTTAAAGTAAGTTGAGGAATATAGTAGACATCAGGAAGTATAAGCTGAGAAGACACGATAGTTCCAACCCCAGGCAAAGACATTTGGGTGCCATTGGTTGCAAGAACAGATATAGAGGGAGGAGAAATAATAGAAACAAATAAGGAATAATTACTAGTCATATAATGGGTAGCTCCTGAGTCAAAGACTCAGGCAATTCGAGATATACCTGATAGACCTGTAGTGAATGAACATGCGGACGAAGAAACTAATAGGGTACCTGGTTGATGAAGAGAAAGGAGCTTCTATAATTAATCAGCTATCATAGTCATGCTAGGAGATGATGAGAGTGACTCATCCACTGTTGAAACAACTACTGCTGTATGACGATCTTTGGGCTTAAATGGTTGATGTAAGACCCCCTTGGCATTCTTGTTCACTAATTTAGGACATTGAGCCTTCTAGTGACCCTTCTCACGACAAAAATTACACTCATCTGAAGCAGCTCGATTCCAATATTTAGCCTGTGAATAAGAAGTCCCTTTGGGCGGTATACCAGTACAGTCTGATTAGGTAATGGAAGAAGAGTCTTTCTAGAAAGAGTTTTAAGACGAACTTCTTCAGCCAGAAGCTCATTTACTACTGCATCACCTTTGGGAAGTGGAAGACGATGTAGAATAGAACCACGAAATCCCTCAAAGTCATCTCTAAGTGCCATAAAAAATTGTATCAACCGATACTCCTCCCTAAAAGTACGATAGACTATATGCGTACTCAGTTTAGCAGGTTCAGCAAATGCTAACTGATCCCAAAATTCGGTCATAACCGAGTAGAACTCCTGTATGGTCTTATCACCTTGACGTGTAGCTCGAATTTCATGTTCAAGTTGACATCTCTTTACAAAATTGGACTGAACAAACAATGTAGCTAAATAATCTCAAATCTCCTTAGTTGTGTTAAACTTAGCCAAATGCACACCAATTGTCTGATCAACTGAGTTGTTAATTTAAGTAATAATTTTAGCATTATTGATTTTTCAGGTATTCTTTAAGTCATCATATCTCTCTTCCTTCGGATCTGTTGGAACTTGCAATGCACCACTAACATAACTCCACATTTCTTTTTCCAACAAAAAATTCTTCATAATATAAGACCAATATACATAATTTTTATCATTTAATCTGACACTAATAGCCTGAAGAGAATTAGAATGTCCGCTTGCCATAATGTTAACAAAAAAGAGTCGATGCTCGCAGCAAAATAATATCCAAAATAAAGCAAAGGGCAGCAATCAGATGCACCAGTCAGAACAGGAACCAACCGGCTTATTCTTACGGTGAACAGTAGTCCAAAACAATCAAAATCCAACCAAACCAGTCTAAACGAAGAACAGAAAAAGGAGCAAAAGGAATTGAGTATTAACCGAACACCCAACAATCCTCTGGACCAACAAACCAACCAACGAAACCAACAAACCAAACACAAAAATGAGCAAATTGCTTATCTGGGTAAAGGCTAAACCCGAAAGAGATAAAGAACCGAACTCGAAAGAGAGGACCCAGACGGAATTCGGACCCTTCGTCTTCAACCTCTGGACGAACACCCTACTAGACGAAACCCCTAAGCCACCAGACCAAAAATCTCGTCTTCAACCTCTGGTTTTAGCGAAACCCCCAAGCCAGCAACAATCTATTCAATCATCCACAACAAGAACTCAACAGCTACTCCACGAAGAAAACGATCGATTTATGCAATCAACTATTCAACGACGAATGACGGTGGTCGATGAACAGCGATACCTGTCGATGAAGAGCCATATCACCGACGAACGACGGTGGTCAATGAACAATGGTCGATGAACAGCGATACCTGTTGATGAAGGGCAATATCACCTCGCCAGGTAACTCCGCCTCAACGGTGGCTCTGATACCATGTTAATACATATTATTAAGACTAATCAAACATAATAATCCAACATTAACAAAGATACACCCTTATATATTAAGCTAACAAAATAATATAAAATGCCTAAACTATCTATAATATAAATACTCTAACGGATATAACTTCTATATGGTTTCTAAATGTCCTACATCCGCGGATCGTCATGATTGTCAAACTGAACCTCATTAATTTGTTCTTCCTGGAAGATGCTTGGGAATTTTTAGCTTAATAAATGAATTCTGTTATTTTTTTTTCCCAGAAAGTGTTATTCTTTTTATTGTGGTGATTGAAATTTTTTTCGCTGGGCAGTTATGATTTGGAATTCGATGATGACGAGGAGGAAGATGGATCTTTACCCCAGAGGTCTGTACCCTTCCACAGGGTGGTTGCTCTGCCGGAGGGACATCGACAGTGATTCCATGCTTGTTCATAACTGTTTTTACATTCAAAGTTGATGTGCAGTATCATGAATGGAGCCTTGTCCCATATGGATTTATCAGGTATTTTGAGAATTAGGACTGCAAACTCGTACTCATACGCTCCTTTTGAGTGACTTCATAGTAGGGTTATACTTTGATATCGAAAAATCCATGACTAGCCATAAAAAAAAATAAAAAATAAAAAATTCCATGACTCTATTTTTTGTTGAAATCGAAAATAAATTTGTGGTAGTAAACTGAAAAGTGAATAAGGGCACAATAAACTTATTCGGTCCTCTTGTTCCTAACAGCTAAGTCTTTATATAGTTGGTATGGTATTTGCAGTTTGATTACATAGTCGAATTGTGCGTAAGTTGACTTTGACACTTCTAATTGTTAAACCAAAAAAAGAAAAAAGTTAAAAGACTGTTATTTTTGAGACTCAAAAGACATGATAATAATCATAATTACATTTAACAAATTGATTTGTTAGTATGATTTTTTTAGGTTAAATTTTATGTTCTTCTGTTTAAGAAGGTATGGGGTTTGAATAGAGGTAGAAAAAAAGGACGTAATCTCAACGGTGCTGTTCCATCGACATCGTTACTTATGATTCATGCCGTTAGACCCTAAAAACATAAATTGTCAATTTGGGCAATCTATGATAATTTGTTGGTAATAATAATAAAAAAATTAATCAGAAGCTCTGTCGTTGATTGGAACCAAACACTACCAGTGGGGATGTAGTCACTTTCACTATTGAACACATTTTTTTGATCAAACCCAGCGGAACATAGGAAGTGAAATCCTTCAAAATTATATTGGCTTCATACATGTAGTTTAAGGATAATGGGTGACAAGAGCAACCATAATGCTTTCTTGTCACGAGTGTTTTTGATCAGATAAAATTTTAAGTTTACGGTTGAGTGTCATTCCCACTAAAGGGAAGGGGATTTTTGATACGGTAATATTTATATAATAAAATAGAAGAGTGTTTGAATTTTATTTTAGTCATATTTTTCTCTTCAAAATCATCACTAATCATTCTTTTGTCAGACACAAATGTTAAATCGCATCACTCATTTCTATCACATATTTAATCAATTATATATTTTCTCCCTAAAAAAATTACATCACTCATTTTTATTATATATTTAATTATTTAATATTTAATTAATTTGTAATTAATATATTTTGAAAAAATTTAACATAGTGTGATCGATTTTTTAGATGTTCCAATTTTATATTTTATCGTGCCTTCAGCACGGATTATGACTAGCACGTTAATATGATACGAATCGAATATGAAATTAATGGATCAAATAGGAAATTAAATAGATTAATGAATAAAATGGATTAACAAATTTAAATACAAAAAAAATTATGTCAAAATTAAATCAACTTAATTTTAACCAAATTAACTAATATATTTTGAATGAATTGGCATGGTTCAAACAATCTGACCTATCCCTTTAATTATTCGTTTGACCCATTTATCCAAATAAAAAAAATAACCCTAACCTTTCACTTTTCCACTCACACAAACCCAATCCGCCGTCGGGAGGAGAGGAGGGTTTAGCGTCACTGCTCCGGCGCCGTTCAGCCGGGTTTAAGTTCCAGATCTGGACGTTGAAGCCCTCGACTCCGACTGTCCAGCAAGAAAAGTTTCTCTCTTTCTCTGTTTGGCTTTCAACCGTGAGGCGTGAGCTCTGTCTATGTGTTACAGTCTCTCTCTCTTTCTCAGCTTTAAACCGTGAGTTTTGTGCGTGTGTTACGGGTCAGTCTCTCTCTTGTTTAGCTTTTAACCGTAAGGCATGAGCTTTGTGTGTGTGTTACAGTATGTATATCCCTCCCTCTCTCTGTTTAGCTTTAAACCATGAGCTGTGTGGAATTCGCATGAAACAAACACACACACAAATTTTGTGCTTCAAATTCGAAATCCTTTGAAAAATTATTCAAAATTCTTTGAATCAGCTGAAAATCACATGTATAAATTGGACATCTCATTTGAAAATTCTTTCTTTTTTATTTTTCCCCTTCCCCGTAGCTGAACAATTGTTTTCTTCAATAAAATTTTCTCTTTCTTTGGAAAAAAAAATAGATCGCGTTTGTTAAACGTATTAAACATGAGATCATGTTAAACAGGTTATGTTATATGTAAATGTCATATTTAATAAATGTGTCAAATAGGTCAGATTTAGGGAATACGTTTAATGACCAGGTCAAATTAATATTTATCTTCATACGATGATTAAATATGTTAAGTTTGTGTTTAGGATTTTCGACACAAAATGACTTAATTTGACACGTTTGACACCTTCTGAGAAAGTTTATGGTATAATTTTTTTTGTTTTTATATTGTACTAAAAATTATAATTTTTTATAGTAAAATTGTACTTTTAAAAAGAGAAGTTATAACTATTTAAATAAATATTATGATTAATCATGATTTTCCTTTAATTGGTTGTAATTTTTTGTAAGATGTAACTTAGACTTTTAAATCGATTACGAGATCCATTATCGATCATATTTTTATAAATTAAAATTTATATCTTAAAATATCATAATTTTTGGTATGACCCCTTCTCCTCCAAAAATAAACTGTGAGAGCAACTCTAAAGGGTGTTGTCATTTTGAGGTGTCAAATTATTTATTTGTAATTTTGAACAATATTTTGACACTTTTAAATTATAAATTTGTTTTAATGACATTTGCCAAAATAGAGTATCGTTTTTATATTTTTATTCACTAATCGTATGAAAATATTTATACATCTTCGTACGATTGTCTCGTGTTTTTATTCATTAATCTATACGAGACAACTGGCGTTTGTTTTTTTTCCAATCAATTGTTGAACGGAGGAGAGGAGAGGCGAGCCACACCATTAACCATTCTAGAGAAATAAAGTTGATGACCAGCTGAAAACATTTTAAATCAAAGGAGCTTAGCTGCACCTGCACCTGCACCTGCATCACTGTTAAATCAATCAATGTTAACTAACTCTTTGAATTAAATTTAACGATGTAAATGATGTGATATATTCACACACAAATTAACATAAACTGTGATCGAAAAATTCTCCTTAAATTTGAGGTATTAAATCAAAATTACGATTCGTTGGACTCAAGGACATTCTCAATTCAAAATTAAATTGACAAAACGACGTCGTTATTGTCCTTGTCCTAGTGTCCACTACCCGTAGCCAATACGTTGTCGTATGTTTACTTGGAGCTACCATCTACGAAGTGTCGCCCTAAATAAGCCGAGTCTGGGTCTCACTTTTCAGCGCCTACAGCAGAGAGAGAGAGAGAGAGAGCAGAGTAATGGCGAAGAAAGAAGAAGATGGAGATGTACCAAAAAAAAAAGAAGAAGATGGAGATGAAAACAAGGACAAGGAAGGGAACAATCTGCTGGGCCCGCCGACCTTCAAGAAACTTGAGAATGGCAGGTTCAAGTGCGTGGAGACGGGCCACGAATTGCCGAGCCACGCCAGGGACTCCTACGCTCAGAGCAAGCATTGCCGTCTGGGCCTCATCGACGCCGCCTTGGCCCGAAACAAACCTCCTCTCAACATGTTCCAACAAGACCCTCAGTCCCGGTAATCCACCTAATTTTCTTCTCTCTCTCTGTCTCTCTCCTCTTCAATTAGGGTTTAGGGTTTAGAAACATTATACGGTCATTATTATGACTTGATTCTGTCGTCACAGAGAAATTTCTTTTTGTTATCTCAATGTTGGTGCTGAGTTAGTGTTTGATGTGGGCTTGTTGTAGTTCGAAGTTAATTTGTAAGCTAACAGGAGTTACCATCAATAAGTCTGAGGAGCATATATGGAAGCACATCAATGGGAGGAAGTTCTTGATCATGTTAGGTTTGTATTCTTGCTATCATTGAAGCTTTCAATTCTACGTTTTAGTGTATGACTTGTCACAGGAAAATATGGGAATCTAGATGTTCCTATTTGAAAGGTTCGCCTGTGTATTGCTTATAAATGGTCATTTTACCAAAATGGGGACTCTCGTAAACAGAGAAAAAGGAAGCTGAAAAGCAAACACCCAATGGAATGATAGGTGAGCAGAATGAGGTGGCACAAGAGAAGAAATCAAAGCCTAAGGCAGATGGTGCAAAGAAAAGAAAGAATAAGAAAGAGAAAAATGTTGGACAAATTGCTCAAGAAGCAAGGGATTCTTCTGATAAGGAAAGTGATTTGGGAGAAGCTGAGTTCTGGATGCCTCGGGTGGGAGAACGTTGGGATTTTGAGGATGGAGGAGATCGCTGGGGTTCTGGGTCAGAGGTGGCTCCAGAAACTGATGGTGGTGATGGAGAAGGTATGATTCATCAGGACCCTTATGTTATTCTATTGAATGCATCTTCAGCTGGATTGGATTTGATATTAATTTAAATTACTTTGCGAGACAATTATAGCCAATTGTCTAAAATTTTGAACTTTTACGAGTGTCCCGGTTGCATTACAGCTAATTATTCAGAGGAATTCACTGCTCGTCATAGATTCTAAATTTTGCAAGAATGACTTGATTGCTTTTTGCAACCTCATCTCATCAGATGATTCTTACAGGGGAAGAACTCATCAACTGAGCTTCACTTTTTGTACAAGGAAAAATCTCGCACCTTGTGCTATTGACTATGAGGTTCAGATTTGACTGGAAAATAGAACAAAATAGCAGTACTTCCTTTTGAAAAACGAATAAAATGCTTAGTAATGGTTATGAGATGAATCGAATAGACTTATTACAAAGAGAGTGCATACCTTTGACTCAAGCATTACCTGGTATGTATAGTGTCACGTGGTGTCCTTTTTGCTAGGGTTTCTGCCGTTGATTACACTAAGTGACATATCTATTCTTTTGCCGGGTTATCCTTAATTGATGCTGAAATATCTTTCAACATCTTTTCTCATTCGTCTGTTTTTTTAAGGCATGTTGATAATGTTAACCTATGATTTAGGTAACTTCCTTGTCAGTTTAACACCATCTATGACTTCTCGGGATCACACAGAAATTCTCCAACCATCCAAATTAATCTTTTGTTGAAGCCGAAAAAGTTCTGCAAGGTTGAAGATTTTCATCTATGAATTTGGAATTATGTAAAGAGGAAAGGAAAAAAAAAATAGCATTGTTTTATCAGCTAAGAAGTTTGACCAGGGAGTTCAAACACTCTTGGATGTTAAAAGTCAATGGAACTCCATATTCCATAAGATACTATGAATGCCGGTGTCAATGTGATTTATATTTTATCACAATTGTCTGGATAATCATGGTTTATTGTTTTACTGCCAGCAATTGACTCGATAGATTCAAGCCAATTCATAGAAGCTCATGATTTATTTTCTTTCTTAACCTTTGCTTCATTAATTCTAGGATTTTGCTGCCAATTGTGTCTTGCTTGACATCTACTTGAACATTGCTTGAATATAGCTATCTACTCCAAAATTTATTCTTATAAATTTTGATGATATTTTTTCATCAGATGGTGCAACTGAAGATTGTAACAATAATTCAAAGGAGCTTTCAAAGCGGTAGGTTGCTTAATTCTGCTGTGCTTTTAACAACCTTATCTTTAGGAAAACATGCAATTTTATTGTTTTGAGGGTCTACTGTTTCTTTGCTTTGCAGGACAAAGCGAATGTCCATAGAAATCGGACCCAGTAGCTTTGCTTCAAGGAAGAAGAAGAAGAAGAAGACCACCTCGACAAAATAAGGGTGCATTAAACTGATTTTCAAAGCCATCAAGGAACTGCAAATTATTTATACTGAGGTCATCTTTACTTTGAAATCGAGGCCATTTGTAGCATTGAAGATGGACTGTGAGGGTTGGGAACTTGGGATGTGCATTTTTAGTCTGTACGGAATATTTATTTTGGCTCTTTTGGGTGGTGTAGATTTATTTTTCTTTTGGTACTGTGTAGAACTAGCAACAAGATCAATAAAATCTTTTTTTTTTTTGTTCAACAATCAAGGGATTTGACTTAGTTTACACGAACTTCGATTAATTTTTTTTTGGGTCCAGTAAAAGGTAAGTCATTCATGCTGATACTAGAGTTTTCATGAGGAAGTCTAACATTAAAGAATTGTTAATATTTGAATTCAAGATGTTTTAGTTTACCGTTTGTTTTTATTATTACTTGAATTATCCTAAATGTTAATAAAATCTTCAAAATAACTATCTTTGTTATTATGCGTCATGGATTATGCATGTTTAGTATAAGTGTTTGCAAATTTGAAGAAATGGTTTTAAATAAAATTTTAAAATTAAGGGTGTGATATGAGATAGTTTTAAATTTGAGGATAAATTGAGGTATGAAATTTTGGAAAGAAAGAAAAAAAAGAAAGTCATATTTAGGAGTAATTTTGAACATGATGTGATGTTTTAATATGATAGTGATACAAAATCAATACGGAATAATATGATAGTATTATTAAGAGAGAATTATACGTTACACCCTAAAATATTTAGAAAAAATTTAGGTGTAATTTTCAACGTCACGTTTTAATATGATAGTGATACAAATATGATAATATTATTAAGAGAGAATTATAAGTATTTTTAGGTGTAATTTTCAACATCACGATTTAATTTGATAGTGATCTAAATATGATAATATTATTAAGAGAGAATTACACTTTATACTTTAAAAGATTTAATAATTTTTATTTTATACTCTTAAAAATTATTATTTTTATTACACTCTTAATATATTAAAAGGATTATAACGTGTCCTTGTTGTTAACTTGTATTATTCATTTTATTAACGTTAATAAGGTGATTTTTATGGGAATGAACAATAGAAGTTAACATTAATTTTTTTTTATTGTAATACTTTTAATAAATTAAGAATATAATAAATTTTAAAAATAAAAAATAAAAACGTCTAAATCGATATTTTTTTAACGTAGAGCCAACAAACAGATCACACCGAAAAGAACACTATTGGGCATGTGAATATCATCCTATTGGCTGCTTGACGTGTGGATTCCAACTCTCTCACTCTCATCCAACCAAACTCAAATAATTTCCCACCAAATAAAAATTTATTATTTAATCTCAACCCCAATCATTCAGCCCAGAAGCTTCCACGTGCCAAACTCGTTCTACCCTCGAAAGCACCCAAAAAACACCTATTTCAAAAGGTTGTGTTACTTTTTCATGTCCTTTTAATGGAATCGCCACTGAATTTGTGTAACATAAGCAAGGTGTGAATGCAAAGTACCAGAAACCAAGGTGTGAACGCAACATCTCCAATAAAAATTCGACAGAGAATCTATTTCCCGCCACCGAGGTTTGTCTCTCTCTCACTCTCTCTCTGCAGCCTTTTTCATCGATTCAACTCTCAAAATGACTGTATATTTATGCACACGTGATTGTTATGGATGAAATTGAGACGAGTTTGTTGAAGGACAGATTGATAGGTTTCAGATCTTGAAATGCTGGTTAACTTTAGTGTTTGTTTGGCGTCCAAGCGGTTCTGCTAAACTCGCCGTTGAATTTAGGGTTTTTTTTTGGGGAGCACCGAGAGTCGGTGTAGATCGGGGGAGGACATTGGTTTTGACTGGAATTGCTAGGTTTTCTTACATCTGAAGTTATTAATTCATTTACGTTTTCCATTTGGCACCTTTATAAAACTATAAATTGTTGCGTGTGTGGATCTCTTTCTCTGCCCCATGTGACACCGCGTTTGTTTGTTCATTAATTTGGAATTTTGTTCATTTTTAGCAAAATATCTAGTAATTGACAGGTGTAAGTAATTGTTATCAAGTCGGCGATTTTGAAGCTTCTACAATTCTTCTCTAGCCGCCTTACTTTCTAGGTTTGGGGGAATCTCCTGGCTTTCATTGAATGCCTATTTAGACCTTTAAGACTAGGTCATATTTATGTCTATTTATATATTTGTGTTGATCTAGAGGAAGCGAAGCTTAATCTCTGAATTCAAATTGGTGGTTGAATTTAGGTTTTTCTTTCCTTGGGCTTTTGTACTAGGTTTCAGGGTGATTGGTTTTGAAAGGTTAATTTGATTTGATTTGTTGTTTTTGTGAAGAAGTGAGGTTGGGTTTGTTGAAAATTGTTTAGTTTTTTTTAGGTAATTGACTTGATGGGAGGCAGAAGTTCAAGGGAGGATAGTAGTTTGAGGCGGCAATCTTCTTCTCTTCGGTCTACAACTTCGTCTTCGTGGAATCAATACGAGTATCCTCCATCATCATATCCTCAGCCAGCCTATCCTCAAGACAATCAGAACTACGCTCCTCAGTACGCCTATCCGGCTTATCCACCGCAGCAGCAGTACAACCCCCCACCTCAAAATTATGGGGGTCGATCACAGGACGTGCAGAGGAATCATTTTCCTGATCCGCAGAGGAAGCTTGACAGGAGGTATTCGAGGATTGCCGATAATTACAGTTCCTTGGTGGAGGTATGATCATATGCAGTAGTGTTGTATCTTGGAATCCTCTTACTTCATACTTGACCATATTTTAGACAACTTGATGGTCGCTTTGAAGATTCTGGCAAAACACAATGTAATTAGTTAGAGTTGTACTTTGAACTGCTTATTAAAATGCTTGCTAAAAAGAAATTTTGAATCAGTGATTAGACCTGGCTTATGACTGTCATTTAGAGTATCGTAATCAAATAACTAAGAATTTTGTATCTGCATTTAACTATTACATGATGTTATTGCATGCTTACATTGTGAAAAAACTAAAAGTTTGTTTCACTCTGGATGAAAACATTGCAGTTAAAATATACCACTTCTTGCATGATATCTATCAGTGACTGATCTGATGGCTCCGTCTTTTGTTGGCATTACATGATCCTGCTGTAGTTTGCTTCTTGTTGTGATTTTGAGATAATTTATAGTGATTACTTATTGGTGGTGTACAATGATAATTGGATTTAAATAATTCTTTGCAAGCTGGTTAAGTTCTATTTAGACCTTGTAAAGCAATACCAAAAAATGCTACGGGGATGAAGCTGTTGTCAACTTTGTTTCTTCTGTCTTTTTATGACACAAAACATTAAGGCACTAGAGTGAATAATTTTCGAAGATAACCACTTTGCGCACAGAACTTTAGAGGTAGCTGCAAGCTACCATGTACTTGTGGCATTGTTTAGTTTCTGTTATAGCAATAGTTCCCCAGAAGTTGGGGAATTTAAAAAATATGTTAGTCAAATTTTTTTGGTTTCTGATATGAAGAAATTTGGTTTCTGTCTCTGTTCTTTTTTGTTGTAAATTGTAATTTTGTTGATTATTATGATCGATACAGTTGTCCTACGATGATGAAATTTTGTTTTCCCTGTCATTTTTGTCTTCTACTATGATTCTTTCCTGATGACATTCAGTCTGTGCATTTGTCCTATAACAAAGAGTCAGAATATGTGACAGTACGATCTTTGCAGGTGACTGAGGCTCTTGCACGTGCTGGCCTTGAGTCGTCCAATCTCATTGTTGGTATTGATTTCACTAAGAGCAATGAATGGACAGGTTAAGACTTGATCCTTTATGCTTATCTGACAGTTCCAACTTTCATTATAATTATAGTGAAAGATGCTGAACTTGGCTTGATAAATAGGTGCAAAGTCATTTAATAGGCGAAGCTTGCATCACATTGGAGATTCTTTAAATCCCTATGAACAAGCTATATCTATTATTGGGAAAACCTTAGCTGCTTTTGATGAGGACAACTTGATACCTTGTTATGGTTTTGGAGATGGTAACGTATCGCGAGCTAATGACTTTGTTTAGAAAGATTTCTTAAATCAGCTTTTCAAATTGTTAAAATGATTAGAAATTTGTTGTTTAAAATTTGGCAGCATCGACACATGATCAAGATGTCTTCAGTTTCTATCCTGATGACAGGTTTTGTAATGGGTTTGAGGAAGTATTGAGTCGGTACAGGGAAATAGTCCCTCATCTAAGACTTGCAGGTTTGTATGCTACTCAGCATGTTTCATTTTGCAGATTGTTAATCTGCCTTTCTTTTTCCAGCTTTATTATTCGTCTATTTGAAGCTAGGTAGACTGGATCTTATGGAGTTTAGGTCTCTGTCTGATTTTGCTGCAGGACCGACATCATTTTCACCGATCATTGAAATGGCCATGACCATCGTTGAGCAGAGTGGTGGCCAGTATCATGTTTTAGTAATAATTGCAGATGGGCAGGTATTTCCTCTTAATTGCACATGGGACCTCTTTATAGTAAGTATTATAGGGTAACACATCTAATGTTCAAAATGAAGAAGATAACTTAAATTGTGGCCACTTGCTGGTATATACTCCGTTAATAGTTGTCTGGCTTTGGCCCTGGGGCACGTCATCCTTTTGAGGATGGAAGGTGAAAACATGGGAACGGGGGCTAGAGATTCTTATATCATCTCCCATAGTATTAAAATAAAAAAAGAAATATTTGCTTTTGCTATGGATTTGCGCCTCTTGTTGGTATTACTCGAGGGGCAAACATCATTGTCACTTGATTACACTGCTATTGGATGCCAAGCATTGATCTTGATTGTGATCTTGGAAGGTAATTGACAGGGATAAAGATAACACTATTTCATTAATTGACAGGGATTAATGAAGTAGTGTCATAAAATTGCCTTTCTGATATAGATATGAAATTTTCAATTGTAGTCCTGGATTGGGCTTGGAATATTGGGTTGTAGCACATATATGTTTGGAAAGATTGCTGCACTAGGAGTCACTTCCATCGTATAACATCTGACATAAAAAAGTTGCCACAGGTAACTAGAAGTGTTGATACTGAGCGTGGTCAGTTGAGCCCACAGGAGCAGAAAACTGTTGAAGCGATTGTAGAAGCAAGGTGATTGGATGTAACTTGTTCTCTCCTTTTTTGTTGTTGCTGTACTCACTCTCTCTCTCTCTCTAACGTGCTGTTTTGTATTTCTTAATTTTTTTGCAGCAAGTTTCCTCTATCCATTATTTTGGTTGGGGTTGGAGATGGGCCCTGGGATATGATGAGGGAGTTTGATGATAACATCCCTGCTCGGGCCTTTGATAATTTCCAGGTAGGTAGTTACAACGAAATTCTATACCGCCTTATTCATCAATGCCCATTATTATGTAAAAATTGGGAAAGGCTTGACTGAAAACTCTTCTTTTTCAGTTTGTCAATTTTACTGAAATCATGGCAAAGAATCTGGCCCAATCCCGAAAAGAGACAGAATTTGCTCTTTCAGCATTGATGGAAATACCTTCTCAATATAAAGCAACGATAGAGTTAAACGTATTGGGGTAATAGACAATTTATTCTAATTGTCTAGGCTATTGGATAAATAATTTTCATCTGCCATCCATTATCCTCTCTTTTGTTGATTGCAGATCAAGAAAAGGAAATGCTCCAGAGAGGTTTCCTCTTCCCCCTCCTGCATATGTTGCAGCTTCTTTTAGTAGTGCAAAGCCTTCACTTTCTACTAAGAAGCCAAGCTCACCTCCTTATTATGGCCAAAGCATTGATACAGCTCGAAGTTCATCTCATTATTATGGCCAAAGCGTTGACACAGCTCCAAGTTCGTCTCATTATTATGGTCAAAACACTCCTGTTGGCACAGCTCCACCAGCTCCAAGTTCGTCTCCTTATTATGGTGAAAGCACTCCTGTTGCTCCAAGTTCTACATATGACAATCAGGTAACGCAGGGGATTCTTTGTTTTTCCCATTGTGCTCCAAATTCTATTTCTTTCTTCAGGAGCTCACATATATTATCATGATTTTTGACTTTTGAGTGTTGGAAATGTTGATAATGTTTTTTTTTTTTTTCCTGGTTCTTGTACAGCTTTGCCCCATTTGCCTTAGTAACTCGAAGGACATGGCCTTTGGTTGTGGTCATCAGGTAAAAATCTGTTTGTACAAATTTTGAAAATGGAAGGTGAAATATCAATATCTAAGACACTTCCTCGGCTCCTCCTTTTTCTTTTCTTTGCAGACATGTTACGACTGCGGCCAAGACCTTCAATTGTGCCCCATCTGTCGTAGTCCAATTCAGACCAGAATAAAGCTCTACTAACTAATTTCTTTGATACACGTGTATTTCTCTTGACGAGTGCAAATTATCTATAATTCGTTACTTGGTGGAAATGGGTTAGGTTTGTGAATTGGGATAGATTTTCTTAGATCTGAGAGTGTGAAAAGGGAAGTCATCATCCTCTGTACATTTTTCCAGATTATTCTTTATCTTTTTATGCTGTTAGCTTCATAGTTCTCACACAAAGAAGCTTAACAAGATGCAGATGGAAATTGCTGGTAGTGAATTTTTTGTGTAATACGCAGATAGAGATGGAGATACAGGTGCGTGAATGTGACCGAACGTTTGGTGCGGGCAATCGTTACTTTGTAAAGGTTTGTTAGGATTAAATGAAAGTCTAGCTGGTGAGATTTGTTGGTTTGTGTATTCAATCATTGCCGACTGTGGCTGAAATGAATCATGGGTTGGAAAATGTTGAACTATTGATATTTTCTTTTTGTATGTTAAAAACATACACCAATAAATTACAACCGGGATTAACAATTTAATATCAAAAGACAATAATATTTTCCACTTTTTTGATATTTTTTTCCTAAATATCTCGTTCAAATTTGAAAACTACTTTGATTTAGAGAAAGGGAATCGAAATTGATTGATTTAAGAAAACGGAATATAACAAAAATATAATTTAATAAGGGTACAAAAGTTATTTTCACGGGTTATTTATTTTATTAAAAAGATTTGGTTTTCAATGGCCAACATTTGAGGAACTTCCAACTGATTCTGTTTGATTTTAATTTTTTTTTTTTTGAACTGGAGTATGATTTAAAATTACTTGGAGCTATATGCAAGTCTGAAAAGTATAAAACGGTGATGTGTTACTATTCAAAATTAAGGAGAAAAAATTATAATTCAACTTTTAATGAATTATAAAAGTCGTTCTATCATGATGCATACCACCACCATAAACAATATTAATCATTTTACATATCATGCTGGCATCAATTGTGTTGTGTGTACCTTTGTATCTTCAAAATGCGTACATGTCCATTCCCCTCTCTTATTTGTAGACCAGAAACTTGCTGGACGTTGCTCACTTGCCGGAGCACTGGGAAATATAGGACATGAGCTCTGTTCAAAATCATCAATAGAGTAGTAATCTTAAATATTGATGCAAAAAGATAGTCTATCAGTGTATTTCCTAATTTCTTATTTCAGGATCCAAAGCTCCTGATAGCGCATCTGCGAAAGCAGTTAGCCTGCATTATGCAGCTCCCAGGTTCACCTGCTAGTTACTAACCTCACATGATTTCTTGATATACAGCAGATGACAATGCACCAAGTTCAACAAGATGAATATATTAAAAAATCACACGAAACATCCTGTTGCTAACAAAATAGTAGTACAAGGATTATAAGACCCTGCCCACATATGCTAAAAAACAAATATGTATTGGCAGCTTCCATCAAATTTAATCCACTATAGTGTAGTATCAAAGTTAATATAGGCAATCTTCAAGCATTCAGATGTTCAATGCAACCAAAGTCGGACTTTTGTCAGTTACATTATGCATGACTCAGTCATTTCACACGCACAACTTTAAGTGATCTGTACATTTCATGTTCAACACAAATTGCATGGTAGTGGTAAGGGTGGATTCATAAAAGTGATTGGCCAAACGGAAATAAGATGTGGAGAAGATGTGATACAGATTTTAACATCGACTCCACTGCAATCAGTTGCAGCATCCCCCTCTCTGGGCTACTGCTCCATCTCTTGCCCCAGCCGGACCTTGTGGCCGTCCATATCCAACCTTGATGCCAGATGACTGCAATATCCACCCCAAAAAAAAAAAAAAGATTACAATGAGATGTCTTCCATTTTGAATGTGCTTGTACCCCTATTCTTCTTACATACAATAGTCATGAAGGTGGACATATTTCAACTGACAAGAAACCATCCTAAAATGTCCTGCACTCAAAATGTACCCAAGGTAACTTCAATGTCCAACATAATTTTTTTCCCCTGATGCTTCCTTTTCTGGTTGATTTGCCTCTAAAGTACAAAACTAGAATGTGAATCAAAACAAAGTCCAGATAAACAGATTCACCGGTATCAACATCATAGGAAGGGCAGTGCCTCGTTTATGCAATTAGTACACGTCAAAGTGTGCACAATGTGGAAGTATGAACAGTGCAATGTTTTTATTGGAGATCTGGGTTCCTCTGGATAGATACCAATACGACAAATGAGGACAACTATTTGTTCCAAAATAACATGGTGCAACTTCAGCTCACATAGTGCTTTACCTCATTTGATACATCAAATACACCTTCCTGGATCTTTTGAAGTATCTTTGCAGCCGTTTTTATAAAGGCCTGTAAGACATTATGTTATGTGGTTAAATATTAGAAGGAAATTTGATACAGCAGAAAGGGAGACTTCTCAACATAGAAACACATTTAGGTTTGACTGCAAGTGAAAAATATTACCTCCTCAACATTTTGGGCTGTTCTTGCAGATGCCTCCAAGAATAAAAGCCCATTTTCCTTTGCAAATTGTTCCCCTTCTTCTTTGCTGACAGCCCTTCGATGCGAAAGATCACTTTTATTGCCTATGAGCATAATGGTCATGTTCGGGTTTGCATGCTGCCGTGCATCTTCCAGCCAGCTTGCTAGATGATTAAATGTCTCTCTCCTGAATAAAATATCATCTTCCTAGGTTAAGTCAATGGCACTTCAGATTGTGCAATAGCAGTGAATCCTACCGGAGACAAGAACACAGTAGTTGCCAGCCTGCCAAAGGATAAAAATGTGGAAAACCCAAAATTCTGGCACACAGGCTGGTTGTCTAACCTCTGGGTCAATATATTGTCGTAATTCTCTGATGATTGTGCTATTTAGATGAACATACATAATTTTTTAAAGGATTCTTTAGAAGTGAACCCTGTAAAAGCTAAGCTTGTCTTGGCATGTAAGTTGCAGTTGACCCACCCAAAAGATCTAGAATATGAAGTTGTACTCCAGCTTAATCCAATAATGCTTAACATTCATTTCACATAACTATATTCCAGTCTAAACTAAACAAGGTACAGTGTCCATCCCATCCATTTGTTAAACCATCAATTGCTCTAAAAACTTAATTTGTTAGAGAAGTTGTAACATACGAATATATATACTTCAACACCTCTCTCCCTCCCTTGTGTGTTTGAGAAACACATAGGGGCTCAACTCATGTAGAAGAGTGTCATGACTCGTGTGATGGGCCAATATAACCATTGTGCCAACCTAATGATTGTCAGGTCCAGAGTTAATTTTAAGAGAATGAATTGCAAATCATACTGGGATCAATTCGTTTGAAAAGAGGTGCCGATATTAAAGTTCAAGAGTCAACACATAACAAATTGAACACAAGCACCTGCACACGCACACAAAGACACGCCAGCTCGTGAGTTCACATGCACCTACCTGGTAATGTCATAAACCAGAAGTGCACCAGCAGCTCCTCTGTAGTATGATCTGGTGATGGATCTGAAGGATTCTTGCCCAGCCTGAAATTGAATCATTCAGAGCTTCAATGGTTAAAATACACCGCACCATACACACTAACCCAAAAAATTGCAAAAAATTAGGGGAAGCTGGCACACAAAGCGCATCCTTTCGATATACACACAGAGAGATATAAAATCTATCCATCACTGCTATTCCTTCAACACATTATTCAAGAATTGTTTTAAAAAAAAAGTAGTATGGACCTTGCTAAAAAATAGTTGCATGTTCAGAGTGTTCTAGAATCCACAAACGACAAAATCACGCCAAAAAAGAAAGTAAAAAGTAAAAAACGGCAATAATTCTTGAAATTGAAGACGCTATATTGAGAGAGAGAGAGAGAGAGAGAGAGGAACTAGTAGTAGAAATTACGGTATCCCAAATCTGAAGCTTAATCGGCCTGCCGTCGATGGTGACCATGCGAGCACCGAACTCGACTCCAATTGTGAGATCATGCACCGGTTGGAACCGCTTGTCCGTGAATTGCAACAACAGGCATGATTTTCCAACACCTAATAAACACCAAATTTCGAAAAATACAAACGCCTGTACTGAAAATTAGGGTTTCGTGAATAGAAACAATAAAGCTCGAAGAAAACAAGAATGATCGTACCTGTGTCTCCGATGATTATGTACTTGAATAGATAGTCGTAAGACATTTCCGATACGGATTGGCCGGCGACGATGAAGAAAGGTAACGATGTCTCTTCCAGTGATTGGTGTTGCTCGGGAAGAGTTGAGACTTGAGAAGCGACGATGGATTGACGTACAGATGAAGCCAACCTTTACTGAAAAGGGTCGAAGAAAAAAAAATATATATATATATAGCTAAGGATAGGAAGGAGCACTATAAAGTAATATCTTTACGTATTTAGTTACCGACACGCTTACATTGCTTTTAATTTGAATTAATTTAATTTTTATTTATTTTAATCTAATAATAAGTAATTTTTTTTCACTCAAAAATATTAGTTTTATATATAATCTCTAATATCAGATAATTCAACCAATATACTCTCTAATATTAGATAATCCCATAAATTTACACCTACCTTTCTATTCACTTTAATTTTAAAATATATAACTAAATATTTATTTTTATTTTAAATATAAATATTACATGATGAATATTTAATTTTTAATATTATGGAGTTATTGTTAATAGCCTAATATTATATTTTTAAATCTCACAAGGAATATAGCTTCTTGTTATTATAGAAGAGTGGAAAAAAATAAATTATTATATACATTTTTAACTCATTATAAGTCATGAATTTAAGTACAATTTATCATTCATTTTACAATTTGCATTCTTTCCTGAATTATAGTACTACAAACTTACCATAAAAAGTAGGGTAAATATCACTCACACTCCCTTGGCATTTAGTTTTATTGTATGGACACCCTTTCGCATTTTAAAAATAACACCAAATTCCCTTAACATTTAAAATTTATAACAACTATATCCTCCCCAACTAACCAATGTTAGAATTGTTAATAATCAAAGATGATGTCACAAATAATAATTCTTAGAACACCAAAAATACTCGCTAAAATTAAGTTTAAGAATTAAAATATATATTTTTCTTATCCTACAAATTTATCCAACCTCTCATTTATTTTTTTTAATCTATATATTTCATATACAAATTAAAATTTAACACTTAAATGTTAAATTTCCTAATCTATCACATTAATAAGTTAAATATTAAAATTTGGGATTATTAGTACAATTTAAAAATTAACCAATTTTTTAAAAATCATAATAATTACTTATGCAATTATCCCATATTAATTTTTTTTCTTTATTATTTATTCAATTACATAAATTCTTACTCCTGTTGCCCTTCACCGTCGATTCCACGACCTACACAGATGTCTAAACTCACCCAACACCACCAATATAGAGAAAGAGAGAGATAGAGTGGGAGAGAAGAGAGACTAAAACTACAACCCATTAAAACCACCTCCACCTTTACTTCCACTTTCGAAACCACCACTTGGACCAAACCCATCACCAACCACCTTTGTTTAGGATCCTTCTCATCCATAACATAGCCACCATTGCATCGCCACCAACAAAGTAACACACACCAATAATCATCACCACCCATCACAACAGAAACATCCACCACCATAGAAATGCCTCAAATTTGAAATAAAAGAGAGGGGAGTTAGGGTTTCAAAATCACCCGCCATCGCATTATATTTGAAAGACAAAGAGAGAAGAGTTAATTCCGTTGCAGAGGTTAGTTTCAAAATCATCCAACATTGTAACACCTCCTAAAGTGACTTTGTGGGAAGCATAGAGAGATAGAGGGAAAATTTGCGTATAGAGAGAGAGAGAGAGAGAGAGAGAGAGACATGGTGGCGACTGTGAACAATGAAGTTTGGGGGATGGTGCGAGTGAAGAGGGAAAAAAAGGGTGGTGATGAATTTTTGGTGCTGCGTGCATATAGGGTTCTAGGTTGTGGGTCACAAATCATGAAGTTGACTTGGGCATGGGGCGATGGGTTTGTATATGGACATGGATTTGATCAATTATTTAAGGGTAAAATAGTCCTTTAGTAATTCTGTTAACGTCGTTCACCTATTGGGGTCTCAAATGTCATTTTAAAAATATGAGGGGGTGTTTGTGGGTCCTAACATTAAAGTATCACTATGTCCTAACACTATCAATCTAATAATCATAATGTACTAAATTCTCAAATTATGTCTCTAAATTTTGTCCCAATAACATTAATGTTTTACATATATCTTCTTCCATACAAAAAGATATATTTGAGTTAGTAGATTAAGGAGTGAGTTGGCCACTAATTTACTAACAAGAGACTAAGAGTGTGTTTGTTAACCCAAATTCAACATTTAAAATAAATGTATTTGACATTAATTAATTAAGCTCGTTTGATAACTAAAATTTTAACTTTCTTAATATGTTAAATGTTCCTTTAAAATATGTTACAATATTAAGTAAGAGATTTCTTACTTAATTCTAAAAACTGAAAGTGTTCAGTAAAATCATCTTTAATATTATGACAATTATACCCCAAAATATTTTATAATCTTATTAAAACTCTAATTAGTATTCTCTCCAAAACCATTAGCCTATTTATCTTCCTTGTCAGTCATCTTCTTCTTCTTTTTCTTCGCTCGTCTACTGCAAATAAATATGTTGAAACACACATATATTCACTGCGCGCACGCACATACACACCCAATTACACCCGCCCACACACGCACATGCACACATAAACAAGCATTGTACACACACCCAAATCACAAAATTGTACACACACACACACACATATATTATTAATGAGATTTAATTTAATTTATTTTTTAATTCGATTATTTATTCATTTGTATCATAATTGTAATTTTTAAAATTTATGACAATTGGTAGCTATAAATGATTAATTTAACTTAAATTAATTTTATTATCATGTTTGTTAAATGTAGACTACAATATAATAATAGTGATTATGATTTATGTTATGAATTAAATTGATTTAATATATTTGTCATTTTTTATTAGATAAAATCATATTTTATAAAAAAATTTAAATTAAATAGTGAAAGGGTAAAACTGAAAATTAATTTATTTTCAAACGTCAACTCTATTTAATTATCAAATATTTTTGGTTTAATTCAGTACTTAAATTTTAGTGTATACCAAACAATCCACAAATTTAACATTCATCTTTCAACTTTCAGTTTTTAGACTTCAAATTTTAGTTTTAACAAGCACGAACTAAGACTACAATACAATTTTTTTTTTTTTTTTGGGTGGTTTAAGAGGGAACCTCAGTCACTTAGACTCCCGAATAAAAAAAAAAAGCTAGAAAGGTCAGCGTTCATAACAGATGCCAAATTGCCTGTAGAGCCCAATAAATAATACAATTATAAAATATAATCTAATTATGTTATCGAGTTAACTGACAGGCTAATGGGTTTCTTAACGGGTCGGCCTGCCGGGCCCCCTGCCCTAAAAAACATGGCCTAGGCCTACCCGCTGGAGTAATAGGCTACCCAAATTCTGTCACATGTACAGGCTAGGTGGCCCATTAGTCTGTTGGGCTTCCGGGCCATGGGCAGCCCATTGGACTTTTTGGTGAGGCCTAGGACACAGACCAACCAATCAGTCGGAGATTTACTTTGAGTTTGGGCTATCAGTCTTGCAAAAGCAGCACAATATTCGTTAACCTGACCGTTGAATAATAATTTAAAAAAAAAGACCAAAGGTCTCCCAAGATTTATGTTTTGGATGAGGTTATGTTAGAATAATGTTATTTAAATTTAATTTATTCTTATTAAATATTAAAATTTGATAATAGTTCAACGATTATTATAAAAACACACCATTAGGTCAGCATATTACTCCGTTATGCTAACAATGATTTGTCAATATTAATTTATGTTATTTATAACTAAATGGATGTTCACAATAATAAATTTAGAGAATACTATAATAATTTAATGAAGTAAAATAGTATAATAAGATGATTCTTCAATTACCATGTTTTAATTGGATTAAAAGAAAAGAAGGGGGGAGTATCCAAAAGTAACCCATTTCTTTATTTTGAGAATCTCCCAATAGCAAAAAGATGGTACCATCTTCCCATTTGTTTTGTCACTTGGTTTTATTCTCAAGGGTGACCATAGAAAGGATGAAAAGCACAGCTGTTAAAGGTACTACGCAGCAGTAAATGTACTTTTAATATTTTTTTTTGGGTTTAATTGTGAGAATGTTTAGATCAATTTATACGTAACTTGATAATTCTTTTTTTTGAAATTAGAATATTTTATGGAACAATGTTACATAAACTTAAAAAGTAGAATTAAAAAATAGACCTAATAATTATAATTATTGATTTTATTGTGGGTCCCAATATTTATTAGAATCTATTACTTATTCAATAGTTGTAATTATCAAATCTATTTTTTAAGTTTATGAAATATTTTTCAAATTTGAAATTGTATATTTCCTCTTTGACCCAATGATGTGAAACCAATGGATCAATACTAAATTATAATTATTTTGATAAGACTTATAATTAATTCAAAGACCATAATAAATTAGGTCAACAAATTAAACTCAATAACATTACTCATAATAAATTAATCGAGTTAGTATAGAAAACGAATAATTCGAACTTGAGATGACAAACCTGTTGATCTAGTCCTATATGAATTGTTGTTTAATCAAATGACTTTTGATTTGGTTACGTTAAGATGTAGATAAAATAGATTTTTAATGTATGAAACTTATGTGGAGTGGATTAAGAGAGAAGTTAAATGCTGTATGACCCACAAAATTTCTGCCCACAGTAAAAGTGAGTAAGGAACGTAATTGTTACACCAAAGACAGAGATTAGTACTTCGAGATATTTTAACCTCGGTGGAAGCAAAGGAGTTGATTCCATTTGCATGACTATAAATAGGCCAAACCAGATTGCCAAAACATAACAAAAGCAATCAGTCAGTCCATAGTACACCATTCATTTCCCTTCTCTCCAAGTGCTTTCTGCCTTGTCGTCCCTGCCTTTGTTTAGCCCAAAATGGCCCTCACCACCAACCCCAAGCAATTAGCACAAGCCATCACCACCATGCAACCACAACTGATGAAAGACAGCCGATTCATGCTCTCTTCCTCTGAAGACACTGCGATGTTGAGGCTCATTCAAGAGATTCATGCTCATGATGGCCGAGAAATTAACGCTAAATCTCTTCTCAGATTTGTCGAGGACATCTTCTATCATGCAACTGCAATTATCGATGCCATTTTCAGACCGGTATAATATTACAGTCATCCTTTCTTATCATCGCGAACGTCTCTCTATTTTTCGTGATGTTGAAATTTTATTCACATTTTTGTCACGAACCTCTCTATTTCACCAATCTGATATCATTCATGTTGCCGATCTCTAGTAGTTATGGGGGCGTTTAGTTTGGCCTGTTGATGTGAAGTTCATCCCTCTAGAATTGCTAATCAAACTCACATTGTAGGCCATGCAAGGACAAGCTGGAGCCTTGGAGGATATTAAAACTCACCTAGCAGCTGTCTCGATTGACGTGCCTGCTAATCTAGCATATACCATTGATCAAATTTCCTCCGAGGTTATTGTGATTAGATTCTTCGAGTGTGTCTGCACGCGCACGCACACTGTGTGCCTATGTATCTGTGTGACTAATTCTAGTGTTAATTGACAGATAGCTAGCAAGAACACGAGTGGGAGTGATGCACATGCAACAACAATCTCAGTTTTGCAGCACTTGCTAATAAGCTACAACTGGGATGCCAAAATGGTGCTGGCTCTATCGGCTTTGGCTGTGAAATATGGAGAATTCTGCCTTGTTGCCCAGTCTCAGACCATCTCAACCGATCCACTTGCCAAATCGTTGGCAATCATCAAGCAATTGTCCGAAATCTTGGAACATACGAGCATGCTGAAACCCCGGTTTGATGGAATTAAAGTTCTGATTAAAGCCATGCTAGATATTACCAACCTCACTCTCAAGTTCAATGATCTGCCGCTTCAGTACTTCACAACTGATGTACCGGCATTTTCCACCCTCAAGGCTCATACACCCATTGCAGCCTACTGGACCATAAGAGGTGTTGTGGCTTGTATGTCTCAGATTGCTGGCCTGATTGGGCTGGGACATGAGTATGTGCCCGTAACCTCAATTTTTAATTTGTCTGCAAATTACTTACAGCACCAACTTCCTGTGAATTCTTCATTTTGATATATTGCCTCCTTGTGCAAATAGGCAGGTTTATGAAAATGCCATCTTCTGGTTCATGAGTTAGCTGTTGTAACTATCATTGAGGATAATATTGTTTTTTGATAAAATGAACAAAGACCAGAGAAACTAATATGCTTAAATGGTCTTTCAATTACCATCTGCTGATACAATCAGCAGTGACATAATGATTCTCAGGTGTATGCTAATGAATTTTCCAATGCAAAAATGATGATATTGTCATATTGGTTTTAGGTACATGCCATCAACAACTGAATTTTGGGAGCTATCGTCCTTGGCTCACAAGGTCAACAACATACATAGCCACCTCTCAGAACAACTGGATTTGTGCAATAAATATTTAGGTGAGGATGACCCATTGATCGTGTGCTGTTTTCAGCTGCATGCATCTAATTATATGTGTGTGTGTGTGTGTTCGCGTGCTTGTTTAAGCCTAATTAATGAGGTATTATTAATCTTTGCAGATGAGAGAAAACAAATCGAGCTTTATGAAGAACTGATTCGTCTGTTTAAAACCCCACATGTTGACAACATGAAGGTTCTCAAGGCATTGCTTTGTGCAAAAGAAGATCTATCTCCCATTGTTGATGGAGAGACCAAACAAAGGGTATGCTCAGTCTTAAACTCTCCGTCATACCCTTATTTCGGACAAGTAAATTTATTCATAAACCTTCCAAAACTAGACCTCACATTCTGTTTGAGAAAGGGAAAAAAGAGTCGAGTGAAGTCGAGAAGAGTCCACAGTCCAATCGAGATGACTTTCCTTTGAGTTTAAAAAGACGTTCTAAAGCAAATTTATTGCTTCCTGCATGACAAAGCCAGGTTAACATTGAGGTCCTGAGGCACAAATATGTGTTGCTGCTCATATCAGACTTAGACATCCCCATGGAAGAGCTTGCAAATCTGGAAAACATATACCAGTCCCACCACACAAAGCAAAATATTTCATACGAGATCGTTTGGCTCCTGATTGTAGATGATCAGTCTGACCCGTGGACTCAGACCAAGCAAATGCAGTTTCAGGAATTGCGGCGTCCGATGCCATGGTACACCATGTACAATCCTCAATCTATCGAGAAGCCAGTGGTGAAGTTCATTAAAGGGCAATGGAGCTTCAAAAAGAAGCCAATTCTGGTGGTGGTTGACCCATTAGGACAACTTGTATCTCCAAATGCACTCCATATGATGTGGATTTGGGGTAGTAAGGCATCCCCTTTCACAACTGTGAGGGAAGCATCTCTCTGGAATGAAGAGATTTGGAGGCTTGAACTGCTGGTGACAGAGGAAATGGATTCTATGATTCACAACTGGGTATGAGTTTTATAAGTGTATCATATTCATGGATTTTCATACAATTTTGCATTAATTTTCAAGCTTGCGCACATGCACAGATACACACACTTATGATCCCTAAGTTCCACATTGCCCCTTGTATGGGTTAGCCATGAGTATATGAGTTTTAGGATAGGTTTTCCTTATAATATAATTTTTCAGGATGCGTTCTATTACTTGTTATATCAGAGTCTAACAACTCGCTGAATGTAATACTAAACGTAATATAAACTGCGACTCTAAATTATCATAATATAAAGAATGACTTATATACTCCATTAAAATTATCGGTAGTTTTCGGGGGGAAATAACTATGTTGCCTGGCTAATGTCAGTAGATTATGTTGTCGTGGAATATAACTGCAGAGGTGTGGCTCTATCTATATCTTAAAGGTCTAAGCGTCGCACCTCGGTCAAGTATGCGCTTGACCATATTTATATGACCAATTGGGTACTTTTACCTTACAACCGAAGGTTGAATTCCACCAATACACTTGGTGTGGATTTTGCATTTCTTAATTGATGCGTGGACCAAAAAAAAGCCTTTTAACCAAGATTGTCGAAATTCTAGGCTCAGCTAGGCTCAGTTTTTTATGAATAAGAACGTGCTTAATTTTGCATAAAAAATTTATTTGGGTTGTGCTCTCATATCTTTCATTTAAGCTCGGAAATACTTGTCAACAGATATTAAAGGGAATATACATATGCCTATATGGTGGAGAAGACATTGACTGGATTCAGAATTTTACAAGAACTGCACGTAATGTTGCACAACAAGCAGGCATTACCTTGGAAATGGTATATGTGGGAAAGAGCAATCCCAAGGATCGAGTTCGAAGGAACATATTAGCCGTAAAATCAGAAAACATGAGTCGTGCCTGGGATTTGAATCAGATTTGGTACTTCTGGGTAAGAATAGAAAGCATGTGGCAATCCAAGATGCAACTGGGAAAAACCACTGACAATGATCCTATGATATTGCCGGAAATTATGGCGATGCTTAGCTTCGACAGCAGTGATGGTGGATGGGCCTTGCTCAGCCTTGGATCGGCGGACATGGCGAAAGCAAAGGGAAGTAATTTCTTAGCTTCTTTAAAGCAGTTTGATAGTTGGAGAGAGCATGTGCAGACTAAAGGGTTTATGGGGTCATTAAGAGATTACCTCAACACCCTGGTGCAACAAGCTCCACATCACTGCAACAAACTACAGCTTCCGAGTACCGCCGGGCAGATCCCGGAGAAAGTGGGGTGCACCGAATGTGGCCGTAACATGGAGACCTTCGTCATGTACAAATGCTGCAATGAATAATTAACTATATATACATATATATGTCTTATTACTTGTGTGGTAAGTTAAGTTTGCTTGGTGTTTGTTATTTATGGATTGCTTGTTTGCTTGTGGTTTTCCTTTGGATGTGATCCTGGGTTTGTAATAAGGAAAGATGAGTGCTCTTTGGACTTCATCGGTTCCTTAACAATGAAATGTAATAGAGAATAAATCGTTTGTAAACCTTCAATGGTGTTTATGTATTAAAATTTGTTTATGTTTAAAAAAAACTTATTTTTGTGTCTGACAAATTAGTATAATGATGATTTTTAATTGAATATGCTCACTACATTGTTGTATAGAGTGTTAAACTCACTGCAAATGTTATCTCAAATTGTAAACACTAATACTAATTGATTATGTCCCTATGCCTAGTATAAAATGAATAGAGAGTTGGGCCACACAACATGATCAATATGATGATAGTTAAATCTAGCAACTTTAGGAATCACAATCCTTTTTTCCCTTGTTGATTAAATTAAAGTTAAGAGAATTCTTAATGATGATTATAACATGGCGAAAAGTAACAGCCCCGGAAGCAAAAGCATTGCATTGTACATCCACGTTTTTTTTCCTGATGGTAAGGGATATCTGGGTCAATTTATGTATACTACAATTAATCTTTTCTTATTCCAATCAAAAGTAAGTCATTTACTCCGAAACTCGGATATTAATAAGAGATAAATTCCTCATAACTTGAATTCAAGAGGTTGTTAAGATTCAAATTCAAAACGTTTGAATTTATAACTCGTCAATTACTGTTAGAGCAATGCGATCAAGACTTAATTTACTAACTTAATTCACTATAATTTTTAGATTAACTGTGCGTTTCATCAAACATTAGAACTTGATGTTTATCTAATGATTTCAATGAAGCCAAGTCATTAAATTAACAAATTGTCCAAATAAAAATCACAAATGAATAATTAAATAAATTATGTAAAATTTTTAGGGCAGCTGTGCCCTTATAGCTCAGTGGTAGAGCGTCAGTCTTGTAAACTGAAGGTCTGTAGTTCGATCCTGCATGGGGGCATCCAACAATTGCCGTTCCATTTTGTTAATTTGCAACCAATTTGCTAAATCCCAGAAACGGATCAGCCGCCATACACCAATGTCATCTTAAACCCTTGGCATCGTGCTCTGATTTAGAACATCCCCAATTTTATTTTTGAACCAGAAAATCTGTTGAACGAATAATGGTGGTTTTAGAGCTGTAATCCTCCAGAAGATCCGAATCCATACTCGACAATCTTTTTTACATCTGTTGGTCTCTTTTAAACCCTAGTTTTTCTGGGTAATAATTTCCATTTAAATGGCTTCTACTTTCCAAAAACTTCTCAGAAACCAATCAGCCTCAAGAATCATCCCTACTTTCAACAAATCCCAACAGCCTCTTCTCACAAAATCAGTTTTGATTCATCTCTGTGAAACCGAGCAGCCCCAGCACTGCCAGACCAATTTTACTCCCTTTTTGTATCTACCCAGAACTGAGGAATCAAACACTTCTCACTCTCTACAATTTTACCCGAGCTATCCTTTTGGGTTTTTCCTAAACCCTATTTCTTTAACTGGGCTAGTTCAATCCGGAACTGACGATATCGATTCTGCTGATTCGCAGACGATTTGGGCCGACAGTGTCAAGAAGAAGAGGAAGAGGAAGATGAACAAGCACAAATTAAGGAAGCTAAGGAAGCGCCTCAGGAGGAAAACATAGTTAGCTCCATTTGGTGAGAATTGATGCTTTGAGTGGGATGCATTTAGCTTTTTTATTGTTCTAATCAGTTCTATTTTTGTAAAATCCCCTCTTAGTTTGCATTGATAAACATAGAATTTGTTCACTGCTCAATTGAGTTGGCCACTTTTTTTGGGGGAAATAATTTAGATTATTTGTAGTTCAATTTGCTAAAAGAAATTTTGAGTGTTTGCTAACCAATGGAGAAATATGGGAACTATGATCAAGATGTGTTTTGATATGCCCATTTTGGATTGTTTTGTCTGCAATTAATGCAAGTATGTTTGAGAATGTTGTCTTCCAAGATGTCTTTTTAGCTTGCTTTGTGTGGTAATGATTTTCTATTTGTCTTTCACCAAAGTTATGTGCAGGCTATAGTCTTAGGCTGATGTAACTGTAGAGCAGCAGCCAGTTGTGTGCCTGTACTGAACTAGCATCTATGTGGTTGTTTATGTGGAAGAACCTCTAATATTAGTAGTCTTAGGTGACCCAAAAAAAAATTAGATATGAGAGTTATTGATTGTAACCGTATCCTGTAATTTTCATCAGAATAAAAAATGTCACAAATTTTCAATGCATAAAATAAGTCCTGCACACTCACTTCTAAGCTTAAAGATTATATTCGTTTGTGAAATCTAATGTGTGTCATCAGAAATTCCCAATAAACTAGTATTACTAGTAATTTCATAAGATATACGTGTGTAATGTATGTGTGTGAGCATGTGTATATATACCAGTGAAATGGGCAGACCACTTTCTGTAAGTAATTAGAATATTTGTTTTCAATTTGCTTAAAGGAATATTAGTTTGACCACCCTTGGTTACTTTATATGGAGTTGATGCTAGCATGCATGAGATTGTTATGTATTTTAGTGTATGTTTAGCATGTTTTGTGTATAATGCTTATCCTCGTTTATCTTGTACGAATACGTATATAGACTTCATTCATGTTGATATAGATGTTGGCAGGAGCTAGATGAGTACATGTAGAGAACAAGCATATGTGCTATGCTTCTTTATTGTTATTGACTGTATATTTGGGCAAAACTAAAACTGTTTCTAGATAAAGGAGATTGGTAATGCCAGCTCTCATCCTTTGGCCAATTGGCAGTGATTGCATTATAGCAATTTACTTTATAATAGTAAAAAATGATATATAGATGGCACTTGAGAGACTATGGTGCTCATGATTCATGTTCATGATGTATCAATGATTCTCCTTGGAGTGATGACCAGAGGATTGGAGTAAATGTCGCTATGGATCAATTTCTTAATCGGAATTAAAGATATTAGGTGAAGATTGATGTTTGGGTAAGTACTCTAGTATGAGGAGGCATATAAAGTGTGGAGGCATCTGCTGAAGGGAACTTATAATATTGTTGGCTTTGAGGTTATTGCTCATATTTGGGTTTTGAGTTATGATAGGTGTAGTTTGTCTTTTTGGATTCTTAATGGTTGTTCCTATCTTAATACTCATTGAACTGTTCATCATCCACTTCAATATTGATAATTTGGACTCTTTAGGATACTAATAAATAAGGTGCTTGATGTTTTTGGCATTTGCTGGTTGTTTGGGGATGAGAAGAGAAGCATGATCTTCACATATTAAACGATATGGAGTAGAGGTTGTGTTGCTGGTTTTACCTGTATTTGTTTTAGCCAAACAAGTGCTGCATACTTCCACCTTTTAAGGGATGTATGTTACCCTTCAATCATATGGCTTTATAAAATTGTGTTTCTCCAACAAAGTTCACGAAGTTATCCAACTGCCTAATTTACCCGTGTTAGTTTTGCTGTGAGTTCAATTATGTTGGGAAGATGTAAGGTAAAAGATTGTTTGTAATTCGTTGCACGTTTTCCCCTTTACCTTCCGAAAAGAAAAATATTGTTTGTCACTGGGCTTCAAGGCAAGATGTATATATCAGGATTGAGTTGTAATATTCTATAATAGGATTTTAATTGCAGGATGCATAGAATGATTGGTCAGGTCACTTTTCTGTTGGGTGAGTCTATAAAAGAAGGAAGCAGTTTAGGCTTTGATTTTTGGTGGGAAGTTTGGTGTTTCCAGATGGAATATTGTGCTTTGACCAAGGTTAATTTCTGTTTCTTTGAATTAAAACAGTAATTTAAGGTGTAAGAATTTGTGCAGGATGAAAGCTTGCAAGAAGAGGTCATCCATCCTATTGTGGACTGGTAAATCATGTTCAGTCCTCACTCCTCATTCCTCACCCATGTTTCAAGCAGGGTCATGGGTACATTTTAGGTGCTGGGAAGAGGACAGCCCTTAATTTTCATGTACTGTTCGTGATAGAGGAGACAACCCATCTTAGAGCGAGTAGAATTTCACCATCTTATTCTTGACCATTAGCGCAGCCTGCCAATTGTCAGCTTTAATGATTGAGTGGTGTCACAATATAAACATGGACATGTTTATGGCTGAAAATCTAATGATCCTTTTGGCCATGTGTTACAACATGGTGGGTGGCACAACACTAAATAATTGCTTACATTACGAGACGGGGAATTGATTCCTATACCTATGGGCTCAGGTTTCTTCCTCCTCTAGTCAGAATCAAGATAGATCCTCTCGAAATTGTGATGCCTTCGGCCCATTTCTCAAGAGTTTTTCGCTCCTTTTAATCAAGGGCGTGCTTATGAATGGTTCTAAAATGACATTCTATTCTGTCTCATCTTTTCCCGTCTTCCTGGTGTCGTCCTGGTTCGTGGTAATACTATACTTTGCAGTCTGCAGATGACACCATATTTTTTCATGATCTATATCATGCGAATTTTAACAATCTTAGGGACAATTTGTAGGATGTCTGAGAGACCTAGCAATTCCTAGAATTAACGAGATGATTGCCAAGGAACCATCGAAAATGTGTGTTTTCCAGAAGGAATCTTCAATCTATCTACCTGCAGACATTTACCAATCACCCCATTGCACCAACAGGAAAGAAAATACAATCAAATCGAGTGAGTGAGACCCACCACTTCTGTTATCTTTTCTTCTGTTGGAGCCCATCATGTCACAGACATCTGTTCATACTCTCAAAGGGCCTCATGCCTTTTTGTTCTCTAATCATATCAGTTGCTATTTAGTCAATTTTCCGCCTAAGATTAGGGGCCATCCATTTGATCTTGCGCGATTCAATGCTTGGTCTTGAGATTGTGGGTCCTCAGCATATATATGCATATTGTGTCTGGACACCACACTTGGGGACCACATATCTTATACAATCACAATCGTTAAATATTTAATAAATTTTTATGGAACTTATTAATCTAATGATCTATATTGACGTGGTGCAGGAAGATAGTGTATATATCATTATTGATAACTTTGTTGTGAGTAAATATTTAATGTAATTGTAACACCACTGATATTACTATCCAACGAGAAAATAATAAGTGGGCAAAATGAATATTATTTTTTTTATGTACTTAAAGTCAATTTAACTTATTTAGGAAGTATTTCATAAAAGAATATTGCATATGATTTTTTTTATTTTTTATTTTATGTACAATGATAGTTTTAGTTTATACCAGGTATAAGAACAGAACTCTTATTAAATCACGACAAACCCATATTGTCTTGATTAGGACCTTTTTAAAACTGTCAACCATGGCCGATATTGGATAGAAAAATTGGCTCCCTTGGCTTTTAGACAGACATGTCAATTTCATATTGACAATAATAAACCGAACCAAACAGTTCCTTTACAGTGAGAGGTCAAAAAACAAAACCACCCACCCCCCCGGCTTCAGAAAATAAGCAGACTTCTTTTTTCACTTTTTTCTTTTAACCTACATGCCAGCACTGTTACGTGGTATAACTATGGATAATCTATGTCTCACCATATAGTATAATGTGAATGATTTTGAAAGGATAATTGGTGATTATTAGATGAGTTTATTTGAGACAGTCGAATGAACTTATTGAAATCTGTTATGTTTTATATTATAAATTATTTAAAAATAAGCAAATAAATATATTAGAGAAAGACTTACAAATTTTAATAACTACTCAATTCATGTAAGATAACAACTATCTATATAAGAATTTATCACGGCCACATGACAGTGTTAACGTGGTGTAACCGTTGTATTAAATATTTTAATTATCGATACATTAAGGTGTTCGTGCAATTTACGACCAAGTGTGCATATTTTTTTCTTTTATACAAATATGTATTCGTTCATTTATTTTAATTACAATGTTAAATCGATTGATTTATAAAAGTTTAATTAATTATTTTTAGTATAAATATGGTTTAATAAGTTATTATACTTTAAAATTTTATTATAATTAAAATATAAATTGTAAGATAAGTTGTTGAATTAATCGGGAAAAATATATTTGGGTTAATTTCACTTTTTACCTTGAAAAATACTACTTAATTGTTAATTTATACACTTAAAAAATTAAATTCTCAAGTTATACCCTTAATATTATAAAATAGATGCAATGTAGCCCAATTCGTGGGTGAAATTGAAGATTGAGGGTGCAATTTGAACTTAAAATGGGGCAAAATTGCACTGTTTTATAACATTGAAGATATAATTTATGAATCTAATTCTTTAAGGATGCAAATTAAAATTTAGGACATCTTTTAGGGTTCAAATTGAAATTAGCCCTTCGAATATTTTCAATTTGACAAAAGTGAGCCACAAGCTAGAAGGTTTGAATCCCATTAGCAGCTCAGTGAAAGTAAATACAGAGTGTAAAGCGTTGTCTCTTTCTCTCTCCACTCTCTCTCTCACGGAGACGTTCCTTTTCTACAAAGTTCCTTCTGGAGATAACAAAAAGGAATGTCGATCTGATTCCCAATTCAAGCTGAGTAAAAAAACTAAACCAATCAGAGACACTGGTCTGTACAATTAGGGAGTGAAAGAGGAGATAAATATAGAGGGAGAAAGTGAATTCCCACAGAAGGAGATGGGAGGAGTGACGTCATCAATGGCAGCCAAGTTCGCCTTCTTCCCACCCAACCCACCATCGTACAAGCTTGTGACGGACGAGCTTACTGGTCTCTTGCTTCTCAGTCCGTTTGCTCACCGCGAAAACGTAGAAGTACTGAAATTGCCCACTAGAAGAGGGACTGAGATAGTGGCCATGTACATTCGACACCCCATGGCCACCTCTACCCTTCTCTACTCTCACGGTAACGCCGCCGATCTGGGTCAGATGTACGAGCTCTTTATCGAATTGAGCATTCACTTGCGTGTTAATCTCATGGGGTATACACGATCTCTGGCTTTCCCTCTCTCCCTCTCTCCCTCTCTATATGTATGTATGTGTGTCTGTAGTATTATGTAAGCTGTCATGTTCTTAATGCTTCTAATTTGAAGAGTTTGGCCTCTAGTTTTTCTGTAATTCAGATTGTTGTAAGTATTTTTGCTTCGGGGTTTTGATGATTCATCTGATTTGGGGATTATACTAATTGAATGAGATGATCCTATTTCACTAACTTTGGAGACTTGGGCAATTGTGGTTCTTCATTTGCCGTTAAGTCACAAAAAAATGGGAACTTTATGATTTGTCTGACAGAGATCTTTGAATTTGGCTGCACAAGGGAGAATTGTTCGAATGATATGCCACTTTTGGTTTCAACCCTTTTAGCATCAGAACGTATTCCAAGTCTTTGGTAATTTGACTGACTTAGGTTTTCTTTTGTGTGAAGTGTGTGATCTCTTCCCATATTTACGCCGTGTCCTCTGGTTTGGCATGGGGCTTGTAGCAAAGGTTAAATTTTCTTTTTGATTTCAGGACAAGGTGATCATAGGTACCTTGCTTAATTTACATCCCGCCAAGACTGAAGTAAAATATCCATATGCTCAACTTCAATTAACATTAATTGAAGACTGAAGTAAACTATTGATATGATAAACTGTCACTTGGCTTTCTGGGAATTGATTCTTGATGAGATTTTCCCACCATCTTTTGTAGTTTACAATTGGATCCAAGAGTTCTAGAAGATGAGGGGTATTCAGGCAAAAGAATTACTTCATATTGTTCTGATGGAAGTGTAGCTTATTTCTTTCTATCAGTTTGATGTTGATGGTAAGGTATACTGACTGCATTGGCACCCCGGTTCATCAAGGTGTGAAAACGAATTACGTTTTCTATTTGACCCATTCTCTGTCACCAAAAGCTGCATTTTTTTGTGACATCCTTACATCCTATGAGTTCAAGTCATTCAATCTTAAAAACTACTTGATTTCAAATTATTAATTTTAATAGGAAACATTGTTAAACTGTTTCAGTTTACATACCATGTACCATTCCCTCCATTTTTTACCATTCAAATGACACAGAACTCTTTCAGAGGTCTAGTAAAAAATTAATAGAAGTGACTGGCTGGCTAGCTCTTGTAATGAAATTACTCCAGGGTTCACAAATGTTGTCCAATCTCATAAATGAAACGGGAGTCACAGGTGTCTGTGGCATAATAACATAAAGGGTTTATCACTAAGTACAGATTTGCATTATGCAAAACATCAAAAAGAGGGATTCAGTTGTAAAAAGCTGAAGAGGATGCCTTATAACTTGATTCTACTTCCATCCAGTTTGCCCTCTCCTGTGGTTATGGGACGGAGTCACTTATAAATAAATGTCTGTATTTGTGTAGTTACATTAGAGCTTGCATTTCATGCCAGTGTTGGATCCTGGTAATATTATGATGCCTTGGTGCTGTATGCTCCATTCTGTTTGTACAGGTGACAAATTGTTTGGAAATTGTGTAACTAGTGATATCATCCTCAGGGAGATAAAACTCATTATCATTGCCGTCTGCTAATGTAATTTAAAGAATTCAGAATACATGGGGTTGGCAGTTATGTAACCAGCAGTTTTCTAATGCACATGCACTTTTGTGCAGGTATGACTATTCTGGCTATGGTCAATCCTCTGGGAAGGTGTGTGGCAGATTGAAATTTCTGGATAGGAATACTTCTTTATATATTTATACTTCTTTATGGATTGGTGTGACTCAAATAGTCATCTTAAGCTGATCAGTTACTATTTTGCAGCCAAGTGAGCAGCATACATATGCAGATATTGAAGCTGCATATAAGTGTCTTGAGGAGAGCTATGGTACCAAGCAGGAAGATATTGTCCTTTATGGTCAATCAGTTGGAAGTGGCCCCACTTTGGATCTTGCAGCTCGGCTGCCTCAATTAAGAGCTGTCGTCTTGCATAGTCCTATACTCTCAGGCTTAAGAGTCATGTATCCTGTAAAGCGCTCATACTGGTTTGACATTTACAAGGTAACATTCATCTTCTCACACTGTTTGTCAATCTTTATTTTTAGGCTTAATCGAAAATTTCTTTTTTTCTAAGTCATTATATTATGTTGATTGTGTTACAGAACATTGACAAAATCCCGTTGGTTAATTGTCCTGTACTTCTAATCCATGTAAGTATACTATTCTTAACATCTGTGTGCCTTAAATTTGCCTGTTGTACTAATCTAAACTGATACCTGTATTTGTTTCCGATGTGTTAGCCACAATATAACTATTTGAACTAAAACAATGGCTGACTAGATTTGATGTATGTAAGTGCTCATTAACAACCTTTTTTTTTTGAAAGTCACCAACAAACCTCAGTACGACAGCAACAACTAGTCTTTTTCTTTCCTTTTTTCTTTGTGACTATGATAGTATAACAGTGAATATGAATTTGTTTTAGTTTTTGACTTTGAATTTTGAATTAAAAGGAATGAAAGGGATTAAAATTTTCATGCCTCTTGAATGCTCCTTCAAAATGTGATCTTTTGTTTCCGATGCCTGTACATGTAGTATCTCCTCTATGCCTGATCTTGTTGAATGTAAGAAAACATGATTATTAGCTTGTGAAGGTGAAATCTGGACATTTTGAAATGTGATTGGTATTCTCTTAAAATGTTTCATACTACTGCACTTTTGGTCATGTTTTCGATTCTCCATACTTGGTTTAGGGTGTCATCTGACAGTGCTGGTCTTTTGAACTATTGGATTAAATCCAACAACATTAGGAAGATCTACAATGAAAACAAATTAGTTCACCAAACAAATGAAAAAGATGAGCACTATTTTAATATGCTCAATAGAGAAGCTTATTTGTGCATATGGAACATCCTGCAGTTCTCAAACAAATTAAAGGAATGCAGAATTCCTAGTTTTCTGGGGATTTATTTTCCAAACAGGAACACATATAGCCAAATGCCGCAACAAATATTAATAGCGAATGCAGGTTCTGGTTAGAGGAGAGGGTGTGACACCTATGTTGATGACCTTAGTAGGATTGTTTTTTCTGTTTTTGCTAAATGATAATAGCAACACAAGATGGCATCACTGAATTTAGAAGTCCTGTCCTGCTATTAGGTGCTGGCCTCTGCTCACTTTAGCAGATGTTCCCATCTTTTTTTTTGTTGTTGAGCTAATATTTTGATCCGAATAATAATTTTTTTTTCCAGATGATACACAGCTACTTTTATTTGAGAATTTTGTAGAAGGGTATATGTTGCAGCTGTTGGTTGATAAACATGTTTATGGTTGGTATGAAGATAAATAAGCGAGTGATTTGCATCCCTTTCATCATGACTTCATTCACTTTTAATCTGATAAAGCCTTTTTCACAATATGTTTCAAGTTACTCGGACCAAAATTGTTCGAAAACAAACAGAAAAGAGTCTATAAAGACAAGATTGAAAAGACAAATAATAATTTCTTCTGATCTTGTGATGGTCTCTGGAAGGACCAATAAAATTATTTTTTGTTATGTTAATTTATGGGAAAAATTTTAGTAAGAGTTCTGAAATGCTCAACAAGCTTACATTCTGCCATTCCTCTATAGCTTACATCCTTAAGAAAAGATTTTGTGCTATGCCACTTAAAATGGAATTTAGACATCTCATGTTTTGGAAATTTTTAATAATTGTGTAGGGAACTGCAGATGAAGTCGTTGATTGCTCTCACGGTAAGCAACTGTGGGAACTGTGTAAAGAGAAGTATGAACCCCTATGGATTAAAGGAGGAAACCACTGTGATTTAGAGCTGTACCCAGAGTACATCAGGCATCTGAAGAAATTCATATCAACTGTAGAGAAATCACCTTCGCAGAGGTATAGTGCCAGGAGAAGTGTGGACCAGTTTGAGCAGTCTAGGAAGAGTACTGATGTTTTTGAAGGTTCAAGGAAGAGCACTGACAGGAGAGAAAAACCAAGGCACAGCACTGACAGGCCTGAAAAATTGAAAAACTTGTCAAGTAATGCTGACAAGCTAGAAAAATTGAGAATCTCTTTCGATCAAATTGAAAGGTCTCGGAGAAGTGTGGATTGCATTGAAAAGTCCCGGAAAAGCATTGATCATCAACTAGAAAGAGCTCGGAAGAGTGTAGACCGATTGGATAGAATACGAACAGGGTAATTTTTTTCATTAACAAATTGTAAAATTTATGAGTGTGTTTGGTTGTTGGGGAAATTTGTTTGGGCTTTCTTTTATTTATGGTGTTTTGGTGGCTTTGGAAGTTTTCTGAACACTATTGCGAAAACTGATAAAAGGGTGTGGTGGTATAATGGAATTCTTTCTGTGACATTCTCATCCTGTGAGAGCCTCTGTATTTATAGATTTATTTTGTCCGCATCGTGTCATGTTAGACCCTCCCGCAAGGTTTTTCTTGCTCACCGTTGGTTCATGTAATAAATAGGTCCCACAATGATATAGTGTGTGATCTATCCTTGAATTTAATTGAAAAAAAAAAAAAAACAGGCAATGGATAGATCTCACTCCTATATGGAAGTACCACAGGGAGCCAAAGATGGTATCTACTGAATTTATATGAAGACTGCCATACCCATTCCTTGCCTCTGGCAATACATATATGAGTGTGTAAGAATGTTTGTTTGCTGGATAGCATTTGTTAGAGCAACTCTAGGGGAGTTGCCATTTTATATTATTTTGTAATTTTGAACAGTATTTTGGCACCCCTGAATTATAAATCTACTCTAATAGTAGGTGCTAAAATAGAGTGTTATTTTAATATTTTTTATTAAAAAATATAATTAATTTAAAGAATGAGCATAAAATAATCAATTAAAAAATAAATAAAATTATCCCTAATTAAAACAAATACAGCAGCCATAAATTATAAATTATAAATTAAAACAAGAACAAGGAGAAATGTAATTATAAATTACAATGCCTTTCTCTACCCCTAAATAAAATGCTTCCTACCCTTTTCCCTTCCCCAGATCGTCTTCTTTCCCTTCCTTCCCTTCCCCTGCGCCCCTCTGCAACTTATAATGGCAACGGGGCTATTCGAGTAGTACACCAACAGATTGATAGGGAGCAGTACACCAAAAGGTTCAGGGAGCAGTACACCAATGACAAGGATTCAAGAAAACTAGGGTTTTCGATATCAAAGGCAAGGATTCAGGAAAACAATTTTTTGGGAGCGATACACAAATCGATTTTCAGGCAAGCCTTCTTCTCCTTTCCTAGTTTTGTATTTTTATAGAATTTTTGGGTTGAATATAGCCGTTCAGAGGAACAATAGCCACCAACGGCTATTTTGCAACCTCTCAATTCTCTCTCTAAAGTTGTTAAATATGTCACCCCAAAATCTTAGATGTCATTTTGCCACCTCTGATACCACCTCCATTGGAGTCTGAATTTTTGAAATTGTGGTATCATTTTAACGATTATGGGGATGCCACCCCTGATGGCAACTCCCGTTAGAGATGCTCTTAGTATTGATAAATGCAATTCATACCAAACTTATCTAAAATTAGTGTCGTGATGACACTCCTAACTAATACATCTTCTTAATTGTTTTTATATAAATGGATTAAGGGGGCCTATGAAAAAAGTGAAATGTCAGGTGACATATTCCACATTAAAAGACACTTTGAACGTTATTGCAATCCAAGATCACGTGGATAAAGGGGTATTATGGTAATTGTGTAGTTTTATATTATCAGTGAGAATAATAGCGGTTTATTATACCACCTATTAGGTGGTATTCAATATACCCATAATATCAGTTTATTATACCACCTGTTGGGTGGTATTCAATAATATATCCATGTATATAGGTATACTGTTATTGTAGCAATCATGTTTGGATTGAAACCCACAAAATAGTACTGTATATAAATTGCACAATAAACAAGGTATAAATAGACCCCATATACTAATTTACACAATCCCACCTCCTAATACTCCAGTTATCCGATAAACAAACACACCCATATAATTTCTGAACTCAGGAAAAGGCTGGAGGAGTTGGGGAGACACAAGATACAACTCTAGTGATTGAATACCGAACATGTCTGGAGGAGTTTGTTGTACAACATGGCCGCAGAGCACAAGAGCCAAATATGTTTAGTATGTTTGCTTTGCTTCACTCCATTAAATTTTTTGACACCACTTATTCACTATACCCTACTTTAGGCACAACATGATTACAAAAATACTCATCTATACTATACTATAATTAATAAAGGGAGAGGATGAGCTTGGTGTCCTCTCCCTTTATTGGTAGTTATCAGTAATTTATTATAATTCAACTACTATTATTATTTTATATATGTTTCCTTTAACCATTTGTAACTTTTCATATAACTTTATTTATCCACATAAAATTTATCTATTTTATTTCCTTTCCATTTCTGTATCTTTCTTCAATGCATCAAACAAACATTCCACACCAGGTATAGGAGAACAAATCACATCTGAAGTAAATACTTGAGATTAAAGAACAAAATTTAAAAGATTAAAGGAACTTCTACTATATATTGAATCTTTCTAACATGTGTTTCAGACCTATGAGAGCTGTGTTGGGGTCACATTGCCAACTGATAAAACAAATTGGCAGGACAGAGTTTGACCTAATTTATGCTTCACACTGTTTTCCTTTGGTAATGGTGATTCATGGTACTGCCGAAGAAAGCTGCTTATATAGACTTCAAAATTGTGATATGCTATATTTGTTACTGTGTCCATGAAGAATCAAGAAACCTGGGCAGCCCCTTCCAACAGGGTTACTTGGGCTTGTGCTCACTATACTCAACAATGGATGATGGTGGATGACGACCAATGCAGATCTCATGTACTGTTGTGAAAAGGGGGAACAATTCTAACCATCCACGGTGGCTTAAAACCTCATAAACCTCTTTGGCTGTCGAGACACCCTTCAAATTTTAAAATATTGTCAGACAAACAAGGAGATCAGAGTCAGCACAATTACTTAACAAATCTATTGTGATGGGATATATGTATATGTGAATGCAAATGGCTTCCAATGAGAGTTGTTTCTCATCTGAGTAGCTCAAGGGCACAAATGCATGCATAACCCATTCTTGATGGAAGTAATCATCAAACCGTAGGAGGGGTTTGCTTCAGCAAATTGTGACATGAAAGAAGTTTCAAAGTGTTTTAAGTTTTGTAGTTACACGCGTTAGATAACATTAAAGGTGCAATACATTGTCACAGAATTTAATCTAATACAAAGTTGTTTAGTGCATATCTGTGGCTTATCAAAAAAGATTTTAAAAGAAGTTTAGTGTCCACCTGCAATTTCTGCCCCTGAAGCATCTCTGCTTCTAGCTCATCAAAAGACCTGCACATGAGAATGGGTAGAGTCAAACAAAACCAAAATTTTATTTTTACCTATGTTCACTCCACAGATCTAGAATAGTAACCTTTTCCCGCCATTCCTGGCAAAAGCTTCTGCACATTTCCTGTTTCTTCCTCCTACTGCCACACAAAAAAATAATTATTCTACATGGTGCTAATATGTGTTATGGATAGTACGATGGAAAAATTATCCAAGCAGGAGAGTAAATTAAGGCATCTGCCTCCTTACAGCAAGTTGTTATCAGATCAGCTACGCCACAGCTCTCAAAGAAGGTGCTATCCTTAACAGAAGAGAACAACAGCTTGGAGAAGGCCTTCATTTCTCTCAGACCGATCCTCATTATTGCAGCCTAGTAAATTGTCATATTAATAGTTGAGACAGTTTTACAGCAGATATTTGCATAAAGAAGCGATGTGATTACACCTTGTTGGATCGTTAGTCTTACCTTCGTGTTATTTCCCATCTCCAAGCCATCCACAAAACCTGTGCCATCAGTAACAAATTCTCCATTACTCAAAAGATACTTTAAAGTAAAATAAGAAAATGGAAACAGCAACAAGAATAAAACCACAACCTGCTGCTATCGCCACAACATTCTTGAGGGTTCCGCATAGTTCGACTCCTTCCACGTCTTGAACCTGTTTTTCATTTCTTGTTTATCAATATGATGATAGGGTCAAATAATGCATCTATTGCCATGGTCTTACTAGCTGGTGCACAGTGTACTACCATTTGATGAACTTATATCCTCTATGCATTGGCTGATTGAATTGATTGAACATCTATTCGAATAGTTTTCTAATTACATGCCCTTTAAGTTTGTGCATGTCTATCAGGAGATGGTATCTGTATTTAACTTACAGCTGTGACCATGAAGGAAGGAGTACTGAATAGCCGAACCCATTTCTCTGCGACCTCTCTGTTCTGTCTGTATCCAACTGTTGCTTCACTAAACTTCTCAACTGCAATCTGAATAAGCGGGTCCTAATTATTAGCCAAATGCAACATTGCAGGTATTAGTAAAACAAAGCTAAAATAAAAATCTGTTGGTCACCTCATTAGCAATATTTGCTCCCATTAGAACACAACAATCAATTTCAAGTTGTTTTGAGATTAGGGTTGAGATCATGCATGGACCTTCCATCTTGACCTCCATTCCTTTAATGAGGGAAATTGCTTCCGCATCTTCCCTTATCTTTCCTACTAGCCTTTTGCATATACCCTCCATGAATTGATGGGGAGTAACAAATACTAACATGTTTGCGTCCCTTACTACATGATACCCAACCAGATATAATTACAAAAAGGATCAAATATGCACCATAGTGGCCATACCAAACAATTGTTCACTTAATCCAATTATCGATAAATCTAAATTCAGAACAACATTGGAGGATGTAATACCTGCATGTTCAAGGTCCGGGTCTGCCACAACATTCTTCCCAAGCTTTATGCCAGGAAGATATTTGACATTTTCCTGTTAAAGAAGACTAAGTTACGGGAGTAAATACAGATTAATGGTGTAACACAAAGGAAAAGAAAGAATGGTCATTACATTCGTTTGATTGATGACATCTGAGAGTTTTTCACCACTTGGCAATGTCTCCTCGAATACCCACATTCTCACTTCATCTACATTTCATCATAAGTGGATCCAAATTCAAAATGGGGTTCATTCAGTATTATGGTTTTACCCATTGGAAGATAAAAAATAATGTATGCTGAAACTAAAGTCTTTTTGGTTCTTTTGCATGCCAATTAAATGAAAAAAAGCACAGTAAAGGTAATACATGGAAAATTGAGAATGTCTATGAATATGTGAAAGACATAAAGATAAGATGACAAACCGTGGAAAGAGCTAAGCTTAAGAGCGTTGAAGGCAATAAGCTTGGCTGCCACACTGCCCCAATTGCCACTGCCAACAACTGTGACTCTAGATTTGTTAGGCAGCACTTCATCCTGAGAAATATTGTCAGATGCAGTTTCTCCCTCTAGTATCTGCCGCTGGGATTCCATTAATGGAGCCATGGGGGGAAAGAGAGAGAAGAATGGAGAAGAGAGGTGAGGGGGAGAAATGAATAAATGAGGTTGAGAGAGAGGATTCGGAAGAAGGAGAGAGAAGAGGGAATGGATACAAGGGAAGGTTGAGGTTGATTTGGGCGGAGGAGCCAGACACGTTTCGTTAACATCAATGTGCGCCATGTTAAATTTGGCGATCTACTGTATAAACGCACAAAGGATGATCGTGTGTTTCTCTCCCTCACCGCGGTCTTCGCTGTCTTTGATGACCCCATATTAATAGGGTGGCAAATTTTAATAAGCCAGACACACTTCTTATGCAAATTCAACGTGATATAAAATTTAAAAATGACACGATAAATTAATATAAATAATAATTTAATTAAATATAAATAACATGATTAATTTGTATAATAAATAAAAAATATGTATTTTATAATTTTTTAAAATGTTTTAGATAGTATCATATGAAGTGTTGAAAAATTAAAATTTTTTTTATTGACACAAATATCGACAACACTTACCAAAAATAGTATATCAAACAACAAATCAAATAATATTGTAAAACATCAAAGCTGCATGTTACATGTTCCATCATTCAAAGCATCGAATATTATGAGGGAAATTCTCATCATTACAAAGAAATTATGATTTTTTTTTAAATGAACACCGGTAATTACATGCAAATTCTATTCAAGGGTATCCCTTCACACGACACGACATGACACAATATGACACTACATAACTCAGCTCACCCAAAAATCATGGGTTTTATTTTATGATAAAATAATTCTTGATTATCTTGATGCAATGAACGGAATAGCTATCCCAATGTCAAAAATATTCATGATGTTCAGTAGTTTTTCGATGACTTTCTTTGCATTACCGGGTATGAATGGTTTTGTTGTAGAATTGATAGTCTTTTTTTGAATAATTATCGGCCAAAAGTATCTTTTAATGTCAAAAATATCAATTACTCTTGTAATGGTAATTGGAGTGATATTAACTCCTATTTATTCATTATCTATGTCAGGTTAGTCGTTGTAGAATTATTTATTTCAATCTCTACCCGTAATAAGTATTGGTATGTACCCGAATTTCATTCTTTCACTATTAGTTGATAAGGTCACAATTATTCTATCTAATTATTTTTATAGATAGTTTTCATGAATAAAAAATTTCAAAATCAATCCTCTGATATTTAAAATCGTTTGCTATAGGATGAAAAAAAAATCTGAAAAAACCCGTCACTGGAAAGGCGGGAACGGCCCAAGAGCTTGGTCTTTGATCATGTGCCATGCCATCCTCGAAACCAGGAAGGTTGCTGATCCTAAATAAAGTTTATAGTCACCATGGTACTTCGGCACATATTTTTCTGTCTATATATATATATATTTTTTCAACGATTAGATGTCCAGACCAGTTTACATATACATCGATTAATCTTTTTTTTGGTTTAATCAAAGACAAATCATCTACATTCAAATTAGAATATTCATAAGAAATAAGTATCTTATAACCTGACATCAAGAAGATATATTCTTTATCGGTGTATGAAAATTTCTTAAAACAAGTTGGATGGATACACTTTACCCTATAAGTATGCAATAATGATTAGAGGACAATCTTTCAAGTAAGATATAATTGAACTTCATTTGTATAAATTACAAACTTCAAATTAATGCGAAATAAAAACACAATACATTGATCTGGTGGAAGTCACGGATTGACAACACCCTGACCTGCACACTCCTTTCACCCTGTCGCATGGGATAATTCAATGATACTATGATTACCATCTATTATTTTTATTTTCTGATATCCGAGAACCGTTCCAACTAATAACATCCATTTTTTCACCATAAAACATAACCATAAATGCTCCGTCCACCACAATACAAACAGTTTATTTCCCTGCAAAAACAGAAATACAAAAAAAACAAATCCTTTTATTGAAATGTAGCCATAGTGAAAGGCATTGCCTATTGCTTTACTGTTGAAACAGCGGCCAAGAATGGCAAGAACCACTGTTCATGCATTGTTTTGCAATCAATAATGTGTGAAATATCAAGAAGAAATGCAACTTTTGGTTGAATCGCATCGTACCAGTCCAAAAATTAGTTATAAAGTGTCCATAGTCTTCTCTCTTCAACAGGAATCAAGCATAAATTAATAGCTATTTTGGTGGGAAAATTGAAGTACTCGATGGCTTAGCTTTGGCGAGTAAGCAGCGATTACCAATTTATCCTGTTTCAAGGAGCTTTATCAAAGGGTTGAGTATCATTATATCCCAGACTGCTTCCATGGCATCCTTCGCAGCTGCTTCCGAGCAGTAAGGTTTAGCAATCACTGATTTCATTACTATCCTTCTCACACAATCCTTCAAACATCAGAGCTAACAGGCGCTAATTATTGAAAAACACTTACGAATTTGACAGCAATCTGGAATTAACTGGTGGTCAACAAGTAATAGACGTGACACATGACTAAGATACTAAAATGTGCAATAAAGTGTGAGCATGACTAAAATACTTAAGGTACTTGAAGGGTACAGCATAAGGAGATAGATAACTATAAAAATGACGTTGATGTGGTTCTTTTCATCAATGCATATCCAAATGACAGTCCATGCAATGCGGTTTGGGCAAGAAAAGGAATTGACACAATTTATAGACTTTGCATCAACTCATTTATTAATTCGATGATAGATTTGTGATCCTCCATGATGGATCACCATTTCAAATGACCAAAAAAGTATGGGGAAAAAGGACAAGAAAGTTATATAAAGAAATGTGTACGAAAGTAAGCAGTTTGACTATCCTAAAACCAAAGTGCTTCAAAGACCTTGATTTAGGCCATCTGCTTATCCATGATAAAGTTGGCAGTAAAAATTTTCAACCATCGGTGAAGCTTGTGATGCATATTTTTGCTATTAGGTAACATATAAGAGCAGTCCATTGTACAAGGTTCCACCACTGCAGTGCCTAGGACTGGTCAACTAATATATATCTTCCAAAAAAGGAAAAATAAAAAAAAAAACTAAAATACCACACTAAAGAACTTAATGAGCAACCCTAGATCATAGTTACCACAATTCACTAAACACTTGACGACTTACGGTTTGGGTACATCGATTCCAAACGAGGTGGGTTCGTGATCTAGATCACCAAAATGGATGATTCCAAATTGTAACACTAACCGTAAATCAATTCACTTTAAAACATGTAGCACAAATATAAAATATATATTAATTGACTGCATATATATAGATTTATAATTATATATTTTTTTGAATAATCAAAAATCAAGCACAACTATAAGATAAATGGCAATTAAAGGAATGTTATGTAATATATAATATTATATAATAGTAAAAACGATCTACATAAGAGTTCTAAAACGAATTGTGACCCAAAATACCGTACCAGCTAAAACTACTCCATCATGCCGCATGACTAAGAAAATGTCGTACCATATACCCATACTACGTACCAAAGCAACCCACGATCCGGGTAACTTTGCCCCAAATAATATTTATCATGCAAGGATTTCCACGAACAAGAAACTTTAAAAGCACAGAGATAGCCTTCGTCTGTAAAGAAGTCACAATAGATTTTCTCAGAGATTGTTTGAGACTAATTTCCTAAAACCGGCATCTTAAAGAGACGGCTTTCTTTTCTGCCAAACTAAGGGGAGGGGCATGGTGCCCCTGTTAACATATACCAGGATTATTTTAACTACGTTAAATTTTACTACAAAACTCAGAATTACTTTCCAAATATCTTTCATGAGAAACTATAACAACATCCAATGTTGTAGACCAAGCAGGTATAAAAGAATTAGAACACTTAAACATTCCTATTGCAATTTTTATTGACTTATGTATAGTACACTTAATATATAACAACTTTGGATAATACACACCTAGTAAAATGACGCGGGACCAATGTGAAACTGAATAACCCGCGAAAGACCATATGAAACCAGAACACAAAAAGTTTCCAAAATATTGGCCCATGGAACCCTCCCCACCCATAGAAAGTAACACATCTTTCTGAGTATTATTTAACAAAATGAAAATTTGTGCGCTTCTATATGACCCAACAAATATATGTGGACCAATTGTTTGATAATGGAATGAAACTTTTTGTAAGCAAAAATATGAACGTAAACTATTTCTCAACATTTACAAGAAAGGAAACTCACTTGTTCATGACCTCGTACTTTCACAAAACCCCGCAGCAGCAGTTCTCTTTTATAGTGGCAATCACCACTGAGATGGCCAGCTCGAATCTATTTCTTGCTGATATGAAAGCAAAAAAAGAAACTCTAACAAACAAAATACATTAGGAAGGAGATAGTTGAAGGATACAAAACTCACTACAGGAATGATGAGCACAATTAGCCCAGTCCAAGTTTGCAGCACGACAATCATCATATGCATGAATGAGCTCATGGATAACTACTTGGTTGACCTCATCTTGAATATTCGTGTGATTACTACACACAACTATCTGCAACATGCAAACATTAAAGGAAAGCACATGAATGTCACAGGGATTATGTCATCCAACAAAAAGAAGAAACCTTGGATGAGATGGCACAAGACTCCATGGATGCATGAAAAAATTAACCGCCTGTTTGGTTTCAAAATTGACTCACAAGGAATAACAGGGTATCATCATTTTTGGTTTCAAAGTCGACTCACAAGGAAATAGCAGGATATCATTTTTACCATAACTCCCCAATTAGCTGTAGAGTTGAAAGATAATTGTTTTGTTTGTAAAACTCTGCCAATAAAAGATTAACTTCATGCTCAAAATCCAGAGGGTAGTCTGCATATCTACAGTAAAACTATGGTCACCAGAGAGTGGTAAAAGTACATAACGACTAGTATTATAAGCACACAACAGTCCGCAAGAAGATATTGATATTGGGTCTCAAAGAAAATAAGCTTCACCTCAAAGGAACCGAAAACCAATCCTAAGAAACTAAAACCCCTTTATCTTCTGGTTATATAATATATATCTGTAAGCAGAGGATAATTACCCCTTCGCCGCGGACATAACCGCCACTGATCTCCTCGTCGCAATGCACGGCCTTTATGAACTTGTCCCCAAGGCTGCGTCCAGCTTTCTCCAAGTGTTCCTTCAAAAATTTTGCCATTGGAGCTGCAATATATTGTAGTGTTCGGAACATATACCATGAGATGAAAAATCCAGAACCCAAGTCCTAGTTAGAAACAGGACAAACTTACACAGAGAGAGAGAGAGGTGAAATGCAAAACATACTTCGGAGTCTTCTTTGAATCATGTCTTGGCATTCCTCCACCGTTCTGCCGCCGTTCACAGATTAGGAGAAACCGCCAGAACCGGTTATGGAATTAGATTCCTCAGCCATTTATCTTTTTCCTTTTTGCTCACCCTTGACCTTCAGTCTCAGGAGGAATAGCTGTACTCAGTCGAGGGTGCAATTTCGGCACGGTCGAAGGTGACCTAGGTTCAATCCAAGATATAAAACTTCCACTCGAAATTCAATTGAATCTGAATTCAAATCCGAACCCTTCAAGCCAAGCCCAATCGATACTTTTAGTTTTTTGAACTCAGATTGCACAGATCAAGCTGCAATTCAGATTTACTCCGGCTAGACCCACCCGCCTGTGAGACAGTTGACAACTATGTGTACATTCAAAACTTATATCTGTCTAGCATTTTAACAAACAGCTGGCATGCGCTAAATTCAGTAGTAGAAAATCAAACAAATCTGTCCTTTTTTATTTTTTTTTGAACCTTAACAGATCTGTCAATAGTATTGCTCTATTTTTTTGTTTTTTAGGAATGTTATAATTACCTAATCACCCAGTTAATTCAATACAATCATTGTGAATTTTTTATATTATTAGACTTTTCGGTGGATGAAAATTAGAAATGTGAATGGATCGGATTCAAATTGGAATCCGAAATCTTTTTGCTAAAAAAAAAACCCTGCTCGTTGACCAACTACCATCATCAGACTCGGTCAAATTGGACTTTCCCTGAATAACTAACCGTTAAAACTGTAGCAAATTGTCCTTAATATGCTCCACTGGTTCGCGCCATTTCCGCTACTACTCCTTCCTCTTCCACCCTATATATACTCCTCCACCCTCTGCACTAATCTTCTCGTTCTTTGATTTGGCAGTGTTTCTCTCAGTCTCTGGAGAAGTACTGCAATCTCTAAGAATCACCAATCAACCCAAAAAGAAAATTTCAAACCAGCTCAAGAAAAATGGCACGTCAATTGGTTGCGTTTGCCCTCATCTTTGTAGCCATTGTTGGGTTGGTTTCCGCCGAGGCACCTGCCAGCTCTCCGGCAGCATCGCCGAAAACTTCTCCATCATCATCATCATCATCACCTACTTCAACTCCCACTGCTGCAACTCCAACTCCAGTGGAAAGCGACACAACAAACGCCACCGCCGCCACCCCACAAGCATCTAGCAGCGCCGCCCCAGTTCCATCCACATCCTCATCCGAGACAGCCCCCGCCACCTCTCCATCTTCTTCGTCAACTTCCACCACCCCTGCCTCTTCCCCCGATGAGGAACTCTCATCTCCACCCGCCCCCGCCAGTGGATCTAGCGCACCAACCGCTGCCAGCCCTACATCTGAAGGACCCGTCGCAAGTGAACCTTCTGCTGACGCTCCCGAGAACAGTGGTGCCTCCACTTTGAAGGTCTTCTCCGTCTTGGGTGCCACCGCTGTCATTGGTTTCTTCTTTTAAATTATGTTGTTATTAAGTGATTCTATTTGTTGTGTGCACATTTGATATGTCCCTTCTGTTCTGTGTCTACCATTAGAAAGAAAGGAATCCCTTACGAGGAAGCCATTGTTGGTGACCTCTTCAAATATATCCATCTCTTCAAATATATCCATCATGATTGTAATATTATGTATAGCCATTGATGAGATTTCTTTGCCTTGATTAGACCTCAAACATTATTGTGACAGTCCAATAATGAGATTGATTAGTATTTCTTTCGGCTTTCGAACAAAAGCTAGCGAGTACTAAAAGCTTCAAGTACTATTTCCTTTTTTTTTCTTTTTTTTTGTCTTAATGATATAGGGTGTTCGGTCAACTTACACGTACTATAATTAATTTTTTTTTTATTCGATCAAAAATAAATTATTCATGTTGAAACTAAGAAATTAGATAAATCTCTCATGAGAGTATTCAAACTCATGTCCATTTCTAATCTGAATTTGGGAAGAAACTCAATAATTGGTGAATTAACTTCCAATTCTTGATGCTACTATTTCATTGTCTTTGCGAAAAGATATAAAATAGAGAATAATTTGAGTATTAATTGATGAATATAAACGGCTAGTAAAGGAAATATTATTGATAATCTTTTGATGTCAGGTTATAAGAGATTTATTCTCATAAATATTTTAGTCCTAATATAAATAATGTATCTATAACTATGAAAAAAAAATAATTAAAATTCATGTAAATTGACCAAAACATGTTTCACCGTTATCTATACTACTAATAAAAGTACCTTAGATGAAAATTTTTTGAATTCCTCTTTTATCCTTAAACAAAATTATAAAGACAATTATATCTCACACTAATAATTTCATTTAAAACTTTTGAGTTTCTATTTTGTTCTTAAATAAATATATGAACACTTCTGGCTTAAATTATAAAAATTTGACCTTGTGTGAACCTTTAAAGAAAACTACAAATTCAATAATTACCAATATATAATTCATAAAAGTCACTAATAAAAAAATTTATTTTCTAATTTTATCTCAACACAAATTAACAAAGTCTATATTTTCATTTCGTAACTGTGATTTCACAATAATATAAAATCCAAAAGTTACTCTAATTCATTCCTTTTTTTTTTTTTTTTTTTTTTATGGATTCATAATATAAAACTAATTTTTTTCGTTGGTCTAATATGTATTATAACTTATCTAACTTGTAGACCTTATAGATTCTACAAATAGTGCAAACAAGTCTTAAAAGTTCTTGAAAGTAAATATCAAGTTATAACAATGATTTTACGGAGTAAAACCCTTTAAAAATCTGACTTTTTGAATTTTTCATCAGTTACTAATATCTTATATATTTATATAAATCTAAAATTAAATTTCTTTAACTAGAGTCAGTTAGTTCTGGAGAATTCCCAAAATTCTAATCCGTCAGGATAACTGTTGCAAAAGAAACAAACCTTTATAGCTGAAACAAGTACGTCTTCTATCTATTGGTTTGTATGGAACTTAAAGTTATAGCTTACTCTTGATCTATATTTGAAGGCGCATTATGATGATTTATTTGATTATCTTGTTATCTTATATTCTATTATAAAAATATAATATCTTTTGTGGTAATTTTATCAAACTTCTTTTTCGCAAAATTTGTATCACCATAATTCATGCAATCAATGATTATGAACTCTTAGCAAGTATAGTAGATTTAGCACACAAAAATATATGGTCTCAATTAGCCTTTCAGCATTCATGGAGTGATCAATCAATCTTGAAGTAATTAATTTAGCATGTAGTCTAACTTCTTAGAAGATTATTGTGGTTGGAACACATAGTAACATATAATATATCTAGACAACAACTATCAAAGGACATCTACTTTGATTCATAGGTGTATATTTAATTATTCTAGCATAATGATAAAAAATAACATCACCACTATAAATTAAACTTGTTCATGTGCAACACATATATGTACCAATGCGTCAAGTGATAATTTCACATTAAAAAATATTATTGATAAATAAAACTGTGTATTCATTTAATAGGAGTATGCATTGATAAATCAATATTAAAAGTTTAATACAATACATCTATATAAAAGAACAAAAAATTTACAGAGAATTAAAGAAAAATTTGAAAGAGGACATAATAGAATCCTAAAAAAGGGTAACATAGAAACTAAGTCTTATATTTGAGAATAATTGCCTACTTGACCTCTTAGCTGGTCTAATCTTAAGAGATCAAAGGGTTGCTGATTAGACTTAGACCAAATTAGTTTAATCATTTATTATCTTTATATTTAGAAAGATGAGATTGTTATGGGAGGTATATGTAGGTATGTGGTCAATATATTTTATCATATTTACAATTAAACTATAAAATAGGACCCATAAATCACAAAAACACATTTTGAAGCAATTTTTGATAATATTCAAGTTCTAAATAAATTAACCTATATACTGATATTATAAATAAAAATCAAAATTATTGTCAAAAATAATTCACGTGTAATACAGGTGTGCAATATCTAGTATTAAAAAAAAAAAGGCAAAAGCCTTTTTCAAATTCCATCACGTGTATGATATACCTGACATAGCCCTACTTTATGTCAGAGTTTTTTTTCCGAGGGAAATTGTAATGCTGAACAAATATTTGATCAAAAAATATCTAAATTGATGTGATGTTGGATCGGATAATTATTCCAGTGGAATACAAAATATCAATATTTTTTTTTGTTATAGAGGATCTAAACTTGTGCCCAAAAAAAATCACAAATTTTAAAAATCTTATTTTGAAGGTAGAATGAATTTGTTTTTAATGGTGAATTATTCTAATGACATTTCTAACGTTGACTCAAACTCAAATTTGAGTAAAAAAAATTGATTTGATAAAAGACACTCCAATAAAAAATTAAATTTAAAGAAAAGTGAAATATGACTATTAGATATTTTAAAAGAGTAAAATCTGACCATTAAATATTTGAGTAAAAAATTGAATCCATCTTGATTTGAATAAAAGTTTGAATCTTCTTTTATTAAGGAGATGTTTGATAACACTACTTAAGAATTAAAATTAAATACTTTAACCACTTACTAAATTAAACTCGTTTGATAATCTAAAACTTATACCAATTAATATTTTAGGTATTTCTTAAAAATAGTCAAAAATTTTAAGTAGGAAACTTTTTACTTATTACTTTATGTTGAAAATATTAGTTAGTAAAAATTTTATCAATTCCTCATAATAGACAAATATACCCTCAATGTATTTTATGTTCTTAACTTTTCAATACCCACCATTCACCACTACCACCACTATTGTGCCACCGCCACTATCACCATCGCCGCCAACCACTACTACCGTCACCACCACTGTGTCGTCGCAATCACCACTACCATTGTGCCACCGCCACCAACACCACTATCATCATTGTGTCGTCGTCACCACAACTACCATTATGTCATCACTACCACCACTACCATTGTGTCACCGTCATTATCACCATCATTATTGTCAACACTATTGTGTCGCCATCGTCACCATTACTATGCCACCATCAACATTGTGTCGTCGTGCCACCATTATCATTGTACCACAGTCATCGCCACTACCACCACGACCATTATCGCCACCATTATTGTGTCGTCGCCACCACCACCATTTGTGTTGCTACTGCCACCATCATTGTGTTATCGTCATCACCACCACTATTGTCATTGTGACACCACCAATATCGTTGTCATTATCACCACCACTTGTGTAGCTACCACTACCACCATCACCATTAACACTACCACCACCATCACAATGATAATGGTGGTAGGAATAAAGTAATTGTGAAGAGATGGTTAAAATGATGGGTAAAATTAGAATAATAATAATTTTTAGATTTCGGCTTCTTATATTTGTCAAACAGTTTGCAAATTAAAAAATTTAACATTCAACACTTAAAATTCAGCATTTAATTTTCAGTATTCAGCGTTCAGTTTTATTAAACACCACGTTAGTATAGGTTTGAGTTAAAGACTGGTGCTTATTTTTATTCTATTTTTATTTAAATTTAAATTTAAATAAAAGCTTTAGTAAGAAGTAGAAATGGTCTAACAAAAAATATTTTGTATTGATGACTACACGTAAATTTGAGACACGTAGAACCTTTCATACACTTGGGTTGATATGTTTCGAGATCTAATCTAGGTATTTAATCCAATAAAACTATTAAATTAAAAAAAAATAATATCTAAAAATAGAATTTACAATCAAAAGTAATGTTATTGATCTTAATTCAATAAAACTGTTAAATTAATTGTGAATTTTAATATTATTCTCAAACTAGATCTCATAAATAGTATTTTTTTTACTCTTAATTTAATAATTACATTAAACAAAGGTGATGTTTGATAAAATTAAAAACTGAAGTCTGAAAATTGAAAGTTGAAATCTAAAAACTAAAAATTGAATGCTGAATTTGTAGACTGTTTGGTATTCACTGAAATTTAAGTATTGAATTGAACTAAACTATTTGGTAACTACACATAGTTGACGTCTAAAAATAAATTAATTTTTAGTTTTACCATTCCACTTTTTTAATTTGAAAAAAATTATAAAATATGTCATAATATAAATCATAATTACTAGGGCTGTCAAAATTTGACACTACAAGATTAATCGACACGAATTAAACGGATTTGGGTGATAAACGGGTTGACACGCCAAACACGTTTAATAAACGGGTCGTGTTCGGGTGTGACCTGTCAAACCGTTTATCACAAGTTTACCCGTTTAAATAAGATTAATATAATAATAAATTAATAATTATTTTAAAACATTAGCAAGAAAAAAAAAGTAAAGAAATTAATAAATAAATAAAAAGTAAAATAGTAGTTCAAAGACAAAGGAGAAGAGTTGAAGAGTACTTCAAAGGCAAATGCAAACAAATGTCTTTTATTTTTGTCCCACATTGAAAAATGAGGAGGGTTGAGTTGCCTATAAAAGACAATGACTTCTTACTTTTATTTTTAAAGACAAATGAGAAGAGTTGTAGAGCACTTGAAAGACAAAGATAAACCAATATTTTTTGTTTTTGTCTCACATTAAAAAATGAGGGGTGATGGGGAGGGTGAGTTGCCTATAAAAGGCAATAGTCTCTTTCTTTTTTCTTTTTAAAACCTTTAAGTCTTATTTTTATGAGATTTGATTTAAAATTCATCTTTTTTGAGATAAGTGCAATTAGTAGTAAAAAAAATTGAGTATTAAAATTTGTTGATATAATTTTTTTAAAATTAAACAGGTTAAACGAGTCGTGTCGTGTTACCCGTTTATTAAATGGGTCGTGTTCGTGTTGAAATTTTTTACGCATTTATTAAACGTGTTGTGTATGGGTTTATACGTTTTTCACCTGTCACCCGTTTAACCCGACATGATTGACACCCCTAATGGTGGTTATGCTGGAGGCTGTGACACAATGATAATCGTGAAGACAACGATGGTGGTGGTGGCGGCAGCAACATAATGGTAATGGCGATAGTGGCGATAATAATGGTGGTGGTGGTAATGACAATGATAATTATGGTGGTGGCGGTGCTGGTGGCGGCAACAGTTGTGGTGATTATAGCAGTGACACAATGGTGGTGGTGGCGATGACATAATGACAACAGTGATGGCAGCAACACAATGGTGGTAACAATAATGGAAGTGGTGTCGACAATGGTGGTGGTGGTGGTGACGACAATGGTGGTGGTGGCGACAACGATGGTGATGTTGATGGCGATAGTAACGGTGGCACAATGGTAGTGATGATAATGGTGACGGCGGCGACGATGGTACAATAGTGGTTGTGGTGATAGTGTTGGTGGTGATGCCGATGACATAATGTTGTTGAAGGTATATTTGTCAATTATAAGAAATTAATCAAATCCTTACTAACTAGCATTTTTTGCATTAAGTGATAAGTATGTAACTTGTTACTTAAAATTTTAACTTATTTTTAACAAATGTTTAAAATATTAAATAGTATAAGTTTTAGGTTATAAAATAATTTTAATTTATTAAGTGTGTTAAAGTATTTAGTTTTAAATTTTAAGTGGTAGCATCAAACAGTCCTAAGTGACCAAATTAAATCTCTACATCATTACCCCATCCGTTCCTAAATATCTATCGTTTTACACAATTTTTTTGTTCCATAATATCTATCGTTTAATGAAATTAAATTATAATTAATATTTTTTTTTTAAATTTATCTTTAATATTTCCATGTATTAGATTAAGTAGAGGTTAAGTGTCTTTTATATTTTTTTCTTTTTCAATATGTATTGAATAAATGTATTTTAATCTTATGTAATTATTTTTTATTTATATTAGAATTATTTAATAATTATTTTAATTCATATGTAAAAATTTTAAACGACGTATATTTAAAGACGGAGAGAATATATGTTTTTTTTTGGGTCAAAAAATACGGGCTGCAAGGGTCCCGCAAAATTGGAAACTTGTCCACGTGCGCCATCTGCCTTGCACGGAAGTCCTATGATGAACCACAGGGACCCACTTTGCTGTTTCTTGTCGAACTCAGAGTTGATTGATGGATTTGGCAATTTTCTTTCCGTCCGTCGTCTTCTGAGCCAGCGAATCCGAACCCTCTTAATTTTCTTCTTTTTTCCTTCGTCCTTGTTTATATTTAATTTCTCTTTAATTTCTTTTAATTTTTTTACCAGAATTTTCTTTTAATTCAATCATCCATCATTTACTAACAGAAAATCTACTTAACACATAATAGATCCTATTTGATTTGAGTTTATCAACAATAATTATTTTAAAGAGCCTTACGAAATAATCCGAATTAACAACAAGTTTTATGGATTATTATTATTTTTTTTAATGGGATTTTATTTTTTTATTTTAATATTTATCAACCTAAGATTATTTTTTTCTACAGATGTCCAAGTTTATACCAATTATTATCTTAAACTTTAAATTAATTACTGTAATTCAAATTAATTTAAGAATATATTCTTTGATAAATAAGAATGACAGCCTTGGTAAAAAATATCGAATTTAAAAGCTTTCGTCTGCAAACTGTATTACTAATAATGGCTAATGAAATTAAAAAAAAATTATTAAAGGCTTTAAAATTACACCACAATGTCCACTCTCCACCCAATCACTTAATTGCACGCGTCGATAAAGGGCACGTCATCACCTCTTCTCTTCTGGGAAAACTCTCGTGATGCTGATTTCTTTTTGTCTTCTATCTATTCCAAAATGTCAAGTCTCCTACCAGTGCCCCCATTGAAGCTTAAGCTTAAAACACTTTTTCTTCACTTCTCCCTTCCCTCTTTACATAAATGTATACAAACCAGAGAGAGAGAGCAAAAACACTTCTAGCTTCAGAGTAGTCAAACGCAGACAAAGAAACCCAAGTTTCTCAGCCTCCGCCTAGAACTCTCGCCTGAAAAAAGCCAACAATCCGGAAAAAATGATCACAACCACCACCACCGATGACCAGTATAAACGTAAACTAAACCTATTCCCACTACACCCAGAAAACCTGGTGGTAGACAGAGAAACGCAAGACGAGAACGTCCCGTACATCATTTCCGCCGCTGACGGCGGCGCCAACACCATCACCGCTCTTCTTGGCACCTCCGGGACTTCTTCTGAAGATGAAAACGATTTGTCGCCAACCTACGCCTACAGAGAACAGTATAACAGTGTGGAGGGTACACTTGTACGGACGGCCATGAAGAGCAAAGAGAGAGATTCAAGTGAAGAGAAGAAGGAGGAGGAAGTGACCAGTTGTGTAGCTGATCTACGGTATAAAAACAAGACGCATCAGGGGTTGTCGTTGAAGCTTGATTACCAGGAGATCTTGAATGCATGGTCTGATAAGGGCCCCCTTTGCATCCGTATGGAGTCAACACAAACTGTTCCCAATCTCCATGATGAAGACCTACCCCATCAAGAAACCACCAGTGTAAGTTCCTTCTTTCTAATTTTTCTATAAAAAAAAATTAATGATGTTGTTTTTGTATTAACTAAAAAGATATATAAGGAACTGCATGATGGTCAGGGATTCGGGTAGTACTAGAACTAGGTTCATATGTGTTGTTTGGGATTGAATTTCAGGTGTAATGAATGGTTACCTTCTTGTGATTTGAGAACCAAAAATAGGGCTCATACAAGTGTTGGATTTCGCTTCTCAAATGAATCGAGTTCAAGCTCAATACTCATTTGATAAATGAGTCCACGCACACACAGACACGCGCACATATATATATATATATATATATATATATATATATATATATATATAAACGGGTTGAATTTTATTTTTAACCTGAGCTTAAACTTGAGATAAGCCTAACCACAACTTTGAACTTGGTTTGATTAACTAGACGAGCTAAGTCGAGTCAATAACAATTGACACATGTATACTTGTCTTGGTTGGCTAGTGGCTGAGGGATCGACAGCAAAATAGTGGAGGCCTGTGGATCGTTCCCGAGATGCGAGGATGTACCAACAGTAACACATATGGCCGAGTGAGAGTGAAGGAAGACGTAGAAGGAGGAGGACCAGAAGGGTGGAAGATGGTGCATAGAGAAGCTTGTGTTTTGAGGTACAAGGAGAAGAGGCAGAATAGGCTCTTCTCTAAGAGGATTCGGTATGAAGTTCGAAAGTTCAATGCTGAGAAACGCCCTCGTGTCAAGGTACACTTCCTAATACCCCCAATGTATATCCTTTGTCCTCAAAATCAATATCTTTGGGTTTTACATATTGTTCCATTTCTTGTTTCTCGTCAATGGCTCCGCCAATTTTGCAGGGGAGATTCGCGAAGAGAAGTTGAAGAGAAAGGTTATTAAGTGAACGTGGATGATTAGATTAATGGGTCTCAACAAAAAACAGTTATTCAATTATGATGAATTTTTTAGGACTTTTTTTTATAAGCATATTTTAAATTATTGTACTACTGGTCAAAAAGAGTTGTATTGAGAGTTTTCACATTGTAAGGCACCGATTCATAAATCGGGATGACATGCCAAGAAAATCTATCCCCAGTCTCATGGGCCAAAAATAAAAGTGTACTAGAGCTATTGTAAAATGTAAATGCCAATGGACAAGAACCAAAAGGTTAGCTCAAGTATTAATATGGTTGGGTTTAAAATTCAGACATTTTAAGTTGAAATTTTGATAATTTTTTAAAATTAGGTTATGAAAGATTTATCATTTATAAATATCCTAATATTAACATGGATGATATGTTTTGGCTGGACCAATGAGGAGATTAATCGATATGCGTGTAAATTGACCGAACACCCTTGATCGTTAAACTTTAAAAAAAAAAAATATATATATATATATATATATAATGGACAAGTATTGGGAATATAGAGGACATTGTTGAATTTAACTTAAATTTACCGATCAATAGGTGACAATTATTCCTCAGTAATACTTGCTTTTGTTTAATACATAAGGCAGCCACTCAATAAAATTCCAGACTAGTAAGCTGAATCTTCATATCACGTTGCAACTAACTCATTGACCCTCGTAGGGTGTAAGAGTATTTCTAACGATAGAAGTTAATTTAACTATTTAAAAAGTAATATTTTTTATTTTAGTTACTTATGTTTTTAATACACATTATAACAATTTTTTTTATACTTTTAACTATTTCTTTTAAATATTATTTCTTATTTTTTTTGTATTATTTTTCTTTGGGAATAATAAAAGGGATAAAGGTGTAACTCGGGCGGGTTAGACAATCAATCCTAAGTATATAATCTTCAACCGTAACCCTACCTCGAATTGGGGAACTCAACCCAAGCATTGCCCGAGTTTAATTCAAGTGGATTCGGGTTGATAATTTTGGGTTATTTTACGGGTTTAATTCCGGTAGAGCCCAAAATAAGTTTGTTGTTCTAAACTTAATACATATATTACATAATATTCACCTGAATTAACAACCAATAACTTCAACCAAGTTTTTAACGAGAGATGCTGAAAGAACGAGAGAGGCAAAGAGAACGAGAGAGACAGATAACGATAGAACAAAAATGAAAAATCAGTGTTAATGCTTCATATATATATATATATATATATATATATATAATTTTTTTTTTAATTTGTCGGGTTCGGATTGTACTCGAGTTCACTAGGCCTTAACCCGAGCCCAACCCAAATTGAATTCGGGTTGAGATTTTTTGACCTAAGTCCAACCCAAGTATTAAAAACCCTTACTTATGCCCTAATTTTTTCAGGTTGAAATCGGGTTGCCTAACCCAAGTTACACCCCTAAAAAGGGAGCAAGAAAGAGAATAAATGAAAAAAAAGAGGAGAGAGAAAATATTATAAAAAATTTATACATATTGCTACAATAGTATTCTAAATATAGAGAATCACTATAACAAAATGTTATTTTACATGCTTGGGAGATATTATGTTGAAGTGAAATTTTAGGACAAAATAACTAAATTTTAAAGTTTTTGTGTATTTTACCTATTCTCTTAGAGAAGTTCTAAGGGACATAGTATGTGCACAACTTGTGCGCCTTTGACTCAATGGAACGGTCATAAATAATGCAGTTGGAGCTATATGAATAATGTTATTTATATTTAAACATTTGACCTAATTTGTTGACATAATGATGTATTTTCATAAAAATTATTGGATCAATACTAAGTTCCAATATTTAATAAGACTTATAGTCAATCCAAAGATCACAATAAATTAAGTCAATAATTTATGTCAATAAATTTAATATCAATAACATTGCTTGGAGCTATAGATTTTAGAATTATACCTTAACCAAGTCCGCTTGGTAAAATATGGGTGAAGTAGTTTATACATGTGATTGTCGAATCCTTTGCTATAAAAATTGTTTTAAAAACAATAATAGTGATGGTATATTGGTATACACCATTAGGCCTCATAATTAAACCGAATTACTAAAGTACGGTTCTAAATGGCTTGAATTGAGCTCAGCTCGTATTTTAAACGATCATGTTTAAACAATTTTTTAAACTCAGCTTGAGTTTTCAAAGTTCAGAACATTTATATGTAAAATAGTCTAACTATTCGAGCTCAGTTTGAGTTCGGCTCACTTTGAGCTAGGTGCGGGCTCAATTCATTTTTTAAATGAGTCAAGTTTGAACAATTTTCTAAACTCATTTAAAAAAATGACCTCGAAAAATTCAATTCGAGCTTGAAAAAGTTGTCTTGATCAATAGTCATATTCACTGTTGCCATCGTTTATTACAAGGGAATTATGGTGGTGTAGGTAGTTGTTGTAATCTTAACCTATTACCCATTAATTTGTCTAATTTGTCCATAAATAAATGAATTGAGTAACTATATTAATTAATTTAGGTTTTAAATGAGTTGAATAATATGATTCATTTTAATTAAGCGGATTAATATAGATTATAAATATGTACCCATTAGATTGAATATTTATCTTTTTATTAAATAACATAAGTAATAAAATTAAATAAATATACTAATAGACCAAAAAATACAAACACTATTACACAAAAAACTACACACATATACACTAATACATCAAAACACACACACACTAGTACATTAAAATTACACACACTAATACACCACTTATGACCCACGGGTTGACCCGTGACCCACAATCCACGGGGTGACCCATAACCCATGGGTCAACTCATGTCCCACGGATGAACCCATAGCACACAATCGACTCCGACCTATAATGCATGTATTTTAGTTTTTGTGTTAATGTGTATATTTTTAGTGTATTAGTTTGTGTGTATTTTGATGTATGTTTGTATTTTAGTGTATTACTAATGTGTGTGTGTGTGTTTTGGTATATTAATGTGTTTATTAAAAATTTTAATTATTTTATGGGTTAATCGGTTTAACCCAACCCGTTATAACTCATTTACTATGTGAAAAATAAATTAAATTTATTTTATGCTAATCTAATTTAACCCAATCCAACTCATTTGCGACCTCTGGGTGTAGCCATCAGTTCCACCAATTTGTCGTTGAACTTTACCTTCTCTGATAACGAAAGAAGCAGGCCACCGGGAGCCAAATGGGCCTGACAGAGATTCATGCTCTTTCTATTCTTATTAGCCAAGTGCAAAATATCCTGGACAGAAGATGCTAAAGGATAGTTTATAATAGTAGTACTATTCCTCGTTATGAAGGATAGATATTTTATAATATTTTTAGTGTATTATGTTTGATAAAGAAGAAAAAAATGAAGGATAGAAAAATTGATGTATTGGCTTTCTTTTCAATTAATCAAAATCAATTTCTCTAAAATTAGGAGGAAAAATAGATGAAAATTAAGTTAGTTATTTGTGTTGAAATGTATGTTATTTGTCTATATATCATTTGATTTGTCTATATATCATTTGATATATACATATATCATATTTATCAATTGCATATTATGTATACATTAATTTCATATATAAGTATAATGATAAAATATATATTTATATTTTTTTTAAAAATAAAAAAAAAAATTCTATCTTACCAAATACAAAAAAATTCAATATTTCCTACTTTTCATCCCTCTTATTAAATACAAATGAATGAAAGAAGAATTCATCTCTTGAAAGATAGAAGTGTATCACTCCCATTTTTCATCGTTCTGTTTTTTCATCCACCCTTCGTTGTTAGTACGAGCATTGGGAAAATGGAGACATTGTGTTATAAAATCGGTTTTGGCATATAGTTATCTATCACAAGTAAATATTATTATAACTTAATTTATTGACCTAATTTACTGACTTAATTCATTATAACTATTGAATTGACTGTGCACTCTATCAAATATTGAAATTTAGTAATAATCCAATAGTTACAATAAAACTATATATATATATTATTAGGTCAGCAAATTAGTTCAGTTTTTTTAATCTAAATAGCTTTACTCCTCTAATTATTATAACATATGGTCCCTAAATATTGGAATTGACACTGAATTTAAAAATGATAGTACAATTTATGAACATATAAGCAGAGGCAGTGCAGAAAGTAATACCTTTGATAGAGTACAATGGCGAAACATGACAGTTTTCTTGAGTTGAATTGTTCCTTTGTCGGTGTACATAGTAGACAGAAATAACTGGGAAGATGATTGATTACAGCAGTATTTTTTGTTGACAGAAGAATAGAGAGAACAAGACTGTTCATACACACCCAACTTCCATGAGTATGGTCAGTTGTGCTCTCTATCTTCTGTCAACAACAACTATCATCATCATCCTCATCAGATCAACCTTTAAATCCTTGCCCTTCTTCCTGCAAACAGTGAAGAAAACATCCCCATATGCTAAAATACAAAACCAAAAAAGGAAAATTGATATTTCATGTCAATTAACAAAGGAAGACATAAGAGATCAAACCATAAAAGAGAGCTAGAATTTCTTTTAATTTCTTCTTTTGAAGTTTTCACCATTCTCAACATCCAAGAAGCTTCAAAAGGGGCTTCTTGACTTGCAGAGCTGGGAAGGATGTGTTCAAGTCAAGTGGTTTACTTGATAACTAAGTTTTGTTTTCAATATCACATAGCTCTCTATAAGTCAAGAGATCTTTTTTAAGCTTTCGTTTTCTCTGCTAAGTCACTTTACAGTGTGCATTACGCGTCTCGAATTGGTATTCGTTTCATATATATCAATAACGAAATAGCATTTAATTTGCACTAGAAGATTTTTATGAATATATATACTAGAACAAAAATTACTTTTCCAAAATCCTTTCGTTATTGTAAATTCGGAAGAAACTAGGAGTACAAGTAACTGGGCTCTAAGAGGAATCGAAATCTTGCAAAGGATGATGCCCTTCATAACGTTATGCAAGTGTTTTGCGGGTTATTTATGCGTTCCCGGCACTCTAAATGTCATTGCATACATTCTGAGTTTATATAAGAGACGCGACTCTAAAAATGCATGGTAAGGATCATTGAGATTCTAAAAAATGCATGGTTAGGATTATTTTCGGTGACGGAAAAAGTGAGATTCGAAATAATGAGTTGTTGTATGTGGTATCAAAACATGAAGATCTTTATCCAAAATGGTTATACACACCAATTTTCCATCAAAATGTCACCACTGTTCTATTTCGCAGGAAATTTCTAAGAATTTTCCTTTTGCAAGGATTATCGACCTAATTTTGAGTTTCAGTAGTATTGATCTATTGGTGCATTGACCTAATAATAGAAGTGGGGTTGCTAAAGAACAAAATCTAGTGTTTGAAAAACATTATCATAAGAAAGTGAAATCTAACATCAAATATTCAAATTACGAAAGAGCTTTTCAAAAAAATGACCTTCAGATGACTTACCTCCGCGACAGATTACCCTGCTCCATTGGGAGATAAGTTCCTTTGGATATATAGCAAGCACCGGCCCCACAACATGTACAACAATCAAATTAGAACTCGGGCAACGATCGAGAGTTGAAACTAGACCCACTTCTAAATATGTGTCATACAATCAAATACGAGGTTCACTACCATAACTAACCGCACACTATCTTGGGTAATTGCGTATATCTAACACTCTTTCTGTACCACAATGATAAAAAACTCGTGCATTTCGTACTCTTCATTTTTACTAATGTTTTCGATGCCATGTCTGCTCATGATAAGAAATCCATATCTCCTTATGACTCACTAGAACCGTAATCTCGACATGGCCATAACATTTTTTATTATTATTATTTTGGTATTGCGGTCAAGAGTGTTTAAAATTTAAACGTATCTCAACTAATTTTCTTTCTGAAATAAGAATTTCACGAGAGAGGTAAATCCTAGTGACAGAAACACCTACCACTAAAGTTTATCGATTAAAAATTATAGCAGTCATCTTCTTCATAATCAGATTATGGATCTGGTCACGACAGATAGGTTTAGGAGCCCAAATATATATCGGCCACATTGGCCCATTTAGACATTTAATACCTGGGATTGGGCTTTCCCTGGCCTCAAGCCCATGAAATTATAATATCAACAAATGATGATTATGAGAGACCAATAAAATTAAATTCATCTCTCTCTCCTCTCTCTCTTCCATCCCACATATTCTCTCTCCCCTCTCTTATTTAAATTCTTTTCCCTCTCATCTCTTTCCCTTCAGTTCCTCTCTATATTCTCTTTGTATCTCTTATTTAAATTCCTCATTTTCCTCTCTTTTTTCTGTTCTCTTCCATTGCACTCATTCTTTCTCCTCTCTTTTCTTTTATTTATTTTCTCTCATCTCTCTTCCTTTAATTCACCACCATTGAATGGTTTCATTACTAGTGAAACCAACAAACGTTACCAACATAGCTTCATCAACATGAGTCACGCAATACCAACACTAGCATGCATTTTTTGGATCCATAACAATGACGAATAATCCCTTTCAAGGTAATGAAATTGGTGTTTGTTTGTTACTGTTCTAGGATTGTGATATTCTAATATTTTCTTTGTTCCAGGACAGTAACATTGCATTTTGTTCAAGTGATATATATATTGTTATTCGTGGTTGAGATTGTTTTAAATTTTACTTTAAAGTTAATTTAACGACTAATATTAACATTCTAAATTTAATAGAAAAAATAGAGCCTAAAGATGTGTTTAGAGTGATTTTTTAAAAGTATTTTTAAAAATTATTTTTCATAAATACTTAAAAAAAAAAGTGTATAAAATCGCCCTACCACTACCTCTACCACCATCACCGCCGCCACCATCGCCGCCGCCACCACCTCTACCGCCATCGTCATAACCACAACCATAACCACCACCATCGCCGCCACCACCACCACCCCTACCACCTCCCCCAGCCCCCGCTCCTGCCCCCACCACCCCCACCCCCACGATCATTGCTACTCACCACAACCATCACCGTCTCCTACCATCACCACTGTCATCCACCACTTCTCACCCCCACTACAAATCGATACTTAAATTTTTTTTTATCAATTCTCTATATTTGTAATTTTATTTTGGATATAAATACAAATATGTTTATTGTTTATCATTTTTTATTGTTTTGTGCCTTCAGCCACGGATAATAACAATATATATATATATATATATATATATATATATATATATATATATATATTGTAAAGGGTAGAAATCGCTACGGATCTCATCCCTGAACACCAACGATTCTGGTTGGCCTGCACCCTTTCCTAAGGCAATACAGTAACATTTACCTCTCAGTGCCCGTGTGGAGCTTTGTCCCACATCGACTGAGAGTCGTCTCCCCTACCCCCTTATAAGCCTGAGCCCCTTAGGGATGGGTACCCACTAGCGACCTGATCAGGTGCCTAGTGAGTACCTCCTCCATAGGAAGTGTTCACTTATATGGCAGGGGGGAAGACGACTTTCTTCCGATGTGGGATTGTCTTAGGAAAGGGTCCTATTGGCGAAGAGAGGTAAAGGCTAGTGGGACTCGGTGCCGCCAGGTCAGCCGGAGTCTTTCAAGTGGAAGGATGAGATCCGTAGAGATTTCTACCCCTTATATATATATATATATATATATATATATATATGTATATATATATATATATATATATGTATATATATATATATATATGGAGAGAGAGACAGAGAGTGTGTGTCATAATTATGAAAAAACCAAAGTAAAATAGATTTGAATTTATTAGAATTTTTAAATGTATATTTTATATGAATATTATTAAATGAATTTGTCCTCTGAGACCAAAATAAAAAGTGTCTGGACCTTATAACTTAAAAACACACTGCATAGGACTAGCCAGTAAAAAACCCAAGAAAAAACCCCAGTGATGTGGCCCATTTGACTCATGGGTCAAACATGGAGCAACCAACTCATGTTTTTCAATTCGAATCACGGGCTTATTCATTTGAAGTTATTATTGTCCTCGAATTCGATGTAGCTAAAATACTTCAGCCCTACCTTGGCTTCATTTTTCTTTACTAATTGAGAATTGTCTCAACTACATATATTACCCTATAAAGTAGAAATATTTGAAATCATTTGTAAATCATGCACTCAAATCCACTAAATAGTGCTTTTGGGAGACCCTTTAAAGTTCTACAATCCCAGCTATAATGAAGTGTTTACATAAAAAGAAAGAAACTATTAATCTTTACAATAGATGGATTCAACATTTTATAAGCATAGTAAAAGATACACGAGGTTTTGTCATTCTGAGTCTGGAGGGTTAGATGTACGCAATTTTATCTAATAGAGAGACTATTTTTACAACTCAAACTCGTGATATCTAAATCACAACAGAATAACTCTACCGTTGCGCTAGGGCTTGCCCTCAAATTACTATTCAAATTAAGATGAATATACACCAACTTACCCTTGATTTGTACGCCCCAACTAACAATAGTATGATACAATAATTTCCTAATCTAGCCAATTCATAAACATACTTGAATCTTTTCTCAAGTGGCTGGTTAAAAAAAAACACAAATTTAATTAGTGTTAGACAGTAATAGAGCAATATGGAGTCCTAATGCCTCTTCCTCTAGCCAGTTCAAGGAGTTTCTGCTCCTTGATGGCTGGGTCTTCTAACAACAGCACCTTGTCCTTATCTCTAACTCCAACCATGTGTAAGTATTCATAATCTTCTCTCTCCTTCCCTTTGAACAGTACTCTTTGTTCTTGTGGCTTCAAACCAGTTGCCAATGACAATATGATCTTTAATTCTCCTGCAAAATAATAAGGATAAAAGGATTAATATTACATTATGCAAGTTTGTTATTACGGGTAGTTCTTACAATTAGTCGAATGAGTGATGTATATAATTTTCGAATTCTCCGTGTAAAGAGTTGGTTAATTTCCATCATTCATAGACTAGTTGTGTAATAGAAACATTTGTTAACAAAAGAATCAACCTAAGATCGTCATCTCATGGCTATCAAGAATGGATAAGGCTCTTTATCAATCTTTCTAAGTTGTTCCTACAGAATTGAAATCGAAGAAAATAATAGGAAAAAAAAAAGCCATTCACAACGATTGATAGAGGATTTCTCGGCTAGTAATCCTTTTTATAAATCGAATTGATTTGTTCTTATACTTCAAAACTAGAATACTGTAACACGATAAGTTAAAACCAAAGCATACGAGTATTTACCGAATGTTGAAGTTGCTTCAATGGATATATGATGCCACTGTGAAACTGTTGAGACTCTAACTGTAATCATCCCTTCTCCAACACCACCTTCACATTCTCTCTTTTGAACAAGCATGCCACCAGGACGTAGTTCCCATTTGATTTCACCACCACCTACACACCCTTTGCCACTATTACCACCACTAGTGCCTACGTTTATCTTAGACTTGCTTCTGGAAAACCTCTTTGATCTCAGCTTGATCATCTCTCTCTCTCTCTCTCTCTCTCTCAACTAAGGGGGAAGAGATGGTGCTGGATTTAGCTACTTATATAATAGTTGAGAGCAGGTATGAGTGCAAAATTGTTACGAATAAAATAGAACTTGTGTTAGTGTTAACCCATCTAAACTTCGAGTCTCCGTGACCTAAAATAGAGTCTAATCGATACGTATAATTAACAAGTAAGAATATGCGTTCAAGATTTATATTGTGCCATTAATCTAAAACACATGTTGTTGGGACGATTTCTCATTACAAAACAAATAAAAAAAATAGTGAGGAATGCATAAAATTGTATTTGTAACACATGAGCTGAATTTGGGTGGAATTTTTTTGTGCTGATTTCATGGGGTCTAACTGCTAATGCACATGGGGGGTGGAAGCCTTTGCTTTGCTTGATTGGCGGGCCAAACACAATCACATCCGGTGGGTGGTTGGTTGTTTTTAGAAAAATTGGTGATTGATGACTCAGTGAGTCCTTTCCTTTGGTCTGGCTGTCTTGAACTAGGTCAAGGCCATCAGCTTAAGGGTTTGTTTCGGGAAGGCCAAAAGCAATAGAGGGCAGACCTAATGATTGGTTTCCCTCACTTAGAAAATGAAATCGGATAAAAAATTTAAAAATTTGTTTCCAAAATGTTTCGAAATAGGGGCTAAAATATACCAACATATCTTGAAACATTTCAAAACACATTAAAGCATTAGAATTTCAATTCAATTAACAATTCCTTTTGATTTCCTTAAAAATAAAAATATTTCAGTCATTTCAACTATTTCAAAAAAAAATTTCCATCCTTGAACAGAATGGGAGCTATAATTTTACCTTTCTTCCCCTTCTCTTTCTAGTTCTACTAGAAAGAGGTTGATACTCTGTCAGCTTTATGGGGGACCTTTCAAAAAAATTATGTTAAGTGTTCAATTAATTGAAGGCTCCATTATAGTCCTCTAGATCACCCTATGTATAATCTTTGAAGAAATGGTTATTGGTTAAGCAAGCATTTTCAACTGCCAAACAAGGCTTATATATGTATACATATATATGTATATGATGGGACATTTCCAGAACGCAACAAATGGTGACACGTGTCATCAGCATCCGATGAAACATCTCTGCTATGGTCCTGACACGTGTAATTCGCATCCTTAGCCCTCCCGCCGAGGGGAATAATTACCCGGGGAGGCCGAGGGACTCCGAGGCAGCATGGATGACACATATCCTTTGGCTCAAATTAATAATATCGGTCCCGATGTGTGTATGCTCCCTCGGCGCGAGGTGTCTCTATTGAAATGTGGAATTTTTCACTCCTACAAGGGCTAGTGATTAACAGATGACTAGCATAGGCTAGGCTAGCCATCAAAACAACGTTCTACTCAATGGTGTCAGGAGGCACAAGAATGCAGAAGATTCAACCAAGGAGGAATGGGCATGTAGCATGCAGTGTCAGATCAAAGACAAAAAGACCAAAATATCCCTGCTGACACATGACTTGAGCAAACAGACATTTAATGTATCCCATTCCTTATGAGACAGCATTTAAGGCATGGGGATCGAGAAGTGAAAGGCATTAAATTGCTCGGCGTCCCGAGCAGTTAAGGCTGAATGCATTCACCACTAAAGAAAAAGGGGCACACTGCTCCATCTCTAATGATTGCCTACTAGCTATATTATCAGCAATGATGAACTTTTGAAGGTATAAATAGTCCTCAAAAACATATTGCAAAGGTACGCAAGAATTTCTGAAAAGAACCATAGTGTTTTATTCTTCCCATCTCTCAAAGAATTGAGTTGATCGTCGGAGGGGATACGTCGGAGAGCACTCCGGCACCCATCTAACCTGTTTTTTTGTGTTATAGGATCCCTCCACAATCTTCCAGGACCGGTCAGGAGACCCAACAAACAATTCATCACCAGTTTTTAGGGCCTCTTTGTCCCTCTCAACCTACTTCTTATTGCTAAAACCCACTTTCGAATAGGTCGAAACTCTACCAAAGGCGATCAGAGATTCTGAAAGCAAACCTTCCATTCCGTCAGAATTACTGTTTTGTCGAACCACAGTTCATCGTGGGAGAAATCTGTTCCTACTTCTACTGTTGTGCAAAAATCAACGCGCACAATCTAGCATCGTCTATGAGAAACGACTAATTTTTCCAAAGAACAGTGACCATAGTGAATACTCGACAAAAAAGGAAGGGTCCCCAGTAGAAGAACCTTGATTTGCAATCTCCTTCCAGTTCCAGAATGAAGGATCAAGTTGATGGTGTAGACAGGAATATCTCCATTCAATTGAGAGGGCATACCCGCCAAACCAGTATGGGCATCAGATCAGGAGGATCTGCCCCAATGGCCTATCAACTGGCAAAAATGATTGAGGAGAAGTTTGGGGGTCGATTACGGCAGTTAGAGGAGGACAACTTGAACGTTCTCAGCTGTCTCAATGAATTTGCAGCTTCCGACGAAAGATCCAGGGACTCGTTCTGTTCCCGTGAACACTCCGTCAGGGAAGTGGAAACCGAGGACCTAAGGAATCACTTGAACAACAAAGCTGAAAGTTCCAGGGCCCCAAAGCGTCCAAGGGCCAAGGAGCATCCCCTGCATGGTCATGCCAAGAAGACAAGGCCTTTGGCTTGGGATGACCTCCGCCGGGGACTATCCAAGCGAAGGGACGTGGAGGAATTCGAGGAGGACTCAACCCTCTCCACTCGACACCCATGAAGGGGGCACCCCATTAACCAGCACGGAGACCTTGAAGAGTCTCCCCCTAAGTTGGAAACTGACCTCAGAGCTCAGCTGGACTCCAGAAGAATGAGTAAGGCTGTCCAGGACGATGCAGATGATGAAACCATCATTACCCCTTTTACCAGGGATATCCGGGAGATGAAGGTACCAAAAAAGTTTACGGTGCCAAGGTTCAAAACTTATGACGGACGATTTGATCTCAAAGCTTACCTTAGACAATATAAGCAAATGATGTTCCTGTACCACTTAGACCAACGACTTCTATGCCGGGTGTTCTCCATGAGTTTGGGAGACTCCGCTATGAAGTGGTTCGAGATTCTCCCTCCCAACAACATTGGGTCATGGAAGGAGTTAACCAAGCAGTTCTTAGCCCGGTTTATTACAGGGAGTAAGCGTCCCAAATATATTGGATCTTTGCTGACACTCAGACGGAAGGAAGGGGAAACCCTCCGCCAGTACGCCATCTGTTACTGGGAAGAGGTCAATAAGGTGGAGGAATGTTCAGAAGTCATGACAGCCGCATCATTTAGGCTCGGTCTGGCAAGGGATATGAATCTGTACCGATCCTTGACTAAGAAGATCCCCTCAGACATGGGCGAATTGATGACCCAAATAAACAAATACTCTAGGATTGAAGACGAGATGGGGGGAGGTAAAGGCAAAACCCTCACCTCCAAGAGGAAAGACAAGGAGAAAGAGGACACCTCCTTCCGAAAGGGATTGGTACCCCCCTCTAGAAGTTATTTTAAAGGGATCCACACCATGTTTAAAGAGCTTATTTACAAATTACTCCCTAAGATCAGGGATGAGCTGTTCTTCAGGTGGCCGCCTAAGATGTAGGCTGATCCGTCCACCCGGGACCAGAAGGCCAGATGTTCCTATCACCGAGACTTCGGTCATCGTACCAAAAATTACATAGTGTACAAATCTTTCCTGGAGAGGTTGGTCCAGGATGGACATCTGAAAGAGTACATTGAGCCAAAATCAGAAGAGGGTCATGCCTCTACTCCGGCTGCTGTGCAAGACAACGTCATAGACGTGATTCATGTGTATCCACTGGAGCGTTTGACGTCCAGGGAACTTGAGTCCGACCTCAAAAAGGTAACATTCACGAGAAAGGTGGCCGAAAGAGATGGGGGCCAGCCTAGCAAGAGGGCTCAAACTGACAAGCCAAACATCACATTTTCTGATGCAGATCTAGCAGGCGTGGTCACCCCCCATAATGACGCCCTGATCTTAACGTTGAAGATTGACAAATTTTATATTAAGAGAGTGCTTGTCGAACCACAGTTTATCGTGAGAGAGATCTATTTCTACTTCTACTGCTGTGCAAAAATCAACGCGCACAGTACATATATCATATAAATATTAATATGGGCAGTGGTTTTTGTCATCACTCGTTTACTTAAAATCCTTCTGAGTTTATTTTTTTTTATGGTTGTTAGCTTATCAGTAAGGTATCAACCCATGTGGGAGAGAGGTGGAAAAGCTTCTCTCTCTCTCTCTCACACACACACAAACATGTCTACAACATTAAAAATAGGCGAAAAATTCTATTCGGTTGGTATAGGTCTTTCTTAGCTAAAGTAAGTTGGTTCTCTCAAGAAATTAAGGGACAGATATCCCAGTTTTAGCTTAGTCAAGAACATACCCTAAAGGCCAAAACTTAAAAAGCAAACATATAACGTGACGTTTTCATCAAAGGGGTACAATATAATGGTTCTTGCAAGCTTAAACAATCACATACAAGAAGAATTGAACGGAAGTTGAAGAATAGGATGCGGGAAATAGGTATTGAGTATTAGACAGAAGAAAATCAAACACAAACATACATTTGGTACAAGAAGACCAAAAACATAATACGTTATATTAACAAAACCAAAGATATCCGATAATATAATGCTACTTGTATTGTGCAATGTTTAGGTTAGGTGATTCATCATGCATGGTTAGGTGATTTTGGCAAAGCTGGATCAACAAATATGTTAGACTTTCTTCGTCCTATCAAATTACGTCACATGTCCAATCATACAAGTTGCACTTTCTCAAATATCCCCACCTTACACTATCGTCATATTCAAACTTACCAAGGTGTCACATGTTTATCGAAAAATAAAAAAGATCATATTTAATGCACAAAACTTTGCTTATATCGAGTTTTGTGCATTAGCTAATTACTATTTTTCCATCGTGTAAGTAGAATAATAACGTTCCTCAATTTTTCAATGTATAGGTGCCAATGCATAAAATTTCAAACTTGTTGTATGAAAAGTATTACCTCAAAACATTTGTGTAATTTGACAATTGGTCTGTTTAGAACTGACTTAAAACTTCAATTTTTTTCGATTTCAAAGGAAATGGTGGTCTTGAGCGAGTTTTTCATCAATTTTTTAGGCAAAAACAACTTTTATTGGCACCAAGAAAAAATTAAAAAATGGAGTATTTCCAAGTTAAAATAAATTTTTTCAAAAACACTTCAAACGATTTCAAGAGTTTTTTTAACTTTTTAATTTTTCATTTTACTTTTTAAACCTTTATTTTACACTCAAAAGAGTCAACTCCAATCGGCCCAACATTTATGCTGCAGATCATGTACGAGTTGGGCTGGTTATACAAATATGTGCTTTCAGTGCCCCCACCAAGACGCAGACCCGAGTGAAAGTGGACGTTAGCCCCAAGCTAAGAAATTGGATTAACATAAAAACGGGAATACGAGGAAAGGAGTGTATTCTGTGAAATCCAAACAGAAAGGTGTTCACCGATATGTCCAAAAAGAAAATTTAGTGCTTTACCAAATAAAAATATCTCTATGGCAGCCCAGCAGATGAACAAAGTTCATGAAATGAATGCCATGGGGATGGGGTATGTTCAAGGAAGCAAGTCAAACAATGAAAGTATCACTGGGCATAGCAACACTGACTAGTATTCTAGAGATGCCAAGCATTCCATAGTCACCTCCCAAATGAATTAAAGTAAGTTAACTTACATGGAGAAACTTAGAGCTGCAGGGTTGGTGTCTCAAATAAACTTAACCTTGCTATTAAAGCAATCCAAACTCTCCTCCCAACTTAATGTGATTTAAGGAAAAAGAACATACATTTATGCACTTAAGAACTGAAAAGACTATCGTCTCAAATCAAATTGACCTTCCAAACTCCCTATTCCGGTCTAAATCGCCATGGCCATCTATTCTTTCTTTCTAGAGTCTTTGAGTTGTCCCCTCTTCCGAATCGCAAGGCAGAATCGCAGGCGCCAAGCATCAATGGCAAATTCAGGCAAAGAATTTGCTAATCCCCAAAGAAGAGAATGGGGCCAGTAAGGCGTGCAACGAGGTTCATAGCCAATCCAGCGCATGGCAGCCCGAGCATAACCATCTGTTGATGGAACAAAGAAGGAGGACCTTTTGATTGATGCCATCTTGGTCGCCACATACAATGGGACCTATAGAAAAAAAAGAGAACCAGTTAGAATTGATATCACGAAGGTAAGCACCTTTGTGATATAGTTGGTATAAAAATGGAAAGAGTTCTACACGTTGTGTGTTTCTGACTGAAGCTATATCTTACTAATTTACAAAGATAAAGTCTTGATCCATGGACATTATAGATCAAGACAAAGTCATGAAAATTAAATAAAGTAAGTGACTACAATAAGGGGAAAAAGAAGAAGAAAAGTAGAGTCTTGATCAACAGACGGTTACAGATCCAAGTCTGCACCTAGAAACTAATGCTGTGAACCAAGCTAAGGATAATGGGGTTCATCAATTTCTTGAAGAAAAATGAAGGTGTTGCAGCCTTGAATCAGTGCACATAAATTAGCCTGGTCCTTTGAGAGAGTCTTGTATATCCATTTAGATGATTCCTATAGGAAGTTTTGTATCTAAAGTGAGTGTATGTCTACAGTCTACTAATTTTTTGATCACGAGGCTGCAACAATGCAAGGCCAAAAAAGAAGTTATAATTTCTACCACCTACTAATTTTTTGATCATGAGGCTGAACATTCAGCCTCTTTTGGAAGATATCCTACAAAGACAGTTCTCAATGCTAGAATCTAATCCCATTTCCTCTATTCACTTGGAGGATAGAATAGTGCTAAGACATATCCATGAGTCATCCAGAAATACCCATAAGCTGTACAACTACTAAGTTGTTTGTTTTGAATTAGGATCGTGATCTGCAACAAAAGGGAAAAATGGCCGGAATACAATGAGTTACACCAACAAACAGAATCAAACAAGTTTAGAACAACTAAATTACATGGAAAGCCATCCAAACATAACAGTAGCAAGTTAGGATTCTTGATACAGAGGAAAAACAAGACAAAGTTTTTCCAGTGAATTTTGATGGCTGTTTAATAATTTGATGACAATGACAACAACAACCTATTGGACAAAAATAAATGAACTAAGAAGCTCAATAGGAAGTGTTCAAAAAATAAAGCATACCTGACACTGCACATCAATACCACTCTTCTTGTATTCCACATAGAGGCATCTTGAGAACTGGTCAACATATCTGAAAGCAAATCCACCAATGTCATGCAATTATCATTTAGGCTTACCAAAATCTTTTTTGTTTTTAATGTTTAGCATAAAATATTTTCCACAATCACGAACATCTTAACCAGAACTTAAAATTGAAAGAGATCCTTCAGTATTTTAAAGAAAACCAAAGGAAAAATAAAAATAACGGATAAATTACAATGAAGGTCAAGAAAACCTACAAGAGTTAGAAATTCTAGAGTCAAAAGCAAACAGTGCAATGTTGAAAGAAGAAGTTGAATCATGTCTACAAACACCCATTGTGAAGCAATCAGATTGCTAAGACACTGGAAGAGAATATATTATCCAAGGTGCGGAAGAAATTCCTTACCAAACCTTGTTTATCAAATGAATGTGAGTGATTGAATCATTAGGTCGACTAAAAAATTCAATGGAACGTACAAATCCAACAATTCACCTTAATTCAGCAAGCAAAATTGGACAGAATTTCGCAAGAGTAACTGTGTTCTTATCACAAAACTAACAAAGACAGTTTAATTATGTGACACGAAATTTCAATTGACTTTTTTGATATCTTAAGACTTACTTAACACTAAAAATTTTCTCCGCCTTTATCAATTACTTATATTTCGTCAATATCCAAACTTTCAAATGATTTCCCTTTACTGATATCCAAGCTTTATAAGCATCCAGACAGTACAATCAGAAGTATTACAGAAAAAATCAGAACATCAACAAATTAGTAATACAAAAAAATACATACATATAACATCTAAGAAGAACGCTTACGCTTTGGTGGCCGCATAAACAGAGTAAAGAGGATCAGAAGGGATGACAATGGCAGCACCAGAACCAATGTTAACAATAGCCCCTCTCTTTCTCTTGAGCATTCCAGGAAGAACCGCCTGTGTGACCTTACTAGTACCTTCAACATTAATTTTAATCAAATCAGCCAACAACTTCTCATCCACTTCATGGAAAAACCTTGCGTACGGATACGAAACTCCAACGTTATTGATTAAAATCCCAACGTCTATCCCTTCAATCTCTTCGCGAATCCGCTGAACACCTTCGTCTAAATCACCAGAAAAATCAACCACTACAGTCTTGATCTGGGTTGACCCATATTTAGCTCGAATCGACTCCGACACATCGTTTAGCTTCTCTGGATTTCGACCCACAAGAACTAGATCGAAGCCTTTACGAGCTAACTGGAAAGCGAAACCCTTACCAATACCATCGGTTGGTCCAGTTACGAGTGCCCATGACCCGTACTTTTTCAGATTCTTGGGAGGTCTGAGGAAATTAACATAGAACCATTTGAAAACTGATACAGAACATTTCAATACTGATAAAGAACCGAGGGCTATTAGTAGAAGCAGCCATGAAGGCTGAGATTTGAGCTCGTCCACGAAACAGAGCTCCATGTGGAGACAGAGTGTTTCTGCTTTCTGAAAGTGGGACTGTGGGAGGGGAGAGATGGATCTGAGAAATGGGATTTGGGGTTTAGGGGTAGATTAAATAAGAAAACCCAGAAGAGGGTTGATAATCAAGTGCATGTGGGTGGGCCCAGCGAATGGAGATTTGATGGAGTATACGAAGAGAGAAACGTAGAAGGATAATGAGAAGGGATGTGTAGTTGAACGAATATGGTGGTTTGGAGGAAACCGTTGAGCATTTACTCCTACTCTACGGCAGTGATTAGTGGGCGTGAGGATCCGGGGCTTTCCAATCCCATCGGTTGGTTGAAGTAGATGAGCTGAAATTTGTCAGAGCATAAGCTGAAAATGGCTGGGCCAGAGATGGGTCACCCTAAAAAATCTAATCCATGGGAAATATTCACATGCCCAAGCCCAATCTTGCCCCATGGGCCATTAAATTGTATTAGTTTTAAGATGGAGACCGGGTGGGAGCGAGGTGAGCTGTTGCAAATTTTGCGTATAAAAAACGACACCCTCGTACCATTAGCTACCCATTTCTTTGAGAAATATTCAATATAATGGTCATATTATATTATTATTTTCTAATAAAAAAATTAATAAATAAACAACTGAATTTGAGATATATTAAAGTTGAGATTTTGGGTTCACATGTTCAACCCGAACTCAGCCTAAATGACTAAAATTGTCCTCAACACAACTATTTGTGTCATGTCTGAAACTAAGCCGAAATTGTGAGCCTAATTTAAGCCCAAATTTGTTAACTTGACTTAATCCGAATTGAGCCCTAAATTTACTTAGATAATACTTGAGTTAAGTACCTCAAGTTGAATTAACTTTAAAAGTTGAGACATTTGAAAGCTGATACACGAAATTAGACTTAATTGTCAAAAAATGCATAAAAAAAATATTTTATAAGAAAGTCCACTTAAGATATAGAAAGACTTGAATACCCTTTTATTGTAAATAAGTTTTCTAAAAAAAATTTAGAAACCCCCTCCACACACACACACACACACATATATATAAGAAAATTAAAACTCATAATAAATCATCTCTATTTTTTTAGGGATATGTTTCAAAGTTTTTAGAAACTTTTGAAATTTGACAACTAAAATTAAGGAGTTTTAATTATATTATTTTAAAAAGCATTAAAATTAAAGAATTTTACTTTTAGATTTAATTTGGTCACATATATATGTGTGTAATATATATATATATATATAATACTACAAAGTCATACTATGAAGTCTAATTTCTATTACTGATATACTGTTTTAATACACTATATTGATACATTTTAAATTTGTGTAATTTTAAAATCCTAATTTCTATTACTCTTATATTGTTTTGATACACTATATTAATACACTTTAATTTCATAAATCTTGTATATATATACTACGAAGTCACACTATGAAGTCTAATTTATATTACTTCTACACTGTATTGATACACTTTAAATTTGTGTAATTTTTAAACCTTAGTTTCTATTACTCCTATACTATTTTGCTACACTATGTTGATACACTTTAATTTCATAAATTATTTAAAGTGTATTAATGCAGTGTATCAAAACAGTGTAGGAGTAATAAAAACTACACTTCAAAATATAATTTTGTAGTATTATATATATATAATAAAGTAGCTTACAATTCAAATTCCACAAGATAAACAAAATGACTTTTGTTATTCGCAATTGAAATTACTTTAAATTTTACTTTAAAGTTAATTTAGCGATTAATATTAACACCCTAAATTTAATAAAAAAAATAGGCCCCTAAAGCTGTGTTTAAAGTGACTTTTTAAAAACACTTTTGAAATTTATTTCTCATAAATATTTAAAAAAAAATAATGTTAGAAATCGCCCCACCACTACCACTATCTCTACCACCACCACTGCCTCCACTGTTACTACCGCCATGGTCGCCGCCACTACAACTGCCACCACTACCACTATTTTCGTCGCTGTCACCCCCATCGCCACCATCACCGCTGTCACCACGGTCATTGTCACCTACCACAACCACCACCGTGTCTATCCACCACCACCATTGTCGTCTATCACCTCTCACCCCCATTACAAACCGATACTTAAATTAATTATATTTTCTTTATGTTTGTGATTTGATTTTAGATATAAATATAAATATGTTTATTATTTACCATTTTTTATTACTCAATATTTTCAGGCACAGACAATAACTAGTATATATATATATATATATATATATATATATATATATATATATATATATAGAATAACGTGATCATTAAAACTTCGCACCATAGTCTTATATAGGTATTTTTGATGTGGACCGTTAGATCATGATCTAATGTCTATTAATTCAAGATGCTAAATATTAAATATCAAAATTTACCAAAATTTGTTATGAAGTAAAAAAGAAACTATAAGACTATATTAATTATTGTTTTTATCATATAAGGAAAATAAATTAATCCTGTAATAAGATGGAATCTTTTACAAAAAATGAAAAGAAAATATTAATTAATTTGTCAAGACTTTTCACATTGATAAGAGCAGTTTCTATAATAAACGAAAAAATCAAATCTTTCATTAAATTAGAAATTTTTTAATGCACAAATAAAAACTGAAACTCAAAATGCTCTAAAAATTAATCACTTGATTTAAGAGGACACAAATGTCTAAGAAAAATTTAAAAATTTCAAATTGTGTAATTGGACACAATCTAAAATTAAGAATTTAATTACTTAACAAAAAATGTTATAAACTTTTTTACAATTAAATCTAATTTCGTATACCCTTTTTTAATTTTTTCTTAAAAGTTTTACGATTTAAATTGAGTTTAGATTGATACTCTAACCTGTCCAACCTGAGTTGTACCCTATCCATAGGCCATATTCTATAATACTCATTGATGGGAAAACTTCGCCTCTTCGATATTACCAAATTGCCCCTCGTAATGCACTTCAACAAGGGCAAGTTTACAAATTGACCAAGTCAAACAAATCCTAAGCTGACCGTAACTTCCCACTACCTCCATGTCCCTTTCGCCGTCTCAGACTATGTAACTAACTCCATAACTGCCAGCTTCACCTCCATAGAGTCTCACTCCCCCTATATATTAGATTAGAACAGGAAACCCCCAAGTTGCAATCCATTCACGCATCACTCTCAACAAGTTACCAGAGAAGAAGAGCTCACTAAACTAAAGCCGCCAATGGCTTCTCACTCGCTGAGTTGCAGCGTCCAAGTTGTGGTGTCATTGATCATCTTTTCTTCTCTTCTACTCGCTCATCATGTCTCTTCTTTTGAGTTCCAAGTTGGTGACAAGAACGGTTGGGGCGTTCCTCCTGCAAATGACAGCAAAATCTACAACACCTGGGCCTCTCACAACAGATTCAAGGTTGGCGACACCATCTGTAAGTACTGAACTGATCCTACCATGTTTGTGTGTGAGTGCGCATGTCAAAATGATAGAGAGATTCTTGCTTTTAAGCTTCACCTATCGTGTGGCTGTTTGATCTCTCTTTGCACGAAGAAAGTTTTGTAGTTTGTTGGAGTAAAAACGTACCGCTGAGTACACGAGGTTTCCGTCACTGCAAAATCTGAGGATGCAGTCTTACTTACCCCAACTTTTTGTCATCTTTTATTATAAATTGTGTTCTGTAGGGGGCTTGTGTTTTTCATTTCTTTGGCTGTTTGTTCAGGTTTCAAGTACAGGAAGGATTCTGTAATGCAGGTGAATGTGGAAGGATATAAGAACTGTAACTCCACACGCCCCAATTTCTTCTCCAACACTGGGAACACAATTTTCAATCTCGACCACGCTGGACTTTTCTACTTCATCAGCGGAGCAGCCGGTCACTGCGAGAGAGGACAAAGAATGATCGTAAGGGTGCTGGCACACGAGGACTCTCTGTCGGGTACTGGTGGGGGTGGGGGTGGGGGTGGCAGTTCTTCGGGTTCCAGAGTAGCAGTTTTATCATATGGAGTCGCCAAATTAGTCATTGTTCAGCTTGTTTTATCATATACCGTTTCCTATATCTTCTAGGTTCAGCCTGTTGCTTATTAGTTGCTGCTACGTACTATGTCTTTTGTTTTGTTATCTGGTTGCAGACGTAATTAGGCCATTCTCATAGTTCCAAATGCCGGATTTATCTAGATACTAGGTAGATGTTGTGCTTTTGTTTCGTTATATTCAATTGTTCTGCAGTTTGTTCTTTTTTTGTGTATCTATCTATTAATCTCTGTGGTTGAAATCAGAAACAAGAATAAAAAAGTGGTGTATGAGCATTGAGCAATGTCCTCCTAATTTATCTGATAACCATGCAAATCTCAGTGGACACAGAGACAAGCCGTAAATTTAGACGTCTGAGTTTAAAACTTGATAACTCTCTTGGAGTTAAGTCACGAAAAATTATTTTATTCCTCATGAATTTCCTAATCTTAGTGTGGATAGACTTGTTTTTGACCGGATATCCTTGTACGGAGCATGGCAATTTCAACTGACAATTCTGTGCTTGGCATCCCACAAAATAGAACAAAATAAATGAAAAGAAAGTGATTTCTTTGCTTAACACCAGTGAGTGGTTACTCTCCTTCTCTATTTTTTCATATCTCACAATTCTAGCATTACTTACTTGGACTAATCTTTCATTATGCTGGGAACATTTCCCCATTAGTGAACTATGGTTTTAGAAATAGTCTCTCTCTCTCTCTCTCTCTCTCTCTCTTTCTTTGCATGCATGTACCTGCTTTTTTGATGTTATAAAGATGCATTGGCTTAGGTGTTGATCAGTTTATATTACTCTCCCCTAATGTAAGTCACTTGTCATGGTTTGCTTAGACCCTAATTATTCCCTAGAAGGGCCTAGGCCTCCTCATGCAGCTCCAGGAGCAAACAGTTTTGGACGGTACGTGGTAGCTGGGTTCAGAGATGGAGGAGAGGGCTAATATCCAGCAGTCTGTACAGAAACAGACCTCTCAAATAGGAAGCATTTTACTCATAACAATAGCTAGTAATTGATCAAGATCAAGCAACAGAAAGAGATTGTAATGCTTGGAATGCAGTCGATTTTTGCATATGTTTTCTCAGCATGAATACATCTCTCTAAGCACATAAACTTTGATCCTCTATTGGAAGACCGTAATCCATTTGTATGAATCGAATGCTTATCAGAAGGCCTTGAAAAAGTATTGACAGCTAATACAGAAAAGGAAAATCAACAGCCACCTTCGTTCCCAACCCCGCCAATCAGTCAGACAACCTTGAATTGTATCACCATCTTGGCCAAATTTTATCATCTCGCTGCTCCAAAATTAGCAGGGTTGGTTTCAGAAGCAGCAAAACCATTTCTTCTGCATCAATTATAATGTTAATAAGGTTAACAAATGAGTAGAGACTTTACAACTGCAGATCATGACTCTATCATAATGTCATGTATGAAATAATCTTGTGCCTTACCGTTGGGGGACCCTGATGATTTTGATCTTGTCCCGGTGGATTGTCCATCCTTGGTGCTGCTGCGCCACCAGCAACTGTTCCGTTGGATTTCTTGTCGTCTCTAGCCTTGGCAAATATGACTGTAAAACCATCGGCCGAAGAGGGATTATTTACATCCCACTCGCCAAATTTTGGCAAAGGCCGGCCCTTTTCTTGCTGTACATTAAGTCGTAGTACAATTCATGTAAGAAACAGATTCAATTCATGTAAATCATGTTGCCAGTGTCAGTGGAAGTATATTTTATCTAGGATAAAAATATCAAGACGTATGCTCTAATGCGCAATTGTTTCAACACAACCCAATGTGTCCCTCTCACAAATAATTCTTTCTACTAAGTGAACCATCTGCTATTCTGCTTCTCCAGTACAGAGGGAGAGAGAGAGAGTAAGCAAAAAGGTGACTTTTAAGTTCAATATAACTTGATGCTTTGCAAATGGAATTAATTATCTGCCATGTACAAGAGCAATAAAACTATTAGGCAGCTTGCCCAAGTTACTGAATGCAGAACAGTTTTTTTTTTCATATCTAGCCTGTGCAATGAGCAATGGGTAACTGAAATTACTGATAAAGAATCAGGTTCCTGCATAAAATTCTCAATAGCTATCTATACATTCATGCAATATGTGGGATTATGAATTAAATCAAGTAGAAAGACGAAAGAGACGCAACAGAATCCAATAGGATAATATGACTTGGAGTTACGATACCAAAATCACTACCTTTTGAGGTCAAAATAAAACTTTCTAGATTAAGGTACATTTGAAAAATATTAAGATCTATCTCCTAATGCTAAAGGATCAATTGTGTATATCAGGACGAATTCTGAAATGTTAGGATTGATCCAAATAAACAAACTACTTTGTTGTAGCTTGATCCAAAAAGAAAAATAATTTTTTCGGTACCCTACTCTTACCCTGAAATGTTATGGGTCTCTAATCTTACATACACCTTCCACAAAACCGAAAACCCATAACAATTTTCAAACCCCAAGCATCATTTGAACGTAGATTTCCAATGCAAGCCACAAATTCCTAATTTGTCCCAGAATAAATGGGCTTGTTCTAAAGTGAAAAACAAGTTGAAACTATGATCATTACACGAGTTGTCTTGATTGCTGTATAGAGAACAATATATTTAAATTTCCAAGGAACTTATCCCTTTGCCAAATATCCATCTCTTGTATGATGAAATTAATCAAAAAGGTAACAAACAAACAACATATCATCTGATGCAAACCAACAAGGCTTGACATATTGTATATAAATATTTTTTCCCTGGAAGGTTTGACATGTGCAGAGAAAGCCAAGACCAAAAACAAGAGAAAAGAGATAGAAGAACTTACAGACGTCATCAAAGACAAATTGCAGGAGCTTCGTTTGGAAAAAAAATGTGTGTATGTGAGAGAGACAGAGAGAGAGAAAAGAGGGAAGCAGAAAGATTGGCAGAACGAGTCTCAAGGAAGAGCCATAGATAGTCGTATAAATAGAGGGTACCCATTACATGACCTGTAATCTTAGCACCCATTACTTGAATATGCCAGCTGTTGTAGCATAAACTAAGGTTTTTTTTTATACTTATAAAAGAAAATATTTTTTCAAAGGGTTAATTACAAAATACTCCTTGGACTTTGAATCTTGTTTCAATCAGGTCTATTTAGTTTAAAATTGAAGAATTTTTCCCATTCAAGTTCTAAAATTAGCAAGGTAACAAGACAAAAACTTTAAAATTATTTTTACACCCTTAGCCTTAATAAATCTCTTTTTCTTTTGCGAAATTGAGTCAAAAGCTCCAACGCCACCAATCACAAAATCACCGCAACCACCACTCAACCACCCAGCCACAAACTACCGAAGAAGTCGACCAAAAATATACCACCACAACCAAATCAACCCATCATCACCACTGTAAATACTCCACAGCAACCATCTTTCCTTTTGCTCTGATCAATCAACTAGGACGCAACTACACCAATTCTTTCTTTCTTTTCTCTCTCTTCAGATGGGTAATGCCCAATAAAGGATCGATTTCTTTTGAGGTTGGAGTCGTTTGGGGGCTGCTGTTATGGGTGGGTTTCAGTTTCACTGGTTGAGGGAAGGAAGGGTAGTTGCTCGTGCCCTTTTTTTTTTTTTTTGGGGGGGGGGGGGGGGGGGGGGGATTTCGGTTTTACTAGAGGGATAGGAAATTAAGTGAAGGATGGGGTTTCACCAGAGGAGGGGAGGAATTTCAATTGTTTGGGTGGAGGTGGGTTTGGGATTCAATTTCAGTTGAAAAGGAGGGAGTTGGGGTTCACCAGAAAAATCGTCGATTTTAACCGTGATTAACTAACCATAAGAGTAAACTGAAAATTATTCAAATATTAAAGGGATAAAATGTCGAAATTAAAACCTAAAAGAAGCAATTGCAACATGACACAAACTTAGAGAGATATTTTATAATTAACCATTTTTTAAAATTAGGGAATTGTATCTAATTGTTATTTTGCCAAAAAAATTATAACAAAAACATCTTAATTTTCTCCAAAATTTCTTGTATTTTTGTTTGTTACAGGCAAATGAATAATGGAATGCCGTGATAAATATACCAAAGAGCGCTTACAATGCATCACAAGTTCAATATATCACTATTACAAGTACAATATATCACTACAAAAAAGTGCAACATACAACTCCCACAAGAAGGAACCCAAAATAAAAAATCTTAAATACAACTCTCAAAGAAACATAGGAGATCAACACTTATCTTTGGCAAGAGTTGATCCCGTGATTTCCTAGTTGAGAGTATTGGGAAACCAACTAGGAAACTTTTTTTTTTTTTGTTTAACGGTCAGATATATTCAAACCAACTTATATGCACATTTATGCTAGTTGTAGTTCATACTCTAGGAAGTGATCATTTGATATTGTTCACTTGTAGTTGTCGGCCAAGACTTTCTGATTACTTCTTCTTGTTGCCCAAGACTTTCTGATTGCTTGTAGTTGTTATACCAAACTTGTAATATTCCGGATAAAAGAAGCAGCACAACCGAATACTGTAATATAGCCTCCATACTTGCACGACTGACATCGTCAGTAGTTCCAACAACTTGCATCTACTTTGGTTTACAACTCTAGCTTTCCAACATTATAGTCCTTACAATAATACATTGGTGTGTACACATCTGACACTAATAAAAACAAATTCCATTGATATTGATCACTTGATTAACTTCATCTAGTTTATGAGTACACAAAATCTCCAGCATTGCAAGAGAATGAATGTTATGTAATAGAAACAAGCATATATAAAAGCCAACTGAAAAAGCTAGCTAGATCTCAGGCTTTCACTTTATTTGCAGCAACAGATACACAGAAATTCAAAACCTTCTTGAGAGTCCAAGGAACACAGCAGCAGATGAGATTTGTACTCTAAGTTCAGCAATATCAATATCATGTCCACCTTCAACCAGACCCCACCGGTCAACCTGCAAAAAAAATCAATGAAAAAACTTGCACTAGCGAGGGAGATCATGCAAAAACTATGAACAATGACCCAATTAGTTAATAGTATACTAGTGGTGCAGGAATCTCTTGCATTAAGAGAAAGAAGAAAGATCAAAAAACAAAGGCGGTAGGGGTGGGTGGGTGGGTGAATTAACTTCTGTAACAAGAACCTGTAAATCTTCCTCAAGTCTAACTAACTCAATTGCCTCCTCAATCTCCAATCTCCCACGGAAGATTGCAACCGAAATAACTAAAGAATGTGCAGCTGCCGCAATTGCATCAATTGCTGCCAGTTCACAATCATCAGTCTTTTTAAGAAGGCTTTCTACGGCATTTACAAGACCATCCGCCTGCTTGCCACCAAAGAAACTGGAGTAAACAACAGGTTTGTAGCCGAATTCTGATTGTACCCAATCAAGTATAGGATCAACTTTCTCCACTTGCCGTTCTGCAAATTTAAAAATGTCAAAAGAATTAAGTATTAGATGGATAATCCACATTATGAAACCCAAAATAAAAAAATATATATGTGATCGTCTATAAATTATCAGGGAAAAAATCATTGGCATGCCCTACATTTGCACAAATAACACGACCACTCCTTGACATTTCAATATTAGCACAAGAACCCCTACTTTTGAAAAGTTGTATAAATGAGGCCCCATCTGCTGCTGGAAAAGAAGACATTAGCAAACTCTATACTTGAGGACTCACTTTTACCCCCTGTTCCTCATTGAAATAAAATTAAATCTTTTTTTCAAAATTATTCCTAACAGGAATTCAAATGAATTTTGTTAGAGCAAAAACTCTAGTATAAAGTTAAAAAAGATAACCCCACCCTCTTTCCTCATCTTCTTCTTCTCTCTCTCCCCCCCACACACACAATGTTCGTTTCTCTCTACTCTCTGTTACATCCCTTCCCTCTCTCCCATGCAGCCTCCCTCCTCCTTCCCCCATTCTCTTGAACACAGGCCACAGCCTCCCTCACCACAGGTTCGAACCAGTAAACCAGTCACCAGCTCCACCCTCCCTGCCCCCATTGCCACCGACCATCACTGCACCACATATCCAATTTCAATTACAATTCTTCCCCTCCCTGCCACAGAGTAAATGGAATATATACAAGGATACACCTGCAATACATATACAAGGACTTCTGTCAGGGATGTCAGGGGGTCATCGCAAACAAGTCTTGGGGTGTTGGTCCCCGGCTGTTGCTCTTCTCTTTTTCATTTAATGGATTTTGCTGGTTTGATTTGGTTTCCACAGATGGATTGTGATAGTTTAGGTAGGGCTTTGTAGATGGATAATCTTGGTTATTTTTATTTTGACAATTCAAATAAGAGCTCCCTTGAGAAAGGGGAAGAAGGGAAGAAAGCATTCATTTATCTGTTTCATGTGAATGGCCCTAAGCTGCATAACTAATGACACCATTAGAAAACAAAATTAGCAACTTTTACATGAATTTGCACATTGATGAGATCTGTCTAGCGGTCCCTCTTGGAGATGGATTATGTGACGGATCCCTCCATTATTTATTCCTTACCCATTTTGTAAATAAATCAATTTATCACTTCAAATATCTGAGCCCCATGCGATATTTAAAATATTAGTAGGTGGCAGGAGAATAAGCTCATATGTAAGGGCAGCCATTGAAATTTAGCATTATTTTGCAACAAATTGATTCAACTTCAATGTTCAGCTTAATTAAGTACCAGTGAACAACTCTAGAAAATTAAAATTTTAGGCCATTTGGGGACACATTCACAGGTAGAAATAGGAGTAAAATTGGAATATAAAATAGTAAAGGAGGGAGTAGTAATATCAGTATGGAGGGGTCAAAATAAAGAAGCATGCGATAGTGTCCGCTGCCACAGGAAATGATGGAAGCATATTGGGTATGCTGGTGGGCTTGGCATTGTTAGCTACTGTGGGACAACATCGTAGGTTCCAGATGTGAAAGTTGTTTTAATTCGATTGTGGCAACTGCCTAGTGGAAACGAAGACATAGAATTGGTGGAGCAGTGCAAAAGTGGTCGTGATGGAAGCAAAATTGGTGTGGTGGACATGGAGGCACTTACTGCAGGCATAGAGTTGGTGCTCCTTAAGTGTAACATCTCCCTCCCACAGAGCAACCACTTTGCATGAACACCAACCCCCCCGGCGGGGTCCTCAAAAAAAAAAAAAAAAAAACAAAACAAAAATTATAAAGAAATAAAAACTCAACTTCCCAAAGCTTAAGCTATAGCATTGCTTACATGTCCTTAAAAAGATAATGAGCCAATGTTAAGTGATGAGTAAAATCTAAAAGAAGTTCAAAATCATACAGCCAATATGTCTGCGGGAAGAAGAAATAAATCCTTTGACAAAATCATAAAAGTAGATCAACTCAGATTGTACTAAAAAATTAGCAATGGGAACCATAAAAACCAACCCTTGCGTTTATGTTATGCATCGTCAAATGGAAGTTTTATGATCATTCAAAGAATAGTCCCTTTAAAATTAGGCAAAGCAATCCCGTAAACTTCTCCAACCAAAACTACATCAAGTTACTGAATGTTGCAGTCCAACCATTTCACTATCTTACAAACAAAACTGGTATGCAGTCACTCACACAAGCATCATAAGAAAATAAAGACTACTCATCACTGAATCCAAGAAGGTATACTTATGGCAACGAGTAAGAAACTACATACTACACCACTTCATAATTCATATATCTCAGATTTCATAATTGTCATATTCGACAAAAGTTTGCCATAGAAAAGATTTGCAAAAAAAGAGGTATAATGAAACAGATACAAAATGATCTTGCATGATAAAACCAAATGAGATGATTATAAGGCACATACCAAGGACACCCCTTGTCCAGTCATTATCTCCTGGAGCACGGCAGAATACTAAATCTTGATGAAACTTCTTCATAAGATGCTCAATTATTTTTGGACGAGTGAGTGGAACTCTTTCCAAAGCAGTACAAGCAAGTTTCATCAGAGGCATTGTAAATGGTCTGATTCCATCTATTTGCTACAATCACAAAACATTCTGTCACGTAATTCCCAAGCACAGAAATGCATGATAATTTACAAAAGAACCCCACCAACTCACTACGAAACATGAAAACCATATGAATTACTGCAATTCCAACACCATTAAGGATGTACAGAAATAAGTTAATGAAAAAAAAAAACAAGTTCGAATTTTTTTAATACAAAAATACAGTTGAATCACTTTAAATCCTTGATTTTTTAGCATAGAATTAACACCTAATCTGGAGACTGAAGTACATCACAAGTTGCAACTTCGGATCACCAATAACATTTCAGAAACGAAACCCATTTAACACAAACTAAAATCTTAAAGAAACCCGTTTTGCTGTAAAACTAAAATCATAAAAAACTAACCCATATTAATGAACATTTTCAATTCTGAAACAACGAATTGAAAGAATACATATCCAACACTTCCCATAGTGAAGTGTGTGTCACAGAGAGAGAGAGAGAGAGGACCTGGTACTCCCATTCAGCTGCAATAGCCTTAGCAAGAGCTAAAGTAGGACACTTGAGAGGCCTTTTCGAAGGGGTCTTTAAGGTTTTATAATCTAGCATGACAGACCAACCGTTACCATCGTCGGCCTCTCTAGTAGTCACTTGCTTGTAGAACCTTTTGCCTACGATCGATCCAGTCATGAACGCCATGGGCATGGTCACTGATGATGACGGCGTCTTTTCGTGGGCTTTAACGTAGATATTATCATTCTTTTTCTGACCATCTTGAAGTCCAACGTCGGATGAGAAGGAGAAGGAGGACGAAGACGGGCCGTCGGGTTCGGGTTCTCCGGCAGTGGCGAGGGAGCCGAGGAAGCAGTTTTGAGACGTTAGGATTCTGAGAACAAATGGGTTTACTGATTTTAGGGTTTTTCTCATTACCGCAGTAGCCATAACTGATCACTCAGTCGAGAGATCGAGAGAGAGATGTTCGGTTTGGGGGAAGTGGGTGGAATTTGGAAAGGTTTTCGGCTAAAAATTGATTTACGGAATCGGGTCATTGCCAATTCAGGCAATTGAATTTTTTTGGCCCGACCCTTTTTCTATAGATAAAGCAATCTTCTTGGTTTTGTGCAAATGACACTTCAACCCACTTGAAAATGTTCAAAATTGTATAATTTGCGCCCATACAGATTAAAAATCTTACATTGTACCACTAATATTTTAAATGATACCAATATGCCCCCAATTAGTCATTTTTTATTGATCTGACATAACTAATTTTTATGGGGCAAAGGGAAATTTGTAAACAATTTCAAGGAACAAAGTAATACCACCATAATTTTATGAATTGAAAATTAAACGTAATTTATTTTGTGGGGCATTTTGCTATTATATTGAAATATTTAGAATGCAATGTAAATCTTTTAATGTTTAAAGTAAATTTTTTGCAAACATAGAGTTGCAGTATTCATTTTTGTTTTTAATAATTCTATTTATACCTAATTTGTTAATTCAATTTAAACATCTAATGCATTGTGGGCTTTGAATTGATATAGTTAATTCCCTCATATCTCAACTTGAAGGTTGACGAAAAAGGTTAATCTTGATTTAGGTTTAGCCTTTAAACACGAACTTAACTTATTTGATTATTTGTTATCAACTTTAATTCACCTCTTATTTTACACGTACTGAATATAGGGTAATCTACTACACAAATGCAAAGCAAAGAGCTTACCAACAAAAAGATTCAATTTTGATTGTGTAGAGCTGGTGTTGTTGTTGCTTGCGTGTAGGGTCATCCCCCACTTTTGTCCCGAGACACTAAGGAGCTTTTGTTTTTGGAACAGATGACATTGTTTTGATGATGCCTCGAATCAAGTTTTGTTGTGACATGTTATGTTTTCTCCCCTATTGCTTGTAGGTTGATGGGTCGCACGTCCGGCACACATGTTTTAGTGTTGTGGGTCCATAACTCAAAATAGGTGACCTAACGGCTAACATCCGACTAAACATACCAATAGTCACCAAATTCAACTATATTTAATACTAGCTAATTCAATGTTTGCAACTCATTATATTCTTGAATTAGGTACAAACAACATTGTTGTTTGGGTTTTAGTGGAAGCCTTCGGATCTTATTCATCTTCATTAAATGTGAGTGCCCCACTTCACTCAGTCCATTTCGTTGCATTGGGGGTTCATCTTTGCTGCAGCAGCATTTGGTTCAAATTAAACTAGACAGAATATACATAAAAATATGAGCTATGATCTTCACTACCCATGTACAGTTTTTTCCTCCTTATGATTTGGAATACTCTGGACATGAAAGAGCTTCTCTTCTATCCTAAAAGGCTATGATGCTGAATGGATTATGTAAAGATATTTTAAAGTAAGTCATCTGTGCATCAACTTGTGTCCTTTGTTCTACAAACTCTCCATATATTTACTCTGAGGATGATGCAGACCAAGAAAATATTACATACAGATGCTGACAGGAAGCAAGCCTAAAAACAACTTTTGTTGATTTCTGGTGTTCGGCCTCCAAATCGATCATGACCAGTGGAGCGATCATAATGGATTTTGGCACGCACTATGAACTGAAGTGAAATACCACCCCCCCCCCCCCCCCCCTCTGTTTGTGCTGATCAATGCTGAATATTTGAGGAGGATGTGTTCTTGGGGCATAATGATTTCTGGTGGGGCGGTGAGAGAGTCAAGGTTCGACTTTTCTTTTTAAAGACACTTGTGGAAGCAATTTTCTTGGACAAAAACGTTGGATGTGGTGAGATTGTGCCATACATTGTGCTGGCACTGGGCTTTCTTCCTAGTTTAGGTGACTGAGGTTGTGTCAACCGAGTCTGCAAGAAGAAATGGAAGGAAAAATAAAAAATCTATACATGTCCAAGCAGAAATTTGAAATATAATGAGTACAGACAGAATGACTCTCTAGCATGGAATCAAAAGCTGGTGATGGAGAAGAATCCTCCAAAAACAAGGAATAGCTGACAATTTTTGCCATGGAACCAAGAGCTGTGAATGATATATATATATATATTTGTATGCATTGAAAAACAAAGATTTTTATAGAATGAATCAAAGAATTACAAGAAGCAAAAGGGNTTTGTATGTATTGAAAAACAAAGATTTTTATAGAATGAATCAAAGAATTACAAGAAGCAAAAGGGATATAAATCCCTAAACAGACCACTCAATGAGTGGCTTTAATCCTTCAAAACATGACATAATGTCAAAAACTCTCCTTCAGGCACCCAAAAATAACCAGCACCCTATCACAGCAGCTGCCTCCTTCATACCAAAACCCCTCACATATATATATATAGTACCTTTCACTCTATGTAAAACAATTTTTTTGCTAGATTTGTGTGATTACGTGCATATCTAGGAACATGTCTTGACTTTAAAAGTAGATGAAAGAAATTCTTGTTTAACTGAATGACGTGATGGAAGGAGATACCTTGTTTATCGGAGTCTTTGGTGTTTCTCTTTCCCTGTAGAAATCAGGCAATGGCAGGGCTTTGAAGCAGAAGTTTTGGTGCAGTTTTCTAAGTTCTGTTTCCGCTTTCTCCTGCACAAATAAAAGAATGAACATGAAAAAGTTGAGCATGGTTATTTCTCAGTTTGGCCAAAAACTTTTATTTCATTATATTTTGAGGTGGAGTGGCTGGTTGGCGGGCATTGAGCATCCCAGATATGGTATCGAGGAGGCCATGAAGAATATTTGAGTCATATACCTAATCATTTAGAAGAAAACTTGGCAATGAAAGAATTTAACCTCTAGTTTTGGTTGCAGCTGCACTTTTTGTTCCTCCTTGGAATTGAATTTCTCTTCAAGCTTCTGGAAGTTTGGAGGAAGAAAATGATACAGTAACAGAACAAAGACATCCATCATGCATTATTATGGCTCAACAGATACATCAGGTATAAAGGATAGAAGAAAAAACAACTGACCAAAGCCTTGCCTGCTTTCTTCTTGCAGCTCTTTCCTTCGTCCTTAAAATAAAAGGAGTCGATAAAGGTGGAGACTGTAATTTCTTTTGGCAGGCAGTCACGGATTTAGAATAACTAGCATACAAGCACAATTATGACAGGATTTAGTGTTTTTCAAGGTAGTCCATGGGACAATGGAAAAGGATGCATACGGTCTTTGATTCAATTGTTAATTTCAGGATACTTAAATCAAAACCGTTGTGATTTGCAACCAAATTCATTTAGGGCAGATGGTGCCACTGCTACCTTGTATTTGGAAACCAGTGACATAATCTCAGGCCTAAACATTTAGTGGGCTCGACAACACTAAGCATCAGGTCAGTTGAGCTGTCATTGCTGTCAACATATGATAACAGGATTCTGGAGAATGTCTGTCATGTGTCCAAATGTAATCCCATCGGTCTAAAGAGGCTCAATAGAAGTATGCATGTTCAACATATTCTAAAATTTTTGTTGGATGTGCCAATACCATGATGGCTGATGGGACTATCTATAACACATTGGGGAATGATTCACAATAATATCCTTGTTCTTACACTGCAGATAGGGTGTGCCATTTCGGCCCAGCTGTTTTATTTCCAGAAGCTGTGAGATTTTTATTTCCAGAAGCTGTGAGATCAACTGTTTCTTTGACCCTGTAAGTGTAGAGATGACAAAAAGAGTTAAGATTAGTCAGAGTACTCATCGAAAACACATCTATATTAGTTACAAATCTGAAGCCCTTCAATTTTTTGCAGAATTAGATAGACAAGATACCTTCTATTTTCTGAGCAAGGGTTTGCTGAAGGATGCTTTGGCACCCCATTCACAAAACCCTGCAGTTGGAAAAGCCAACAAATTTAACAGGTGTAGAAGTGTCCGCAGATGAAATTTGGAACAGCATTTAGAAAAAATAATGTTGTAATAAGTAGGCAGCAGGGAAGTACCATTTTTGTTGTCCTTAGAGGGGTTGCATAATCTTTAGTTGTTGCCTTAATAGCACTAAGAGCAACTCTAAAACATTCAGTCTTCTGTCCAGCAGGGTTAGTCGATTTAACATGTTCTCTTGAGGGAGAAGAACTAATGACTGTATGTAGTGATTTTGGAGTTGATCTATATTGATCTGTGGAGGCTATTGTAAACTTCTTAGGGGTTGGAGCTACGTTCTCTTTCCAGGCCTGCATTGGAGCAATGGACTTGCCAGGCGCAGTTGGAATTTTAGATGGTCTACAGAAAACTGATGGCTTTAAGGAAGACAGAAATGGTTTCTTCTTGATCATGGGCAATGAAACATCCTGACTAGAGCTGGAATTCTGTCATATTAATACCGATAAAATTAGTTATTTAACATTGATATGAACACATGAACAAACATCAGGGATAAGAAAATTGAAAAACACTACCCCCAGTAAAGGTTTCTTCACTAGTGGAGTTCCACTAAGCTCCCCAGAAACCATAATTTGATACTCATCATCCTCAACCTGGTTATGTGTCGTAGGATTTTCCACTAGAGTCCCCTTTTCAGTCACCAAATCAGCTCCTTCCATCTTGGTACTCTCTGGTTGAACAATTGAATTACATTCATCAGCATTTTGAATGAATTCCACCTCGGTATCCTGGGTCTTGCTCTCATGTTGTTCATCCGCAGCAACTTGGGAGCCCAAAACCATAGATGGTGAATCGTGGGTAGAAGTATCATCATCACAAACTCGGCCTTCCAATTCTGGTTCGGAGGTGTCGGTGGCAACGATTAGTTGATCAAGCAACACTGCTGCAGCCTTCTTAGTTGCAATTCTCTTGTAATGAGCTTCAAAGAAAGCCTTCTTCTGGGCGACTGATCCTGGCTGGGCATACCTCTCAGCCTCTTCAACGTAGCGCTTGTGAGAGAATGTTGACCATTTTTCCCAAGCTAAGGACTCTGACATGTACCTCCCAAAAGATATCGACTCTCCAAGAGCATGTAGAGGATTTCCCTGTAAAAACAAGTGTACCCATGTTCTCAGATACAAAGTACATGATGAACTGACAGTTCTACGATGAAATGTTGAAGTATATAAGACAGATAAATGGGTAATGGTAACTATATCCTCTTTGGCTCACCTGATTGGCTTCTTTGGGTATGCCAGAGGCATAAGAGAAAGGATGCATGTGACAAGTTGGTTCTCCCATGCCTTCCTCAGTCTGAGAACTGAGTGAGAGCAGTAACGTCGTGATGATTTTTATTAAGACTTCAAATTCAAATTCTGATGAAAAGCTTAAGTTATTCTTCGTGGGAAAAAAAGAGAAAGGTAGGTTACACTGTAGGCAAAAGAGAAGTCTGATGGAGGTTTTTCAATTCTAAGTGGTGGGGTTTCCTTTCAAATCTTGCTTCCAAAAGCTCCAGACGCCAGTCCTCCTCAACTGGTTCTGGGTCCCGCTTCGTTGATCGTTCAATTTTTTGAATTTTCTAGGAGGGGAAGGTGTTCCAATGGATTTCTCCATGGGTCTTGGCAAAGAAAGGTTTAGTTTTCAAATTTTTTAGATCAAAAGACAAAGGCCAACAGTTCCACTGTTTTATCCAAGCTCTACTCTACTGCTGTTTTATCTAATTCTATCAATGGATTAACTTGATTTAAGCTCATCCCATCTGTAACGTGCGCTTGAAGCACAAGATTTACACCCTTATTCCGCTTCGAAATCCCCACCCCACTGCCGCCGTCGCCCTCCTCATCCTCCACCCAGAACCCCTTTAATCTGCCCGTTAGAGTTCAGCAGGAGATTAAAAATAAAATGCATTAAAGAATTTCATCAGAGAAAACCAACATTCTTAATAATTCAAAAATAGAACAATTAGATATTTACAGAGAAATGCTTCCTAAGCCCTCTTCCTATAATTTAATTGTTTTCCACCTACATAAATTGGTTATTTTCAAGAACCAGAAACATTTAATTAGAAATTACAGAATGATAGTAACCCATAAACAGCAAATCAGCAGCTGCTTCACCACCACTTGTCTATTGGATTGAAGCATATCTTTTACTATGGAAGTAAATCAGCGGTTCATAGATACGATGCAAATACTCCTGTGTTGCTACAAATTTTGGGACCAGGCATGTTAGGAGAAAATGTCCAACACCATAAACTTTAATCCCACTTTACTTCTCACCAGTTGAACCACATCCGTTGAAGCGTGGCTTGGAGTTATAGGATTGAAATGATCAACATCACTTCCATCTGGGCGGATCCCGGCTCAATCCATGCCTTTTTAAAGTTTTGATGTAATCTCTCATTAGGGTGAACTTATTGCTCCCAAGATGATAGAAATAATCCCAGGTATAGATCCCAGTTTTATGCAGGTCATCAAAGAGTAACCTAGCAGCAAAAGAGAATGAACTAAATCAAAATGGAGAGGCTTATTAACCAGAGAAGCAGCCTTTAAAAATAAAGTACCTTACCCCGTAGTTTCCTACGGGCTCTGCAGACATGATCCCAATGTGACGCCTGCCAAATATCACCTGTTCAGGGATGCCAGGCATTCTGTTAGGGACTTGATGATGACCATGCAATAATCATGGTAATCAGTTGGATATATCCAAGCAATAGCCAAATTCTTCTGAAGTTGGCAATAGATAAATCATCAGCCAAAAAATTAAAAAGAGTAAATTAGTGCGTACAAACCTCTAAACCAAATTAGTGATTAATAGTTTAGACTGAATGGAAGATTAAAAATCTCTCTCTTCCTTCTCGCGCATCTTATTCACAACGCATAAGAAACCCGCAACCACGTGAAGCCTAGATGTGAGACTGGAGACTCCAGATTCCAAAATTTTTGAAGGATACTGGATGATCTCAACTATTTAAGTATGCCATCTCTTACAAAAAGACTAGGCAAAAATCATCAACTGTAAATTAAGGCTTTGGCATCCGTCTCACTTGACATTCACATTGACATCATTATCCATAGAAGTTGAAGCACATAGGAAATGAATAATTTGACCAATTACCTTTTCACCTCCAACCAACCTAACCTTACTGTCAGCAGCTGGACTATATATTCTTAAAAACTCAGCTGACAAATTATACGCACTTCCATTGGCAAATTCCACCTCTACCTGATACAAAAGTTCAGCATAAGGCAGATGAGTACAAGAAGATTACAGAAACAAACTGAGAAGTGCTAGCATATAATTAAGTCACTTTTTTTTTTACCTTTTTGTCAAGTTAGTATACACCATTAGGACAATATTGCAAAGCCGAACACCATAAGTAAGTAACAGAAATGAAACACAACAAAAAGATAGAATGTGTTCTCCAGTAACATTATCTCTGTGCATTTAACAGTGTTCTCAGAACTCTCAGCTTAGACCTTACAACTTCAGTGTAAATGTAATGACATTTCATCTTACCATTAAAAACAGAAAAAAAAAAACCAAAGAAAAAGAAATAGAGTAATGCATAAAAGATCCTGCAAACTTCAAACCAGCTCAGAAACAGAATGAANAGTCTCAGCTTACACCCTACAACTTCAGTGTAAATGTAATGACATTTCATCTTACCATTAAAAACAGAAAAAANACTCTCAGCTTAGACCTTACAACTTCAGTGTAAATGTAATGACATTTCATCTTACCATTAAAAACAGAAAAAAAAAAACCAAAGAAAAAGAAATAGAGTAATGCATAAAAGATCCTGCAAACTTCAAACCAGCTCAGAAACAGAATGAAACCCTGAATAAAGATGTGGGCTTGCCAGTTGCCCAGTTACAGTACCTAGACAAAACGTTCATTTGTTAACATTTCAGTACCTAACTAATAAGGCACTTGTCCCCTTTTTTCTTCTTATTTTTGTATATAAAGCAAAGCCTCCATGTTAGCTAGCCAACTTGCCCATTTCCCGAACTGAAAAGCATCAAGCAGGTAAAGATTTTTATGACACCACAAGATGCTCTCATGGTAAACACTAATTCTTCTACAGCAAAAAGTACCAATGTAAACAAACCCCATCAATTTCCCTCACTAATAGTTATACCCAAATGCGATTTCAAACCATTTCCAGCTTTAGGATATATTAAGTTCATGAAAAAGAAAAGAAAAAGGGCATCTGAAATGAGAAAACTAAACTTCTACAAGTCCGATCAGAGGACAATATTCTTCATATTAACCCTTTACCCGAATATGGGCACTCAATAAATCAAGTAGGCTGTTAATAAGCTATGCATTGATAGATTATATAAAAGTAAATGATTTAGATATCTAAGATCGATCATTTATGGAGAGATTAACGAAACTCAACTTGCAAAACAAATTTAGAGTAATAAACAGACGCATAGTGAAAATGAAAAGCTTACAGTCTTAGGAGCGAGGAGAGAGAATCTGGTGAGCCGCGGACAGTTCACGGCCGTCTGNGAAGAGATCGGAAATGATATAACTCATATAATCAATGCTGGTTGGCTTAAATGGATGAAAGAATATTATGTGATAGAAAGATACCAATAAAATTGAAAGATAAGTTTTACCGAACACCTACAGTATGGGACAAAATGAGTGTAGAAAATGCTAAGGTGCCGTGCCAAAAAACTAGAAAAGATAGAATACAAAATGACTGTATCAGAAAAATAGTAAGAATAGCTCCAACAGAGGATAGAAAAAAAATTAAGAGACACCGGTTTGAAAAAGTGAGTACTAGAAGTAGGATAACATTAAATTAACAATAAACGAAATAAGAAGAAAATATAAAAAAATATTTAAATTAAATAAGTGATTAAAATGAATGGCAAAATCGGATCCATATACCCTACCCCAATTGGGACATAATGTTTGGTTTAGTTTAATTTGATTTGACAGATTATATACAAAGAATAAAAAATAAGGTACTGAAAGAAGCAAAGAGATTAACGAAACTCAACTTGCAAAACAAATTTAGAGTAATAAACAGACGAATAGTGAAAATGAAAAGCTTACGGTCTTAGGAGCGAGGAGAGAGAATCTGGTGAGCCGCGGACAGTTCACGGCCGTCTGGATGCTTCGAATCGCACTCTGTATTGCATACATCCTCTCCCCCTTCTCTCTCTCTCTCTCTCTCTCTCTCTTGGTGACTCGGTGAATCGCCTAACTGCTAACTTGTAAAGCACTTATATGTCGATTCGGCTTGGACTTCCAGGCCCAATCATATTGGGCCTAATGTTCTTGAAGTGTCCGCCCATAACTCATCATGGACTATTTCAACCTGACATTGGGGTTCGTTATTTCATTGCGGTTCCAATATTTTTCTGGTGGACCCAACGTTACTAGATCTATTTTTTTTTTCTCTTCAAAAAAGAAAGTAATCAGATTTTAATTCAAATTTAATCTAAATTTGAATACATAGATATAAATTGATATTTTTTACATAATGTAATAGCGATATGAATATTTTTTGTTTTGATAACCTAGGAACTCCCCACCAACCGAGCTTATTTGGACCTATGACCAGTAGTNTTACATAATGTAATAGCGATATGAATATTTTTTGTTTTGATAACCTAGGAACTCCCCACCAACCGAGCTTATTTGGACCTATGACCAGTAGTTAACATGAACTCGCGTGCCAAATCTCTTCTCTATTAATGTCAACTTAAGGTATATATTGAGTTTATGTATAAAACACAAGTTTGACTAATTATAAAAATATATATATATATACTTATAAAAACTTTTAGAAATATTTATTTAAAAAAAACTTATNCAGTAGTTAACATGGACTCGCGTACCAAATTTCTTCTCTACGCGCGCGCAGGAGTTAAATTTAGGAGAGATGGTCCCAAGGGGCATTTTCACCCTCTAAAGTATCGAACCATTAATTAATGTCAACTTAAGGTATATATTGAGTTTATGTATAAAACACAAGTTTGACTAATTATAAAAATATATATATATACTTATAAAAACTTTTAGAAATATTTATTTTAAAAAACCTTATATAAATATGAGCTATTGTATTCCAATTGCCAATAGGATCATAATCTAAGTTGGGTTGTGTTATGTTGGGTAGTAGTAGTTATAGTTAGTTATGTCTTTCTGTAACACGTTGATTAATGGCTTCAAATAGCAAGCATGGTTGTAATATGGTCTCTTTATTACTCGTATTGTGTTTAAATTGACAAGCATAATCAAGTTATTTGTATTTCATTAAACTAATATTTTTGTTACTTGTATTTTTTTTTCGGAAAGTAATATTTTTGTTACTTGTATTATTAAATCAAGTAATAGATAAATTCTATCTTTTTTAATTAATAAGTTGGTTAATATTATTGTAATTGTGCCGGTTATCTATTTGTTCTTCAGAGACTGTCGGGGCTTATTAACTCTTCTTATCTTTAATCCAATCCCAAATATAATTGGGAGATCGCAAAACAAAAAACAATGACAGATGCTACTGTTGGTAAATGGAAGATATTTCAGCCAGTACCAAGAAGTTGAAAGTTGTCATCCNGCTTATTAACTCTTCTTATCTTTAATCCAATCCCAAATATAATTGGGAGATCTCAAAACAAAAAACAATGACAGATGCTGCTGTTGGTAAATGGAAGATATTTCAGCCAGTACCAAGAAGTTGAAAGTTGTCATCCAAGTTTCCTGCTTAGAGTTGATTCTAGAGACGCTGAGATTAGAATAAAGAAAGCAAGGGATGGAAGTGAGTCCATTGCAGAAAAGACTTGTGGACAAATCAAAACCATTGTTTAGAAAAATTCAGGTATTTTGTATGTGGTGTAATATGGCTATAATGATCATTGCTTTTGTTTCTGGTTTGGTATTCTGTTCTAGGCTGGCTCTAATTTGGTTTAGGTGTTTAGGTTTACAGGGTTCTTAGATAATCACAGTAATCTTCAACAACTTCAAGATGTGAGCAACCCAAATTTCCCGGTTGAAGTGGTATCTCTTTTTTCCAGTACTCTTAAAAGCTTNTCATCACAATAATCTTCAACAACTTCAAGATGTGAGAAACCCAAATTTCCCGGTTGAAGTGGTATCTCTTTTTTCCAGTACTCTTAAAAGCTTCTCAATGATCTAACTAAACCACCCTTCATGTTTCTGTCACTCATGACCTATAAGCTTAAGAGACAACAATATTTGTTGTCTAAGCATTTTATATGTATTTTGATCTAATTGAGAAGTGGTGGGTCTTGAACATTACTTCATTCACCCCTTCAACAATCTTTCTCTCTCTCTCTCTCTCTCTCAATAACTGTTAAATTTTATTTCTTAGGTGTGTTCTGTTTTGGCATTTAAATACCCAGTTACTGAATGTGGCAAACTAAGCTACCTATTATTATTCCTTACATCCCTTCATCTTCTTNACTTCATTCACCCCTTCAACAATCTTTCTCTCTCTCTCTCTCTCAATAACTGTTAAATTTTTTTTCTTAGGTGTGTTCTGTTTTGGCATTTAAATACCCAGTTACTGAATGTGGCAAACTAAGCTACCTATTATTATTCCTTACATCCCTTCATCTTCTTTTAATAATAACATTGAATCAATTTATGTGTATTATTAATTATCTTTAATACCAATAACTCCTATCTGGTTTCTATCCTAAGCTCATCATATTCTATGTTAATTTTCCTCCATCACCATCTTCTTGACTAACAAGGTTCTCTTTGACAGATTGACTAACGAGAAAGNCCATTTTTTTGTATTATTAATTATCTTTAATACCAATAACTCCTATCTGGTTTCTATCCTAAGCTCATCATATTCTATGTTAATTTTCCTCCATCACCATCTTCTTGACTAACAAGGTTCTCTTTGACAGATTGACTAACGAGAAAGGTTGATGACCAACTTGCCCTGGAATTAGGATGTCCAAGGCTGGTGAGGAGTCTGTTTTTGTAGGTAATAGACTCATTCTAACATAATAATAGTTTGTTAGGAGGCTACCTTACTTTTTGTATGATTAATCTTGTGATTTGAGTCCCCCCGTGTTTTATTTCTGGATTGCATATTAGTGCTTCCTATTTTCCTTTCATGCTCAAATTCATTCATCAAACTCAATTCTTTGATATCTTTTACTTATTTGGGACCTACTTTGAGGATCTAATACATTGTGCTCAAATTAGTAGTGGATCATCCACTATTTCTCTAAAGGCCACATCCCAAATTAGGTACAAGTGTTGTTATGATCATTTCTCTTTGTTCAATGCATGCTTGTTATTATCATTCAGATGATTATACTTAAAATTTGGCTGCTACTTAGTATCAACAATAAGTCTGAAAAATATCTAAAAATATAAAATTGTGATATTTATACCCTGTCGAAATAAGGAACCATGACATATATGTTTGGAATGAATACATTCCATTTTGAGAGAGTTGAAAAAGCACCCTTTTTTTTGGGTGTGAAACAGTGTGACTACCTTGTTACTACGACTTCACTCCAGTCACTAGCCCAGTATTTGGCATCCCCCTCTATGCTTGTTTAAATACACGTTTGTTATCATCATTTTGTCGATTACAAGTGTATGGCGTAATATATACTTTAGACCAATCATCGAAAAGATGAGTAATAAGCAAATTCATGATTCAAATTAACACTTATATTTATACCTTTGTGGCATTCAGATAGCACGTTTATACTTATATGTCGCTTTGATTGATTTTTGATTACTTTGCACATTGGATATTGAGTTTTTAAATTTTATGCTGTCAAATGTGGACGAGTAATTCTACACTGACCAAATTTGAGGACTAAATTTAGAGCTCAAATGACATGACAACTGACTTTGGCTTCTTTATTTTGTGTCATGTCATTTGGGCCTCAATAAGAGCTCCAAATAATGTGTTGTCAAGTCATTTGGTCCTAAGATTTGATCAACATAGCATTACTGAATGTAGACTTACTCTGCGTTTTTTTTATAATTCCCTTTGCACACTTAGTTTGTATATTTACACTAATTTTGTATTCATTTTTAGTATTTACATGTCGTTTCTATAATTTATAGGCCTTGATAGTCCCAAGGCAATCTATAGACAAATTGTAAGCGAGCCGAAGCAAAAGGATGTGTTTCAAAGCATCTTCTGCATGAACCTTTTTTTCAAAATAAACTCAAGAATACTGTTGAACATCTGCATCTACCAAACATAATTTTATCTATTCCATCAATAGTTGGGCTGGTACTTCAGAAAGAATTTTCAAATTCAATTCATTTTTTAGTGCAATAAACTGATTTTGCTAGCTGCAAATTGAGCCTACAATTCTTAAACTGAGTCATCACATTGCTACGTACTCTGTATTTTTTTGACCCTGAACACTTGAAGAAGAGTTCTAGATTCGAAACTTCTCTTGGAGTGTTCCCGAATGAGTTTCAAATCAAATAGGTGGTTGTTTGTGTTGTGTCAACGTCGGATTTGACAACCCAAAGGGAAAGAACGAGACTGAGTTGGTTTGTTGTGCCTATGCTTATTAGCCATAGCATCTGGAACTGTTCACAAAAAGTAAAAGGCAATGTTATATGCCCCGACCCATGGAATTGGAAGGTATAGAGAAAATAATTCAGCATTTTTTACAGTATTATGGATAGAGATGCCAAAAGTATAAGACCAACCATATGCTTCTTCTTGGCACAAAGGTCAACGGTGATTGTTGTCGCTACCTAAGGAAATATATATCTAAACAAAATTCTTAAAATTGATGAAAAAATTAGTATAAAAATTCAGCTGTATTTTAATTTCAATCTATATTTTACCAACGCCAACTCAACTATAATTCAAAACTATTCACGTGCAAAAGTTTGCACGTGTGCATTAACTAGTTAGATTAAAACTGAGTTTTATCTAATATTAAAATTTACAAATAATTCACTAAATGCATTAAATTAGATCCGTGATTAAGTCTTTAAATCAAGTCTCTATAGCATGAGATAGATAGCTCTTGGGGTCAACTAATGAAAAATTTATTCGTTATGAATATCTTAATTCTCGCATAGGTAGCATTCCTTTGACTAAACCAAAGAAGAGATTAGGTGAGGGGCACATATGCTGGTCCGAACACCCCTGCCTGTTAAATTAAAAAAGAATAATATTATTAAAACTTAAAAATCTGATCTAATTTGTTGATACAACGACGTAGCAATTATATCAATTATTGTGACGGTAACTATTAGACTTTTTTATTGGGACTTTATCACTTGACATGTTATTAGATTAATAAATTATATTAATTTTTTAGATTTCAATAATTTTGTTTACCAAAACAAGATAAATAGCCGTTATATCCTACTCGCCTAAACAATCGGAACCCATTCAAAAAATTCGACCGTTATACTTTCCGGAAAAAATTCGACCGTTATGCTTCGTCCTCCCTCCTCTCTTTTCGCTCTCTCAACTTAGACTATCCAAGAAAGAGTTTCAAATCCAGTCCTAAACGAACCCAAATATGATGAGTGACGAAGAACCAAAACAAAGCCCTGAAAACGGAAAATATTCCCCACCAAAACAACCAGACACAATCGAAAACGGCGAAAAAATTGATACCATGCTCAGCCCGGGGTTCAGATCCGTGGCTGCAATGGCCGGTTGGGATGAAGAGACGCTTCTAATCGCAAGTTCTGTCGTGGAAGACACACCCGATCGCGGTCCCAAACAGACGAAACGCCCCGATTTACACTTCAAGACTCCACCAACCAATTCAAGAAGGTATAATATTATATATTCAAAACATTGACGTAGATAAGTACTTTCTTTGTCTTTTGAGAGGCTTTTTACTTGATATTGGATTGTTGTCTTTTCAGAAAACGCAGGGCCGCCCAGAGGAAGAGTCCTGTTTCCACACCTGTAGAGGTTCTTAACCTTGATGAAGATGAAAGTACCAAAGAAGGTAATGTGTTTACTTACTGTATTTGTGGATGATCTTTTTGGGCAAGTTTGTTTCTTTACCTTCTTTCGTGTTACCGATCTACAGAATGTGTGAAAACGAAGACAGAGCCCAAAATCAAAGCCAATGAATTTAATAAAACAAATAACGACGAGGAGTCGATTGCACAGGGCTCTGGTGATTCTTGTTCAAGTTCGGCTATTCCGTGCATGGACAAACTCCGGGAAGAGCTTTCTTGCGCAGTAAGAGTCTTCCTCTTCTTGTTCTTGAATTGGGTTTCCTAGTTCAACACTGCTATGCTTCCGTCCCAAATAACGTGTCACAATTTTTACCATCAAATAAGTGGGTCATTCAATAATGGAGATTGTGTCACATCAATTGGGATGAAAAACTTGATAAAGAACTTAGTAAGCATAACATTACTGTTACTAGTTTCCTCTATTTATAATTCGATCTGATCCATGTTGTAGATTTGTTTGGAGATTTGCTTCGAACCCAGCACCACTCCTTGTGGTCACAGGTAAAACCAATTTTATAATTTCAATTCAGTTCAATTTCAGATCATCTTAGTGTGAATTAATTAATCAATTCTCAAAAATTATTGTAAATTTTTCAGTTTTTGGAAGAAATGTTGAAACCAATATGACAAATTTGTAGTTTTTGCAAGAAATGTTTGAGATCTGCGGCAGACAAATGCGGGAAGCGATGTCCAAAGTGCAGGCAGCTCATTAGGTACTTTTAATCATACTTCTAATCTGAACAGACAATCCTTTAAGGCCTCCTTAAACTGTGATTGAAAGATTTGAACTCTTTTTATTGTTATTTTTTTTTATTGGGTTGTTGAATTTTTGTAGCAATGGAAGATCCTGCACTGTGAACACGGTTCTGTGGAATACTATACAGCTCCTGTTTCCACAAGAGATCCAAGCAAGGAAGGCAGCTGCAGCCTCAAAGGGGGGCCAAGAAGCAGAAGAGCTTCAAAGTCTTGCCGGAATGAGTCGTTATAATGTGCGAAACCGGACTGTACTTGCATTAGAAAGTCCCGAGGCCGAACGCCAAGTCCCAGAAAGGAGGAGCCATCACAGGCTGAGAAATCAAGGTGTCCAGCCTTCCGAGATATCGAGCAGAGGAGGAGATGGTGTGAGGAGACGAAGAGAGGTGCCAAGCCAAGATGAGGATGCTGCATTGGCTTTGAGATTGCAGAGAGAAGAGTTCATGGATGCTTATAGAGGAGGCACTGACGAGCAATACAGAAGCTCTTTTACATCAGCCAGAGCAAACTTGAGAGCTATGGCATCTAGAGCCATTAATGTCCGTCTTAGAGGCCGGCCAACCTAGAGCTTAATTTGTCATTGCTTGTTCTAAACATTCTGCAAACCTAATACTTACTTATTTTTTTTGGTTTACCCGTTAACGGTATCCGAACCAATTTTTGAACACCATGATTCCTCTCTTTCTAGCTTTTTTTTTAGCTTACAGGCACCTCGACTCTCCTATCTGATCTAGTCAAAGTCCGGACCAACTTACAAGCATTTCAACTCCCCTCTATTTGAGATTTTTTTTTTTTGATTTAACGATCAGGAGTGTTCAAACTAGCCTACGAGCACCTCAATTCTCCTCTCCTCTCTGGTCCAGTCAAAGAGAGGTATCCACGTCGGGATTAATATACTCATAAAATGACCTTGCCCTAAAAAATTATCAAAATTTAAATTCGCGGATATCTTAGTTTATAGTTCGTCTCTGTTCTTAATTTATATGAAGAAATTGAATACATTTACGGGCATGTTTGGTATGTTTTTTGGGAGGGATTTAGATTAGCTTGTTCAAATCTAGGTTTAACCAAAGATGGAATTCAAAGAAGGGATTTAATATTCAATGTTGTACATACTCATGTTTAGTATGCACAGGATATATGACTATTATGGTAATATATTTGTATTTAAATAACTAATTTAATCTAAACATGAGTATGGATATATGGACCCATAAATGTCATTTGAATGTAAAACCCCCAAACCCACATGAAACCCACCCCCACCCATGGATTTCATGAAACCCATGAACAAGGGTTTCATGACCGGTCGAATTTTAATAGTTACCAAATATGAGTTTAAGGGATTTAGTCATCAACCCATGTTCCAAAACCACCCCAAACCCAATTTCAATAGTTACCAAATATGAGTTTAAGGGATTTAGTCACCGACCCATGTTCCAAAACCACCCCAACCCCACATACCAAACAGCCACCTAATCCTCCCCCCTTGAATTAACCGGAGGCTCAATGTTGAAGTCCAAGAGGTAGAATCGAAACTGCTGAAATTCTGACATATTTTGGTGTGTAAAGATGTGCCATAGAATTTGTCACAAACACGACATTATGTTAATGTTTAATGTGCAAAAAAATTCATAGGAAACATAACATAACCTAGGTCTTCTATTGTTTAGTGGGAAGACATCAGAATCCATCAGACGTCACATTGCCCGAATGATCTGTAATAAAGTAGCATGTTAAAGATTCGATGCTCTTCTTTGAATCCCCTGCCCCTGTAGAGTAAAAAATCGTTGCTATCAAAAATAAAAAACATGAATCACCCATTAAACATGGATCCCACTTAAATTCATGATCCATCCACCAGAAATTGAGAAGAAATGTAACAGGAGATCGATCTTTCAACCAAAATCAACTGGCTGATTTTGTGAGCCATTTAGCTTTTGATAGATCAGAATGAATGGAATTGAATGAGTTTTAAATCGATTTTGGTTCACATAATTTACAGAGGCGTATAATGTCCGACAAATCTGAATTGCAAAATTGTGGTGACCGAAGCCATAACCATGGTACCTCTCACCAAATTACACATTACAAGGGAATTTCAAAGGACCCAAGTGCTTAAAAAATTTAATATGTATGGCATTTCCGAGCAGCTCAGTTAGTGTCTGTGAGAATGCTTTCGGCCGCTATTATATGCATCACCCTTCTCCCTGCTCCTTCTCTGTAAGATTCTGAACGCAAAGGAAACAAATCCAATGGCAGCCATGGCATAAAATGCTCTGTAAGGAGCCAAGGCCAAGCCCGAAAGATAGGAATAGTATCCAGAGAGCAAGTAGGCAAAGCTTAGGCTAACTTCCCATCCCTGGATGCCTGGGAAGGGAAACAAGAAAAAATCGAACCCAGGCTTTGAATCACAAACACCATGGAGGATGACACCAATACAAAATGCTGAATCCCAGAACCATGGAAAGCTTTGACCTATACCTATTCTCTGCAAACATGGAAGGGTCCAATAAGAATGCTATGAACAATAAACATTGTTTCCAAGCAAGTTCAGATGGATGGAAGATATTTGAGAGCACCAGTGCATGATTTCATAACTTACTGCAAATGTGAAGAGTTCAACGAACAGAAAACAAAATAAAACAGATGATTAGGAAGGCAAAACTGATATGAGTAATCTCTCATATACAGGCCATAAACTTGTACAAATTCAGAAGCCAATAAACTGTATGCACTGTAAAATACACCCAAGTTGAAGCCAAAGAGATATGATCAAGAACTGGAAAAATAAAACAGAAAAGGCCATGGAGAATGTGACTAGCCCCTAAGGGTTGAAGAAAAGAATGATGGAAGTGAGAAGACATAGAAGGTGAAGTGAAAAAAATGAAAAAACAGAAGGAAAGTATGTTTTCATGCATGCAACTGATTAGGACAAGAAAGTTTTCAAACATTAGTAGGAGAATTTTACTTTATAAAGCACAAAAGTTGCAAGAAATTTTTTATACTGGACGAGAAAGTGTCATTCCTCACTAAAAACTTAAGTTTTCAAAGTAGCAAATCAGTTTTCTGAAGTTTTCTCACATGTATTTGGCTAGAATTATATTATTATTTCAAAGAAGCGAATCAGTTTCACTTTAGGAGTTGTAGAGCAAGAAAGTCATTGCGACTGTCATGGGAAATTTTTAATTTTCTGGAGTTTTTGCAAGAAAAATATCTGGTTACTCCTGAGAAAATCAATTAAATATAGGAAAGGCACTTTCTCAATTATTTTCAGTTTCCTATTAACAGAACTCATCGAAAATGGCCAAAAATCTTCTCTTTCCTGTTTTTTTCAAAATTCTCCATACTACCAAACACAGCCTTAATGCATAATATTTCTAAAATTAGATATATTAAAGCAATTTTTTCTAGTTAACTAAATAAAACCCTTATTGGGCTACTTAGGGTTCAAAATTAGTTGTGCCATGATTAGTTGACGTGAAAACGTTACATTGAACCCTGCACAAAAACACAAAAACATGGACAATAAGTATTAAGTAAGCATTATATGAGTAAGCATATCATGCAGTATTCAGTACACTCTAGCAGAAATTCGGGGAAGAACCAAAGTTCTAGATAGGATATAGGACAATTTAGTATTTCTTCGTTCATTCCCATCCAATCAAAAAAGGTTTTTTTATGATTGCGTGGATTGATTTCTAGATCTTGATGAATTGTAAGATCGATCTAAACCAGCCCATCATATTATGGATATGATTCAACATGCCAACTATTAAACAACTTACTAGAAATACAAGATAGCCAATCCGAAATGTCACGAAATCCCCCACTCTTGGGGGATGCCCTCAGCGTCGAGGAACATGTACCACCCTCAAATAACTAAATATATATTGGGATGTCTCTTAGTAATGGCTAATGGTTGCTCGCATGATTTGGAATAGAGTAATATCTTCTATGTAAAACATGAAGCAGCTCTATCTAAGAACTTCTAATTGAGATATGAATATACACTAGATTGTACAAAAAGGTTGTTGTCACACAAAGGAAGGGACACATCATTTATACCTGCAGCCAAGCCACAAATGAGGGGACAAACATCAGTGCTGCAAGCAGATGTAAAACCAGCAAGCCATGGCAGTGGTGGAAGATCTCTAACTGTGTGTCTTCATAGCTTCTTGCAGAGTCTGGGCTGCTGGAACTATTCTCGTCCACAGGAAATTGCTTGTTGACTCCACCATCATATTTGAATACAAGTTGCTTAGAGCTTTGGTCGCCTTCATTTCTGGAATCAAATAACTCCTTATTTTGGGCATGGCTGCGAAAGGAAGCCGTCAAAAAACTGTTTACAAAGACAAGAATTGACTTTTAGCATCACCTTTTTCACACCAAACATAAACATCAATCCTAGACAAACCTCTCAAATGCATTAACTATGTGGAGTTTGATAATAGGAAAAAAAAAAGAAGCAAATGTCACACAATTGCAAATGTGCATTTGACATATTACAAAATAGAACAGGGAGTCATTTCCAAAGTTTAGTGCTTGTGTTTCTCATATTGAACGGGTGTACTCCTCAAACACAGTGCAAAGTGCATGCAGTAGATGGATAATGACCACGACTGAACCAAACCAAATCAAGTCTTTTCTCCCAATCATTTGGGTAAGCTACATGAACCTTATTTTGTCACTACTCCATCAAGGGTCATGTAGTTAAACCATACTCACTCATGTCCCTCACTGACGTCATTCCATGTCAATTGGTCTTCCCTCCCCTTAGCATTTCTCCTCTATCTCTGCCCCAGAATATTTATGGGGGTTCAACATTCAATTAATTGGATATCCATGATAAACAGAATGAAACTGCCAATGGCTTTGTGCAACAAGTGCAAACCTTCGTGGTGTTCTAAACGTTACTGGTAAAAAATAATACTACCCAAAATCATCCTTGTGCAATGAAAAGGAACCCTGTAAGTTTTGGATTATTAAAGCCCAGCAGATTAATTGTAATCTACAACAGGAGTCTAGCAGAACTGATTTCTTAATGACGTAAAGAGGTACCCCACTATAGAGATTACCAACCTACATAATTAGTTATTGCATCCTCTTATGAGCTCAAAACTGCTGTTAAAATTTAGATACATTTGAGTGCCAGAAGATCCCCATCTTTTAAATTCTGGTTGAGCTTTCAGTTGATTGCCACCTTCTTATTTCATGCATCAGACTCAAAGATATACTAAAACACAATATGGGAACAAAATTCTTGTTTATGATACAGGATCTTACCTAGAGTCTACTTCTTTTAAGCTAATATTAATAGGTTGCCATTGTATTCTTGGGGGCTATATAGTATTCTTATGATCAAGAAATAAAAGTAGAGGATAAGAAAGGAGGCCATTTCCCAGTACTTCATATCCTCAATGCAATTTGCTGGGATGGACAAATTGGATACAGACTTGGCCATGGCTATTACTTGCAAAAAATACGGCTCTCACAATCAAACCCGTGTTGCGATGCTCGACAGCAAGTGCCTCCACCATCACAAAGCTGAGATTTTGTACAGACTTGTCCATCAGCATTACTGGCAAAAAGTGGCTGCTTTCACACTGAAACCCATATGTTATGCATAGCAAGTGCTTCCATCTTCACACAGCTGACGTCGTGGAGTAGGACACTTTCACAATTGTTTTTTTTTTTTTTTTGGGGGGGGGGGGGAAGGAGGAGGGGGATCTTCGTTTGAGAGAGAAGGAAACTAAATCTAAAACTCAATTTGACATCAGCAATTGTTAAATATGCTGGGCAAGAATAGGTTGTTTTTTTTCATATTAAGATCCCAGAACTTAAAACATCACATAATATTTATTTCGTTCATATACAAAAATACTCATTTCGTTAAGAAAAATAAAATGAATACCATAGCCAATATGAAACTGGAATTGTACCTGGACAGCGCATTGTGACAGCATAAAGCTTGGCATAAGAGCAATATAAAGAGACCCAAAGCTGGATGAACCAAGCACACCAAGGTGATTGCAACCAGTGATGTAACAAGAAAGGGCTTGACCCTTATGATCTTTACGACCTGCTTACGAATAAATTGGATAATTGAGAAATTAGTCACCCGTCACTATATGAGTCTTGGGGTTTAAAGAATTCAACCACTAACAATGTGATTCTCAGCTACTAATTACATAACTGCATCAGAAAAAAAAAATTACCTTGAATGATAAAAAAAAGGAGGCAAGACAGACGAACCAGCGAAGAAACAAAAAACAAAAGTTTCTTTCCCACACCTGCCACCTGCAAAATATCACCTCGTCTTTAGCTGATAAGAAGGGTGGCTTCAACTTACAATCCAGAGAAGATATCAAAATAAGCATCTTAGGGTTAGACGATTATAGATATTTTAACAAAGGTTATCAACTTCTCCAGGATGGCCCTCGACAAGTTGTGAATGAATAACTGCATGACATTTGGGAAGGTGTGCAAGGGCTCAAGCTAGGATGTAAGCTCTTATTGCTTGTTATATAAAGGAATGTTGAAATATAAACATGTGAACTATACAAAAAGGTGCATGTCAAGATTAGCCAGGAAAACAAAGCAGCACTCAAAAGAGAAAGCAAACTAGGCTGTGTTAAGAATAGTAGGGTAGTATGTGTAAATTGTTAATAGTAAGAGGGTAAATGTGTAATTCTTATTATTGAAGGTTAACTATAAATACAAGTGATATATGAGAACTAGGTTAAGTTTTTAACCTCTCTCTGTTTCTCCCTAAATATTGTCTCTAATATTATGTTAATCTTTCAAACTTAACATGGTATCAGAGTAAGGTTTAATACTAAATATATTTAGAAAATAAATTAACTCGATTTGTTATGGTGGTACTGTTGATCGTCGTTCACTGTGTGTGGTAGTGTTGTCAGTGGTGGTCTGTTGTGGTGTATGTGTTGTGGTGGTTCCTGGTGGTGTGGTGGCAGTGTTGGTCGTCGCTTGTGGTGTGTGCTATGTCAAATAGTACTCTTCATGGTAGTGGTGTAGTTGTGGTGGCTGAGGTGCATAGAGGTAGCGATGGTCGTCGCTTGGGAGTGTTGTGTCGTAGACGGTAGCAGTAGTGGATCATCATTGGAGGTGAGGCGTGGTCTAGTGGTGTGGTTGTGGTTTGTGGTGGCTGTGTGAGGCGTGGACTGTGGTGACTGCTAATCGGTTCAGTAGAGGAGCAGTTGAGTTACAGAAGACGGTTTTCTGAAACCCTAACCAATGAAGAAGAAACAGCCCACCCGATCCACTTCGGGTCAACCACAGTTGGTTCGGTTCAGACTAATTTCAACCCCGATCATCACGGTTCAGGGCTCCAGTAAGCCAAACCGGCCCGGTTCAGTGCTTCAACGAGTCAAACCGGCTCGGTTCAATGATCCAGCAAGCCAAACCGGCCCGATTTAGTGATCCAGCTAGCTTTTCTGCTCCGGTTCAGTGATTCAGTAGCCTTTTCTTCTCCGGTTCAGTAGTCCAGTACCATTTTCTAGTCTGGTTCAGCAGTCCAGTGGACTTAATTGATCCAGTTCAACGTTCCAATGAGATTTTCCAATNAATGATTCAGTAGCCTTTTTTTCTCCGGTTCAGTAGTCCAGTACCATTTTCTAGTCTGGTTCAACGGTCCAGTGGACTTAATTGATCTAGTTCAGCGTTCCAATGAGATTTTCCAATCCAATTTGGTGATCCACCAACCTTTTCTTCTTCGATTCAGCAGTGCAGTAGGTAATTCTTGTTCGGTTCAGTGATCTAGTGATTTCTCTTTTCTATTGCTACACTTATGGAACTCAAGCAAGACACGGAGTTGGTTACTATTACACGGGAGGAGTATGCTCAGTTCCTGTCCCAGCAACAGGTTGTCCTATCTCCATCCACTGCTACTTTTGTCCAATCAGGTAATGCTTCCACTTTTTTATTGTCCTCCAATCGCAGTCCCTNTCGTCCAATCTCCATCCACTGCTATTTTTGTCCAATCAGGTAATGCTTCCACTTTTTTATTGTCCTCCAATCGCAGTCCCTGGATCATAGACTCTGGCGTTTCAGACCACATGCTTGTGTGTCTGATATTTTTTTTACCTATCAGTCTACTACTTCCACACGTAGTGTTACTCTTGTCAATGACACTTGTTCTCAAATTTCAAGTTTGGGGACTACTAACTTGAGTCCTGATATGTCCCTATCTTCCGTATTATTTGTTNGACTGGTGGGTCTGATATTTTTTCTACCTATCAGTCTACTACTTCCACACGTAGTGTTACTCTTGTCAATGACACTTGTTCTCAAATTTCAGGTTTGGGGACTACTAACTTGAGTCCTGATATGTCCCTATCTTCCGTATTATTTGTTCTTCAGTTTTCTTTTAGTTTACTCTCCATTAGCAAGATTATCCGTTCTCTCAATTATTCTGTAACTTTTTATCCCTCTTATTGAGTCTTTTAGGATCTCAAGACGAAGAGGAAGATTGGTANTTCTTTTAGTTTACTTTCCATTAGCAAGATTATCCGTTCTCTCAATTATTCTGTAATTTTTTATCCCTCTTATTGAGTCTTTTAGGATCTCAAGACGAAGAGGAAGATTGGTACGGGGCATGAAGCTGGTGGACTATATTACTCTGATTTTGATTCACCTACTCGGGCTTTACAGACCTCGTTGTCTCATTTTCAGTGGCATTGTAGTCTTAGACATCCCTCTCTTCAGAATCTGATGCGTCAAGTTCCTAGTCTTAGTTGTGTGTCGTCTATCTTGTAAAGCTTGTCAACTTAGTAAGTATCATCGTGTGTCATTTCAGTCTAGAGTCACTAATCGTGTGTCTAGTCTATTTGAGTTAGTACNGTATTGTCGTCTTAGACATCCCTCTCTTCAGAATCTGATGCGTCAAGTTCCCAGTCTTAGTTGTGTGTCGTCTATCTTGTAAAGCTTGTCAACTTAGTAAGTATCATCATGTGTCATTTCAGTCTAGAGTCACTAATCGTGTGTCTAGTCTATTTGAGTTAGTACATTCTGATGTATGGGGTCCAATAAAGAATATTTCATCTAATAAATATCCTTATTTTGTGTCGTTTGTGGATGACTATTCTCTGTGACTTGATTGTTTCTGATGAAAGCTCGGTCTGAATTGTTCTCTATTTTTGAGACCTTTCGTAAGGAAATAAAAACTCAATATGATTGTCGTATCCGTATTTTACGTTCTGATAATGCTCGGGAATATGAATCTGATCCTTTTTTAATTTATCTTAATAAAGCTGACATTATTCATCAGACTTCCTGTACTTACACATCTCCATAGAACGGTGTTGCTGAACGCAAGAACCGTTATTNGAAATATAAATCTGATCATTTTTCAGCTTATCTTAGTAAAACTAGCATTATTCATCAGACTTTCTGTGCTTACACATCTCCACAGAACGATGTTGATGAACGCAAAAACTGTCATTTGTTGGAAGTCACCCATGCCCTGTTGTTTCAGATGAATATTTTCTGATATTTTTGGTGTGATGTTGTTCTTACTGCTTGTCACCTTATTAATCGTATGTCATCCTCTGTGTTAAATGGACAAAGTCTATATTCTNAAACTAGCATTATTCATCAGACTTTCTGTGTTTACACATCTCCACAGAACGATGTTGATGAACGCAAAAACTGTCATTTGTTGGAAGTCACCCATGCCCTGTTGTTTCAGATGAATATTTTCTGATATTTTTGGTGTGATGTTGTTCTTACTGCTTGTCACCTTATTAATCGTATGTCATCCTCTGTGTTAAATGGACAAAGTCTATATTCTGTCCTTTATCCTGGTAAGCCCTTATTTTCCCCAACTCCTAAGGTTTTTAGATGTGTCTGTTATGTTCACAATTTAGGTCCTAGGTTTGATAAACTTGACCCTCGATCTACCAAATGTGTATTTCTTGATTATTCCCGCACACAGAAGGGGTACCGTTGCTACAATCCTTCTCTGCGACGATACTTTATTAGTACCGATGTCACGTTTGAGGAATCTGATCCATATTTTCCAACACCTTTTCAGCCTTTGNTATCCTTTATCCTGGTAAGCCTTTATTTTCCCTAACTCCTAAAGTTTTTAGATGTGTCTGTTATATTCACAATTTAGGTCCTAGGTTTTATAAACTTGACCCTCGAGCTACCAAATGTGTATTTCTTAGTTATTCCCGCACACAGAAGGGGTACCGTTGCTACAATCCTTCTCTGCGACGATACTTTATTAGTGCCGATGTCACGTTTGAGGAATCTGATCCATATTTTCCAACACCTTTTCAGCCTTTGGATCTAGACTTTGGGTCGTCTCTTGTACCACCATCTCTTCCCTCATCTTCAGATATTCTGTTGTCCACTGTGTTACCATCTACTTTATCTTTTCGTGTCTACTCTCGCCGTCCTCGCCCATCGACTGAGGTGCCTGTGCCGTCTTCCTTGCCACCTTCTAATCCTGGTACATCAGGTAATTTAGACTCTTTACCTATTGCTCTTCGTAAAGGTACTNGCTGTCCACTGTGTTACCATCTACTTTATCTTTTCGTGTCTACTCTCGCCGTCCTCGCCCATTGACTGAGGTGCCTGTGTCGTCTTCCTTGCCACCTTCTAATCCTGGTATATCAGGTAATTTAGACTCTTTACCTATTGCTCTTCGTAAAGGTACTCGTTCGTGTGTTACTCATCATCTCATTTCTCATTTTGTTTCATATGATGCCTTGTCTCCTGTCTTCTCCTGTTTTACTTTCCAATTATCTGCTATATCTATTCCTAAGCATTTATTGGATGCATTATTTGATTCGGGTTAGAAGAAAGCTATGGAGGAGGAGATGGATGTTTTACATCATAATGGGACTTGGGATCTCGNCTGGATGCATTATTTGATTCGGGTTGGAAGAAAGCTACGGAGGAGGAGATGGATGTTTTACATCATAATGGGACTTGGGATCTCGTTCCTTTATCCTCTGGTAAACGAACTGTTGGTTGTCGTTGGATGTATACTGTTAAATTTCGTCTAGATGATTCTGTAGAGCGTCTCAAAGCCCGACTTGTTCCAAAGGGCTTTACTCAGACTTATGGTGTTGATTATGAGGAGACTTTTTCTCCTGTTNTGGTAAACGAACTGTTGGTTGTCGTTGGATGTATACTGTTAAATTTCGTCCATATGATTCTGTAGAGCGTCTCAAAGCCCGACTTGTTCCAAAGGGCTTTACTCAGACTTATGGTGTTTGATTATGAGGAGACTTTTTCTCCTGTTGCCAAAATTTTCTCTGTTCGTGTCATGATTTCTTTGGCTGTTAATCTTGATTGGCCCTTGTTTCAGTTAGACATCAAGAATGTCTTCCTACATGGTGACTTGGTTGAAGAGGTATACATGGAACAGCCACCTGGATTTACTGCTCAGGGGGAGTATGGTAAGAGTGTATGTCAGTTAAAAAAATCTTTGTATGGTTTGAANCAGGGGGAGTATGGTAAGAGTATATGTCAGTTAAAAAAATCTTTGTATGGTTTGAAGCAGTCACCGAGGGCATGGTTTAGTAAGTTTTCAGATGCAATTTTAGAGTTTGGTCTTCTTCGATGTCAGACAGATCATTCTGTGTTTCATAGACAGATAGATGCTGGATATGTCCTATTGGTGGTCTATGTAGATGATATTGTGATTACTGGAAATGATTCTGAGGGAATTGTCAAGTTAAAAATATTCTTACTTGATCGATTTCATACCAAGGATTTGAGAAATCTCAAGTATTTCTTGGGTATTGAGGTGACTCGATCTAAATAGGGTATTTGTTTATCCCAAAGGAAATATGTATTTGACATGCTTGAAGAAGCAGGTTTGCTGGATGGTAGACCGATTGATGTTCCTATGCATCCAAATCAGAAATTATTGATGGATGATGGTGCATTGTTTGAGAATCCAGGTCGGTATCACAGATTGGTTGAAAAACTTAATTATCTCACTATTACTCGACCGGATATTTCCTATGCAGTCAGTATGTTCATGGGATGTCCTAGAGTACCACATTGAAAGGCAGTTACTTGTATTCTGCGATATCTCAAACGAGCTCCTGGACTTGAACTGTTATATCGAGCTAATGGACATCTTAGAGTGGAAGGTTTCTCAGATGCTGATTGGGCTGACTCTCCTTCTGATCAGAAATCAACCACTGGTTATTGTACTTTCTTAGGAGGTAATGTTGTCTCGTGGAAAAGTAAGAAGTAACCCGTGGTTGCAAGATCCAGTGCTGAGACTGAATATAGGGCAATGGCACATATGACGAGTGAGTTGACTTGGTTACTACACTTTCTCCAGGAAATTAGGTTTCCAGTTCAACTTCCTTTACAGTTGTTCTGTGGCAACCAGGCAACTATCCATATCGCTGTCAATCCTGTGTTTCACGAGAGAACCAAGCATATTGAGGTTGATTGTCACTTTATTCGGGACAAGATAGTAGTTGGGGAGATTACAACTCTATTTGTGAAATCTGAAGATCAGCTTGCAAATATGTTTACCAAAGCATTGAGCTGTACACATCTTACAGTTATTTGTTCCAAGCTTGGATTATATTATATATATAGTCCAGCTTGAGAAAGAGTGTTAAGAATAGTAGGGTAGTATGTGTAAATTGTTAATAGTAAGAGGGTGAATGTGTAATTCTTATTATTGTAGGTTAACTATAAATACAAGTGATGTATGAGAACTAGATTAAGTTTTTAACCTCTCTGTTTCTCCCTAAATATTGTCTCTAATATTATGTTAATCTTCCAAACTTAACAGGCTGAATGGATGGGCATCCTATCAAAATCCAATATGAAGATTAATGAGACACCCAGCACCTGGCCCACGCAAAAGTAAAAAAAAAAACACAAGTCAAAAAGGACTCCATCATTGGACACTCATGGACAAGAGAAGAGGAAAAAACCTACACTCTAATAAAAGAAGGAAACACTTTTTCNAACACAAGTCAAAAAGGACTCCATCATTGGACACTCATGGACAAGAGAAGAGGAAAAAACCTTGTGAGATTATTTTCTTCCTTTGTGAAAAAGATTTTTTAGGTCTCTGTCTAGTAGATTAACAAGAAGGCAAACTAGCTATCTACTATGTCTCTCTCCACTGCCATAACGAAAATCCCTCTCACCCACACCAAAAAAGAAAAAATCTCCATTGCTCCCCCAAAGAAGCGTTTCTGGCATTTTGGGAGTGTTAATGCAGAGGACATGAGCTTGCAGTTCCAGGAACTTTACTAGAACCCCAATATGATCATACAGTCCACCGTCCCCCCATTTGGATCTTAAAAGCACGTGAGAGTGAAAGCAATAGCAGGCCAAGAAGCAGTTGCATATATGTATGTATATTAAATTTCTTAGTGCAATTAGAATATCCACAAAACATCAGGAAGTAAATGTGCAGTCCGAATTATAAACCGAAAGAAATGCTGGGGAAAAAAAAACCAAAGCACAAATATTCTTCATAGATTAGAAGAAAAGAAAAAAAAGCCACCCCTTGGCATACAATCCTGGAAATGATCTTTTTGCAGTGAGTATTATCATACAGCTTTTCCTAGAAGATGAACTTTCCTTTGATAGACAAAAATTTAATTTCTTGCGCTTTATCTCTGTTTTGAGCTCCCTAGAGGTCCCATCATGATTCTAAGGAATCCTAAATGGCAAAAGCTTTGTAATTATAACTGCAGAATCATGCTTAGGGGCAAGATCAGGGAATGTTGTGACTATGACTAGGCTATCGCTGCACTTCTCCACATCCCTTAGACCTCCAAAGCAATCTCCAAGCATACCTTTGTCAATAACGGAGAGAAGTCGAGCCTCAAGAGCACCAACCTTCTAACAGATAAGCAAAGTCATAGCTCCACCATTTGATTGGTGTTGAATAAATAACCCAGCCCAGTATAATTTTCCAATAAATTACACATTGGCACACCCTGATAGCAGAGAGGATATAACTCTAATGACAAGAGTAGGACTGAGGTAGTACAACCTTGCTTATGAGAGAAATCGTAAAATCCTCTTGCTCTGAACTCCCATTCATGATGTTAATCCATTTTACAGTTCAAACCCAGAGCTGACTCTTAAATGCTTGACCTTACCAATATCAGAATTTCATTCTTCTCTAGTTGACAAGGTCATTGTTCTGAAAATGCAGTAGGNACCTTGGGTCTACTTGATTTTCAGATGTGGGATAGCTCCCTTCACATTTCTAATAGGTGCTATCTATGGCGATGGACCTGTAACTCTTGTAAGTTAATGCCATATAGGCTTGTTAAGTTGCATATGAGAGAAGAGGGGGAAAACCCCATTTTTACTTTCACACTTTGCCTTAAATTTGGTGTATGGACTTTGTATTGTGCTTAGAAATCTCATATATTTGATACAGGTGTTGGATCCAATTGATGGTACACGAGGGTTTCTAAAAGGTTGCGAGTCCTTATATGTGGTATGTTCTGCTTGTTTTGCCATTTTTTATTCATTTTTTGGGTTACATTAGTGTGGTGACTTCAAAGGAAATTAAGAGAGAGTTCACAAATTGATGGCCTGGAGCCATAACTAATTTGTCTGTAAAACAGTATATATGACCTTGACTGACTCCTGGACATTGCTTCTTGTGACCAACAAAGTTTATTCATCAAGAGGTGATATTTCTGTCTATTTTGGGAGAGGTCAGTTAAAATTTTGGCATAGTTTTTAAAACTCAACGAGGAATGGACCAGAGAAAGGTCTAGGCAATCTTGGAAAGTGTCCAATTAGGATTCACTTGATGAGCTATTAGAGTTTATTTATGAGTTGAGATAAAATATCATTGCTAAAATGCCTGGAAATTTTGAGAAAAGAATCTTTAAATGCATCATTATGAGGTCTGCTGAACTGATTTTCTATAACTTCTTTCCAGAATATGTATTTTCAACAGGGAAAAAAGAAGAAACTATTGCATACTACCCAGCAGATAGAGCTAAGCATTTGAAGTACAATGACCAAGTAAGAGTCTTAGAAAATAAATAACCAAGGAAAAGAAAACAATGCTTCATAGGCTCTGTGGTCCTATATTTTGGTACTGTGTAATTGTGTATGCATTTCACTGTACGTAATCTGAGTCTTTGAGCATATGTGAAGGAAGTAAGCAGAAAATGGAGCCTCTGATTCTGGAAGAAACAAGCTGAACAACATTTCTATGGCATTAGCAACGAGTTTCAAACTTGATTTTTCCATCAAATATTCTTTTTTTATTTCTAATTGGTTCTTGTTGTCCTTGTTAGCTATAACTAGTAAATGGATTTTGGTTCAGTATATAGAGGTTTTTTATTGTCTCTTGCTTACCTTGTTTAGCTAAGAGCATGCCCCAAATTTCAGGTGGGTTTGGCTCTAGTGGTTGAAGGAGAGATTGTTTTAGGAGTTATGGGCTGCCCTAACTGGCAGGAGGATTATTCTCAACCATCCACCACTGAAGTCCAGAAATATGAAAACATCCTGTCTGGAGCAGGAACCATTATGGTTTCTCATGTTGGCTATGGAACTTGGAAAAAGAGACTATCTGACATTCAGAGTAGCAAGGCCAAAATGCCTCATAATTGGACCAGATGTTTTGTAGATGTGTGTCACATAGTTGATGAGGCACGTTTTTGTATTCCAGAGAGTCAAACATGGGAAACATTGCCACTATCAGCTGTATATGATGCAACAACTGAGACTGAGAATGTTGGGAAGAAACAAATTCATCTATTGCCCACTTGTTGCGGAAGGTTTACTCTTAGGCCTTGTATTAAAGAAGTGNCGATGTCACGTTTGAAGAGTCTGTTCCATACTTTCCAGCACCTTCTCAGCTTTTGGATCTGAACTTTGGATCCTCTCCTGTACCACCATTTCTTTCTTTATCTTCAGATATTTCGCTGCCCACTGTGTTACCATCTATTTTACCTCTCCGTGTCTACTCCCGCCGTCCTCGCCAATCGACTGAGGTGTTCGTACCATCTTCCTTGCCGCCTTCTGATCCTGGTCCATCAGGTAATTTAGACTCTTTACCTATTGCTCTTCGCAAAGGGACTCGTTCGTGTGTTACTCATCATCCCATTTCTCATTTTGTTTCATATGATGCCTTGTCTCCTGTCTTCTCCTATTTTACTTCTTAATTATCTGCTATATCTATTCCTAAGCATTTACAGGATGCATTATCTGATCCGGATTAGAGGAAAGCTATGGAGGAGGAGATGAATGTTTTACATCATAATGGAACTTGGGATCTCGTTCCTTTACCCCCTGGTAAACGAACTGTTGGCTGTCGTTAAGTGTATACTGTTAAATTTCGTCCAGATGGTTCTATGGAGCGTCTCAAAGCCCAACTTGTTGCAAAGGACTTTACTCAGACTTATGGTGTTGATTATAAGAAGACTTTTTCTCCTGTTGCCAAAATTTCTNGAGGAGGAGATGAATGTTTTACATCATAATGGAACTTGGGATCTCGTTCCTTTACCCCCTGGTAAACGAACTGTTGGCTGTCGTTAAGTGTATACTGTTAAATTTCGTCCAGATGGTTCTATGGAGCGTCTCAAAGCCCAACTTGTTGCAAAGGGTTTTACTCAGACTTATGGTGTTGATTATAAGAAGACTTTTTCTCCTGTTGCCAAAATTTCTTATGTTCGTATCTTAATTTCTTTGGCTGCTAATCTTGATTGGCCCTTATTTCAGTTAGACATCAAGAATGCCTTCCTACATTGTGACTTGGTTGAAGAAGTATACATGGAGTAGCCACCTAGATTTACTGCTCAGGGGGAGTATGGTAAGAGTGTATGTCAGTTAAAAAAATCTTTGTATGGTTTGAAGCAGTCACCGAGGGCATGGTTTGGTAAATTTTCAGATGCAGTTTTAGAGTTTGATCTTCTTCNTTTACTGCTCAGGGGGAGTATGGTAAGAGTGTATGTCAGTTAAAAAAATCTTTGTATAGTTTGAAGCAGTCACCGAGGGCATGGTTTGGTAAATTTTCAGATGTAATTTTAGAGTTTGATCTTCTTCGATGTCAGACAAATCATTCTGTGTTTCATAGACAGACAGATGCTGGATATGTCCTATTGGTGGTCTATGTAGATGATATTGTGATTACTGAAAATGATTCTGAGGGAATTGTCAAGTTAAAAATATTCTTACTTGATCGATTTCATACCAAGGATTTGGAAAATCTCAAGTATTTCTTGAGTATTGAGGTGGCTCGATCTAAATAGGGTATTTGTTTATCCCAAAGGAAATATGTACTTGACATGTTTGAAGAAGCAGGTTTGCTGGATGGTAGACCGATTGATGTTCCTATGCATCCAAATCAGAAATTATTGATGGATGATGGTACATTGTTTGAGAATCCAGGTCGGTATCGCAGATTGGTTGAAAAACTTAATTATCTCACTATTACTCGACCGGATATTTCCTATGAAGTCAGTATGTTCATGGGATGTCCTAGAGTACCACATTGAAAGGCAATTACTCGTATTCTGCGATATCTCAAACGAGCTCCTGGACTTGGACTGTTATATCGAGCTAATGGACATCTTAGAGTGGAAGGTTTCTCAGATGCTGATTGGACTGACTCGCCTTCTTATCAGAGATCAACCACTGGTTATTGTACTTTCTTAGGAGGTAATGTTGTCTCGTGGAAAAGTAAGAAGCAACCCGTGGTTGCAAGATCCAGTGCTGAGGCTGAATATAGGGCAATGGCACATATGACGAGTGAGTTGACTTGGTTACTACACTTTCTCCAAGAAATTGGGTTTCCAGTTCAACTTCCTTTACGGTTGTTCTGTGACAACCAGGCAGCTATCCATATCGCTGTCAATCCTGTGTTTCACGAGAGAACCAAGCATATTGAGGTTGATTGTCACTTTATTCAGGACAAGATAGTAGTTGGAGAGATTACAACTCTATTTGTGAAATCTGAAGATCAGTTTGCAAATATGTTTACCAAAGCATTGAGCCGTACACGTCTTACAGTTATTTGTTCCAAGCTTGGATTATATGATATATATAGTCCAGCTTGAGGGAGAGTGTTAAGAATAGTAGGGTAGTATGTGTAAATTGTTAATAGTAAGAGGGTGAATGTGTAATTCTTATTATTGTAGGTTAACTATAAATACAAGTGATGTATGAGAGCTAGATTAAATTTTTAACCTCTCTGTTTCTCCCTAAATATTGTCTCTAATATTATGTTAATCTTCCAAACTTAACAGGCTGAATGGATGGGCATCCTATCAAAATCCAATATGAAGATTAATGAGACACCCAGCACCTGGCCCACGCAAAAGTAAAAAAAAAAACACAAGTCAAAAAGGACTCCATCATTGGACACTCATGGACAAGAGAAGAGGAAAAAACCAACACTCTAATAAAAGAAGGAAACACTTTTTCTAAAAAATCCAGAGACAGATCATCATTAACAAGAAGGCAAACTAGCTATCTACTATGTCTCTCTCCACTGCCATAACGAAAATCCCTCTCACCCACACCAAAAAAGAAAAAATCTCCATTGCTCCCCCAAAGAAGCGTTTCTGGCATTTTGGGAGTGTTAATGCAGAGGACATGAGCTTGCAGTTCCAGGAACTTTACTAGAACCCCAATATGATCATACAGTCCACCGTCCCCCCATTTGGATCTTAAAAGCACGTGAGAGTGAAAGCAATAGCAGGCCAAGAAGCAGTTGCATATATGTATGTATATTAAATTTCTTAGTGCAATTAGAATATCCACAAAACATCAGGAAGTAAATGTGCAGTCTGAATTATAAACCGAAAGAAATGCTGGGGAAAAAAAACCAAAGCACAAATATTCTTCATAGATTAGAAGAAAAGAAAAAAAAGCCACCCCTTGGCATACAATCCTGGAAATGATCTTTTTGCAGTGAGTATTATCATACAGCTTTTCCTAGAAGATGAACTTTCCTTTGATAGACAAAAATTTAATTTCTTGCGCTTTATCTCTGTTTTGAGCTCCCTAGAGGTCCCATCATGATTCTAAGGAATCCTAAATGGCAAAAGCTTTGTAATTATAACTGCAGAATCATGCTTAGGGGCAAGATCAGGGAATGTTGTGACTATGACTAGGCTATCGCTGCACTTCTCCACATCCCTTAGACCTCCAAAGCAATCTCCAAGCATACCTTTGTCAATAACGGAGAGAAGTCGAGCCTCAAGAGCACCAACCTTCTAACAGATAAGCAAAGTCATAGCTCCACCATTTGATTGGTGTTGAATAAATAACCCAGCCCAGTATAATTTTCCAATAAATTACACATTGGCACACCCTGATAGCAGAGAGGATATAACTCTAATGACAAGAGTAGGACTGAGGTAGTACAACCTTGCTTATGAGAGAAATCGTAAAATCCTCTTGCTCTGAACTCCCATTCATGATGTTAATCCATTTTACAGTTCAAACCCAGAGCTGACTCTTAAATGCTTGACCTTACCAATATCAGAATTTCATTCTTCTCTAGTTGACAAGGTCATTGTTCTGAAAATGCAGTAGGGTGACTAAACCGGTCAAGAAAAAAGCAATCAAGAACATTGAGCTCGATTTTACATGGTTAGATAGAATTCTACCTAAACCGGTCAAGAAACATTTTCATTGTCTTAGTGTAAACTGTAAAGGAATTTGGAAATAGTATAAACACCTCTTTTAATAATAATTGATGAAATTTTCAACTATTCATCAAAAGATGTAGCATGCTCATGCATAAAAAGCCAATCCTCTCAAATTAAAATAAATAAATAGCATGAGCTACAGAGAGAACCCACTAACCGTTTCCTGACGAAAACATGTAGACTGGCAGCCACATAAAAGACCATTTGGGAGATCAATATCAACATAATCATGGATCCATTTGCAATTAAATAGCAAATTATTGAGATGACAATGAAGCTTATGACTGGAGGAAGCTGTTGAGAACCTAAGGAAGAAAAGCAAAAGGCAAACAGAATGGGCAAGATTGCTAGGAAAAGAAATGGCCAAGGCATTCTCAGATTCGATTCCACAGCGGACAGAACTGAAGGTATATGTAGATCAAGCTCCCAAGCATATGCTTGCCGCATCAGAGCGAAAAAGACAACAGCAATGGAGAAACCAACAATCTGCGAGGCAACAGACCCGCAAGAGCAAAAACAAACTGATAAGCTAAAAACTCTAAGCAAGTTATCCAACACAATAAATAAAATTGTGAAGCATTAAATATAGGCACATAGTATCAAAAGATATCCAGTGAAGCTAGAGTAAGACTAATTATATGCGTATAATGAGTTAACCGGCCCCTACTTTTTTTCTGGGCAAACAAGAACATCCAAGTTGTGATAAATAACATTTAGCATGGATACATTTTGATATATTGAGTTCAATTTGATGAAGACCAAATAAACCCGACGTATTGTGCTATTGCCATAGTCTGTAAGCAAAACTACACTTTAAACCATCTGACTATATTGCAAAGCAGGAAACTCTTAAAGAATCCTGACAAACGAAAACATCCCAACAAAGCCGGTCTGCTCATAGTTGTGTATCTTGAAAAATTCTTCTGTTGTTAAAAAATTCAAAGCAAATATTGGACATAAAAGTTATAAATAAAGATAAGAAACTTAGATGTCTAAAGGCCCAAATACAAACGAACCTAACAAAGNCTGTCTGCTCATAGTTGTGTATCTTGAAAAATTCTTCCGTTGTTAATAAATTCAAAGTAAATATTGGACATAAAAGTTATATATAAAGATAAGAAACTTAGATGTCTAAAGGCCCAAATACAAACGAACCTAACAAAGACAAAAGCATCTAAATAAGGAACATTGAAATTGTTACCTGTGAACTGTATAAAAGCAAAAACCTACGGGCTGCAGCAGTGATGGAAGCAGCAACACTAGTTGTATATGAACAATGTGGGTCTACCTGCAGAAGAAGGCATATGTCAAAGCCACCAAGGATCAACAAGGGAACACAAAGCTACCAAGTTAAAGACAGTTCAACTGGATCAACCCTGTCGTTGCAATGAACGCCAAGATATGTATAAGGTAGGCCAGTATACCAGCAACAAAACAATGGTCTTGTCAGACTTCTGAGTTGAACTCCAAAGGGCTGGTGAGGAATCCACCACAATTGTTCCAGAATACAAGTTTGGAAATATGTGAAGACCAGATGTTGTATCCCAAACGAGTGCTACAGGGGGAAAACAGCGGAGTTTGCAAAGTCCTGCATTCACAGAAAAATAGTTGGTCAAAGCATCTAACTCACAAGTAATTGACAATGAGTGGAGAAGCTCACCATGCCCATACACTAGTTTGGTAGGTGTTTTTTTTTACTGATATGGGCCAAGTCTAATTCACCCCACAAGTGCAACCCCACCGCCCCACCCGCACGTTTAGATATAGACCGAAGATAAGTGAAGAGTCTTACAATGTTCATTTTGAAGGTGAAAATTTGGGTGTTCCACAACCTTTTCTGAAATTTTGGCATCTCTTGGACAGAAAGTTTATTGCATATTGTGTATAAAACTTGTGTGTGTTTTTTTGCTAATTATACACAACTCTTATGTACCTATGCTTCAACCTTCCTTATTAGTCCCAATAAAATGAAAAGGGAAAAATGAAGCAATGTACACAGCCTTCCATGTCATTTTTGCACCACTCCGTCAAAAAAGCTTATTTTTTCCCTGAGTTAGATATTGAAAAAGCTTACTTTGAGGTGAAACATTTTGAATGTAATCTACGAGTGTCAGACAACACAAGAATGATATAAGCTTCGTTACAGATGTCCAAATGTTAGAAGAGGAGAGTATCACAAAGAATCCTCAAAATAAGAAGTGTAGCTTAGTAAAGAAATTAAAAGAAAAAGGAAAGAAAGAAAGAGAATCCTTACGACTAGTTTCTGAGTCTCCGGCCTCCTCAAAATCAACCCCTGACTTCTTTACTCCACAGCCTGTAGTCTTCAAAGACAACTGAACAGGCAGAAGGCCTAAACTGATAGAGAATGAAAGATTGAATGCAAGAGGATGATCCTCCTTCAATATGAAGTCCTGTAACATTTAATCATGCAGCAGTTAAAAGTCAATCATATCATGCAGATAATAATAAATTCATTTTGAATTAATCAGCTGCTTTTTCAGAACCGCCCCAACCTTTTGATAATACAGCGAGAGAAGTAACAACAGAGGAGATAACTCTCTCTCCCCATCCTCTGGATTAAAGAACTGACCAACTGCCATGGAAGCCGCTGGTGGAGGTCTGCCTGAAACAGTCTGAGCGCCAAAAAGTCAATGTATATTCATGGTTTAATTTGACCATTTCAACAAAAATGCTGATGTGTATGTTACTCAACAAGAGAGCAGCATTAGAATCCAAAAGATAAAAGACAAGCTTATTTTCAGTATAATTTGAACCATTCGCTTTTCTAACAATGCATCTACTAAATGGCTACTCGAGAGAACATATTCGACAAAACATGTTACAGTACAGCATTAGTCATGAAAGTACTTTTGGTGCTCAGAATATAATTATGAATAACACAAGCCTCAATAGCCTTTTCAGGTATAACATGGAGGGATCATCACTTAATGTAGCCAACCCCAAGTCTGGATGGTTGTAAAAACTTAGTTAAGATGAGCTTTACACAAAGCAACACAGCATCAAAANAAGCCTCAATAGCCTTTTCAGGTATAACATGGAGGGATCATCACTTAATGTAGCCAACCCCAAGTCTGAATGGTTGTAAAAACTTAGTTAAGATGAGCTTTACACAAAGCAACACAGCATCAAAAATTCAAAAAATTATCCCTCTCAGGTTACAATAACATTTAAGCACACCCTCCAAATACATGGAAAAATGGCATGATTATATTGTCAGAAGATTTGGCATGTCCAAACCACCAACTGATGTCCACTGGAGCAAGGAGGCATACAGCAACGCATGACACAAAAATTTTGGCACGAGTTCGGTTTTGTCTTGAGCTGGGCATTGCTCTCAAGTANCGTGGAAAAATGGCATGATTTTATTGTCAGAAGATTTGGCATGTCCAAACCACCAACTGATGTCCACTGGAGCAAGGAGGCATACAGCAAAGCATGATACAAAAATTTTGGCACGAGTTCGGTTTTGTCTTGAGCTGGGCATTGCTCTCAAGTATCTTCCTAACCGAACATGAGCTAGAATCCAAACTTGGTAGTTGAGCTCAAGCAGTCTGTCTAGCCGAAAATGAGCATAATCAAGTGTAACAATTTCAGTTCAAACTCAATTAAAACCCCTAATGGTGGAGGTAGTGATGGTTGGTCCACTGGTGGCACGAGTTTCAGTTTGGGCCCACCGATGGTGAAGGCAGTGGTTCCATGCTGGCATTCGAGTTGGATTTTGTGTGTGTGAGTATGTGAGAGAGAGAGAAAGAGAGAGAGAAACAGTGGAGAAGAAGAACGGATGTTCTGGATGTAGACTATTTTTNTGGTGGCACGAGTTTCAGTTTGGGCCCACCGATGGTGAAGGCAGTGGTTCCATGCTGGCATTCGAGTTGGATTTTATGTGTGTGAGTATGTGAGAGAGAGAGAGAGAAACAGTGGAGAAGAAGAACGGATGTTCTGGATGTAGACTATTTTTATTCTAATGAAGAATAAGTTCAAATAACATATTTCAACTAGAAACAAGAGGGACACTAATGTTGATATTTACGAATGGTTTGCTGATGCAATATTTTCTGGCAACAGTGGAGGTCCTATTGTTACCACTTTTTGAATGCAAAGGGTCCCCATGCAATATTGGGAAGTGTCGTGTTGTTTTGGCAAATATTAGAGGGTATCCTTATGATTTACTATAATTTATTTAAACATTCAAGGTACTTGCTCTACTATACCATACAAAAAGCACATGCCCCAACAAAGTTGCAAAACACATTGGTTCATGAATTATACTAGGAAACCTTCAAGATGAATCTATGAGACGAAGATACTTGAGCAAATTCTAAAAAAGGTTGCAGGAAACCTCTTTGAAACATACACACTTGATGTCTTACAAAATGGAAACATATCAGAGAAAGGATCAAGGAAACAATACCGGGCGAGGTGCAACTGAGATTGTCAGGAATCTGAAACCACGCATATCTTTTGGATCCAACCAAAATACGGCAGATGGAGGTGCTTGTTCAGTCTGACTACCAGGTTCAATCTATACAAAATAGCAAGCGGCATATTCAAATAAGAGCATTTCAGCAAATAAGCTTATCAAATCTGATGTTTCAACCAGGTTAAGGTGGCAACAAGATCCCTTATTTTCTACTTCATAAATCAATATGGACTCTTGTATAAGACACAAGATAACCCACTGCAACTAGAAAAGAATCATTTGCATAAAATTGGCAATTACTAGAATGTAAATATTGTGGTAAGAGTATAACATTTAGTACCTGCCTCGGTGCAGGTCCTGAAGGAATGTGCACCATCTTTGATGTAACTTCTAGCACCCTTTTACTAACAGGCAAGTCTGAAGCAGAAATTCCCTTTTCAGGCCAAAGATGAAGTCTAATCCCAGAACATGGAGCAAGATTTGTGACTAAAATGAAGTGGCTTTTTCCATTTGACCCCTGGGCATTCAAACTATGATCTGTATTATCTTGACTTTGATGTATCCAAATAGAAGTCAACTAAACGAGATATGATGCACAAGAAACCAACATACTACTTTTAATCTGGAAGCTAGAGAAGCATACTTCTAGAACCTTTTCAAACTTTCATGAGTATATTAAAAGTCAAGTTTATCTTGACTCTGATTTTGAAAACTTTCCCATAAAACATTTGGAAAAATCAATCTGCTTCAAGATCGGCTATGTTAAACCAGGCACACTAAAACCTAAGCCTGTAAAGCATTATTCACAGGAAAAAGAATGTAAGAACCGATAAGAAATATGGACAATCATTAAGCCTAAGCATCTACTGTATGAATAAGACCAATTATGAACAAAAGGAGCACTATTTATGCTAAACTGTAAATGAAGAATTTAGACCAAGCTAACCAGTTTCTGAATGTCCAACCACCGCCTCCTCCCATCNGTAAAGCATTATTCACGGGAAAAAGAATGTAAGAACCGATAAGAAATATGGGCAATCATTAAGCCTAAGCATCTACTGTATGAATAAGACCAATTATGAACAAAAGGAGCACTATTTATGCTAAACTGTAAAAGAAGAATTTAGACCAAGCTAACCAGTTTCTGAATGTCCAACCACCGCCTCCTCCCATCCATTGCCAAAACAGTGACTGTTTCCCTCTGAATATATAGGTCCCTTTCAAGACCATCATTGCTCCAATGAACATTATTGGGACAAGCAGATACAGTGTGCACTTGAGATCCTGTATGATCATAAATCTACTAAGGATCTTTGGCTCTAAATATTTTGGTTTGCAACGTCAAATAAAACAAAATAATAACAATAACTAAATAATAAATATCAACAGGAAAATACTGAAAAGGGTTCATCATGAATCCTTTACATATTCCATATATTTTCCCTTCAAACCAAGGTAATNAATAATAACAATAACTAAATAATAAATATCAACAGGAAAATACTGAAAAAGGTTCATCATGAATCCTTTACATATTCCATATATTTTCCCTTCAAACCAAGGTAATATCAGAATAATTCAATTCATTTGTTGCATGCTACCGATTAAACCAGTAACAACAGCTTAGACACTGGTTCATCAAGACACAAAAAAGATATAAAAATCCAATTTAATCTCTTGACTTTATTACAGAAGTTCATGATATTAACCTTGGATTTGAGCTGGTTGCACTTTTCTTATTTGGTCCTTGCCTACAGGTAATGGATGTTATTGTTGCCATCCTTCAGCAATTAGAAAGATTGAAAAGTTTGCTGACATACTGATTAAATCTAAATTGGTTTTGACTTTTTCCAAGACAAAATCATTNACTGTTGCCATCCATCAGCAATTAGAAAGATTGAAAAGTTTGCTGACATACTGATTAAATCTAAATTGGTTTTTGACTATTTCCAAGACAAAATCATTACTAAAATCCTTGAGGTGTGGGTGGGAGCTTTAGTCAGACAGGACAATAAGCACATGACAGGTGATGAAATCTTTATCTTCTATATTTAGACATTANATTGTTGCCATCCTTCAGCAATTAGAAAGATTGAAAAGTTTGCTGACATACTGATTAAATCTAAATTGGTTTTGACTTTTTCCAAGACAAAATCATTACTAAAATCCTTGAGGTGTGGGTGGGAGCTTTAGTCAGAAAGGACAATAAGCACATGACAGGTGATGAAATCTTTATCTTCTATATTTAGACATTAGATCCTTAATGCTTTTCTTTATCCATGACCTTGTTGCTTTTTATATCACTCAACAGCAGTACTTCATTTTTTATTACCTAATATATTCTTGGGTAGATGAACGTCTCGTTGAAAACCGGAACAGAGCATTCAGAACAAAGAACAAGGGGAAATGGCCATGCAAAAACAAGATATCAAAACTATCTACATCAAATATGCAATTGTAGGACAAAACATTCACCAAATGCAAGTCAGTGTGGCATACTGAACCTAGTGTAGACACAACCACCACTAAAAAACATTACATATCAACAAATACAGAGCAAAATCCCCAAAAATTATTTCCTTTAGCTGGTAATGCTTGAATAGTTAGTTAGAACAACCCATCTCTCAACAAATTTCAGATTTGGGCTGCATCCTTCCATTTCAAACAGGTTAGACAAGGTCATAAAACAGCAATTGATACCGAAAAGTTGGATCAATAACCTTAGGTCTTTTCTCATGTAGTAGAACAAAATTAATAAACATGTCATTTTTGCGTATGGCGTAAAATAACTAGGAAAGCAGAAGGTATGACTAGGGAAGTCATCCCAAGGTATTGTAGGAGGAGCCACCTTCAATTTAAAGAATCTGTGAAGATTAATAGTTAATATGACATTTTTGAGAAAACAAAGGAAAAAAGAAAAATACACAAAAAGATCAACTATTTCCTACATCCCTTCATCCATATTGGATCTACATAGGTTGACAAAGGATTTTCAAAATGGATGGACAAGGATTCTCATCCAACTATATAAGCATCAACCATAATTCTTCAGAAAAGGTTTCACCAACTAAAAAAGATTGGCCAACAGGATATTTACAATAAAGTTCTAAACAATCGACTATTAAATTCAGAATCTTGAACACAATTTAAGGAGTTTTCTGCATTTCTTTTATTCATCTAGATCACAAGCAACGAGAATTCCAACAGACAGATAGATTGTTCAAAATTGATGAACAATAAAGAAGTTTGAATTGCAAAGGAAGAACAAGTTATAATTTCGGTTATCATCCCTCTGGAAATGAAGGTGTTAGGGCTTAGCTGGGGTGTAGAGATTGTAAGCAAAGTGTCCATTTGTTCACTGACATGTAAAGATAATGTGTTGGCAGACTTTTTCTCAATCATCAAATTATGTTATAAACAGATAACATATTTACACTGGTGGAATCGGAGACAGACCCTTACATGAATATCAAGGCAGCAAGATCGCATCATGAACGCTTTTTCAGCAAGTTCATTTGGTAATTAAAAGAAAAGCAGAACACTTAGATAGGTACGGGGTATAGATCTTGGCAAAAATAAGGAAGTTTAAACTGATGATACCAGCAACATCTTTTCCATTGCGAAAAGGAACATGTAGTGACTGCTGAGGTCTCAACCAATTAAAGCTCTGCGGTATTCCACTACGAAGCATTTTTGTAAATACTTCAAGTCTTTTGCGTGGGTCAAAAAATGGTTGACCAGCTTTAGAGTCTATCAGACTAAGAAGAGTGTGTGAAACCTGAAAATTTGGTATGGCAATTAAGAATTGTCCACAGTTGAATTTGATAAGTTCCATAAAAAAACATATTAAAAAAATATGACTCACTTGCACAACCAGTTGATTACACCATAAGATAACCTGGTGCTCCATTGACAACCACACGTTATTAATCTCTGTACTACTAATCATGAAGCCATGGGTAGGAGGCACAATACCATCAAGGGCTTCTAACTTGGACCGAACCTAAGATCACAAGCAATATGTTGGCATGCATCAACCAAGTCAAGTAACAAATATGAAAAGCTATGACAACATTCAACAATCAATCGTAGAACAAGAAGAAATATTTGCACCGATGCAAAAAACAATATTTATCAGGATTGTACAAAAAGACGAATTCAAGGACAAACTGCTGAATTTTAATAAGAATAATATGCACCCACCAAAACAACTCACATTGAGAGCATAAAGAAAAATAGGTATGACCAAAAGAAAAAAGTGTATACACATCTAAGAAAGCAGGAGAAGAACCAGATTTTTGTAGACGGGGCAAGGGCTATTTTGATCATTTCTAAAACATGACATTGAGTTAAGGGGCCAGTAAAAGAAATTCAAAGACTACATATTCTGCATGCAAATAACTTATAGGAAATGACTAAAATGAAGCAAAACCGATGCTTGATAAAGTAATTCAGCTGGAATTAAGATCTAAAAAGATTAACAAGGTTTGTGGCAAGTACCTCAATAAACTCATCTTACTATGCTATCAAAGAACAGCCAGGATTACAAATCTACAATAGCTTATAGGATATTTTCTGCTTGACAGAAACCATATTACAAACCTTCACTTGTTTATTTTTGTGAAACTGAAAACATAAAGCATCGTTTTCTGGTTAATGCATAAGATGAATAACTGATCAAACAAAAAACCAAGAATTCTCACCACAATTAAAGAAAATAAAGATTCAGTTTGAAAAGAAATACCTGGAAATCATGATAACCCCCAGAAATGGAGACAACAACAACACGAGAGAGAAAAGGATCAGACACATATTGACCAGTTCGAGAGGTTTGGACCTCATATCCCTTTCTCCATTCCCGATTTACATATGCATAGTAGTGACCCAAGGATGGCTGCAGTGCAATGGGAGGAGACCTGAACAAAGTAAGTGAATTTCATAAATAAGTATTCAATGTCCAAGATTTCAAAACTACAATGAAGCCTTTGAAATAACCACAAAGCTTACTGATGCGGGCTTGAAAGTGTAAGAACAGTTTCAACTGCTGACTTCCTCAAATGTGGGTGGACAATGGCAGCTCTAGCAACAAAACCACCCATTGAATGACCAACCAATATAACACTTTTTGGCAGTCTACCAGAGACAGCAGCACCTTCTCTTTCTTGAGCATCACGAGACTCTTTATACTGATCCAGTATCTACAAGCACGAACACATGTCAATTGCTGAAACAAATGAAAGATTTATCCAGACAAAAGGGGGAAAAAATAACTGGCAATCCAGAAACTTGAATGCATGGATGAGGTTTCTCTTCTTTTTTTTTTCTTTTTTTTTTGAGATAACGAATGTGATGCTATAAAGACAAAATGANAACTGGCAATCCAGAAACTTGAATGCATGGATGAGGTTTTTTTTCTTTTTTTTTTTCTTTTTTTTTTGAGATAACGAATGTGATGCTATAAAGACAAAATGAATATCAAAACTGCAAAAAATAATAGCAAATTAAAACTAACAAAGGTTTCACTATCTGAGATCATGGTCTTTGAGAAACTACGTAAAAATAAATCAAGCGACATTGCGGAAACTGCTGAAGTATGGAATGATATTTGTCACGGAAAATTAAACAAATGATTACCAATATCTTAAGANGATCATGGTCTTTGAGAAACTACGTAAAAATAAATCAAGCGACATTGCGGAAACTGCTGGAGTATGGAATGATATTTGTCACGGAAAATTAAACAAATGATTACCAATATCTTAAGAGACCTATCTGAAGGAATAATATTAGAACTAAAGTACCAAAATCCATTAGCTTACACACAAAACCACTAAAAGGAAAGTGGGGGGATAGAGTAATAAACACTCATCAAGAAAGAACATGATACCAGATGTCTGTTTATTTATTAAAAAATATTCATGCCCTTTAATTCTGATTCCAACCTCCACGTTCCATTTCAGGTAATTTATGTGAAAATGGTTAAAAGTGATACCCTGTGAATTGCATACACTACATATTCTGTGTGTTCTTCAAGTATCCCACCATCCATTGCAGAATGTTCACCTTCAAGATCCACAGCAAACCAGTCAAGCATGCAATAATACTGGCTGAGTAATGGAAGGCCTGCATCTACATGGCCTCCTCCCTGTTCAAGAGTTAGGGAAGCTTCTTTGTAAAATGTTCGCTCCAGTGGTCCTCCTTGATAAGCCCTCTCAGATTCTGCTGCCAAGGATCTTACCTGTGAGAACAAAAATGTAAAAGAGAAAAACATTATAAAGAACAATACCTTGGGCCTTAAGAGTTTCTTCAATGCATCACACAATGCAACATGAAGTTATATACTATAATATAACTTAATCATATAAACCCATTAATTATTGACATATACAACATATGTCATAGACTCATAATAAACAAGTTAATAATAAAAATACTTCGACTTCATAGGTTTCTAAATCGTATTAAAGGACATATATCTAAATTTGATCTGTAAGCCATCAAAATTAGGAAGTTACTGGATAATTGCATCACAATACCAACTGAGCTAGATAGTCCAAACGTGGAAGCAATGGTCCAGTCTTGCATCTATTTTGAGGTGTTGGGTAGCAGGAGCATATTTGCTTTCCGGTTGTGCAGAATCTTTAAATGTAAGGCGGCACAGGTTACCACTATTTCGGGTAAAGAAGCAAGACAATTTTACAAATGAAAAAGGGTTCTAGGGACTATAAATCTTGCTATTCATTGAATGCAGCAAAACTAATATGTTGCAATATTTTCCCATCCCCTGTATGATGTCTTGCAGAAATCTTTATCAATAAATCTAATTTGAAAAACATTGCATTGCAAAAGGCATACAACTTGCAATTTGAAAATGCAAATAAAACATGAAATACAGAGAGAAGGATGGACTTACCTGTTTATAGCTACCACCATTGCCAGGTATAAAAAGAACAGGAACACCATTGAGCTTCTTAAGATGGTCGTTGAAGTCAATCTTTTTCCATCCTTCATGGTACAGATACAACCCATACTTTGTAGATGATACATTTTCTGGTGAGGATATTGGAATGTATGTAGGATACATATATGTCATGGTACAACCATTTGAGATTGGTTTTAGCAAATCATACAGAGCAGCAAGACCCAAGCATATGGAAATAATAACCAAAGCTGCTATTGCAAATTTGGATTTGAAACCTTGCATCGTTAGGTTAACTTTTACTCCCATCCCAATCTCTTTGCATCTGTTGCACTGCATGAAAGAAGTTCCATTCCTCGTGAATAACCAAGAAATTAGAAACAAATCTTGAAGCTTCAATTATAAAGTTGAAATTATTTTCCTTCTTACACCAAAGAAGTTGCACTAACATTGCAATAGCTACGAAGTTCATTGCAAGAATCTGAAAAAAAAGAAGAATCGATACACACAAACACCGTTTAGTACCTGAAAAAATGGACGCCGGTAAGAGAAAGATCAACTAGGGAGAACAGATCTTAAATCTTTTTCAGATGAGACGAATGGAGTATGAGTATCTATCGACTTTGATTTGTCCGTTCGTCGTTGGACTCAAATTCAGACAAGGAGAGAAATGAGTGCACCGGAAATCCTGATCGGAGATCCAGTGGAGAACGGCTGAGAGAAAAAAAAAAGCCTAAAATTGAACTTTGACAGAAGAAAGGTGCTGTGATGAGGGGGTACAGAGTGCTATTACTTTTGATCGGTAAGAGATGGGTATAATGCTGTGCTACTACAGTGTTCAGGTTGCCTTGTCCTTTTTGAGGATTAGCTTTGCTGCCTCGTCTAATTGTCTTTCGCTTTTCGATGGAAACAATCAATCTTTCTTTCTTTCTTTTTTTTTTTTTTCTTTTTTATTTTTTGGTTTGAAAGTTGGAACCAGTTTCTAAAATCCAAACTCGTCTATTGCCATCTTCTTCTTAATGTGATTACAGTAAAAATGTGTCCGGCCGGAAATGCTCGGGCCTGTCTTCAGTGTAAATCTAAATTCTCACCTAAATTTGAATTAATATAAACTTCTACAATAAAAAAATTCAAATTTAAAAGATAATAAAATAAAAAAATATATAATTTCACCATTAAAAATTTAGGTTTAAAAAAAATCTCCCTTAATTTGGGTTTAAAAAAGGTTTTTCTTCGCTTGATATCAGTATGAGTCTAATAGTAGAGAGATATTTTAAATCATTTTTATCTAAATTTAAATTTAGATACAAAAAAAGATAAGGATTAGAGATGAGCATTTTCAATCCTTACACTTTTTTAAACCCAAATTTAAATTTAGGTAAAAAAAAACTTTTAAAAGACTCTGTATCCGTATCGAATCAAAAAAGTTTTTTTAAAGGGTAAATTTCATTGATATCCCCTTGATTTAAGTCATATTTATTGATACCCCCTCTGATTTTTTGAAATATCACTATATACTCCTGTCAATTTTTGATCCCTAATAAAGTATGTAATTTTACTAAATTACTCTAATTAGAACTCTTATTTTACTTTATTATCCTTACTCAAATTAAACTTATTTTAAATGGTCAAGGATAAATATTTCATTCATATTCAATTCGTTTATTAATTTGTATCTAACGAATCGTGTCATATTAAGTTCGTGACATATATAAATCATATATAATCGATNAGTGTAAATCTAAATTCTCACCTAAATTTGAATTAATATAAACTTCTACAATAAAAAAATTCAAATTTAAAAGACAATAAAATAAAAATATATATAATTTCACCATTAAAAATTTAGGTTTAAAAAAAAATCTCCCTTAATTTGGGTTTAAAAAATATTTTTCTTCACTTGATATTAGTATGAGTCTAATATTGGAGAGATATTTTAAATCATTTTTATCTAAATTTAAATTTAGATACAAAAAAAGATAAGGACTAGAGATTAGCATTTTCAATTCTTACACTTTTTTAAACCCAAATTTTAAATTTAGGTAAAAAAAACTTTTAAAAGACTCTGTATCCGTATCAAATCAAAAAAGTTTTTTTTAAGGGTAAATTTCATTGATATCCCCTTGATTTAAGTCATATTTTATTGATACCCCCTCTAATTTTTTGAAATATCACTATATACTCCTGTCAATTTTTGATCCCTAATAAAATATGTAATTTTACTAAATTACTCTAATTAGAACTCTCATTTTACTTTATTATCCTTACTCAAATTAAACTTATTTTATATGGTCAAGGGTAAATATTTCATTCATATTCAATTCGTTTATTAATTTATGTCTAACGAATCGTGTCATATTAAGTTCGTGACATATATAAATCATATATAATCGATACATATATAAACGAGTTGAGTTGCTTGTTTTTTTTATTGACTCTACATGTATTCGATTCGTTTATTAATCGTGTCGGATTCACTCGTTTATGAAATACGTATCTAAAAACTTCTAATTTTATGTCATGTTAACGATTCGTATTGTATTTTGACACCACTGATTACGTGATAGGTGAGAATTAAGATTGCTTAAAAAATGCAAGGAATTAGACAATATTGTTTGATACCCAACTCAATGGGCATTGCATTATTCTTCATTTTTAAATGACACCAAAAACAAATTCCAACAATCAATTGTCTACATAATTGCTTATCTGCAGCTGAGAAGCCAGAGATGAGGTTAGAACACGAAAAATTACAATAAAAAATTATACAAGAAAGAAGAAAGAGAAAAAGAGTACATCCAAATTAAAGTTTGGCTTCATGTCCTTAAGCTTGGCATTAGTTTGAAAGTTCATGTACCTCATGACAGGTTTGTTTGGGTAAAAATGTCTGAAAGCTTGCTACTTGCATCAATATAAACAGAATATCCTAGCAGAAAACTTCAACCTTGCCAGCCATAATAACAAGAAAGGCCATACAATCTTGTTTGCTGGTGAAATTAGAATACAACAAATAAAGGAGAGAATATGAAGCTTTCTGCTAGCAACAGTTCCCACCAAACAGTATGATGATACATACCTATATATATATAATTGCAGACTAGAAGTACATCAATTAAACAGTATCAAAAATACCTAAACAGGTATCATCAAAATGATGCTATTTCCATCCCACCCTTTTGAACAACAACAAAAAAAGAAACCAAGTTCACTGATCAAATTTCCTCCTTTTAACCGTGCAGTGCAGCACAATAAAACCCGCATTCACTGTTTTCGATCTAATTCCATATATACAGTCCCCGCAACTAAGTCACAACAATGCTAGTTCATACCCCGCAGAGTGACGTGCTTCACCGTGTGTGACTATACAAAAGTAAACATCAGGAAGTTCAAGGTGAGAAAACAAGGAAGTACAAAGCATCTCGTTTGTGATCACTCCACCTGCTANGGCGTGCTTCACCGTGTGTGACTATACAAAAGTAAACATCAGGAAGTTTAAGGTGAGAAAACAAGGAAGTACAAAGCATCTCGTTTGTGATCACTCCACCTGCTAAACTATGACCTGCATTATTGGTTCCTATACCAATCAGAATATCACGATCAGAGGAATCATCAACAAGGATCTCCCACCCCTCTCTAGCCAGACAGTGTGCGAGCGGTTATCCTGTGGGGGACAAGTACTGGTTCGTTACTGGAAGCTTTCATTGCAGCGATCTCTTCTAAGCGTTTCCATGTTGCTTCACGTTTTGATTTAATCTCTTGCTCTTGGGCTTCATCTTCTTGAAACTTGAGTAAGCACTCTTCAAAGAGCTCAGGATCAATATCAGAGAAGATTTTGCGGATATTTAGTGTCAAGCTCTGTACAGCCTGATTCCAGTGGTTTCTTGCATTTTTCTCCAATGCAGGAAAGATAATTGGAAGTATAACTTTTCGATTTTGCTTTATCAGGTTTTCAATATGATCATTGTTCCATAAGAACAATGCCCTCTCTGCCACCTGCAGACAAAAGAAACAAATAAAACAATACTATGAGAGAGAAAGACAGAAAGAGAGAGGGAGGGAGAGCAAATATAACATATTATCAAACAAAGATATATGTAACATATGTCATGTCATGTGACAGGGTCATGTATGTTTCCAAACATGACATAAATTACTCTCCGTAAAACCAAATTTCATGTCGTTATTGATGCCAACAAAAAAGGATGGCCATCAAAAAATCAACTCACCGTTAATTATTAAATATCATGACAATCAAGCTGCAACCAAATTCTAATACAAAATTCCTAATTTAATGTTTAGAATAATATCCAAAATAAGTTTCCCAACACCTTAGTTGCCCCATTGCACCCTTTTTTTTCTCATGAGGATTGAGACGAAGAACTAGGCACTTTGATCGACAATAGAATCCAGCAATGCTTTGGCTACTTCTAGCTTTCCCATGAATATTATGGTGAAGGTCTCTTTGAAGTTCATAATATTCCAGAGAAGGAGATCCTTTCTTCGCTTTTCTCTTCATGAGCAGGACAGAAGCTTTTACTTGGTCATTTAAAAGAGATAGTCATGATTCGATATCTGGCTTCCAAAATTACCTATTTTTATAGTGCAATCCAGTTATTACTCACTTTGGAAAAAAATCTAGATCGAGCACAGTTTCTAAAACACATGAATTTAAAACCATTATCTGATTAATTATTTGGGTTGGATGGCAGATGTGTATCCAATTTATTTCCATTGTATTGCTTTAAGCTTTGAATTGTTTGACCTTCAAGTTGTAAAGCCATTTAAGCCGTTTAAGATAAGAATGTCAGCATGGTTGCACTAAGTGTTGCCCTACCAGTACCTTGATATCGGTGGAACACAACTAACTTTGGGCCCTGTTATTTGCCGCCCAAAACGTTCACCATTTCCTGCTTGCCCACTAAAACATGCATGAGATAAATTCCNGGTTGCACTAAGTGTTGCCCTACCAGTACCTTGATATCGGTGGAACACAACTAACTTTGGGCCCTGTTATTTGCCCCCCAAAACGTTCACCATTTCCTGCTTGCCCACTAAAACATGCATGAGATAAATTCCAAGAACTAGAGACCTCCACTTCTGAAGTGGGTTCCTGTCTGGGCTATCTCCTGTATCTTTTGGGTTTTCTAAATCTCCAACATGCATTACATGATGCTAGGCCAACTATTCAAGGTGCTATGCAAGCACATAACATAATCTTCCATATTCAACCACGCCAAATTCTGATGGTCACTCAAGCAGTTATGACAGTTCGCTAAATCTCCCAACCCTTAACCAAGATTTCAGCATCATCATACTTCAGTCTCTCATGTTTTGAAACAAATTTTATCCCCNCACGCCAAATTCTGATGGTCACTCAAGCAGTTATGACAGTTCGCTAAATCTCCCAACACTTAACCAAGATTTCAGCATCATCATACTTCAGTCTCTCATGTTTTGAAACAAATTTTATCCCCACTCTCATGGCCAAACTAGAGCTTGAAGTAAATATCAAGAAATATGGAAAAACTAAACAAATTTAAGAGCATGGATTAGCAGTCGACCATAAATAATTGGAACATGGCCTAGGCTGGTTTGTTCTGGATTTGAATTAATATCCAACTTCATGACGCAGACAAGTGGATGGCTATGTTTAGAAGAGTTTATAGAGATCACTTTTACCTTTTTGAGTAAACTTGGTTCAAATTTGCTCAAACATTTAGTGATTGTCTAATTAACTGTGAAATTATGCACTGCATCAACTGAAGGCAAATTAATTCTCAATGATAGTTCATAATCGCTAAAATAGGGATGGATGCACATCAGCACAAGCAGCACGAAGGGAAAGAAGCAAAATAGCCATATAGTAGTCCCACTAGACAACCTGTGCATACATCATGGAACACAAGAAATTTTTTTCGTCTAGAGGGGGAATTCTACTCAAGCCCCTTAACCAAAATTTCAAATTTAAATCGAAGTTGGACCCCTCTCATTTTCAAGTTAAAGTAGCATTATGATGATCAATATTTTTTTCGTCTTTTTTATCACTAAACAAAAATTTTTCATCAGTATGATTATTNCGTGGAACACAAGAAATTTTTTTCGTCTAGAGGAGGAATTCTACCCAAGCCCCTTAACCAAAATTTCAAATTTAAATCGAAGTTGGACCCCTCTCATTTTCAAGTTAAAGTAGCATTATGATGATCAATATTTTTTTCGTCTTTTTTATCACTAAACAAAAAATTTTCATCAGTATGATTATTGACATTGGGAAGCATGTATCCCAGCATAGGCCGCCAGTATACCTGACAGCACTCTTATACTAAGTACAAAAGAACATGAGAAGAACAGGCCAAGAGAATAATGATGAACCGAGTAGAGCTACCAACCTGAAAGTGTGAACTGCTNAATTTTCATCAGTATGATTATTGACATTGGGAAGCATGTATCCCAGCATAGACCGCCAGTATACCTGACAGCACTCTTATACTAAGTACAAAAGAACATGAGAAGAACAGGCCAAGAGAATAATGATGAACCGAGTAGAGCTACCAACCTGAAAGTGTGAACTGCTCAGGCAGCGACCAATCTGCCGAAACAAGGGTACCATACAGCGCTGGAATTCTGGAGGTTGAGTTGCTTCCAGAACTTCCTCCAGCTCACCCAAGAACATGACTTCCTTCGAACTGTTTGTGATTGGCCAATACTTCAACAGACCCCTTATAACAGTATCGGCAAGCTTGCAGTCCTTTTCCACAAATTGTGTAATGCAGTAAGATAACTGCTGATGGTACATGGCTATGCATTTTGGTTTGTGAAGTGGTATCAGTGCTCGGACAAGAAAGAGCTTGTGCTCTTCTTTCAGTGGCAAAGCAAAACCATTGATAATACTTCCCAGAATTTCTAACAGCTCTGCAATTCCGTTATGCTTTTCAGTTTCAAATATAAACCGATAGAATATATGGTTGATTGCTTTCCTGATAAATGGGCGGTGCACCATAAACTTTCCGTATACACGGTGCAGAACAGTTTTCAAGTACTCCCTTTCTCTGGGATCCTCCGAATCAAAGAGATCTAACAACCTTAGAACAAAAGAGTGATCAATGTACCGCTTAGCCAACTTTGCATCCGTCTCTGGTGATGCCACAAACCTTAGAAGGAATTCATACACAATTTGCAAGTGAGGCCATGCTGGGTCCATCAAGGGCTCCTCTTCTTCCAAATCGAAGGCTTCTAAGACTTTGTTCTCGCGAGGTTGGACGGTTTGTGTCCTGAACAAATTTATAGATACCATCTTCACCATTTCTTGCATGGCAATTTCCGTGAATTTCCCATTTGCGGAAGTAACATAATCGACAAGGTCTACCAAAGTCTGTTTCTTGATGTCCTTTTCTTTCAAATTCTTTGTTGGGTCAGTAAAGTCAAAAACAACACAACACAAGTTCAGCTTTCTGATGAACAAGTTCTGCTTCTCTGAGTTTGGAACATCTCTAAAACTAGGCAATGCCTCATAGGATGAAATTGTTGAATTACCGTTCACATTTGGATATAGAGTCTGGGGAATCTTATTTCCATGATTTAGTCCTGAATTTGAAGTAGAATTAAGACCCAGAACAGTTGAAGCATTTAGGTGCCCAGGCCGATTACTTGCTAGATCACTGCTTCTTGAACTGCTAGAAGCATTTGCTGATAAGGTAGAGGTTCCTCCATCACGATTTTCAGTCGACTTTGATGACTTCCGAGGGAGCCTATTAAGTATCTGTTTGATCATAACTTAACCGATTAACCACAATCTTCTTCAGGTGCACCCAACAGGCTGATACCAGTGAAAATACTTTCAGACCAGAAGGCACATCAACAATGATAAAGTGGGCCTGGTCAGTTAATAGCTAAAGTGTCAAAACAAGATGCATTAACCCAGTTTTATGCCACTTCACGACCAACCCAGTCATGATCCAATCCACTACATAAATTTCTTATCCTCTCCACCATGAAAACCCAAAATGCGTGCCCCACATAATTCCAAACTGTACCAGTTCAACTGAATGAATCCGCTTCTCATCTGATCAAAACAAATCAAACCCAACTCAGATTACGAAAAATCCAAAATGTAGATAGCCATAAAAGGTAGATATTACAGAATAAATTTGAAATTCATTCAAAAAAAAAAAGAAAGAAATCCAACATACATATCGATGTTGAAGTCATAGCGAGAAACCCAGATGCGGAAAACAAGTAGATTCAAATTGATTTGGTTTCGGTATGTTCTTCAACATAAAAAGGGTAAAAAGGAAGATGTACACTCACCTCCTTCACCTTTTTCATTCAGTATTGCAAAGATTCAGAGCTCTTCGGCTAGATCAGAAGATAACAAGATCTGGGTATGATCTAAAGAACCCAGTTAGCATTTTTCATCAAGAATCACCTAATAAAGTATCAAAACAGAAAAAAGCCGAGATAAAAGAGCAAATTACATTAATCCAACAAAACTTTCCGAAAGAAACATTAATCTGATAAACACTACTACATACAAATGTTTATACAGCCACAAAGGTACAAAAATAGAAGCGTAATCGATACTCACATGAAGTTTAGCTGGTGTTGATAAGAAATAAAGCAAGGGAAAGAAAAGCACAAAAAGATTTCAGCTTTTCTCTATTTGCATATTGGGTCAGTGATCAAAATTCGAAAACAAACCCAACTGAGAAAATAGATAGAGAAATAGAGAAAAAGGGGAGATGGGTTAGCGGAAAGCAATCTCTGGTTGTCCTTGTTGATGTGTTAGCTTCGATGGAATTATTGTTTTTGTTATTTTTTTTTTCTTTCTGAACTCTTTGTTTTCGTAGCTTTTTCACAAATTTCAACAACTTTTGGTTTTCTTCAAACTCCTCTGTTTTGACAAATATTGCCCTTCAAATCTACACAAAATTCACCTCTTTTAGCCTCTTGAAGCAAAAGTTAGGGTTAAAAATAGAAGTTGATCCCATAGAATAAAGCAGATTACGTTTCACGCGCATTTGATAGCGCGTGAAACTCGTTTGTTGAGAGTTGGGAAATAAGGTGTTACATAACTCAAATAAAATTTAAAAATTTAAATTCAAATATATATTATCTTTTAAATGAGTGTAAGATGAACGAGTCTCACTGAAAAAATTGATAGAACTCACTTATCCAATATGCATGTGAGTGGTAATTTTTTGAGTTTTATTTGAATTTTGTAGTATTACTTTTTATTATTATTACATAGTATTTAAGTTTGTATCAACTATTTCCTCGAATATTCAATTGAGCATCGTAATTCAAATTAGTTTAAATATATGTCTTTTAAGAAATAAGAGTAACTGATCCTTAAATAGTATGAGAAATATCGAACTTAAATTTTTTCACTTAAAAGATAACAGACTTGATTAAAAGACCACATTCCTAACTCCACTTAAAAAATGAACTATTATGGCCATCACTAGGTGGCTTAATATCTGAGTTTTGTTATGTTAAAATTTACATAACTCAAACCTAGTGCATTTCTATTCATATATAATCGGCTTTACATTGTGCTGAATTTGTATTATATATAAGTTTATATCATACCCATCATTTACTTAATGGAGTCCCTTATTTATTATTTGAACCTACTAAGACTCAATTTAAACCCGATTGTATCGTATTCGTCGAGTCATGTGTAAACTGTTGGGCCTACAAATGATCAGAAGCTCAAATCTTTCTTAGCACAGTTTCTATTGGATTCACTGGATATTGGATAGAGTTGCAACTTGCTTTAAGACGCGTGATCTCTCTCTCTATGTGTCCCCCCTTGAAATGGAAAAGCTTGGTAAGTAGACTCGCTTCATTCCTAAGATGTAAAAATCGTTGAACCCTTGAATTCTAGAAGTCACTGGTGACTGGTGACTGATGACTGATTATTAAGTTATAATCCTAGGTGGGTAAGATACCATATTTGTGTACAATGTACGCATTGAAGGAAATTGAGAGAATATGACTAATTTTGTTGTCATATGCCCCACACAATGGTCATCAATTAGTGACAATGGTCAACTCATTTTGTATTCATTTTATTAGTAACTAAACTCACTTCATTCTGCACCCCAATTAATTATCCTTAATAAATAATCTTTTATTAGGATCCCTAGTGCAATGATATGTATGAGCGTCTCTACCTGTGATAAAGACCTTCTTTTTATCACAGGGTGTCCAAACTTTCTCCAACTAACTTGATGGTTGCTACAAGCATCTTTTAATAATTAATCATCAACACATCTAATATGTAACACATTAAATTGAGTAGTGTTCACTAACCCTATTCAATACTTTATAATTATTTGGGGTTTATATATATATATATATTCAATGCAACTATAATACCACAATATCACCTTCACATTTTCAAACTCATCTCCTAGCCTGATCAAAAAAATAAAAAAAATCAATCTCTTAGCCGATAATGTTACTCAGACGCACAAGTCCAACTGGGTGTACAGATACAATGCACCTGACTAAATCAACCAAAATAGTTGCCAATTGACAGCCTAACCATGGTAGTGAGTTACAACCCAGCCAATGGCTCCCTTCTCCTCATAATACATTTGATCACCACTTAAAAAAAAAAAAATTTATCCAATACACGAGACTTCCATCTATGTTAATCTAAAGAGAGTAAGACATGTGCTATTTTATCTGCGTACACAAGTTATTTCCGCGACTGAAATCTGGTGGTATTTTCAAGATTGGAAATTGGATTGTATTGAGTACAGGACTGGGCATTCGTAAGTGTACACTTTCGGCAAGCCACANTACATTTTATTAGTAACTAAACTCACTTCATTCTGCACCCCAATTAATTATCCTTAATAAATAATCTTTTATTAGGATCCCTAGTGCAATGATATGTATGAGCGTCTCTACCTGTGATAAAGACCTTCTTTTTATCACAGGGTGTCCAAACTTTCTCCAACTAACTTGATGGTTGCTACAAGCATCTTTTAATAATTAATCATCAACACATCTAATATGTAACACATTAAATTGAGTAGTGTTCACTAACCCTATTCAATACTTTATAATTATTTGGGGTTTATATATATATATATATATATTCAATGCAACTATAATACCACAATATCACCTTCACATTTTCAAACTCATCTCCTAGCCTGATCAAAAAAATAAAAAAAATCAATCTCTTAGCCGATAATGTTACTCAGACGCACAAGTCCAACTGGGTGTACAGATACAATGCACCTGACTAAATCAACCAAAATAGTTGCCAATTGACAGCCTAACCATGGTAGTGAGTTACAACCCAGCCAATGGCTCCCTTCTCCTCATAATACATTTGATCACCACTTAAAAAAAAAAAAATTTATCCAATACACGAGACTTCCATCTATGTTAATCTAAAGAGAGTAAGACATATGTTATTTTATCTGCGTACACAAGTTATTTCCGCGACTGAAATCTGGTGGTATTTTCAAGATTGGAAATTGGATTGTATTGAGTACAGGACTGGGCATTCGTAAGTGTACACTTTCGGCAAGCCACAACCAGAAAAAGTCAATATAAAGCAATATTGGAAGGAACAGTTTGATCCACTTTACCGCAATGGGGCCAATCAAGGCAGATGGTCAAAATAGAGAAGCTGAAGCCGCCCGTACAACACATTGCCGGAACTTGACTTTATGGAGAATTGTCAATGAGTGAGAATTAGCCTGTACGTACACGTGGACAATTAGCAAATCAAATACGGATCTTCATGTATAGATTGCTCCATNTTATGGAGAATTGTCAATGAGTGAGAATTAGCCTGTACACGTGGACAATTAGCAAATCAAATACGGATCTTCATGTATAGATTGCTCCATCAGTGAACTATTCTTGATCAACCAGTCAATGAAGTTAGAGAAGAAAATAGACTTATTACTATCTCCGCAGTCTGTGGCTTTTGCATTTCGAAAATAATAACAAACTGAAGTAATTCAAGACTTGTACATATCTCTCAAAATTAGAAGATACAATTTTTTAACAACTATAATTATAATTTCTTGAATTTTCATCTAGCTGCAACAGAAACTATGGAATGTAAAGTATAAATGAAATACATGAATTAGTTAGTCAGTAAAAATTTTTGACAGTTAAAACCAATTACCAATACAGGGATTCATGAACTCGGAAGGATTCATGCTTCAATGCCCGAGACTCAAGTGGAAAATTAGTCTCCAAGTGGACGATTCACCAGATCTCTGGCTTCAACCATCATACCTTAGCTTTTTTCCATTTCGGGTAGAAGTCGTTCAAGAAAATTTCTGACTTGACAGTGATAATCTAGTTAAGCAGCGGTTTAGCCTCCAAGACACAGATTTGCACTGCCATAATATAAACATTTAAAGTCCAGGTATCCACAGAGCATGACCGGGAATGCAGCAATATAATCATGATCACCTCCACTCCAAAAACTTGTTTGCAAAATATTGCGGAGAGCATAGAGAAGAAATGCGAAGTGGGAATAAGGAAGAGAGGAATCATACAAGCTCCACGCCATACTAAAACTAGTTGCAGAAAAGCATATCCCAATTGAGGAAAGAAAACATAACTGTTACAGTGACTGAAACATCTCCTGGAGAATGCAATAGCGAGATTGCCCTGACTATGTGTTCAATGATCCATCAAGGCCGTCTCTGTTTCTGATAATGGTGCTGCAGGCCAACAAAATAAAAAGTTGTGATCAAGTATCTAAGAAAACAACTCTCAAGGATGGAATGAAGAAAAACTAATAAAATGTTCAATAAAGCAAGTAAACAATTCAGCAATCTTGCATCTAAGAGAACATAACTGTTTGTAAAACAGAGAAGGGGCAAGGAGAAGCAGATCTTAAGATAAGCATTTGACTCCTTATGAGCACCAAATTACTTGCCAACTTTTACGGCAAATACAAGATAGGATCTCAACGAATGAAAGGTCTTCGCTAAGATCAATGTTGCATAAATTATAATCGATCTGAGCCACCAAGTTTGACTTAGGATTCTTCAGACGAAAAGAGGAAGAATTCTTCTTTCAGATACTCTACAATGCTCTGAATCAGAGACTTCTCACTGCCAATTTACTGAAGAAGACAACTGTTCATTCACCATGTAATTTTCAAGAACCCATGCTTTTGATTTTAAGGCTTACTGTGAACACAAATACAGTTAATATTGACCCACTTTCAGCTTCGGATGAAATTTTTAGATATAATTTGGAAAAGCATTTAAATAAAGGCGCCAAAATAGAGTAAAATCTCAAATAAACCAACATACCAAGTAAGTCCTCATAAGAATCTGCAAACAGTGACGTGTCCATCAGCAAAGGAGGTGAGAAAACTTGATCTTGAGCTTCCTCAATGTCATAAAATGAGCTTTGGGCATCAGACACTGCACCATTGGAACCAGCAACCGAAAGAAAACCATTTCCACAATCATAGTCATGAAGTGAATCCAAACTACTCAACATGTCTGGTAATCCATCATACTCGCTCCCAAAATGTCTTTCTGGCGCACGAGTCTCAAGCAAGGGAGATTCTGTTTGCGAGGTAAATAACTGTTTACTCCTTGGATTCAGCTTCTTTTCTGCGCCAATATGCAAAAACCCAGTCCCTGAAAGTGGTACAAAGAAGTGCTCAGAGCTATCATCAGAACGACTGTCTTGTGATGACTCCAAATTGCTGGATTGCACTGACAAAGCGGCTTCTCTGACAGATCTCTTCAAATTCTGGACATACGAATTATCACTCTCTGCAGAATAATGAAAAACTTAAATTAGAAACTTTGAGCTAAAGCTATCTTGAGAATCCTGTAGATGGAGAAAAAATGCCTTAGACAAGATGACGATGTGTGTAATGAGAGAATTAGAGCAGCACAAACCTTGTGGTGGATTAACCATGTGGCTGTTTAATAGTGACTTGTCCACAGACTTCCTTTCTGACATATTATCTATTTGGCTGGCCTGAGATAGGATCTGTCGCTTTTGCACGTTCCCACCTTTACCAGAAGTTGGTGTCAAACTGAACAAAGGTGGCAGTTTCAGAGCTGGGGAACTAGCTGCAACTTTTTCAAGTTGAACAATTGCCAATCTCGAAGTCACATCAGCAACCTCATCAGTGCTACTTTCCTGGACAATTTAAGATCATTTTCTTATATAAATTCAATTTCAGACACCATGACAAATCACAGATGGTTATTCTTCGAATACATCATTCGCAAAATAAATACCAGTGTCCTCCCACTGCTCTGTGCTTGGATAGGTGAGGTTGGTCTGCCGTGATGTTTGATCACTGGTGCAAAATTGGTAGAAATACTCTTTACTTCCTCTGTAAGCTCTGATATTGAGTTTTGTATTGCTGGAGCAGCTTCCTTCAGTTGATTGATAAGCACCTGCACATCGCAAGTACTTGTGTGGGAAAAAGTTGGCTAATTCAAAAAAATCTGTAGTGAAAAAGTTGCAAAAGCATTCCGCATGCAATCTGAAACTGTGTGGGTATATGGCAATAATTCACGGAGAAATCAAACCCAAACTTCTAGGAAATCAGTTTTCTAGGAGAAGGTTCATTTAAGAGATTGATAATAAGTAGTAGAATTGGAAAGACATTTCTTTGTGACTGAAGTTCTTAGAATTGTCCAATATAAATTAACTGTCCAAATGTCATGATAACCAATGTACTCCATTGCAAACATCCATTTTACTTGGGAGAAAAAAAGAGGCAATATGACATACTTAGTTGGAAAAAAAAAGTTCACAACGTAGCAAAGAAAGACAAACTCCCATGAGTATTAAAGACCAATGTCAAGTGTCAACCAGCGCCCAGTGNTTGGAAAAAAAAAGTTCACAATGTAGCAAAGAGAGACAAACTCCCATGAGTATTAAAGACCAATGTCAAGTGTCAACCAGCGCCCAGTGAATAATAAAATATTAAGTTCAGCAAAGCCTATTTAAAATATAAACTCATCTAAGCAACAACTGATTCAATCCTCCTCAGCCATGCTGACAGAGAAGTAAAGACATCTCTCGTCCATGGATGTACTCATAGAAGATCAAAGACATCTTTCCTCCATGGATGTACTCGTAGAAGATCAAAGAAAGATGTATTTAGAAGATACTCAAATCAAGCACTCATCAGTACACAGATGGCCAAGGGTGTTACAAGGTTGTTAGTTCAACAGCAGAGAGACATGGGATTCAAATTTTCCTTGAAATTAAGCCTAAATTAGTTTATACTATCACCCCAACTCAATATTCAATGGATAAATCAAATTCTATTAGCTATTTGCCTGTATGCTAGCTAGGTGTTGCCGATGTTCAGCAAGGGTTGTGGCCAAAGATTCAGCATGGCCATTTGTAGCACCATCATGTGGACTTTGCAGAAGCTCTGGGCCATCTCCATCATTTGCCTTTGCCTACAATAGAAATATTGCATATAAAGACGTTATGACATTGGAGAGAAAAACAGACATGTACTTCGCAAAAGATTTCAAGGAAAGCAATCAAGATCTAAATGTGAGGCATAGTGCACCAAAAAATGAAAACTATTAGAGCATAATGATGTTCATTCAATATTCAAACTAGTTTTAGGAATAAAAGAGAGTATAAATTAACTATGCCAATTCTTGTTCAAGAAACTCATCCAAGTAGACAACCTAACTTGCTGTAAATGGAGATTCTCCTGAAAACATATAGGGGAAATGATATCTATGCAGAATGTCCACCAATGTGAAAACAAATCACACAAAATAACTGGAAGGATAATGTTGCAATGAGTCACATTCTGCACCAATGTCAGTAATTTTAAGCAAGTCTTCGTTCCTACCAATTTGTGAATAAAAAACTGTGTGGCATGGGCAAAAAAAACATTCATATCATGTGAAACAATCAGTCAGCTTGGATATAGATGACGACCTGGATCTAGAATCACCACTTAGATATGCATTCCAAGATTGGGACATATCGCTTGATATTTAAATTAGAACCTGTACATGACAGCACAGCAGTAACTTGACTCCTTCCTAATCTTTCACCGTATCCAGGCATAGTAACTCTAATTATTGAACCATTAAATTCACATGCACAATTGAATGAACTCATCACCGTCAAATTATTTTCCAAATCAATTCAATAAACAACAAAAGATGTGACAGTTATATGCCACAAGGAGTTCAACCAACATTATGCTTTATCGATGGAGAGCTGTATACAGATTCAGCCTTGGGCCACACAACAAAGAGAAGAGCTGAAGCAAGAATCAATCAATATTCATAAACACCACAGGAAGACTTAGAACAATAGAAATAGCATACCATAAGAAGTGATTGCTTATGAATACGCTGTAAAGCATGTGTCCACCGCCGCAGAACTTCTGCTATATCAACAGTTGGGTGGCCTCTTCCACTTCTATCATCCACTAGCAATATTTTTTCATCCTTTACTTGTAGATGAGAATGATCTAAATTGTTATGATTTTCTCTGTTTGCATTCACTTGGAACCCATCAATTTGCTCTCTATCATCTACATGTGTTGAAGCTAGATCTGTAGGTGGAACTTGAGAACTTTGATCCATTGCTGCTAGCAAAGATGATCCAGAGATGCGATACCTGATAAAGAAAATGTCACAATGGAACAAATATGTGGGTAAAAACCATCTGTGAAAAAATGACATGGGGAATGGATCAAACCTATGCTCCCGATGAGCTATCAGGTCCTCAATGGGGCCTGAAGCAAGAACTTCATGTTGACCTGTGCAGAGGTTGATATCAAGATCAATAAACAAAGTATCATCAAATAAGAGTGCAGATGTTGAAAGTGCATATGGTACAGATAATTAGTCATGGCGTAACTTATTCATATCAGCAAGAGAAGTGTGACTGTGTTATTCAGGCTTATATTCATAAAGAATATGGAGCAAAACATATTAGAGTGCTTTTAGGCAAGATTAGCAATGCCAAGTAAATTAACTACTATTAGAAATTCTGCAACAGAAGAGGATCATAGAACATTTTTTTCCAAGTTTTAGTGACTAATACAGTGCAACTGAAGAGGAGCGCACTATGTTTCATCACAAACATAATCCTGGAAGTCATGAAAGATTGATCCTATGTAGAGCATTATAAGTCAAAAAGTAATAATTTGAAGCATAGTTAGGATATCTTAATACCACTATGCCAAAAGGGGACTAGCAAACAACCCCAACACAATAATATGACAGGGAAAAAAAAACCCTAAAATTTGCTGAAAATATTTAATGGGCCAAGTGACAGCAAAAACAAAATCAGTTTTCTATGACCTTTCCATATTGAAAGACTAATAAAGATTTCGAGCTTCTTCCACTATGCTTAATAAGAGTTTCTCCCACATGCTTCGCACGTTATAATCAAAAGAAGAGAAATTGAAAAGGAAGACACCAGCCCAAACCCAACTTCATGCTAGGAAAATCTGAGTCTGAATTCAGGATGGGCAAATCTTGGTGAAACTTAGGCCGCTCAAATTAAAAACCAAACAGGTCAAACCCAGTTGTGCATCCAATCCAAATGCACCAGAAATAACTGTGAACAAAGGATGACAGAAGGATATCCTGGCACTTGCTTTGCTTAGCTCATAATGTGCAAAACACTCATGTACACTAACATTAATCAACAAATGTTTGCATTGAAAGATAGAAAGGCCTCAGTACTCGTGTGAACCCTGTGTCTCCCCTCTATATCTGTGTTTCTCTTCATTTACAACAATATTTATCACTTCCTAGGTTCGTTATTTTAAATGACTTATCATTTCATTGATTCAAAATTCATGCCTATCTTTCAAATTTGCCCTTGTTTCTGAGCTCCAGTTCACATTGTAGCCTATAATTATATAAGAGATGCAGCAGCACTCCGTGGTTTACAGTTGGTACAATTCTGCCAACCACCCAGGGGTCCCTCACACCAACACAACAACCAAGAGGTTCACATCGAGTACAGGAAGTGTTGTTTTGACGACCAATCAGGGACTAATCACAAGGGGAATTTAGCGTCATCTACATAAATGGGACACCAAACTTGCCAGTTGCCAGACCCCAAATTTGGAAATATAAATTGTGTTTATTTGCTTAGTATGTGTCATGGGTTTCGCTAACAGGAGATCTACTACCTTATGAGGCGTAACTTGATTAACTAGAGGAGATCTACTATCTTTTGCGTAAGGATTGGAAGTCGGCGCTGAACAACCAGAAAGAGATGGAATTTAGCACCACACTTCTTCGCTGAATTTTAGGGTGAGGGTAAATGAGGAAATCAATAAAATGAACAATATAATTCTATAGTCAGTAGAAGTCAAATAATTCCAGCAATCTCCTTCAAGTAAACATCTTAAGGCCCATGCCATCTGAGAGAACTCTCCATTGAATATATTCGCTTAGCAATCAAATGTTGCAAATTTAAGAAAATCTTTTCCTAATGAGCATTGAGCAACATATGCAACTGCTGTCAACATTAAGTTTGTTTCTGAAGGTTATTCATAATATAAAACAGAACAAACTTCAATAAACTCATCCGACAGTCGCAAACAGACTCATTCAACGGCCACCAACATCCCTCTAAAACCTATTCATATTAAATTCATCACTTTTCACTTACCACGTCTTCAGGCACAAGTTACCCCTAGTATGAGATAAACTGGACATCAATGTTCAAAATTATTTCCTAACATGAATGGGACATAACAAATAAAGATAGAATCAAGATCAACAATTCAATACATTCAAGAAAATCAAAAGATTTACAAATGGTTCTTTCCAAACAATGAAGTGTCATGTTAGGCACCCTAGACTAAGCATTTCAANTTGTTTTGACGACCAATCAGGGACTAATCACAAGGGGAATTTAGCGTCATCTACATAAATGGGACACCAAACTTGCCAGTTGCCAGACCCCAAATTTGGAAATATAAATTGTGTTTATTTGCTTAGTATGTGTCATGGGTTTCGCTAACAGGAGATCTACTACCTTATGAGGCGTAACTTGATTAACTAGAGGAGATCTACTATCTTTTGCGTAAGGATTGGAAGTCGGCGCTGAACAACCAGAAAGAGATGGAATTTAGCACCACACTTCTTCGCTGAATTTTAGGGTGAGGGTAAATGAGGAAATCAATAAAATGAACAATATAATTCTATAGTCAGTAGAAGTCAAATAATTCCAGCAATCTCCTTCAAGTAAACATCTTAAGGCCCATGCCATCTGAGAGAACTCTCCATTGAATATATTCGCTTAGCAATCAAATGTTGCAAATTTAAGAAAATCTTTTCCTAATGAGCATTGAGCAACATATGCAACTGCTGTCAACATTAAGTTTGTTTCTGAAGGTTATTCATAATATAAAACAGAACAAACTTCAATAAACTCATCCGACAGTCTCAAACAGACTCATTCAATGGCCACCAACATCCCTCTAAAACCTATTCATATTAAATTCATCACTTTTCACTTAACACGTCTTCAGGCACAAGTTACCCCTAGTATGAGATAAACTGGACAACAATGTTCAAAATTATTTCCTAACATGAATGGGACATAACAAATAAAGATAGAATCAAGATCAACAATTCAATACATTCAAGAAAATCAANCACTCAAATTAAAAACCAAACAGGTCAAACCCAGTTGTGCATCCAGTCCAAATGCACCAGAAATAACTGTGAACAAAGGATGACAGAAGGATATCCTGGCACTTGCTTTGCTCAGCTCATAATGTGCAAAACACTCATGTACACTAACATTAATCAACAAATGTTTGCATTGAAAGATAGAAAGGCCTCAGTACTCGTGTGAACCCTGTGTCTCCCCTCTATATCTGTGTTTCTCTTCATTTACAACAATATTTATCACTTCCTAGGTTCGTTTTTTAAATGACTTATCATTTCATTGATTCAAAATTCATGCCTATCTTTCAAATTTGCCCTTGTTTCTGAGCTCCAGTTCACATTGTAGCCTATAATTATATAAGAGATGCAGCAGCACTCCGTGGTTTACAGTTGGTACAATTCTGCCAACCACCCAGGGGTCCCTCACACCAACACAACAACCAAGAGGTTCACATCGAGTACAGGAAGTGTCGTTTCGACAACCAATCAGGGACTAATCACAAGGGGAATTTGACGTCATCTACATAAATGGGACACCAAACTTGCCAGTTGCCAGACCCCAAATTTGGAAATATAAATTGTGTTTATTTGCTTAGTATGTGTCATGGGTTTCGCTAACAGGAGATCTACTACCTTATGAGGCGTAACTTGATTAACTAGAGGAGATCTACTATCTTTTGCATAAGGATTGGAAGTCGGCGCTGAACAACCAGAAAGAGATGGAATTTAGCACCACACTTCTTCGCTGAATTTTAGGGTGAGGGTAAATGAGGAAATCAATAAAATGAACAATATAATTCTATAGTCAGTAGAAGTCAAATAATTCCAGCAATCTCCTTCAAGTAAACATCTTAAGGCCCATGCCATCTGAGAGAACTCTCCATTGAATATATTCGCTTAGCAATCAAATGTTGCAAATTTAAGAAAATCTTTTCCTAATGAGCATTGAGCAACATATGCAACTGCTGTCAACATTAAGTTTGTTTCTGAAGGTTATTCATAATATAAAACAAAACAAACTTCAATAAACTCATCCGACAGTCNAATTCAGGATGGGCAAATCTTGGTGAAACTTAGGCCGCTCAAATTAAAAACCAAACAGGTCAAACCCAGTTGTGCATCCAATCCAAATGCACCAGAAATAACTGTGAACAAAGGATGACAGAAGGATATCCTGGCACTTGCTTTGCTTAGCTCATAATGTGCAAAACACTCATGTACACTAACATTAATCAACAAATGTTTGCATTGAAAGATAGAAAGGCCTCAGTACTCGTGTGAACCCTGTGTCTCCCCTCTATATCTGTGTTTCTCTTCATTTACAACAATATTTATCACTTCCTAGGTTCGTTATTTTAAATGACTTATCATTTCATTGATTCAAAATTCATGCCTATCTTTCAAATTTGCCCTTGTTTCTGAGCTCCAGTTCACATTGTAGCCTATAATTATATAAGAGATGCAGCAGCACTCCGTGGTTTACAGTTGGTACAATTCTGCCAACCACCCAGGGGTCCCTCACACCAACACAACAACCAAGAGGTTCACATCGAGTACAGGAAGTGTTGTTTTGACGACCAATCAGGGACTAATCACAAGGGGAATTTAGCGTCATCTACATAAATGGGACACCAAACTTGCCAGTTGCCAGACCCCAAATTTGGAAATATAAATTGTGTTTATTTGCTTAGTATGTGTCATGGGTTTCGCTAACAGGAGATCTACTACCTTATGAGGCGTAACTTGATTAACTAGAGGAGATCTACTATCTTTTGCGTAAGGATTGGAAGTCGGCGCTGAACAACCAGAAAGAGATGGAATTTAGCACCACACTTCTTCGCTGAATTTTAGGGTGAGGGTAAATGAGGAAATCAATAAAATGAACAATATAATTCTATAGTCAGTAGAAGTCAAATAATTCCAGCAATCTCCTTCAAGTAAACATCTTAAGGCCCATGCCATCTGAGAGAACTCTCCATTGAATATATTCGCTTAGCAATCAAATGTTGCAAATTTAAGAAAATCTTTTCCTAATGAGCATTGAGCAACATATGCAACTGCTGTCAACATTAAGTTTGTTTCTGAAGGTTATTCATAATATAAAACAGAACAAACTTCAATAAACTCATCCGACAGTCGCAAACAGACTCATTCAACGGCCACCAACATCCCTCTAAAACCTATTCATATTAAATTCATCACTTTTCACTTACCACGTCTTCAGGCACAAGTTACCCCTAGTATGAGATAAACTGGACATCAATGTTCAAAATTATTTCCTAACATGAATGGGACATAACAAATAAAGATAGAATCAAGATCAACAATTCAATACATTCAAGAAAATCAAAAGATTTACAAATGGTTCTTTCCAAACAATGAAGTGTCATGTTAGGCACCCTAGACTAAGCATTTCAACAAGCAAAACCTTTTAGGAACTCTTAGCTCTCAATTCGAATTAAAATTCTAGGGGCAAGCAAACACTTCTAAGTTAATCCTCCCAATTCACATCTCAACCTCCAGGTATGGAAAGACACTTGTAATAGTTTGGCCTTGTGAATGTGGAATACACATTTTCAACATTCAAAAAAAGTGAACGGCCTAATTTACAAGACCTACTTATGGAAGGATCATAAACCCAAGAACCAATATTGGTCCTTGCAAAGTTGTAAGACAAATGACCACAGAGAAATAAGTTTTAGGACATAAAGTGGCATAACCAAGGACCTTCCTTTGACCTACAACCAGCAGTTCCGGCTCTATAACAAATAGTGACTTCAATCATCATTCGTCCATGGGCACTCATGCCTTGCGCATGTGTGTGTGTCTGTGTGAGTGTGTGTGTGTGTGTGAGNACCACAGAGAAATAAGTTTTAGGACATAAAGTGGCATAACCAAGGACCTTCCTTTGACCTACAATCAGCAGTTCCGGCTCTATAACAAATAGTGACTTCAATCATCATTCGTCCATGGGCACTCATGCCTTGCGCATGTGTGTGTGTGTCTGTGTGAGTGTGTGTGTGTGTGTGAGAGAGAGAGAGAATGGTGCAGTTGTCCTTCAATACTATCAACCAACGAATTCTANTCTGTGTGAGTGTGTGTGTGTGTGTGAGTGAGAGAGAGAGAGAGAGAATGGTGCAGTTGTCCTTCAATACTATCAACCAACGAATTCTATGGGGTGAGCTGATAATTTTGCTGAGGCTTAAAGCAACAATATCTGAGGAAATTTTTTGCCAATGGAAAGTCAAGGAGAAAATAAGAAACCCAATAAATTTGACTACCCAATTAAAAGTTTGCTCCCAATGAATGTCCATTTTGACATTGTGAGATTAATATCTCCCAAACTTAGGTAGTTATTAAAAGAAATAGTAATTCACAAGGTCATGAAATCAGGGGTCACTAAATTGGTAAAACTCAATAGTTGTAAAGATCTANGGAAAGGAGAAAATAAGAAACCCAATAAATTCGACTACCCAATTAAAAGTTTGCTCCCAATGAATGTCCATTTTGACATTGTGAGATTAATATCTCCCAAAATTAGGTAGTTATTAAAAGAAATAGTAATTCACTAGGTCATGAAATCAGGGGTCACTAAATTGGTAAAACTCAATAGTTGTAAAGATCTACCAGATAATTGTACTTATTCTTACAAGATAATAAAGAGTCCAAAAGTTGTAAAGATCTACCAGATAACTGTACTTACTCTTACGAGATAATAAAGAGTCCCATAAGCGGGTAGCTCTTTGAACCATATGAGAATTCTGACTTGAGCTAGATACAAGTTCATCCCACAGTTCACCTTCTAACTTCACCTTGTTCCTCAAGTCATGCAGTTTTTCCAGCTCTTGCTGCAAATAAGCCTGAATTCCAGGAAACGGAACAAAAGCATGAGAGAAATTTTCCTCTCTAAAAGGAGAAGGCATTTATCCGGCATAATATCCTCAAATAATGTGAGACGAGGTTTTTCCAGCCTTACCTCTTCAGCGCAAAGACCGCGAAACTCTGCAGTCATTTCATGAGCCAACTTTGACCACATAGCCTGCCTATGCACTGCTGTCTCAGCATTTTTCAAAAACCTCCTCCTTTCAAGTGCTATTCTAGCCTGTTTAGCAAAGGAGGCTCACGTCAAACCTAATACAAGTTTTTCTTCTAACGCCTTACAAAGGTGTTATTATATCGGCTTGCAAAAATTAAAGAGAAAGTAGTAACTAGTCTTTTATGAGCCAATTCATTCCAATTGAGTGAAACCTAGATATATGATCATCAAAATTTGAAATTACCACTTTAGTTGACAACCCTTCCCTTCATTGGGGAGTTTTATGAGAGAAAAGAAAGGAAAGCTACATTAAAATCACTTGCCTTGTTTGGGAATTCACAACGAGAGAAGAAAAAACAAAATGAACAATTAGTTAGGTTAGCTGCTATGGAAAAGTTGGACATCCCTTTAAATAGAGCTTATCCCCATCGAATGATTAGAATCATGCAAGGTTNAGAACGAGAGAAGAAAAAACAAAATGAACAATTAGTTAGGTTAGCTGCTATGGAAAAGTAGGACATCCCTTTAAATAGAGCTTATCCCCATCGAATGATTAGAATCATGCAAGGTTGGTTTATATAATTAAGGGAACTCTCCAATCATTGCCAATTGGTCTTAGGTTGAACGTTATAAAAATTGGACCTAGGATAGTCCTTAGGCCAAGTTCCGTACCCATTAATTTCCTAGTATACATGTAAGAACCTGGATCTCACATGAAGGAAGGTGTATAGAGAGCCAGTACCCCACATCAAATGATAAGGAACATTTATGAGGTTTCTCCCCTAATTGTCAATTAGTTTTAGGTTAGATGTTTTGACAACTTTTTTATAAAAACTATTGAGTAAAATGGTAATTAATAATTGCTATACCATCTTACTGTTCACTGCAAACCTTGAAAGAAGAATGGGCCAAAGGGTCATTAAAACTTTCCATTCTATCCTCTTCCCTCCCCTTAAAAACTCCCATAACAACATGAAGTAGCTTCACTTTCTTTACTTTTCTCTCCAAATCATTCCATCAAACTAGGGTTTAAACATGCACAACAAGTCAATAACAGTTTTTCTCTCGTTCAAAATAGCTCAAATCATAAACTACGGTCACAAGAGTGGTGATAGCTTTATCAGATTTTAGTTCTTTAAGTCTTTGTCTCACATAAATCATAAACATTGAATATCTTATCCAAAACACTAAAACTAAAATATTTCCATGTAATCAGAATAACCTTTGTTACAGGAAGCAGTGTAGCCGCGTGTGAGAAAGCTACATCTGTCAACGAAGCAGGCAGTGGATTAGAAGCTACATCAGCTGCAAACATCCGTCTATGGACCTCTCGCAAAGCATGCAAAGAAAGTTGCCACAGAAGTTCAACAAACCTGCAATTGAAATATGACACATATTGAATTTCAAGTATGTACAATAACCATCAAGCAATGCAAGTTGACAGTTATACACACTTCCAGTAAAGAAGCATTCTATTGGAGACGCTTATAGAAGCCCATAGAAAATTGAAAAAATAATTAACACCAAATATATTTTGTCTGAATGTCTATATGCAAACTGCATATGCAAATACCTGAGAATGAAGATTGAGACCTATGAATTTCCAACTAGAAATTCTTCTCTAAATATTTCCTTGGCATTTGGTCCAAATTTACTAAGAGTGAAAAAACTTTACGTTTCAGATGCCTTTGCATACATTAAGCAATGCTTTGGAAGGACACAAAGAAACCTGGGAAGAAGGTTCATTTTATAGTTTGTATAACAAAGGTCTACAGTCATTGATTCTAGAGGACATGGAAATAGCAAGCAAAGCAAACAAATATAACTATAGAACATGGAATTTAAGTTGAGACAATAAAGTCAATCTAAGCAGGTGATCGCTTGGTAACATAAATTCAATTACATACTAAATAAAGCTAAGAAGATCTATGCAAATTCACTTACCAATGCTAGCATTAAACTTACAAAAAAAGATAAATATAGCTATTCTGGCAGAGACCTAAAAAGAAAAAGAAAAGGTTAACTACATCAGTGGTCCTCGAAGTATGTGTTCGTAATTATTTTGGTCCCTCAACTTCCAATTGTGTCATTTTGGTACTTATGGNTGGCAGAGACCTAAAAAGAAAAAGAAAAGGTTAACTACATCAGTGGTCCTCGAAGTATCTGTTCGTAATTATTTTGGTCCCTCAACTTCCAATTGTGTCATTTTGGTACTTATGGTTTCCAATTTGTCTTTAAAAGATCCGATTGCTAACTTCCATTCAAATAATTAACGAAAAGGGCATGTGGCAGCCATCATCAAAACACACATAATACATGACCATTAATTATGTGGACAAATGTTACCCATTAGACCATTTAAAAACAAATATTAAGCTCTGTGGACCAAAATGACACAATTGAAAGTTCACGAACTAAATGCATATTTTGGGGACCATCAGAATAACTTACCTATAGGAAAAACTACCACGCTACATATTTGAATTAATTCTCTCCCCATTCAAATGGTGAAATGCTTTAGCAAGTTAGAAGTCTTGCCCTGCACTTTGTATCTGATATAATAATTTAAGACATACATCTGCCATCTTTTTTGGCAATTTTTGGACTTCCTCCTATTGAACCCTAGTTTGGGGATCCTAAAGCAACTAATGGATGTAAAAAATTAGTCCACTTCTCATAAAAGTTCATTATATAAAGAAGCAAAAGATCCTTAAAAGTTCTCTCTCTTAATAAGATTAATTAAAATAGAAGTTTTCTTCAATTTTCCACAAAAAAAAAGGGAGTTTGAAGGTATCATTTCCAGATGGACGACAGCATGCCATTGGTTGATGCAGGTAATGGATTTTTTTTTCTTCTTGTTTTTACTGGTTTGTTTATCGTTTGGACTCCTTGTCCAACTTCATTTTACATGATTGTAATGCTTATTTTTTTATTAAAATATTATGTTTCTTATCAAAAAAAAATAAAATAAAATAGAAGTTTTCAGACTCTCCGAATTCCAATTCTCCACTTCTCGTTCTCCTAATTGATTAGAAGTATTAATAGAGAAGTAATTGATTTGATTTNTTATTAAAATATTATGTTTCTTATCAAAAAAAATAAAATAAAATAGAAGTTTTCAGACTCTCCGAATTCCAATTCTCTTCTTCTCGTTCTCCTAATTGATTAGAAGTATTAATAGAGAAGTAATTGATTTGATTTATTATAAGCGTGAGAAGATCGAGTAAAATTGGAAAAAACTAATGGGTTTGTATCTTGGAAAAATTTTTTTTATGTGCANTTATTATAAGCGTGAGAAGATCGAGTAAAATTGGAAAAAACTAATGGGTTTGTATCTTGGAAAAATTTTTTTTATGTGCATGCCTTCGACATACTTTCCGGCTTCATTGGGCAGATAAAAAACAAAATGCTCTTCGAAGTGATGAGGAACTTCAAATTCTACTCATCAAACAATCCCCCTCTCTTAATAAACTTATACATGGTATTTTCTACAACTAACTTACAATTCACTCCGAGCCGACCTCTAGAGGGTTTCGCAAGCCGTGAAGGTGGAGGAAAGCAAATGTGGGAGCAATCCAAAGACATTGATTAGATACGGAAACAATTCATTTTTTTGATGCCAACCTAGGTAGGATGGCCCTCCCACACAAAGATTCCCTAGTGATCACTCTTCAGATTGAGAAGTTTGACATTAAGAGGATCTTGATGGACTCAAGAAGTTTATCCGAGGTAATGAACGACAACCTCTTTCATAAAATGGGTTTCACTCAAAAAGACTTGAAACCTGTAAAATCCCCCCTTGTTGGATTCAACGGTTCGTATGCCCTCTTGCTCGGAAAGGTTACACTCATGGTTATTGCCGGGGTTGTCATAGTCTCGGTTGAATTTGTGGTGATAAACTCCAACTCTCCATACAATGACATTATAGGTAGAACATGGTTGCACACAATGAAGGCGGTGTATTCGTCCTATCATCAGAAGATAAAGTTTCCCACGCCGAGGGGAGTCATGAAAATTCATGGTGATCTAGCATCGTCAAAGAGTTGCTTTTATGTAGCAATGAAGACAGGGGTGAACGCTAGATCCCAAAAGCATGACCCTAAAGTAGTGTTAGCCAAATAGCAATCACAGTTCGGTCGGCTAGGTGTTGAGGATCCCATCACTGACCCAACCGATTGGTCCACGGAGGCTCTAGTTAAAGTCCTCCTGCACACCGGGGACGAAGAGAGATTTTTTCGGATGGGGACGTCATTAGGCGGCACCGAGAGGTCTGATATGGTGAACTTCCTATGTCTGAAGGCCGATGTCTTCACATGGACCCCTACCAATATGATAGGGATAAACCCCAAGGTGATATGCCATCAACTTCATATTGATCCAACCTTCAAACCTGTGAAGCAGAGGACTCGGAGGTCAGCGCCTCACCACATATAGGCAATTGATGAAGAGGTAGACTGGTTGCTTGGGGCTGGATCAATCAGGGAAGTCCAGTTCCCCGAGTGGCTGTCAAACACGACGTGTGCAAAGAAGAAAGGTGGAAAGTGGCAAGTTTGCGTGGATTTTATAGACTTGAACAAAGTTTCATGGACGCCCAAGTAGGTTATCACCAAATCCCTTCGCATGAATTTGACCAAGAGAAAACGGAGTTCATCACATCCTAAGGGATATATTATTTACACAGTGATACTATTCAGTTTAAAAAATGTCAATGCCACTTATCTGCACCTGATGAATAAGATGTTCAAGCAACAGCTCGACATCACGATGAAAGTATATATTGATGACATGTCGGTAAAGAGCAAGATGAAAGCCGACCATCTTCGGGATATTGGGTCATATTCATCGTGCTTCGAAAGTACGGCTTGAAGCTCAATGCTTCGAAGTGTGCGTTCAGGGTAAGCTCGAGCAAGTTCTTGGGATATCTGGTCACCCATCGTGAGTTAGAAGTCAATCCCGATTAAGTACAAGCCGTGTAGGATATACAGAGGCCGAAGACCATGAAGGACATACAAAAATTAACCACGATACTGGCGGCTCTCAATTGGTTTATCTCTAAGTCCTTGGGCAGGTGTAGGCCATTCTTCGCCATGCTTAAGGGGGCAATGAAGGGATCCTGGGGTGAAGAATGCGATCGGGCATTAGAGGGAGTCGAGGAGTATTTGAGATCCCCTCTGACCCTGTACGTTCCGATGGCAGGTGAAGTTCTAAATCTCTACCTATCTATCTCAGAATGGGCAATCAATGGAGCTTTAGTAAGGGAGCACAACGGAGTATCATCTTGATCAGATAAATCAACTTGATTCAATTGAACAAAAGCAATTCTAGGTGATGGGGTGCTTCAATTTCCCAGTACTTCTCTTCAATTTTTTTAGGGGGCAGCTTTTTCCTTGATTCAAGCGTTCATCACTTCATCTAGATGGTCTTTCAACTTGTGTGGAGTAAAGGGTGACATGTATTGTACTCGTTGGAAGCATTTGTAATTATTACCAACTTATTCTATGTTGGAGTTAAATAACCCAAAGCATCAGCCCATGACTTGTTCAAGAAATACAGTTTCAATTTTTAACCTTAAAAATCCAGCTTCAAACAGACTTTAACTGCTTCAATCCATTGTGTCATCTTCAAAGTAAGAAAACCTATTGTTGTTTAGAACATCAGCCCACAGTATTGTACGCATAAACAACACAATTCCGAAAAATGAGAAAGTGCAGATAGAATACCAAGTAAAAATTCATATAACAACTTCCAATACTGAGAGAAAACACAAAATAAAGCATTTACGAATAGAATCTTTGCCAGCTAACCTCGGTCCACAACACGTAGCAAGGGACGAAACCCTTGAATTGCTCCTCGGAAGTGCCCCTTGAGATTCCAGCTCACTTATTATCCCCTGGACAACCTACTTACCAAAAAAAATCAAAGTACATAACTAAAGAGAAGAAATAAGCTCAAATGCGCAAACTCAACATATCCTAAAAACTCAGATTAAAATCAATACAAACAAACACAATTACCTTCCTAAAGTCACGCGATTGCGCCGAATCAAAAATTGGCCAAACTTTATCGAAGTCCTGTAAGATCTAAAAGTTAGTCAAATGAACAAAACAGATCGAATTGAAATGAAATCAAAAGACAGGCATGAAATTTAGCGATTGTGTACACATATATACAATCTAAAGAACCTTTGCAGATTGAATTGGGCCTCTGAGTGAGGATAAGATAAAGTAGAGAAGTTGTTCGCCCAATTTAGGGTTGGAATGACGGAATAGTCCCACCCGAGGAGTACCGTTGTTGGTTCCGACGCCTATGATCGACGGATCCAGCCCCAACAACAAACAGTTAGTGTACATTGAACTCTCTAACTCTATCTCTCTCTCCTTCTCTCGGTCCATCGTCATCACCCCCCCCCCTCTCTCTCTCTTTCTCTCTCGACACTTTTCGTCTGTTTCCTCTCTGTAAAGTCTCGCTTCTGTGTGTTCTGGTTGGTTTTCCCGATTTAACTTTGCTTGAAATTGTTTTGTTCTTTTTTCAAAAACAGACCCCTGTAATAGTTGTAATGATGAGACGCCCCCACGTTTGTAATTAATTAACTAATTGTTAGGGGGTCCATTAGGATATTTGGTGATTAATGAGGGGGTGTTTTTGAATTTTTGTTTGGCGTGGTGGGGTCGGAAGAAATAAAGGAGTCACGTTTGAGCCGAATGAAGAATTTGAAAGTGTGTGGGAGGGATGTCTCTAACGTGCGCCGGTGGAATCTTGGCCTGTTGTTGCCGGCGAACATCTGGCTGGTAGTCATGTTTGCCAGTTACGCACACCATCTGTACTAATATGATAAAAACCAATTTGAATCTTTAAGTTACAAAAGTAAAAGATCGATTCAGATTTGTTTAAGAATTTTGATCCAATGGTCTAAAATCATTCCCATAAATTTTTTTCCCTCAAATATGTCACATCTAAACCCAAATCCTAATGCTCTAAAATTGATCGAAAGGTTAAAATTACTCTGGTTCTTCTGTCACGAGTCTTCTCTCAACCACTCCCCCGCATACCCAACATCTCTCTGTCCCAATCTTTCTCATATCTCTCACCCTCTCTTTGCTCCTCTACCTCATTCTCTCTCACCCTCCTCTCTGTTCTCCCCACCCCATATCAGTCGAAGGAAACCACCGCCTTCCAATAGCGACAACAATGGTGATGCTTCCCAGTTGTACCAACGATCAAGTATCTCTCTCAGTGGTAAGGACCTATCTCCAATTCCTAAAACTCCAACCCTTAGCTGATGGTATATCCAAACTATTTTTTCTATTGATATTCTTTTGGTAATAACACACAACTCGGTTAGATATCTAAACACACCTCGATTTTGAACTTTTGTTGGGCTAGTTACACAGTGCCTGAAAGTGGGACTCCATTGCTAGGGAGAGACAAAGCACACTCATTACAAGCACACAAAGAGTACATCTACCCATTGTTAAGCACACACNGCCCAAGTAGGTTATCACCAAATCCCTTCGCATGAATTTGACCAAGAGAAAACGGAGTTCATCACATCCTAAGGGATATATTATTTACACAGTGATACTATTCAGTTTAAAAAATGTCAATGCCACTTATCTGCACCTGATGAATAAGATGTTCAAGCAACAGCTCGACATCACGATGAAAGTATATATTGATGACATGTCGGTAAAGAGCAAGATGAAAGCCGACCATCTTCGGGATATTGGGTCATATTCATCGTGCTTCGAAAGTACGGCTTGAAGCTCAATGCTTCGAAGTGTGCGTTCAGGGTAAGCTCGAGCAAGTTCTTGGGATATCTGGTCACCCATCGTGAGTTAGAAGTCAATCCCGATTAAGTACAAGCCGTGTAGGATATACAGAGGCCGAAGACCATGAAGGACATACAAAAATTAACCACGATACTGGCGGCTCTCAACTGGTTTATCTCTAAGTCCTTGGGCAGGTGTAGGCCATTCTTCGCCATGCTTAAGGGGGCAATGAAGGGATCCTGGGGTGAAGAATGCGATCGGGCATTAGAGGGAGTCGAGGAGTATTTGAGATCCCCTCTGACCCTGTACGTTCCGATGGCAGGTGAAGTTCTAAATCTCTACCTATCTATCTCAGAATGGGCAATCAATGGAGCTTTAGTAAGGGAGCACAACGGAGTATCATCTTGNGCATTAGAGGGAGTCGAGGAGTATTTGAGATCCCCTCTGACCCTGTACGTTCCGATGGCAGGTGAAGTTCTAAATCTCTACCTATCTATCTCAGAATGGGCAATCAATGGAGCTTTAGTAAGGGAGCACAACGGAGTATCATCTTGATCAGATAAATCAACTTGATTCAATTGAACAAAAGCAATTCTAGGTGATGGGGTGTGATAAGAATACCAAGAGACTTTGATCCACCAGAGTCCTTTCCTTTTTTAGGTCATTTCTTTCTCTANGGGCAATCAATGGAGCTTTAGTAAGGGAGCACAACGGAGTATCATCTTGATCAGATAAATCAACTTGATTCAATTGAACAAAAGCAATTCTAGGTGATGGGGTGCTTCAATTTCCCAGTACTTCTCTTCAATTTTTTTAGGGGGCAGCTTTTTCCTTGATTCAAGCGTTCATCACTTCATCTAGATGGTCTTTCAACTTGTGTGGAGTAAAGGGTGACATGTATTGTACTCGTTGGAAGCATTTGTAATTATTACCAACTTATTCTATGTTGGAGTTAAATAACCCAAAGCATCAGCCCATGACTTGTTCAAGAAATACAGTTTCAATTTTTAACCTTAAAAATCCAGCTTCAAACAGACTTTAACTGCTTCAATCCATTGTGTCATCTTCAAAGTAAGAAAACCTATTGTTGTTTAGAACATCAGCCCACAGTATTGTACGCATAAACAACACAATTCCGAAAAATGAGAAAGTGCAGATAGAATACCAAGTAAAAATTCATATAACAACTTCCAATACTGAGAGAAAACACAAAATAAAGCATTTACGAATAGAATCTTTGCCAGCTAACCTCGGTCCACAACACGTAGCAAGGGACGAAACCCTTGAATTGCTCCTCGGAAGTGCCCCTTGAGATTCCAGCTCACTTATTATCCCCTGGACAACCTACTTAACAAAAAAAATCAAAGTACATAACTAAAGAGAAGAAATAAGCTCAAATGCGCAAACTCAACATATCCTAAAAACTCAGATTAAAATCAATACAAACAAACACAATTACCTTCCTAAAGTCACGCGATTGCGCCGAATCAAAAATTGGCCAAACTTTATCGAAGTCCTGTAAGATCTAAAAGTTAGTCAAATGAACAAAACAGATCGAATTGAAATGAAATCAAAAGACAGGCATGAAATTTAGCGATTGTGTACACATATATACAATCTAAAGAACCTTTGCAGATTGAATTGGGCCTCTGAGTGAGGATAAGATAAAGTAGAGAAGTTGTTCGCCCAATTTAGGGTTGGAATGACGGAATAGTCCCACCCGAGGAGTACCGTTGTTGGTTCCGACGCCTATGATCGACGGATCCAGCCCCAACAACAAACAGTTAGTGTACATTGAACTCTCTAACTCTATCTCTCTCTCCTTCTCTCGGTCCATCGTCATCACCCCCCCCCCTCTCTCTCTCTTTCTCTCTCGACACTTTTCGTCTGTTTCCTCTCTGTAAAGTCTCGCTTCTGTGTGTTCTGGTTGGTTTTCCCGATTTAACTTTGCTTGAAATTGTTTTGTTCTTTTTTCAAAAACAGACCCCTGTAATAGTTGTAATGATGAGACGCCCCCACGTTTGTAATTAATTAACTAATTGTTAGGGGGTCCATTAGGATATTTGGTGATTAATGAGGGGGTGTTTTTGAATTTTTGTTTGGCGTGGTGGGGTCGGAAGAAATAAAGGAGTCACGTTTGAGCCGAATGAAGAATTTGAAAGTGTGTGGGAGGGATGTCTCTAACGTGCGCCGGTGGAATCTTGGCCTGTTGTTGCCGGCGAACATCTGGCTGGTAGTCATGTTTGCCAGTTACGCACACCATCTGTACTAATATGATAAAAACCAATTTGAATCTTTAAGTTACAAAAGTAAAAGATCGATTCAGATTTGTTTAAGAATTTTGATCCAATGGTCTAAAATTATTCCTACAAAAATTTTTCCCTCAAATATGTCACATCTAAACCCAAATCCTAATGCTCTAAAATTGATTGAAAGGTTAAAATTACTCTGGTTCTTCTGCCACGAGTCTTCTCTCAACCACTCCCCCGCATACCCAACATCTCTCTGTCCCAATCTTTCTCATATCTCTCACCCTCTCTTTGCTCCTCTACCTCATTCTCTCTCACCCTCCTCTCTGTTCTCCCCACCCCATATCAGTCGAAGGAAACCACCGCCTCCCAATAGCGACAACAATGGCGATGCTTCCTAGTTCTACCAACGATCAAGTATCTCTCTCAGTGGTAAGGACCTATCTCCAATTCCTAAAACTCCAACCCTTAGCTGATGGTATATCCAAACTATTTTTTCTACTGATATTCTTCTGGTAATAACACACAACTCGGATAGATATCTAAACACACAACTCGATTTTGAACTTTTGTTGGGTTAGTTACACAATGCCTGAAAGTGGGACTCCATTGCTAGGGAGAGACAAAGCACACTCATTACAAGCACACAAAGAGTACATCTACCCATTGTTAAGCACACACATCACACACCCCTGCACATAATCACACTCACACACCCACGTCAAACACACCAGCACAACCACAAATTTTTGCAGATTAATTATTTATTGAAATTCTTGAGAGAAATATTATAAGCTTTTTCTCTTTTACATCACACCCAATTCGCTAGGAGCTTGGTAATTTGATTAAAAGTCTTTGCAGCGGAGAAATACTATGGGTGTACTTCTAATGTAAAGGTTTTTGTCTTTTTGGTTTTAATTCATATAATTTGCAAAAAAAAAAAAAGAATTGATTTTTTAGTATTCTGTGATAGTAGCTCATTATGGGGTGAACACGAACCCGATAGTGTTCGGAGATTAGTGTGTTTTCATTTTTGTTTCTATAATTGGAAATGACCGTTTAATTCATTCCTTTTTCTAATTGCTTTGTATAGAGAAGTGTTGGTGATGTATGATTACGGTTCTTGATGACATAATTTTCCTTCACATTCTGAAGCTTGACTTGAACTGTTATGGAGCAAGCCATATTGTATGTGGACAAGGGCAGTGTTTAATTTAGGTGTTAATCGGGTTTTTCATTATATAGGGTTGCAATATAATTTTTAGTGTTTTTGATTGAATGTTGTGTGTTATATCCATGAAATAAGATTTGTAGGGTTATTATGATTGAAATTGTGTGGTAATTGATTGAGATTGTATGTTGGAATTTTGTTGGGTGGCTTATTGTGAATAATATTTTGTGATTGAAAAACTATGTCAGGCGCCTTGAGCAAGTTAATGGTAACTTTTGATAATTCACAAGTTCATAGACCACATCGAGCTATTTAGGTACTTACTCACTCTTCCTTTCTTTAGCTCTGTGTGTTCATATTGAGCAGTTTCCTGAATATTTGTTGTTGTGACTTTGTACATTTGCTTCTTACTTTGATGGTTGTTTGCATGACAATGAATTGACGCAATCACCAATGCCGCGGTTTTTGTTTTACTAATAGGTTTGGGGGCTTGAATTTTGTTGAACTAAGGAATGCATAATGTTTGGGATTTAGGATTTGGGTGTGGTGTGGTTGTTTTTGTTGGTTTGGGCTACAAAGATGAAAAGTTGAAATATTCAATGTGAGCCCAAAGTCAAGTCGGTAAATTTTTCTATCTTTCTCCGCATGAAATGAATAGTTGATTCATGCGATCAAATATATAGACCAACATATATTATTTTGGTGGTTGTGTGTTCATGGGTTGATTTTGATATAGATTTGGGTATATGGATACGTGGGTGAATGTTTTTTTTAGAATTTTTGTTGTCGTAAGTTAAATTGTGTTTTTTGTTTACTAACTCTAAGCTCTTTATTATCATGTTTAGTGCTATAGAACAAATATTTATAGTTTTATGTTGGTTGCATTTCAAATTACCTAAGCTTTGTTATTAAGATATGTTATTTTGGTTTGGATTGGGTAGTGATTAAAATATGAGGATATTTTTGAGTTAGGTTAAATAATTTTTTATTGAGTGAGTGCAGTGGTTTGTGTTGGATAATGCAATGATTTGTGTTTGACAGTGATATATACAACGAGATATATTAGCAATGTAGATAGATTGAAAATTTTCCAAATTCTTATTTTCAAATGAAATTTTGTTGAAAAAATAGTAGGGGTTAGATTGATTTCAATTTCTTTCATAAAAACAAATAAAAAAAAATATTTCAAATTAAAGAGTTTTTTTTAAGTTGTATAGTGCTTTAGGCATGAGTTATTACTCATCTATAATAAATAAGATAGAACCACATTTAAATCTTTAAAATTTGAAAAAAAAAAACTCTAAAGTTGGAAAAACACAAGAAGAGCTCAAATTTAATCTACTTTTAATTTAATGGCCCAGATTTCATCTCCATTATTTTAATTTAATCCAAAGGCTCACAATGCCCAAACCTTATGCACAATACCCAACTCAATTATCTGACACATTATCCCCAACGTCTCTTTTTCTCCGTCTCTTTGTCTCTAACGCATGTGCCACACCATGCCACTGCCCATCTTCGACTCCAAGTGACCCCTGGTATCTCTTTTTTCTCCTTCCTTTTCCTCTGTTATTTAACTCTCTGTTCCTCTTCTCCCTTCTCTCTCTTTCTTCCACCATCACATTACCCCCTGCCCCTCAATCCACCATCAAACCCACCCCGCCATAGACCCATCAAACCCACCCCACGATCATAGTTTGGTTATAGTTCGGCCTACCCATCAAACCTACCCCCACCATCATAGTTCGGCCTCCCCTTCAAGCCCTTTCTCCCTTCTCTCTCTATTACGTTATCTCAAGCGACACCACCATCCCCTGCGACAGCGCCACAACCACACCCATGCCAGGTATGCCTCTTCTCTGTTTCTCTGTCTCTCTCTCTCACACACACACACTACGACAACCCCCTACCCCATGCTCTCCAATATCTGTGCAAACCCCACATCCTCTACTTCTCTCTCTCATACACATACACCCTATATTTCTCAAGGCAGTAATGATTTCTTATGTTAAAAGGCTATGATTTCAAATTGTTTGTTGTTTTGCCTCAATGAAAATTCACCCACTTCTCTCCTCTCTCCGGTGATCGAGCACCTCGGGAAGCCCTCTGATCTTCTAAGGTTTGTCTACTTTTCTCCCATTCTCTCTTCTTTATTCTTCCTCTTCTTCACCACATTTCGCAGACACACACACAAACCTAGCACATACACATGCAAAGAACGTATAACACACACTCAATTGAACATACAAGACACACACTCATCATACACACACACATAACACAAGAACACATATACACGGGTGATTTATCAAGGTAGTAGATTACATGATTTCTTAAGTTCAAAGGGTATGATTTCAAATTATTAGTTTTTTTGCCTTAAATGAAAATTTTTCATGGTTTTTTTTAGGGTGTTTCCTTAATACGAGAGTTCAATTTGGGCCTACAATTGAATTCATAAAGAATAGCAATAAGGTTGATTTGGGACTTTAGAATTTTAATTTTATTGCATTGTGTGGACTGCCACTACCCCCAACCTGTGTTCATTCTGTAATATTGTACAACAAATGATTAATAGTTTTCTTTTTAGACTTTGTTATTTGGTAAGTAATTCTAGAATGGTTATATAACAAATCTTTACTCTTCAAGCACACTCAACCACACGTTTTACTGATTATATAATGGAGTGGATTGAAATAGTTACGCTAATGTGTGTTCGATGAAATGTCTCAATGAGTGTTGCTTGGATCAATAATTGTTAGCATAATGAGTTTTCGATAAAATGTCTCAATGAGTGGACTGATAATTTTTATGCTAATGTGTGTGCAAACTCAATGTGGACCCTCACCCCTTATACATTTGTTTTTTTCATTTATTCCAAGGACCAACATTTTATACCTAGGTATGCTTTATTTTGATGGCGTGGTGTGGTAATGTTGGTATTATACAAAATATAGGGTTCACATGTATTCTAGGTAACTATGGGTAGACTATTTATTTGCCTTTAAAATTTTTCCTTTGTTCATTTGATATACATATGTAACTAATGGTTATTCCTTTGTTCATTTGAAAATTTTTCCTTTCTTCATTTGATATACATACATAACTAATGGTATTGAATATAGTTTGAGATCACAAGAAATATATGTTTTATTATTTTTTCTCTATTATTTAAGAGTGAAATTGTTGCCGATTAATTCTCGTTCAATTGATGAGCTAATTGGGAAGCCAATTGTAGGTTGTGATTGGGGGATCATATGCAAAATTATAATGCTTGCATTATGGTGTTTTGTATTAGCTTCTTTGATGTTGTAGTAATTGGCAGGAGACTATTGCGTTATTATGTAAAAATTGATTTGAGTGGAAAATTGATCGTTTAACCTAAATATACCAAGATACCAAGAAGCAATTCAACTCAAT